CATTGTTTGGGATGTTACAAAAAAAGGAGAAGAATTAGAACAACAACTGAAAGCAAAGCAATCTTTGCAAACCCATCAGCATAGCGTAGAGAAATTACAAATTCCTTCTACTTTTGGATCATCCATTCTTGGCTTGAATCAAATGGACATGCTTCAATCTCATCATAACGACAACAAGATCAACCAAATCCCTGATCTTAGTGGTATTCCAAAATTAAACACTCCAAGCAAAGGAGAATGGGGAGAATATGAATCAGAAAAAGAAGAAAAACAAAAGACTCAGAAATCAACAACACCTGCTACCTCGTCAAAGCCTTCAATTTCTGCAACAACGACAAACAACCAAGCTCAAACTCCTTCTGGAAAAGACTTGGCTCAACAAGATGCAAACACATTTGACAATGGGTATGCAGGTGAGTCTGAGCCTTTGAATTTTGCAGATGAAAAGAGAACAAAACGAAAATATACTCGTCGGAAGAAAAAGGACAAGACCGAAGAAGAAGGAAGTAGTAGATACCCAAAATCTGTGGCTAGACATTTCATGACAGACTTTACAAATGATGACGAAGAGGGACCACAATTCAAATTCCTTAATGAAAACTTATTGAATGGAGAATGGCTGGATGACGTTTATTGGGACGACATTGGTCCAAAACCTCCACAAAAGTTGCTTCTTGACATGAATGACAAGTCAATGTTCTTTGTTGAAGCTAATTATCCTGATCAAGCTGAAAAGGAAGAAGCCTTTTATTCCATCGAACAAAACATTTATAACATTTCGAATGACTCCAAATATGAAGGTCAAAAAATTAAGGATCAAGGACAAAAGACAGGTGCAAAAAAGTATACTGTCAAGCACTCACTTCCTGCACTTAGACTTGATCCAGAACTGTACAGAACTCACATTCCTGACGCTGAATTACGTAGACTTCACCATCGAAAAACGAAATTCAAGGCCAATGAAGTCATGCCTGTTCTTTTCAGAAAGCCAAAGAAAGAAAAGAAAAAGTCAAAGAAAAAGAAGGATTTGGAGAAGAAAAAAGACTTGTCCGCTAATGACCACCGTGTAATTCTTATGGAATATGTGGAAGAAAGACCACCACTTTTGAACAATGTGGGAATGGGCACCATGATTATGAATTATTACAAGAAACCAAACTCTGCGTTCGAAAAAGTACCTGAATGTGAAGATGGTATTCCTATCATTGTAGAATCAGAAGATAGCGTACCTCTCATTACTACTCTGGTAGATGGTGAATTTGTGACGACCACTGAAAACAACATGTTTCGTGCTCAAATCTACAAAAACCAAGTCCCTTCAACTGATTTTCTTCTGTGCACTAGAAAGTCAAAGGATGGCAAGACCAAGTTCTACATTCGTGAAATTCCAAGAACTTATACAGTCGGTCATACACAGCCTCAAGTGGAAGTCACTCCTCCAAGAACTCGTGCCTCTGAAAGTTATACCAATAATCGTTTGACTCTTTTCATTTTCCGTTCATTCCTTGACCAAATGAAAAAAGGTAAAAAGCAACTCAAGATTAGAATTGATGATATCAAGGAGGCCTTCCCAGATTTTCCTCATCAAACAATTCGAGAAAGGCTCAAGGCACTTGCTACGTATGACAGAGGAAGTGGTGTATGGACAGCTGATCCAGCAAAGCCAATTCCTTCCGAGGAAGAACTTCGTAATCTAGTTTCTCCTGAAATGGTCTGTATTAATGAGTCCATGTTATCTGGAGATCTAAGACTGAACGACAAAGGAATAGATGATGAGGCGTCCATGGTAGCATTCGAGTTATCTTTTGCAAAGGTCGAGGAGAAGTATCGTGACACCATTCGATTTATTGAACGTGAAAAAATTGAATTACCTTGGGACAAAACTAATAACTTCCATCTCTGTTTTAAGGGTGGTAAAGAAGGCGTAAAATTACAGCTACTTAGCATTGTTCATCAAAACATTACAAATCCAGAAAAGTTGAAACAACTTGTTGATGAAACTGAAAAGAGAATTCAGAGTGAAATTGAAGAAATTTTGCCTTCCATGACAGACACAGAAGCTAAGAGAATCCTCTTGAATAATAAGTACACAGAGGAACAACTAAGAAACATGACCCGTGCCGATCGAAAGATGAATGCGAGAAAGATTTTAAAGCAACAAGGTTATCAACCAGGTGTAGAATATAATCGTGACTCTCTCTTTGATGAAAACAACACCAACGGTGCCATGGATAGTAATGCCATTGACAGCAGAAAGAATGCTAAAGATATTGCTCGTATTAACATCTTTAAAGAAGTACTTCAAGATGTTCTCTTTAGAGAAGCCATGAAACTGGAACATGGCCTAAACTTTTATGAAACTGCTGATGAAGTTATTGATCAACTGGTCGAGAAAAAGCTTGGTCGTTTGAAGGGAGACAAGGAACTCGAGCTTGAAAAGATGGTCGCTACTTCCAAACAGCAAATGTTAAAAGAAATTGAGGAAAGTGCAGAAACAGGAAAGAAAAAACGAGGAAGAAAAAGCAAACAACCAAGTGTCGTAGACGTTGGAAAGCGATATGTTAAAAAGACGACATACATCACCAATGAAGATGGAACTACCACTGAAAAAGTTGAATACATCAAAAATCCAACACAGGTGAGCTATTATGAATCAGTTGTAAAAGGAAAGAGAAGACAAAAACACTTTTTAGGTGCCACTGAAGACGAAGTTTTGTTGGTCGGTCCAAAAGAAAGAGGTAGATTGCAAGCTCTTTCAAGAGAATTCAAAAAGAAGTTCCGTTCTGACAAACAAACAGCTAGCGAAAAGTTAAACCAAGAAAAGAAAAAACGAACAACTGCTATCAAGAATGCCTCGGTGACAACAACCAGAAAGCAACAAACAAAACAAAAGCGACTAAAGAGAGAACAAAAGAAAGAAGAAGAGATGCAAAAGAAGGAAAAGAGAGCTGCCGTCTTGAAGAAGTTGGACTCCAATACTGGAGGTGCCATCATTCTTCCTGATGAATCTTCTTCCTCGTCTAAAAAGAAAGAAAAATCCAAAGACAAGGAGTCTTCGAAAAAGAAAAGTAAATCCTCCAAAGAGGATGCTTTGAAAATTACCATTTCTCCAGCTTCCAACGACAAGAAGAGAAAGGGAGAAGGTTCTTCATCAGCAAGCGCATCTGAAAGTTCAACCAAAAAAACAAAAGTACAATAATAATTGTTAAAACTTTTGCGTTGTTTCAATTTACCTTAAATATAATATAAACTCATCCAACATGGTATGTATCACAGCTTGCAATGATGTTACTGTTGTGTAAATTCCTGATACAAACGTTTGGAGAGCGACTTCCCCACTCGTTTTGTAGAAATATGATCAATGGCTGAAATCAATGGTACATTTTCCAAGGCAGACTCTCCATGTTTCGCAAAAGCAGCACTCAATGATCTATGTGTTGGGAAAATGTTGGTGATACTCTCTGCCACTTGAGCGGAACATCGATCGACAGCTTGGAGTTGTCGTGCAAAGATCTCCTTTTTGGTGACTTCAAAATTCTTCTTACTGAACATTTGGTTGTACTGCGCAACTGTAGGGTTAAAACGTCGTTGACCATCCAGAGGATCTACAACCATGAGTTTGTAAGGTTCAACTCCATTCTCATTAATTAATTCACACAATACTGTGTTAAGATGTTGCAAAAAGGTAATCGAAGTCTCCAACGATGGCGTGTGTTTCACACCAATACCTTCTGCGATCATTTTACACACAACAGTTTCCAAACTTGTACATGATAGTTGATCTTGATCTTTAAATTCTCGTTCTATCAGATAAAAAACATTGGAACATCCACTTTGATTCAATCGAAACTTCTGTTCTCTGTATCTCCCGTCCTTAATACTCGCTGCTAAATCATTAATGTCCTTTCTTTCCACAATAATATCTAAAACGTGTGCATTTGACATGTCCATTGTCGTCGTTTCATTACTATTATTATTATTATTATTGGGCGATCTAACTTGTTGTGCAATCCAAATCATATCTCCCAACCCAAGTTGTGAAACTTCGGCATCAATTCCAGCTCTGCAGAGTTTTTCACAAAATTGTTTTCGATCAGAACCTCTTCCTGTTCGTTCTCTTTGGTCAACAATGAGTTTGATTTTGTAATGTTCTCTTCTTTCACCATGATTGTTGTTGGCACTCTGTGAATGATTGGTTGTTAATTGTTGATGATCACCATTCATGTAATCAGCAAAGTTAATAGGATGGTCATTGGACAGCTCTAAAGCCTCAGATGGTTGTCTTGACGCGATCGTGACAGCAGAGGATGCATGATGACAATTGAAATTTCTTGGAGGAATATACGAAGGTGGTGGCATGATTGTTGTTCCACTATCACCACTCGAACGTCGAGTGTTCTCTCTTTCCTTATTACCATGAGGTTCAACAGCATTTTCATCATCATCATCGAATAGAATTTCTTTTCTCTTTTTTGCTTGATTCTTTTGTGGTCGACGTGCATGTGAATCTGATGTCACTGCATTGGACAAAGACGACGATTCTGGGTTGAATGGAGGTACTGTTTCCAAGTCAAGATTGGACAAAACAAGAGTTTGGCAACTCATACTCACAGGATTACAAGGTTCAGACCATAATTGCTGAGTATTTGATGGTGTGGTTGTTTTGTCTTTTTCACAAGTGGTCCGTTCTAAATCAATTTGAGAGGAATTCTCATTTGATTTCTTCTTTTCATTGATTCTCTTAGTTGTTGACGTGTTAGTAGTAGTGGAAGTACTACTAGTAGGTAATAATTTCTCATCAACGATAAGAGCTTTCAATAAATCTCTTCCAATCTCTTTAACATGTTCCAATCTTCGTTCGTGCACTTGTCCTTGAGCAATGATGCATCCATCACATTCCTTAATTTGAGGTTCATAATCAAATATGACACTCAATAGTTTTTTGCACTGTTGATCAATCTCTCTTGGATATTTACATTGAATCATCAAGACAGGACATCCACTTGTGCTGACACCAAATTTACATTTTTCAATCTTGGATACTTCCTTATTACGATCATCGAGAAAGGTCAATTTCAAAGGGCAATGATCATAATCGTAGAAAATTTCAACTTCATCATTATCTGAAGCATCCTCATCTGAATCATCTGAATCAATACAGAAAATAGGGCATTCTGAAGAAGTAGCAGAGAATGAACGAGAAGTGTGTTGTTGACTATCAGAGAACAACTCTTGACTACTACTGTAGGATGTTGTAGCTCTACTCATTTCATTGTAATTTCTATAATGATTATGATTACTTGATGATGACGGTTGTGACGATTGTGAAAATAGATCCAAATCAAGATCAGCATCAAATTCTTGAGAGGAAAACTCGAGTTGTGAAGAAGAATTTCTTAATTCAGATAACTGTGACGTTTTAGATCTCTTAGAGGGTGCTTTTTTCTTTTTTGTTTTCGATGATTCTTGAGATGCAACTTGTGACGACGAACTTGTTGTTGATGGAACCATTGTTTCCTCTTCTTCCTCGCTGTCGTTATCCTCTTCTTCTGATGAAGAACTGCTTAATTCTTCGTCAGTTTCTTGCCATGAAAATTCTCGACCTTCCAATTCTTTTTCTGCTCTATGAAGTCTTCTTGCGAGTTTTCTTCCTTTTTTTGTCAATGCATATTGTCCTTTTTTTGGACATATCACTAAATCCTTTTGCTTGAGAGTGTTGATTGAGCTCCATGCTGTTTTATGAGAATTATTGGTAGGTATTTCCATTGGTGTTTCTATGAGTGTTTCACAAATTGAAATGATAATCTTTTTCGAAGCAGTTTCACAATTTTTTTCTTTTGAATTTCTATAAATTGAAATCATGATGGCCCATGCACCTGTTTTAAACTTGGGAATATAATTTCGTGTGGATTTCTTTTTTGATGTGATCGTTGTAGAGTAATTGCTTGTCTCTGTTAAGTTGTTTTCATTGGTTGTATCTTGTGTTGTTGGAGGTGTCCCTAAATTAATATTATTATCTTTTAAATATTTATCAATTGTCAGAGCTATGTAAGATCAATAATAATCACCACCATTGAATATAAATTGAAAGATTATATCCAAAAATAGAAATAAATTGTAGGATGGATTTAAATTGTTGTGGTCATGACGACGAGATATTCAAAGATGAATGAACACTCACCAGTTTTGGGACCAATTCCTTTCAGTGTTTTAGCTTCTTCTCCACTGTACAACTTTTTCGGATATTGTTCCAGAGATGAAATGGCTTTCCTCAGTGAATATTGTTGTTTAGGCTTGTTCGAATATCTTTTCAATTCATTTTCGAGGCAACGAATGATTTCTGGGTTCAATATTCGACCAACCGGAACCGAGGTGGACGATGATGATGAGGCAAGTCCTGGAGTTCTTCTATTTGCTGGCATTTTTTCTTTTTAAACATTTGAAAGGCGGCAACCGTTAAAAATATCAAATATTATTTATTGGAGGATGTAACAACATCACACAACTCGTTATAATGAACTCAAAAGTGTTGAAAAAACTATCGTTGTCTTTCAATCAGTAGTAATAAATCATCTCGGACCTGTGTCAATATTTTCCCAAGTAAATTCAACCCCTTCCATTGAGATTTGTCATGTATGCGTTCATCATTATCTGAAAGTCCAATTCCCCATATTGAATCATCAGGATTGGTTTCCACCTTTTTCATTGCCAATATATTCATCATGATCATTGAACAAATTGTCAAAATTCACACAAATTCAGAATGACACATGTGAAGGCAAATGACTTACAAATTCCACATTTCCTAATCGGAATAATTTCTCTCTTAACTCATGATTTTGCGAAAATTTATAATAATTTCCTTCGTAGACGATTTTTTCCTTGTTGCTATCCCACAATTCAGCGTTGAATCCTTTGGCTTTCCTTCCCAATTCTTTTTGTTGGACAGGATCTGTGGTTTGCAATATTTGTTTTGCTGTCTCATCATCTCCAAAGAGTTTTGCTTTGCGATACATCATGTACTGCTCTGAACAATTGAATGTGATGATTTCTGTAGGACTGATCTGAACTTGGAAAGGAGCAATGATCCATTGAGATAACAGATCATCATCACAGAAAAACCAAAATTTTCGAGATTCCATTTTTTATCTGTTGTTGTGTGATTCAAATGAAGTTTGAATTCACATTCATGACGCATTCAGTGGTATTCTATATTATACATAACAGGTATTTCATGAGTGTTCACTTTTCGGTGGCCACATGTACTCCATTCCACGATTCTGGAGGAGGATACTTTAAATATGACTGACATCTCTCAAGCATGATCATTGCAGCATAATCCTCAGGGAATTTCTCCAGGAATCGAGAGAGTTCTCGCTCTGCAACAGCGAATTGTTTCTTAAGATAGTATTCTTCAATGATTGTATTATACATTTCACAGTATTCAACTTTTTTGGGATCAAGAGATTCTTTTCGAGACGACCCTGGAAAACATGTTCTGGCGACAATTTCAAACACCTTAACTCCTTTTGTTTTTCCCTTAACGGCCACAACGTCCAGAATTCTAAATAAGAAATTTGTTTTTACAATTTCATAGCATGCCTCAGAGACCATAATGTTGGTACCATATTGCTTGTTCAGACCTTCTAATCTCGAAGCAAGATTTACATGGTCACCTAAACATGTGTAGGAGTATCTGTATGAGCTACCAATGTTTCCAATCAATACATTTCCACATGAGCAACCAACACGAGTATACAAGGTTGGCTTTCCTTCCTTCTCCAACTGATCATTGAAGGGTGTTAACGCTCCTTGCATTTCATACGCAGCATTACAGCAATGAAAAACATAATTTTCGAAAGTGTTTGGAGCACCAAACAATGCCATAAGAGAATCTCCAATGTATTTATCCAATACTGTGATAGACATGAATATATGTTGTCACTATTGAGACAAACATCAACTTACCGCCCATATTTGAATATACCACGCCTGATGTGATTTCGAAATATTTTCCAAGCATGGAAATTAAGGATCGTGGGTCAGAGCTTTCACATATAGTTGTGAAATTCTTAATATCAGAAAATAGGATACCAATGTGTTTCTGAGAGACTCCAAGCTCGAAATATGCCTGATTCTCTTCAACGACAAATCCTTTCACAATTTCTTTTGGCACATATTTCATAAATGCTTGAACAGCATGAGCCATTTTCTCAAAATGGTGCTGCAACTTTTTAACTTCATGAAAAACGATTGGTTGCTTTTTCCTTGGCTCTGTTTCGTTTAATTGAGCAATCTCTTGCATGTCATAGCCAAGCCTATGGAGAGGAGTTGTTATAGTAATGCTTACTAATACAGCTACAAATAATGATAACACAAGGACAATACCATCCACTATGAGAGTAATATTTCTAAATTTTGTTACAGGATCCATGAAATCATCCACTGACATCATGATTACTATCTTCCAATTCAAATTGTGGGTATCCTCCACTTCGTTCATCAATACTAGATATGTATTGTCACGTACAGTATACTTGTTGACCTCTGTGTTTTTCACACCCTTGAGATTGGAGCCATACTTATTGAAGAGTTGTTTACCAACCAAAGCGACATCTGTAATATTGCTTTCACTCAGAGTTTTCCGTTCAAGCTTGTGAGGATAATCACGATTAAATATATAGAGGATCTCGTTTTCGCTTGAACATGCCACCATTTCTGATGTTAAAGAAGATATTAGATATATTCTTGAGTTAGGACTAATTGTGATAGATCTAAGATAGATATTAATGTCTTCGACTGTTAGATCTGTGGTAATCACATAATCCAGAGTTGTTGAATTTAACATGACAGTATAATATGCTGTTATCCACACAGAATCTTGGTTGGTAGCATACAGCTCGCTAAAAACATTGCTTTTCGCTTGTTTGGATGCTGTCCACCACTCAAAGCTATCCAAAGAAAATTGTTGGATTGGTGTGTCAAACTGCAACGAGTAGCTGAAGTTGTTGCTGGAAATTGGAAAAATTCCATAGTACCAATCGATGAGGGACAAACAAAACTTGATCGAGAAGAGATGAGAACACGTAGATTTACAACAATTTTTGTGTTTTGATTTTTCTCTACGGTGAAGAGGTTCCAGTTGTGTTGAACGATAAGGATCAAGGCTGGAAGCTAAGGGATGTATCGGCATCACAGTGATAGACTTTGTCGTCATATTTTCGGAAGGATTATTATTGTAAATATCATGTCGACACGAAAAAAGGCGGTTGATGGTTGGAGGGCTTTATTGAGGCGCCCTTCTACAAGTTCAAGATGCTCCACATGTGTAACCCAGGATGAGACTCATCTCCTGAATGGCAACACAACCAATTCGAGAACTTGGATGTGAAACTCGCTGCTTCGTCAAGGTTTCTTTGCCATCAAAAAAAATTCAAGCTTGTCGGCTTGTGTGGAAGACCAAACTTGATACTCTTATTGTTGTGGGTTTTGGGGTTGAGTACCATTCTAAAAAGAGATAATTGCGAGAACGTGTGATATTGTTCGTTCTCATTCGTAATCCATTGTCAGGCTCTTAGTAATTGCCTAATTTTTTTACTTTGTATAACGGATCATCATGTCGGAACCGAAAGAACAAATAGATCTTGTTGTATCATCATCATCAGCAACAACAAATCAACAACCACAAAACTCCAATAACCCCAAGGATAAGGTTGTGTTTATTTACGTTCTAGATACAGAACAAAACGATGATGAGAAACAACAGCCAACCGAATTGCCCCAGTCACAGGAATACCAGCGCATATCCTGTTATGCTCACTATCACGTATTGAGCACCCTTTTAATCATGGGATGTAAACAAAGTGATGCAGCAGAAATTTCGGATTTAGTCTTCAAATGGCTTTCCGAAGCAAAAACCAACCTTTTGCTTCAAAAACACAAACAACAGCTTTCCGAACGATCAAAACATTCTTCCGAAGACGACGAGTACTTAGAAGAGATCAACAATCACGTTGATACCAACAATTATTCATCAGATGTAAATATTTATTCTACTTCCGATCGTGATGAATCAACTGCCACCTTCTCCCACCAACACTCCAACAACCATTCATCAAATCATACATCAACCCCAAGAGAGAGTGCTTCTTCTTTTGCCTCTTCGGTTGCAAAGAATTCTACAGTTGCTCTCGACGTTGTGGTGGACAACTCAAGTAGCTCCTCAGAGGGAGACACCAGCGAGTCCGAACGAGAGGACGACAAGGAAAACACGACACTACACGACTTTATTGATTCACCTCCTACAAACTCTGTGGTTGCAGCAAACAAAATTTCACTCCATAATTACGATTGTTCAAGCCACCAAAATCCATCCTCTGGCGATGATCAGAACAACTCAAAAAGGTCGAAAAAGAAAAAGCACCACCGAAAACACAAAGTGTCTTCTCGATCACCCTATGACAGCGGAAATGATATTGATGACTCTGATCACGAAAACAATGATCACAATGATGACATTTCACTTTCACCAAATAATGACAAGTTGATCTCAACATCATCTTCTCAATGCTTCGTACCAAAATTTTCGTCAGACTCGAGTGCTCCTCTCTCAGTCCCCATAAAACATCACCTGTCTGACTCTCAAAACGAAATGAAAAATGGAAGCTTACCCAGTATTAACGTTCTTGGGTCATCTCCAAATAATCCCAATATCATTTCCTCAAAGAAGAGAATTCTCAGATACGACAAACACGTGAAAAGCAAATCGTATCTAATTAGAGAGATCACATATATGCTTAAACAAAATGCTTCCATTACGAAAAATCACAGAAAAAAATATGACAGAGCGTTCGTTGTTTTCCTTACACGAAATCAATTTCAAGAAATTATTAGAATAGCTCTCAATGTTTTTGGGTATAACAGAGCAAATAGAATAAGAGATTTTACGATTGCTTGTTCTATACAAGAAAGAAAAAGACCTCTCATCATTTTGTTTGGAGGAACATCGGGTACTGGAAAAAGTACATTGGCTTCTTTGATTGCCTCCCGTTTAGGAATTACCAAAGTACTTTCGACTGATAACATAAGACACATGTTGAGAGCATTTATTTCTAAAGATGAAGAGCCAGTACTGTTTGCATCAACCTACCATGCAGGAGAAGCATTGCTTACCACTGAAGAAGGAAAAGCACTTAAGGATAAAGTCACTCCAGAGGAGTTGACAGTAGAGGGTTTCAGAAGACAATGCAAACTCGTTATTGAACAATTAGAAAAAATTATTGAGCAATCGATCGAGCGAAATGAGGGTCTCGTTGTGGAGGGAGTGCACTTACTCACTGATTTCATTGTAGATTTGATGAAGAAGCATCCCACATGCATTTTGCCATATATCATTTACATCAGCAACCAACAAAAGCACAAAGAAAGATTTGCCATTAGAGCCAAGTACATGACACTCGAGCCAAGAAACAACAAGTATGTCAAGTACTTCCAAAACATTCGGCAAATCCAAAAATATTTATATGATCGTGCTGAAGTGTATAACGTACCAAAAATTGATAACACCAACATTGACCGTTCTATTGCTGCTATACATGGAAGCGTATTTAAGTCAATGAAAATGGTGTTCGAAGGAAAGAAGTTGTTCAACTTTGAGACTGGAAAATGCTCATCCGTGCATCCCAAGGCACTTTTCGATAAGAAACACCAACATTGGTCTTCAAAGAGAATGTTACAAGCTCTACAAAAGAAACGGGAATCTCTAGAAATTAAGAGCTTCTCAGAGAGTGCTTCATTGACTGCACCTTCTTCATCAAACAATGATTTTGGTGCTGAGGCGACATCAAAGGTTCCATCTTCGTTACAAACAACCACAGCAACAACAACAATAGAGAGTGTGAAATTAAGCTCAAATGTGTCTATTTCAGCTTCTACAAATGATCTACAACAGACAACTCAAGAACCACTAACATCGAGTGTTGATGATGTGATTGTTTCGGCGATGCAACTTAACGAAGTTAGGGAGAAACAGTCAAAAGCACAAACCTCTGTGCTGAAAGAAACTGCAAGCAGTAGTTCGAGTAGCGACGAAGCAGAAGGGGTTGACGATAAAGCTTCAATTAGCAGCAGATCCAGGAGGAATAAGAAAAACTCAGTAATCAAAAAACATGCAGTTACCTTCAATAACGTGGTTGCGAATAGTGAAAGTTCGCTCGTTTCAGACATGAGTGAAAAAGCTGAAACAGAGGCTGTTTCTACTACCAGTACTGTGCAAGCCCAGACCCTATCTCAACAAACATCAGACAGCAAAGATGAATCCTTGTCTCACATGAAGGTCATTTCTGCTCTTAAAAAGAAGAAGAAAAAATTAATGCTTGAAGATGACAATTCACCATTAGCTCATCGTCCTGAAAGCCCAGAAGATCATTGCAGTACTCCCCAACACACGGATACTGAATCCAGAAAATACAATTACTATACAACAAGTGAAGGCGTTTGCAGTTTATCAGAAAGAGACCAAGATAGCGAAATTGGACCTTGGATTGAAATGGACACAAGTTAGATGTCTTCTTCTTGTCAAGAGTGTATAAAAAGAGAATGAGAAAGCAACGATCAAAGATTGCCTTCAAAGCGTTGTGAGAACCGATTGCCTCCAATTAAGTTTTCGGTCGATCAATTAATTGGAAACTTGTTAGACAACAACAAATAAATCCAGCAACAAAAATGGCCAACTCGACCGATGGTGATCGTCCTGTCGGTGCACACCATGAACAAACAAACGAAGAGGACGACAAAAACAACGAAACGTTGAAAAACATAGATAGTAAAAGTACATCCAGAACAACATTGTTACTGGGTGATGATCAACCTCAATATTCAATATCAACATCATCTTCCGATAGCATCGAAAGTACCAATAACAACATCATTACAGAACAACAAGAGCTTGAACAACCATCATCACTCCGTAATGATGTAGTCATATTGCCTGTTATTGCGACATTAAACCCCGCTCAACATGCTGCTGTCGGAGGAAAGCAACCAACATTTTCAACGATGAACAACAACAACAATACTCATCACCAGCGATCCATACACTCAACAACTTCATCATCCTCTTCAAATCATCTCGCTTTGGATGCTGAATGTGATGGAACATCAAGTATTAGTGGTTACTCGATGGCTGCAGGAACAAACAACAACCGAGCTGAGGAAGATATAATTTCTGCGACCAGTGATGAAACAATTCCGAATGGAACACTACTGATAGATGATATTGTTTTTTCATCCATGCAGACAACAACTCCCTCTTCTGTTGTTAATAATAACAATGACCTCCTACTAGATATTCATACTAATTCTACACCACCAGCAAACCCCAACAATGCCTCTTTGCAAGTTGATCAGTCTTATCATTCTTTATCTGGATGCTCTTCTCCCAACACAACAACCATACCTGAAATTAAACCACCACCAACCTTACCATCGATCAAAGTCACTCACGACGACAATAGGGAGTACAAAACTCCAAATACGACAAATATATCACCAGAGAATGACTCCAAAAAATCGAGAATAGTGTCACATCGTCGAGGGAGTAATACTTCAACAGAAATTAGCATAAAATCGAATATATCAGAAGAAAAAAATCGTAAAAGGAAGGAAGCCTTGACAGCTGTTCACAGAAATTCGTACAGCCTGTCTGAGCACATTAAGGCTCCACGTACTGGAGAAGAACATAGAAATCATATGAATCTTTCTCCTAGATCAAAAGACTACGCACTTGTTAGATTTACTGAAGATAATATTGACACAAAAGATGTGAATTTATCTGCCAGACTAACTTCACCCAAAATTTCCGAGTCAGGTGGTAACAACTTTTTATACTCTTCTCCTGCTTTGATCAATTTAGGAACCAATGTGTTACTCTCTGTAAAGAATTCAAATAGTACTGAGAAATCTGACAGTAATCTCAAAAACGATTGCCTCGTCATGAAGCTTCCTGATTTGGTTTTACTTCATATTTTTACCTTTCTAGGAATTCAATATGTCGAGGACAATAATTACAACTTAGTTTGCAAGAGATGGTACATGACTCTTTGCATGGATTGCCTTTGGAGAGAGCGATATTTAACATTTTTTAACTCAAAACATATTCAAAACAACTCCATGTTGTTGTCATATTCTCACGATTTTGATTTTCCTCAACGTAACAAATTCCGTTTCCACTTAATACGTCTCAGAAAAAAGAAATACTTTCTGAAGCAACGAATACTATTACAGAATAGACATGAAAATTCGAGAAAATATCTTTTATTTAATTCACTTGTGCTCAATCCACTAGTGGCCATAGTTTGCTTTATGATTTCTACAATTACATTTGGATTGCAAGAAGATGGAGTTATTGCCAAAAACGATAAGAACACCCTATTATTCGTTTTCTTACCATTTTTCGCTTCTTTTTTATTCTCAATTGTTGGAAATATTTCATTGGGTTTGCGAGAGACCATATTCTGCAAACATGGATTTTATGATGCTTCACACTTTATTCATTTTGTTGCAATTGTTTTAGGGCAGTACACATTCTATTTTTGCGCCTTTCTATTCGGTCTCAAATGGTTTTGGTTCAAGACTTCTCTTTGGACATCATTTTCAATACCTTGTCTATGTGTTTATACATTATTTGTTGGCTTTTGCTTTGCATATATTTTGCATAAATATGTGCGAAGGAGGTTACAATTTGCAGATATGTTAAAAGAACGACCTAGTTTGAAAGTGAATACACCAGATTATTTCTATTTTGCTTACAAGATCCGTGCGCATAAGAGAAGAGAGTTCTATTCAAAAGCAAAATATATTTCGCAGCCATATGACGAAGACTTTATTGAATTTTCAGAAGATGAGGCATCTAATGGTACTGAAACTGAAGAAGATGATGACGGTGACTATGAAGATACCTTTGACGATTCCACTGCTTTCGATGATGAAACAGAGTCAGCATCCAAATGTACAAGAACTGACGAAATGGTCTCAACACCAAAAGCCAGAGAAAGAAAAAAGGAAGCGCCTAAAATTACAGTGTTTCAAGAATTTGAAAATCAAGCTCATAAGCAACACATTACAGACATTTCTACACTTACCATTCTGACATTTATTTTCGTCATATTAGTGATGATTGGAGTACAAATGCTTCTCATACCCTTAAAAATAGATGGCATCATTTCAGAGCCTTGGAGAACTGTATTCACACCATGTTGGCTGATCATGTTCATTTTGATTTGTGGATTACCTGCATGGATTACCTGGGAAATTGCAACAAAAACCAATCTGGATAAGAAAACCATTAGTGTCTCTGTGGATGTGATTAGTGACGAATCTGGTAAAAAATCAAAGATGAAGTATGAGCCAGATCAACAGCAACATTATGCCTTCTTTACCTTTGGAGCATGTCCACTGTGTATCACCATTCCATTATTGATATCCTTAATTGTTTTGGTTTCTACTTTGGATGGAGCTAACATTCCCTTTGTTGTATCTGCTTCACTCTTTGCATTTTGGGAGTTTGTTTTTGGTGGCCTCTATTTAATGATCGTGACTCCCTATACTCTTGCTAGAAACGTTTGGGATGTGTAATTTGGAAAAGCCATGCTTCACTTGATCTCTCTAGTGGGAATTGCAAGAAGGATAAACTTTTCCTTTTTTTCAGGGAAACAATCAAAAAAATTATTGACATGATCTCATCCACCTCGGGACTTAAAAAGAGAACGAACCGATGCTCTTCGTCGTTAGTGAGTTCCTCGGATCTTTCAGAATTGGATCCGCCCAAAAAGTTAAAATCAAATGATTGGTTTGAATTGAATGACTACGATCCACACAGAGAGGGAGATCATCATCTCGCATCATCATTTCAAAATCTCGAATGGATGGATGACCTTGTGTGTTCTCACATTCTTCAATTTCTCTCTCCGAGACTAATTTTTCTACAGTATCGACGAGTGTGTAAACAATGGCTTGCATTTTCCCGACGATTGAAATATTCTTTTAGAAATATTGAGAATGAAGAAGAATTTAATTTCCTTCGAAAATTCCTCAAGATGGGATATCAAATCAAGGATTTAGAAGTGTCACACATAACCACGATCGAGATGGAAGAATGGGATGACTTGTCGCGATCATTGATGAAACATGCAAGACTGACTTGCTTGAAAATCACAAAATGTAAAATAATAGATGCATGCATCCACAAAATATTCTCTCTTCAGAATACCACTCAACAACTCACACAACTTGATTTGCAAGGAAATTCAATTTCGAATGAAGGAGCTCAAACAATATCTCGTTGTCAACATTTAAACAAATTGACCTATTTAAATATTTCAATGAACTGCATGATTGGAGATGAAGGGATTCATGAATTGACGACAAGTGGAATGTTAGAAAATTTACAAAGTTTTATTTTACAAAGAACGAACTGCAGTGTTCGTGGTGTGAAAAGCGTCGCATTACTGAACAATTTGACACATCTAGATATGTCCAAAAACTCAATCTCTGCAGAAGGTGTTTCAAATTTAGTGCAAAATGTAGTATTGTGTCTAAATTTGAGAGTTCTGAAAATGTGCCATTGTGGTTTACGATCGGCAGGCATCAATTCACTCGTTTCTGCAGAGTTTCATTTCACAAATTTAAGGCATCTCGATTTGGAATGGAATCGACTGGAAGATGAAGGAATTCAAACACTTTCCTCGAGCCCTTTGTTGAAACAAGTGAGATACTTAAATTTAAAGTTAAATGGACTTAGTGATAAAGGAGCTCAATGCATAGCAGACAGCAGGTATGTCATCTCTCTGACGGCTTTAAATTTGGGACAAAACAGAATTTCGAATGTTGGTGCTTTGGCTTTGTTAAGGAGCGAGGTGCTTCGGCCCAGGCTTCAAATGTTAAACTTGGAATTGAATAACATTAATGAAAACAAGAAAGTCGAGAACCAATTAAAGCAAGAACCAAATTACGATGAGGAATTATGTGACCGAATGAATTCGAGGGTGGAAGAGCACCTCACGGTGTGCTTACTCAAAATAAAAGTTGATTTTTTCTTTTGGGCTGGTTTTTAATGCTCTGGATCGCCCTCTCTGTTTATTCATTGAAAGCTCTGTTAATATATTCCACATGTCCACATTCTTCAAATCCAAATTTTCGATGATAAATTTCTTTCGCTGATCCAACAGCTGTCAAAGTCACACAATTCATCTCATACTCGAAAAACGCTCTTTCCATCATAATTTTTGTCATGTATTGTGCTAATCCTTGTTGTCGAAATTGAGGACGAACAGTCACATCATGCAAGAAGGCACTTTTCGCCTTTCTACCATAAAACATGGCACAACACGAAACTGGAGCATTACATGAAGAAATTTCACTCTTCGCATGGACAATAAATCGTTCCACAAATTTTTCATTTTCTTCACCATTTTGGTTACGTGAAGGAATGACGAATTTCGCAGTCTGATAAAATTTAACATCTTTCATATTGGGTTCATCGCCGTACGCAATTTTGTGAGTTTCACTGTACAGCTTGACATTGTTCAAATAGCTTTTGGAAGACTTGTCCAAAAATTCGACATGTGAAACAATGGAAGGAATTGAAATTTCACGACTTGAGCCTAACAATGAGTGGCAATACATGTCCTTGGTGACATACATGGCCGTTGTCACTTCAACATGTCGAGGTTGTGTCTTGTTGATTTCATTAATTTTCTCTTTCAATTTTGTGTACAATGAATTGTTTTCAGGAATGGGAATTAAAAAAGAAAATTTAAAATTGCCCATAAAAGGAATAGATTTTTCTTGAATTATTGAAAGAGCCTTCTTCAATAATTCTTCTTGTTCCTTCTCACCATCCTCATCATCATTTAAAAACAAGGAAATCATAATTAAATTTTTCCACATTTGATGTGAATTCATTGTCTTGTGACTCACAATTGTGAATTCTTTCCAAAACAATTGCTCATCATCCTCTTGAAGAGTACTTCTCCGATCGGAGGAATTAAGAGTGGAACCAAATGAGAGGATACACTCACGAGAAACTTGTTGAACCATATTCGTATTCGGAGAGAGTTCTGGTTCAAATTTGTGAATCGTGTCTTCGTTTTGCTCCTTTCCGAAACTAGTGACAAACATGTGAATTGCATCTTGCATGGTTCGAGCAAGATAAAAATCTTTGGTGTTTGGAGACATTTTTTTTCGAGTTCAATCCGAGTTCTTTGAGACTTTTGTAACATCCTCATCATGATGGGTATCATTGTTAATATAGTATTGTAGTATTGTTGTTGTTTATGTACATAGTGATGTGACATTGGCTAAAGAATGATCGCAGAGCTCTTTTGAGTTAAGGTTGTGACAAGATGAGTAATCACCTCGTTCCAATCAATGCATGGGAAAATAAAGCTAAGGGGTAAGGGTGATGATCTGAAATGCACAATTAAATTCCAGAACAGAACTGGATGTTGCCAAACTAATGCAGAGTCAGCTTTGACATCATGCGAAACTAGATTGTCAATTTCTTTCCTTAATACAAGAGGAGAGAGATATTCAACACTTGTGATTAATTGAGTTGTAGTTTGTTGTTCTTCTGTTGAAGCGCTGTCAAGTGTAAAGTAGACTTCAAATCGAGGAACAAAAGGTTTCTTACACATGGAACATTGTGTGGTGTAAGTTTGTGCACTCTTTAAATTCCAACCTGTTCTAATTTCGTTCTCATTACACATGTGATGGCAATGATAACATTCAGAGTGAGTATTGAATGAAAATCTGTTGAAATAATTGCTATTACTCAGCTCGTCGAATAACATGTTTGATATTCCCAGTTTGGAATTGTTGCTACTGCTACTGATGAATGGCACATATCTTGGAGATGTGTCTGTGGAGGAAGAGTTTGGCATTCCATGTCCTGAAAGGGATGACAGTGTGGTAATACATGCTTTCCATGAGAGGTTAATTTCGTTGTCTGACTTGATTTCTGACTCTGAAACTAGTAATTGAGAATATTCTCGTTTCGTGAACAAACCATGATCGAAAGAGGTTGGAAATCGAGAGTAAATGTATGGCTCGGTGGTGGCAGGTAAGTTGCTTAAATCTGGGGACAGACTCATCAAGGTTTTCGAGATAGAATAATTTTTGGTAATAAAGTGAAGAGGTGTCTTTTTGAATCGAAATGCATCCTTATTGTTCTTTTCAATAATGTGTTCATCAAATAGCAATACTTCATGCTGATTGGTTTTTTCCAGACGATCTAGTAAAAATCTTTCGAAGGACTGTGTCTGTAAGAAGATGGTCATAAAGGGCTGAGCTTGTTCTGGAAGAAAAGCAATAAAAGATTTTTTTCTGAAGTGTGCTTCCAAATCCAAGTTGATCAAGTATTCCTTATCTGTATCGTCAACGTCTTTAAAATAGGTTCTATATCTACCGAAGAGATTGACGAAAAAATTAAAAAACGCAAGGCGTACCTCCTTAGTAGGGAACACATAACTCTCTCCTGTAATAGGATCAATATCATCTGGCAATGGAGCCATGGAATATGCTAAATCATAGAAATGTCTCTTCTCGACACTTCGGGATGAGTCAACTCTGCATTTTACAATATCTGACAAGGTTTTTTTCAGTTTAGATTTTTGTTTCTCTGGAAGGTTGGGTATAGATTGTTGCTTGTTGCAAACTATGAGATTATTATCAAGATCAATTTGAAATACGTCCGCTGGTATCTCAATATTAGTAATGGATTGTCGTTGTATACCCATAATGAATGGAACAGGAGCAAATAAGAATTCAGCACACTTGGCTGGGAGCAAAGGAATATAAATGTGATGCCACTTAAAGGGAAATAAAAGTTGACAAATAATCTCGGCAACAGGTGTTAAAATACCAACGTGCTCCGAAATGAATAAAATTTTTCGTTCTTGCAAAATCAAGTCAAATAGAATTAATATATTGTCCAGTGACAAAACGCTAAATAATAGTTCAAAATCAAGTTCTGCTAACGGCAGATCATTGGGTGGTGGTCGTGTAATATAAATTTCTTTGTCTCCAATGCTGTAATGTACTTGTACCTTTCCCTGAGATGGAAGTGGCACTTCTGACACAAAATTGCTGATAAATCTTTCAATTGGAATCTTGGATGGAGTAATACTAATACGGTACATTTGGGTTAAAAAGAATTTAAATACATTGTAAAATGGATAGTGAGATATGATACAAATGCTCTTGCTCATGTAAATGGTTGAGGATTTTCGTTCTGTTTTGATTGGATCAAAAACAACAGAGATTAAATCTTCATCAACTTGAGCTTTTCGAGAAGGAAGCATCAAATCATCTAAATTATATTCCTCCCATACATTCAAGCAAGCACCATACGTCTTGTTACCATCAGACCCTGTCAATACAAATGTAAAGAACGATGGTAATGTGCATTCATCAACCGAAATGCTAATTTCTCCACTCGGGAAGCAAAATAACGGAATTTCATTGGATAATGGATAATTAGGAAAATCTTCCTTCGGATATCGATCCAGTATGATGGGTTTCTTCACCTTATCCGTAAACAATATTTGATTAGAATTAAATTCATTTGTACTTGTACTTGTTGTTACATCCTCCAAATCATGATTTTCTCCATCTTGCTCTCCATCCTTCTCATCTTCAGTCTTGAGAGGACCATCTCTGAATAGGATCCTCTTTTCATCACCACCCATCATCGGAACAGTCGTAGTAGTAGTAGTGGCAGTGCTGGTGCTGGTGCTGGTTGTAATTAAGTGGTCTCTCGGATCCAAATTCGTACCCACAACGGCCAAGTAGTCCACCAGCCGTGTCGTCATTTTTTTTTCTTTTGTTGTTGTGTTGTCCAGAGTTGGAAACTCACCAAGAGTTTTATGGAATCCGATTGTCATCGATCAACACCTCGTTGTCATATGACAACGGCTAGTTTGTGATTTACAATTTTGTGAGGTTTTATAAGAGGAAGAGGTTGTTTCAATCAACCTCGAAAATATACTCTGAGATCGTACATGGTTAAAGGTACGAATTACACACTAAGGAAAAGAGGAAGAGCTCTTAACACGACACATGCACAATGAACTTTTAATTCTCAAACAGATCTCTCTTGGTTCCAAGTTCCAAAAAATGTCTTCTGGAGAACACTCGCTGGTGGCCTTTATTCAAAGCCTTTGGAATGATCCAACTTTGAGTGATTTTGAGATTCGCATCCAATGCAAACAACAAACAAGTAGCAAGTGCTACTGCTCATTGGTTTTCAAAAAAGAAGAGAACGATGATCATTGTCCTTCCACTGCTTTTCATGTTCATCAGTTAGTGTTGCAGCAATCTCCGATATTTGCAAAATATTTTCGGTGCGATGAATATCACAACAAGTTTTACATATTTCAATGTGATGGATGTGATGAAATGGAACGATTGATGGCAAGTGTTGAATTTGCTTTCAAATTAGTATATGGCTATTCGTTTACAGAGTTATTGAATCGTTTTTGCAGTAGTGTGGTGGCTGTGGAAAAAGTGATTGACCTTTTGATGGAATTCCAGTTTTATCATGTTTTGAGAGATGTGGTGAATGATCTCAAGCAAGAGATGAATTCAACAGTAGAGAGTGCACCAGAAACAGTATCTTTAATATCAACACGATGGATGACATTGTGGAGAACATTCTTTAGACTGAAATTAAAATATTGCAACCATCAGCAAGAAATAGATCAATTCCTTCAAAGCATCATGGCACATTGGTCATGTGTTTTAAATGTTGCTCTCAATGAAGAACCTGGAAACTCATTATGCGAACATAGGTTGGATAGCCTTGTGAAAGAATTATCATGTGAAGAGCTTGAAGCTTTTTTGAATCAAATTCCTTTTGATATGTGGAACACAGTGAAGATTACTGATCTTCTCTTGGCTTGGATGAAAAGTGACATTCCCAATCGAGCTTCAAAAGTTGGACATGTGTTAAACGCCATCAAGCATAAAATGCAGTGCTTCATTTTCTCAAAAGATCATCCACCAGTACCAACCATCTCAGGATTTGCAAACAAGCTCAACCCAAAGGTTCCACCTCCTCCTCCTACTCTGTCACGTTCATTTCAACAACAGCCGCAAAGATTCCCTCAAAGCGTGATCGATATTATTAACCCACCTCATTCGAAACATCCTCTCTTAATGGAGGAGAATTCTGATGATGACGATTGGGACGATGATTGGTAATTTGAATCAAGCATTGAGGTCACGCCAGCAGTAAATTATTATAAAACCTTTTACATATAACTCTTAGGTTGAATTTATTTGCATTTCTGAATTCTATTGTGTTTCAATTAACAAAGACTCTGATCGCGCGTCTTAAGGGAGATCAACCGAATTGAAAGTAAGCACTGATCAGTGCTTAACAAGATCAGTGCTTTGTTCCGTTTGTTGTTTTTGTTCGCCTTTAAATCAACACTTTGAAAGTAAAAAATAAGACACGAATGCCTGCATCGGATAATGTGTTGGGCGATTCGGAATCCACCGATTCTCAGTATGATCTTCCACCACCAGTGGTGATTGATTTTGGAAGTGGGGTCTTTAAGGCTGGATTAGCTGGAGAGGAAATACCTTCGTGTTGCTTTCAGAATGTTGTTGGATTGCCTCATCTTGAAGATGAACGAGAAATTGTGGAGAGATACCGAAAGCTTCATATGAAACGACTTCGTCGTTTGGGAAAGACGTCCATAATAACGGAAGAGGCAAAAGAAGAAGGAGAGCAAGAAAAAACCAAACAACTCACCGAAGATGATGATTACCTTGATGAAGAATATATTGTGGGTGATAAGGCTCTTGAATCCAGACATTCTCATACACTCTTCTATCCGATGGAGAAGGGTCGTGTGGTGGATTGGGAGCAAATGGAATTCCTTATTGAATATGCCTTGTTGGACGTACTGGATGTGGAGCTTCAGGAAACGCTCATTCTGATCACTGAAAATCCCATGATGACGAAATCCGAGAAGGAAAAACTTGCCGAGTGTTTGTTTGAGGTGTTTGAAATTGCTGGCTTGTCCTTCATGCCTCAACCTCTTCTTTCATTGTATAGTGTTGGAAAAACAACGGGATTGGTGATTGATTCTGGTGATTGCATCACTCATACTGTGCCAGTCTATGAGGGATATATTATTGATTATGCTATGCGTCATTTAGATTTCGGAGGAAGAGATGTTACTCATTACTTACAGCGATTATTGTATGGAAAGGGATATCGATTTGCATCCTCTTCAGAACATCATTTCGTAAGGGAAATTAAGGAGAGTATGGCCTATGTGGCCACGGATTACGAAAAGGAATTGAAAAAGCCAATTACGAGTCTGCAACAAAATTATGAATTACCAGATGGCCAAATCATCAAGCTTGATGAGGAATTATTCTCTTGTACTGAACTCTTGTTTAATCCATATCTTGTTGGAAAGGAAGCTCCGGGATTGGCTGATCTTGTGTTTGACACTTTTAAGAGTTGTCCTATTGATGTCAGAAAAGAATACTATTCCTCAATCATATTGAGTGGAGGAAATACACTGCTAAAAGGCTTCCAAGAACGAACCAAGATTGAATTGGAGAATAATGAAAAAAGTTTTAAGCCATTCAGGGTGATTGCAGATCCTATGAGACAATTTGGTGCCTGGATGGGTGGTTCGGTGATTGCAAGCTTACCCTCCTTTGAAAACGTTGTGGTGACCTTTGAGGATTGGGATGATTATGGTACCAAGAGTCTCTACCTCAAAGATAAGAGTTTTGCTATTCATTAGTTCAACTTGCAAGAAGTTTGATGACCATTCAAACAAGTTTCGCATTTGAAATGATAAATAACACAGTGTTTTATTCTGAAAGGTTTTTGCACCAGTGGTGACATTTTACAGTATGCAACAACAACAACAACCTACCACCACTGCATCCATATGACTCTTAAAGGTGAATGGTTGTGACTCGTTTTAATTATTTGGTGTTTTGGGAATATCTAAACCGAAATGAACGAATATAATTTTCTTCATTTCTTCCATCGTCTTGTTCGCTTCTTCAAGTTTCTTCTTATAGATGGCAACCTCTTCACGAAGAGCGTTTTGAGACTTCTTTGTCTGTTCATGTTGAGATCTCTCAGTTTGCAACTGATATTGAATCGTTTGAATGGTAATCTTTAAAATCTTGTTGTCAAGGCTCATATTCTGACTGTCTTCATCGGATACAAGATCACTCACAGCATTCTTTTTACGTCCAACCCTTGAATCATTCGTTCGTGACAATTGTTCATACTTTTCAACATGTTCTTGAATACGTGATGATCGTGTCAGAGTTCCTGTTCGAGTGAGTGGAGTATTCGAAAGTCCTCCTTGTCCAATCATGACATGGGTTGAAATTGTTGGTTTTCCATAATTGGAGGAATTTGAGGAATTGCTTGGAGAGTGTGACTCTTCATCTGTATCAAAATCAGAATCCACAAACGCAATGTCCATCGAATTCTTCAAGTTTTGAAGTTGAAGTTCCAAATGTTTGTCCTTCATGTTATTGTTGTCATGACTATTATTCTGAGCATCAAGTAGTGTTGATTGTTGTTCTTGTTGTTGGGGTTTGTTAGAAGCTTGTTGTTCTTTCAACACACGATTTTCTTCTTGCAATTTTGCAACCAATTCTTCCAATTTTGATGTTGTTGTTGACACATTGGTGGTTGGTGGAATCTCTGAATTTGGTTGTGAACTTGTAGTCGTGGTGGAAGTTTGTTGTTTGACGCTGAGATCCATCGAAGAGGTTGTTGCCACACCTTCCAGTACTTTCTTTTCATTGACATCTCCACTCGAATTGGTGGAAGGTTCTTGACGATCGTTGTTGTCGTCCTCGTGGTCGTTATTAGAAATAGCTGTGGTTATAGTATTGATAGTCGTAGTCGTATCAGCAGCAATTGTTGTTGTTGCATCATTTGTTTCAACAGATTCTTCTTCTTCTTGATTGTCATTTTGATCGGTCATTGACATACGAATAGGAACACTTTGAGATCTTCTTTTAGTGGGAACAGAATCTAGAGTGTGTAAATTCTTGAAAATTCTCAAATCTTCCAATTCTTTCAAAAGTTCACTATTTTGAACCGATAGTTCAGTATTTGTGTTTTGAAGTTGTTCATTCTTGGACGTCACATCAATTAATTTGTTCTTCAAATTGTCTAACTCTTTGGCCATCGTGTCAATATTGTTGCGAAGAGTATTGTTCTCTTCAATAAATTGCTTGTTTTGACCTTCCACATATTCCAATTTTAATTTCCATTGATCCAATGGATCGATTGCCATTTTTGGTTTTGTTTCTTCTGTTTTAGCAATGGGTAGTTTTGGAACTTTAAAAGCTCCAGCGTTGTTGGAAGGATTCTGAACAATATCCTCGTCGTAGTCATCCAATACTTGAGCATTGCTTGCAGTTGATTCAGTTTCACTAGAGGTATCTTCTTCAAAGGAAGAATCTGCAGCGACAATTGCAGGAATTGCCTTGTGGAAACTTGAATTAATGATCAAGTTGTGAGAAGAGACAGAAAGTGGTTGTTGCTTGGATTTGGGGAATTTGTGTTCAATTTCTTGATAAAACAAATCAGTTTCAACGTATTGCATTTTCCTTGTCACATCACTCAAATCAACAATTTCTGGTTGATCTAAAATTTGTGAATCTCCAAAGAATGCACTCAAGGATTCAATATCATTTCTCAAACACATTAGAATAACTTCGTCACACTCCTTTGTCCTTTCAATCATTTGCTTAAAGACAATTTCACCTTTTTGTAAACGGTCACACGCGTCTTTCAATCTTGTTTTTGTCTTGACCATTTCCGTTTCATAATCTAACACTTGTTTCTGCTTCTTTTCATAGATATCTGGTTGTTCTTTCATTCTACTGAGGATCATTTTGAGAGTTTGATACTTGTCATATTCCTTATCAAACGTCTTCTTGATCGTCTCAAAATCTTGTTTCATTTTGATAAATCTATTTTGAATATTAATCTTTTCTTGAATGAATTCTGCAATTTTGTTAAACTTTTCAATAGCAAGTTGTCGGGCTTGAATCTCTGTCTCTTCTACTTCTCTAGCACGAGCTGTTTCACTTCCATGATATTCCTTGACATTCATTTTAGCTTTGGTGTGTTTTTCAGTCACTGTTGAATGCATTCATTGTGAAAAAGAGGAATTCATTGATTTCAACAAGAACTTACTTTGTTTGACAAGTTTTTGAATTTCAGTATTCTTCTTGTCCACAATGTTATTGTACCATTCATTTCGAACATCATCAGAGTCGAAAATTACTTTAAATTCTCCACCACTAATGTAATCACGACATTTAATGGCTGTAGAAATTGATCACAAAACGGTACATGGATAAGCATTTTGAGATGTCATGATGGTCATTAAAAATCATTTTCAAATGCAATTTGAGTATTCAAATGTCAATTATTGACATGCCTCACAAGTTAAAAAACTTACCACAAGGATCCTTTGGATCAAGAATAAAATCACTCATTGACAAGTAAAATGGCTGAACAATGAATGGAGCTGTTAACTCTTTCTGCCCAAGGATTTCATCAGTAGATGCAAAATCAATCGTGTCTCGTGGGGTCTTTAAAAACACACTATAGTTCGATCGATCAGTGGCCATTGCTGTTGCAGAAGCACTTGGCAGTGTGACAAATGCAGAATCGTCTCCATTTTTGTTTTCGTTTTTCACTCCCTTAATGATTAACAAGTAATAATCATTGAATAAATAACTTTCGAATTGAATTGGTTCTGTTTGTGGAGTATCTAAATTGACTGCTTTTTCAAGCCATTGAAGTTTCATTGGTGATACTTTTTCTCGAATTACATTCACCAATACTTCACTACAAAAGTGTACATCAGATATATAACGTTCATGTGTATATGTACATCAGACACCACCACACACACGTGTCGTGTGAAAACGTTCACATGTTCGTCACACACACACATTTTGTGTTAAAATATAATTATCGACACTTACTTGACAAAATGTCTATGAGGTTTGATAATGGAATTTTTCACCTGTTCGATCGAGTTAAAGTTGTGTTTCATGATCAAGTTTTCAACTGGTGAGTTTTTCATGGCATTCACAAGTTGCAAACTCAATACAGTCAATCTTGATTTAATATCAAGAACTCTAGTAAAGGCAATTTTTTGCCTTCTCATTTCATTCAAATGATTTGCCACTTGAATCATTGTTCTGTGAGCTGCTGAAAGAGGACCATGATCAGGATGTCCCTTTGGTGTGTATTTGAGTAATTCTCTCAACAACAATTGATATTTAGGAATACGTTGAACTGGTAAAATTAAAAAGGAAGCAATGTCTAATCCTCTGCATTCTTCTCTTGTTTCTTTACATTTCTGTATGTGTGTGAATAATGATTCAAAAGAGAAATGTTAATAGGTCATGATGTGTTAAAAAACATGACATCAAATTCGGTAAAATCAGAAAAGAGAGTGAAATGTTTTGATAATAGGTCACGTCAACAAAATACTCACGTTCAAATACAAATTCAATTGTTGGTTCTTTTTTCTTCTGTCTTTTAACATTTCTGTTGCTTGACTAAAGTTATTGATATAATCTGTATAAAGTCTCATAAATGGAGCCATTTCTGCAAAAGCTCCTCCAAATGATTTGATTTGACCTGGAGTAGAACTTCCACTGTGGTTGTTTCTCGAAGTTCCTCCAGCACCAGTAGAAGAACCTTGTTCTGTTTGAAGTTCCATAATTGCAGGCAATTTGCTAAAAGTCAATTTCTTGATATATGCTTTCATGGTACCAGTTTTCTTTTTATCTTTCTTCTTTTTTTTAGAAGTACTTGTTGGAGCAGTTATGGATGGAGTTGTTGTCTCTGTACTAAATGATTCGTTTGACATGGAAGAAGCTGAGGATCCAGTTCCATGTAAATTTCTATCAGTCACTGTATTTAAAAGTGCATTAGCATTTAAATTTGGAGTGTTCGATGGATGACTAGCAGCAGTGGTTCCATGTGAAGAAATGTCAGCAGTTATGGTGTCACGTCTTGGAGAAGTCACACCAAGAGAAGGACTTGTGATACTACGAAGAGATTTTATCCATTGGTCAACCATTTCATTCAGTCTATTTTCACATCTCGTTTGATGCTCTTGTGCCAAAAGTAATCGAGAATAGAGTTTTTCATTCAAATTATAAATCATTTCAACATTTACAAAAATACCATCAATATTTTCACGTGCTTCAATTCCCTTCTTTACAATTGGATTATAATAAACGTCCATGATGGTCTTTAAATCAGAGACGTAGGATTTTTCTGTGGAGATTATTTCATTAATGACGTGCTTGCGTTTTTTAGACATGTTGAATAATTCTATGAGTGTGTTGACATTTGTCATTCACAACATTTGAGTTGTACATTTTCAATTAATATAAATCATTTGATGTACATTTTCAGTCATGGATATGAAACATGAATATTTGATGTACATTTTCAATCATACATATAATTGATAAAATCATTGTGAAAAAGAAGAAGAACATGTCTCAAATTCCACACATCATTCATCAATCAAAAACCTACTTTTCAAATTCTTTCGAACCGTTCTCTTAAAAAAGTATTTCTGTAGAGTTTCCATCGCTTGTTTCGCACGTTCATTGTGTGCAATGAATTCCTCCAATTTCTTGACCGTATTTTCCAAGTCCTTTTGAATCTGTCTTGGTGTAGAGATTTGAATCACCACTTGATTTGTTTTCCATGACATGGATGTGTCGTTATTATTAGAATCATCTGTTTCCACACGGTCCAACAGAATCATGTCACTACTCTCTTCTGGAATGGAATTTTCCATCATTGCGATGGTTGGAATATTGTCATCAAATTCTCCCAATAATTCACAACAAGAATTCTGTGGAATGGAACCATTATCCAAACTCGAACTTGTGTAAGAAGAAGTGTGAGAATTAAAATGATGATGAGAATGTTGTTGAAGATTGTTAGTGGTTAATAATAATGGTGAGGAAGAAGTGTCGAGACGTGATGATGGAGGATTGAGAGGATTCGGATTCGGAGGAGAATGGTTTGGTTGTTCTTGTTGTTGAAAGGATTTATTGAGAGAGGTGTTGGTTTGTTGGTTGTGTTGTTGGGAAGAAGAGGGAGAGAGCTCTGGGAAGAGTTCGTTGAGTCCTGGACGTTTTTGTGTCATTTTTTTTTGATCAAAAAAGTGACACCTGAAGGATGATGTGTGAAATTTTTGTTTGGATGAACATGAAAGGGATGGAAAGAATGTCTTGATCCTTAAGTGTCGTTCTTGAAACTTAAGGAATAATAATTATTTATTTAAATTTTTATTTTCAAAATTCATTTCTTGAATTCATTTTCATGTTAAAAAAAATCGAAAAATCAATTTTGAGAATTTAGAGAAACAAGTGAAATGTACAAATCTAAAGAGTTTTCATTGAATTAGAATTGTAAAAGAGGAAATTCTACCTTGAAAATTGCTTGAACATTCATTTGAAAAGGATCCATTAAAATGTCATTTGTCATTAAAAAAAATATATTAACCCATCTCCAACCCATCCACCACTTATTTGTGCTGGTGGTCTTCGTTCACTCTTTGTTCCCTCGATCGAGTAGTAATAATATTTCTTCTCATTCAACCACAACAACCACAAGATTTTTTCCTAAAAAAGACTTTCCAATGTCTCTTTCCAACAACAACAACAACAACAACAATAACAGGACTAGTAATAACAGCACCACCACCACCACCAACAGCATCACCACAAAAGACAACTCTTCTCTGACAACATCCTACAATCCTTCTTCTTCTTCTCTTCATGAATATTCCAATCATAATGACAATGACAACACTTGTCAAATCTTGATGACTCAAAGTTCTTGTCGGCATCATCCATGTCATCTTCCTTTCAATGAGAACAAGGATACTCCCATAATGATGTCATCATCGATGACTCCTCTTTCTTCTCGTCATTCTCATCACACTTTTGAAAACAAATTAATTTCAATGAATCATCAAATTGAAACCTTTTCTTCAAATCATGTGTTTCGAGATAATGATTCATTAAATCCATCTCGAGATGCCATGAATCACTTGAATACAACAACAACAACAACAACAAATTTCAATGACACACAAGAATCATCCGATATGGTCAGCATTACAGTGACCACCACTTCTTCGAATCGAAGAAATACGACAACTTCTCCTCTCACTCCTTCTTCGTTATGTACCACTCCAAATAGTTCGAGATGTAACACTCCACACGTGATGACGAATCAACAACAACAAGATTCTTGTTCGATGGAAGGTTGTAGTAGTAATAGCTCGATGGATGAGAATGTGATATTTAAATATAATGATGAAAATGGTGATGAAATGACGTGTGGAGAGATTAATGTTCATTCGATCTCACAACGACAGGAACCAACGAGTAGTGTTGTGACAAGTACTCTCAACAATTCGCCTCTTTCTCCTCCTTCAATCCATGGAATGTTGACAATTCAAAAACCAGAGAAAGAGGATGATGATGGAATATATCAACCAAATTTGATCATAAATTCACATCTTTCACTCTCTTCGATGCGTGTGGTGAGGAATAGAGAAGAAATTTTGTCACCTTGTGTTGGAAAAAGATTTCACACCTTGTCTTCAGCAGATTCAAACAAAGATGACGAAGAAGAAGAACAGGTTGATTTGATTGGATCAAGAGACAAGAAAGAATTGGAGAGTGTGGATGTGAAAAAACGAGCAAGTGATGTTGATAAGGCATCACCATCGTTAATCAATGTCACAGTGACAAATTCGGAAGAGGTTGTTGATGATGCATCAACTTGTAACGCAATGGACAACAAGGCGTCGTCGTCTTCTTTAAAGAATCTTGTACAAAAGAGAGTATCGATTTGTGAACCATTACATGAAGAACCGCCATTAGAATCGAATTGGAGACGTGAATCCATGAGTGAAAAGAGGGACACTGTGAAAAATGACTCTCATCTCGAAAATCTTGCAATTCCTTCGGCAACCTCAGAAGCAACGAATAGCAATGGAAAACCATTTAAATTCTTACAAAAGAGACCATCTTTTATTAATCCTCAACTTGTGAATATTCTGTTTGCATCTCTTTTGTCACTTCAAGATTTGAAACCATCGGAAAATCAAGTGGCTGGTCATGGACAAAAAGATGGTGAAGAACATTTAGTGGTTCGTCATTTGAGAGACAAAATTTACAAACCAATCAACCCCAAGTCGAAAAGAGCGTTTGATGAAGTGAAATTTTATGAAACTCAAGCTCCAAAAATTCCACTTTTGGAACCCTATTTACCTAAATACTATGGAGTGCAGACCGTTCAAGAAAATGATCAACAATTTCTCGTTTTAGAAGATTTAACAGCTCCGTTTATAAATCCAAGTTTATTGGATATTCGAATGGGAAGAAGAGTGTATGGTGACGATGCAAGTCCAGAGAAAATCAAAATGTTTGATGAAAAATATATCTATCAGAAAGAACTAGGTTTTAGTTTCAGCGGAATGAAGGTTTATAACACCACTCCTAATTTTGCAAGTATCAACACTAATCCTGACATTACGCACAAGGATGGTAAATACAAAGTGTACAATAGATATTGGGGAAGAAATTGTAAACCTGGAGAAGAATCAGTGAAAGCATTGGAAGACTTTTTCTTTGATACTAGCTATGACAATGCTGAACAAGTTGGACTCAAATCCATGACGAGCATGTTGAGTCAATTGAGGCATTTAGAGGAACTTTTTAAAACACATCAGCTCATCTACAGGGTTTATTCGAGTTCTCTCTTTTTGGTGTTTGATGACAATAAGGCCATTGTGCGAATGATTGATTTTGCACACGTTCACGAGAATAAGGAACCCTGCGTTGACGAGAACTACTTGTACGGTCTCAGCATGCTAATTTATTATTTTGAGCAAGTTCTAAAGAGACGTTCGCCGAACACAACCAGTTGTAGTTGTACAAATGGGGGAGCAGTTAGTGAATCGAATAATACTCAACATACATCGACAACGATTTGAGTTGCTTTGCTCAATTGACTGAAGCAATAAAATCTAAGTAAAATTCACATAGGGCATGGTTTTTCAAACTCGGGAAAACAGGTCGTTCAAATATAAATCATTCATCACTCTCGTCATCTCGTTTCAGAATCTCATCGCGAAAAAGATCTTCGTCTGGCAGTTCTGATTCAGTTTGGTTATTTTCTTGCAGTTCTTTGTGGATATTTTCCAACGCAGAGAGCTGAGATGCCATCAGTATCGAATCAGATTGGCTGTTAAATGAAGGATCATGTGGAGGTTGAGCCATATGTTCTTGTTGTTGAATTTCATATTCGATTAAGGTCTTGATGTGACGTCGTTTCTCAGGAATATCTTCAGCTCTGAAAAAATCAATATTGTCAATTGGAAGAGAATCAATTTCGTGTCGAATCATCATTTCAATGTAATGGATCATAAAAACTCCACAATCGCAGTGGTTGTCCTGCTTTGGTAGGTTCGCTTTTGTTGCAGGAAAATTGTCAGCTGAAAAGGAAGAATTGGAATCTGGATATTCAAAGGCATAACGCTTCGTTAAGAAATCTCTCACACGCTTGGTGATGGTTGTTGGGATGACCCCTCCTAAAGAGTCACAATACATGATCATTCTTGCATCAGGTGGAAACTTCTTATTTGGATCTTTTTTATCGGGTTTAACAAGTTTGCCATTAGGGTTACAAATAACAATGAGAGACCAATGAACACTAAAAGAATGATCAAATAATTTCACACGTAAATATATCACAAAGTAACTTTGAGTTCATACTTACTGTTCACAAATGGGTATAAACACTAGTTTCTTCTCAAAGATTTTCACATTCTTGGCAATTTTAGTTGCAGCTCTTGAAACGTCTCTTTTCAAGAGAGGATGAAAATGGGTATTGAAAATGTAAAAATCGTTCTTCACTCTTTCAGCTTTCTCGTCCATAAATTTGTTGTTCAGATCGCTGTTTTGGATTCATAGTTTTTCAAATTAATTGTATACTCACAAACACATACCTAATATAAAAGTCAATAATATTGTCGTTGAGAAATTCCTCTGGCTCTAGTCGAGAAATATCTCGAACCGTTATGTCAATATTATATTTTTTAAGTAAAACTCGATCTTCGTCTTCTCGCGGCTTTGAAGCAGATTGAGACCTTGTCACTATGGTAAAATTTTTCTTAATAATTTCTGTGTCTGATTCATCGCTACTTTTTTCAGGTGCAAATTCCGTGTCAGACAGTTCTTGTTTTTTCTTTTTCTTTTGTTGCACAACTTTTGTTTGTTCAACAGCTTCATCTCTGTCTTCCTCCTCTGGTGACAAAACAGTCCTGTCTTTAGGGTTATCATTTAGTTTTTTCTTATGCATTTGCACCTTTGGGGGTTCTTCTTCCTCATCGTCCTCATCGTCTGTTATGGTTTTTAAATATCGTTTCTTTGGTGTATTTTTCTTTTCCTTCGCTTGTTCGGCAAATTTTATGGGGTCAAAGATTTCCCACGGCACATTGCACTGTACATCTGTAAAATTATCTTTTTCAGCTATAGCTTCAATTTTAATTAAATCTGTCATCCGTTTAAAAATGCTAGCTTTACAAGATTTGTCAAATTGAAAGCTCACTCCACCGCTATTAAAATCCTCTGGTGGAATGCTTTTAACTGTTGAGTTGTAAACAAATCCAAAAGCTCTCTTGTTGCAGTTGTACCAAAATTTGTTGATGAGTTTTTGTTTAAAATCCACCTTGATGTAACTCTTCCCAGAGGAGATTAAAAAGCAATAGATTTTGTCTGGATGAATTTCCAATTTGGAAAAGTTTCTGTGGTTTTGAGCATAACCAAAAACCACTTTTCCTCCGGGGAGAGATATCATTTCTTCTGTGGTGCTGCTCGTTGATGTATCGACATAATCTGCATCGGCAGATGGAGTACTTTTAAAATGAAGAGACTTTGTTTTGCCTCTTGCTGCGTTTATATATAGCGGTGTAAAATCAGTCATGAAACTATTATATATATATATATATATATATATTTAATAAAATTATTGTTGATGAAACCAAGTCCGTGATTGCACTTTTTAGCCCGAATTTTGTTCAATTTCTTCTCAAGTTGGGCTTGCGACTCGTCAAAAGAAAAAGGCTTGTTGTGATGATGGCAATTTTTTGAATGTTGTCTTTGGCGGAAACTTTTTTCTGTGTTTTTCTGTACATGAAAGAATATTCCAACAAAGAACAACAGTGTAATCAATTGGAATCACCAAAGGTCAATGACGTCATGAGGTTTGTGTTCTACCTCTGGGTCAATTCATATCAAGTCATCTCAATTCTAGAAAAAAGGTTTTGAAAGGAACATTCAAAAAAATTCGATTCGATTGCATCCCAAACAATCGCCACTCATCACCCGATCACTGCTTTTTGTTGATTTGGGCTCCTACTATTGTTTTTTCAACAACAGGATTCAAGAGAGATTGTTTGAAATTCGAACCATCGACACATTTACATATTATATATTCAACCGTATTTATAGTAATTTTGTTTATCTAGTTTTCTGAGAGAGGAGAATACAACCGCAACAATCCGAACACACAAGGTTCAACAACAACAACACTCACTGAGAGAGAATGGAGAAGAAAATTTTGAGCAAAGCCACTTCTGAAAATGATGAACCTACTCCTGGATGGATGTATCATCATATTGCTTCTACAACAAAGAAATCACCACAGGCATGTGAGGAAACAGCAACTTGGCTAATGAAGAGACTCACACATAAAAACGTACAAGTGAAGAAGAAGGTTCTTCTCATCATAAAAAGCGTAGCACAATATGGAGATCCTGAATTTGCAAGAATCATCGTAAAGAGAAGTGAGGAAATTAAACAATATGCTAGTAAGTTTTTGATAATATACCATGGAATTTGATAACTCCTTACATATGGCCAATTACCGAAATGTTTATGCAATACAAACCATGTAACAAATGTTGTACGAACGAAAATGTTAACTCGTGAACAAAACTATTTTCTACATCATCCATATTTGTTATTATATATTTGTTCTCAATAATAATTAAAACAGATTTCAGAGGAGAAAAAGATCCTTTGCATGGAGATGCGATCAATCAAGCTATTAGAACAGCAGCATCACAAGCTATCGAAGCAATATTTGAAAGAAATGAAAATGGTGCAAGAGTGAAAGTAGCAGTTGAATCTAACGGCAACTATGATCCACAATATAATAGTCACATTGGAACAATGAAACCAATTGGTAATGGAGTATTCGGAGGAGGAATTGGAAGTACCGACAATGATTACACCACAGCTACCGACACGGAACATAAGCCAGCCTATGGAGGTGGATTTGGCCCAAACAGCATGACTGGATTTGGTCCAACAGGAGCTGGATCTCGAACTGATACACAAAACAGAATTGGTTCATATACCGGTATTGCCAGCCCTTACGCACAACAAAAACAATCTCAATCACAACAAGGAGGCTTCTTATCAAACTTGTCAAACCTTACCACTTATATTCCTTCGTTTGGAAAAGGTACCAAAGAAACTCACGGTTTGAACAGCTCAGACTTTCCAGGGCTTATTTCTAGCTCTGAATATGATCGTGATGGTGGACACGGTACTTACACGGGAGTAGTTCTTCCTCCAGGAGGTTCTTCTGGGCTAGGATCTGGAAGCTCTATCTCAGGAAGAGGCAAGTGGTTGAATGAAACACAAACCACTTCGTCTACTCAAAAAGCTGATACATCCGGAGAGTATGAATCAAAGATTGTAAATGAATTTACCAGCCACGGAGGAGTAAAAAGAGCTGCTCCTAGCAGAAAAGAAAGCTCAGACTTTGCTCAAAAGTGCAGCACTTTGGATATTTCGCAAGTGGTGAAATTGTTGGATGCAAAGTTGGATGATCACGAATGGGTTACTAGATTGAAAGCTCTTCACGGTATTGAAGCACTTCTCAAAACTGGAAACAAAACTGTAATTGAATACTTTTCTGAAAATTGTGAAAATATTCTGAAACAATCCGAAGCAGTCCAAGAAACAATTAGACAACAAGCCGAAAAAGTCGCCAAATTATTGAACTTCAATGACAATGATGACGACGAGTCAAACTATGGACCTGCTTTGATTGAAGGTTTTCAAGAAATGTCTGTATCAAATGGATCTAAGTCACAGAGAAAGCCTGTTTCTTTTGTTTCCGATCCATCAACATCAGATGCCGACAGCCTTTTAGGAATTACAACAGCAGTAGCCGATAATTCGGACGATATCTTTGGAGGGTTTGACATTTCTTCTGGACAACCTTCAGAACCTGCTAAAACTACAAGCACATCAACAAGTAGACAACAACCATCAAAAAAGAGTGTATCACCTTCTGTTTCCAACAGCAACAACAAGTCTACCAGCACAACTACACCATCATCTCCTCTCGATCTTGACTTTTTACTGAGCTCGGCACCTCCAGCTACTCTAAACCAGACAACGAGCAAGACTTCAAATCAACAACAATCAGCTACTGTTCCTCCACCAATATTTGCAACCACCTATCCATATGCACAGACCGTTCCACCAACATATGCATATGGTGTACCATATCAAGTTGTCTATACTACCCAACCAGTTGTTCCACAAGTCGTGCAACCTATACTTGCCACAAAACCTCCTTTCGGGCACACATCACCATTAACCAAGACCATGCCTCCTCCAATATTACCTCAAACATCACCACAACACATGTCACCCAGTAGTTTTGGATTCATATCCGAGCCTAGTACCAACACTAACAAACAAGAGCATGACTCGTTCGATTTTGTTAAGGAGGCCTACCTCAAATAATAAACTTGTACAGTCAGAGCGTATGTATTATTTATTTGGGGTTTAGTTCGTATTTATTTACAATTCTATTGCATTGTGACATTACACGGATTCCTCTGTTTTTAACTCTCCTTCAACAACATCCCTATCCTGTTCGATGTCTTCCTTGTTCGGCAGGGTTCCAAAATCTTTCTCGATATCATCTAACACTTTCTCCTGTTTTTCTGCTTGCTCTTTCAAAAGATGATCATGTTCCATCTTTTTCATCTCTTCCTCAATAAGTTGATTTAATTCCTCATCTTCGGGTTCTTTTGTTTGATTATTGTTTGCAGTTGTCTCTTGATGCTGCAAACCGAGCTCCTCGATAACATCCTCGAGTTGCTCTTTTGCCTCTATTGCCGATACTGTGGTCTGATTGTTTTGAGTATCGGTAGCTGCATTAGAATTCGTTTGTAAATTGTCCTGTTTTGCTTCCACCTGCTCGGATGAAGCCCCTTCCGTATTGTTGTTGTTGTTGATATTGTTTTGTTGGTCCCGTGGCGTCTCAGGAACACTATTGCTTTCGACATGTGCTGCCTTACTAGATGAACAAGAGCTTCCCATGTTTTATGTTATATTAAGTACAACTGTGTTTGAGTTTTGAAAAAGAATCAGAACGAAAGAAGAAGAAATGGGATCGCGATGAGGAGGAGGAACAATTTATTGGGATACGGAACAGCAAATCAGCTCTCTTGAGAGTGGTTTGTTTTCTTTGGAGAGAGGAGAATTGTGTTTGTCGGTTGGAGGTGGTTGAACTTAGCTCTTCTCTCTGAAACAAAGAAGGATCACTCATCCGTATTTGTTGATGAAGGTAGTCATTTTAGGGCGTATTTTGAAAGCTTAATAAAGTGAGAGAATTAAGATGAAGGACCTTCGAGCTCTTCGTTGATGGGATCTTTTTAATATGAGACTATAATCTCACACCTCTGAGAAAACTGTAAATTGTATTATGCTGTATTTACTTGAGTATTCAACGATATTCAAGAGTACTATTTGAAACTCATCAAGATTAGAACAAAGCATTGCTATTTAAATCTCTTGTCAACAGTCCTTTTTTTTGTGATCACAGTCTGAAGATGAACCAAGCTTGTCATCTAAGAATTGCGCTGTCAAGTGCATTTGTATCTTTCTCCAATCAAAGGTTGTCAAAGATGTATGTACCAAACGAATCTCTCATACAAATGTATGAGAAGGTTATTGTTCTTTCAAAGCACAGTCCCTTCTGTATCATCCTCAAAAACAAGTCGAGTCTTGTATTCTCTTGCCGTATCCGTCCCGAATCTGCTGCGACGTGTCCTCTTGTGGTTTTTTGCATTGACACGTCAATTCAAGTTCGATCCGGTCACCTCGCTCAAAATTTAGCGAAAGGGAACAAACGTTTTCGAGTTTCTTGCCATCGCAAAAAAACTTTCTTGCCCGCCCTCTGTGTTGTGCGTGCTTGTGGCTGGCTTTTGGTTCTCTCACTCCTTTGCTTTTTTGGTATCGTACCGGGAGAAGCTTATTGTCTTCCATCTTGAACAACGAGATCACAGTATCTATTCCCTTCTTGCCTCTTTCCCTTCGTTCTTGATTATTTATTCGTACAATCTTTGTATCCCCATAATTTAATTTCCGTTTTGTTGCCTCTCTCATTCAATCCATCATCATCATAATAATGGCCAACCATCACCACAACAACACCAAACAATCCAAAAACTCTCGTAGAAGAAGATACTCTAACAATGATGGTGATTCAGAATCATCGCCCGCTGTTAGACAACGTCGTGGAAGTAAGAACAAGGATAACAATGTCCATAACAATATCAAGGAATTACTTGCTGCTTCAACCACCTCTTCTCAACCATCTTCATCCGTTGAAACAATTGAAACCATCATCCCATCAACAACCTCTCCCTCCACCCAACAACAAACCATCATCCCATCCAAATATTCCCAATACTTTGGTTTAGAGGAAGGCGAATTTGTCGAAGCTTTTTCATCGGTCATTCATGAAATTTCCTCTCAAGGCGATACCATTCCTGCAGAAGCTCAACAAAAGACTCGCTTCCATACCCATCAACCTCCCAATATTTCTCTCTCCAAATATTTGGATAGAATTGTCAGGTTTGCTTTCTGTTCTGCCGAATGTTATATTTTGAGTTTGGTTTATATGGATCGATTGGTTCAATCCAATCCAAACTTTGTGATTAGCAGCCTTTCAATTCATCGCTTACTCATAACTAGCATTATGGTCGCTGCCAAATTCTTTGAAGACAAGTTCTATAACAATGAGTATTACGCCAAAATTGGTGGCATTGAGAAGGAGGAGATGAATAGACTAGAGATTGATTTTCTCTACATGATCAACTTCTCTCTTCATTTCCAACCTCCAGAGTTTGAGCAATACAAGGATGAATTTATTGTCTTGCCAGCTCTCGAGAAGAGAAAGCAAAATATTGAGAACTTGTCATCTCATCACCAAAAAGAAAACCAATTGATGCCTGATGTTCATAATGGCGAAATGGTGAGTGAAAAGTGTGTTGGTGATGAAAAGAAGAGTCGAAAGTCGAACAAGAGCAAACACACGGAACAACTTGATAACACAAGCTGCTCTCCCAAGCTGGAAGTCAAGAGAGAAGTTTCAGAACCAAATCCTGCAAGCACCACGACATCACCAACGTCTTCATTTCTGTCACAACTTTCTTCCTTCATGAGCAAGGTTTCGCTTTCTGTTGCTTATTAGAGCTTTGAATAAAAGAATTTTGCAATAAGCTTTTTACTTGTGGTTTAAAGGAAGCATCAATGGTGGTGCGTCTAATTTGGCTAATATTGGATTGTGGTAGAGAAATATAGCCCAACAAACATTAAGGAAGCTCCTTCGTCTTCAAAGAGAAATAATAATAATCTATTTCACCGTAATACATTTTCTCTTATTGAATGAAGATAAGGGTGCTCCTATCCTGGCGGTTCGTGCAATGCCTGGCAGAAGCGTTCCAGAGGGTGCTCTCAACCAGGTTTCCCTGGGAGGCACACCTCCAGACCCGACAAAAAATTGAGGTAATAGTCATGCGTTCCGTAGAACGCTTTCAGCTATTACACTGAAAAGAACAGATACTACACTCGATCAAAGCCAATTGGCCGAGAAAGATGTTTTTAGAGAGAGGAACCAAAGGGAGTAGAAATTCGGTGTTGGATGTGAGAAAAAATGGCTAAAAATTATGGGACGTTTTGTTTCAACTGGTTGAAGCTGGAGGTACATCAGAAAATTGAATCTCTCGACAAAGTCTTGGCCGGCTTTTACATGTTTTTCGGAACGAAATTAACTACGCTACTAATCAATTCATTGTTATACAAAGCCACTATGATAACTGTTGGGATTGTTGAATACTGAAATCTACGCGACTTTCACTTTACAATTTATCATTCAAAAAAATAGCGGTGAAGCCAGAGTTTACAGCTTCTGAATGTAGCGTTGTGGAGGAAATCTCTTTCTTAATTCTTTAGAAAATTGTGGTTAATCATCGGTACCGACGACTGACCACGATTCTCTAAAGAATTAAGAGAGAACGTATTGAGGCATTCATCAATTAACTTCACCTAATTAAATAAATTACTGAGGTGTTCTCTTATTCTTCTTTATTATTCCATATTATTAACAACAATAGCGTCCAATCCTATCATCTCCACACCTGTTCTGAAGTCAATAAACAGAATTTGGATCCATGCCCACTTGAAAAGTATTCAGTTTGGTTTTGTCCGGGAGTGGCTTTAATGAAAATCGTTCATCTTCCTGATTTCAACGTTTATTCTAGAAATTATTTTGTAGTGTTACACTTCGGATCTCTTTGCAATACTCGGCAAAAACTGAAAAGAAAAATGCAATCCTCGTCGGAATCATCATCTTCAACAGCAGCATTGATACCATCCACTCTCAAATCATCATCATCACCAACAAATTCATTTAGTGGGAAGGAATGGTCTCGACAAGTAATTAAAAAGACTTTGGTCGGAGCTGGAGTAGGAGCATGTATGGGCATGGTTTTGGGAGTGATGAGAAAACGAGGTGCTTTGGATCATTCCAAGTTTTTCAAACTATGGAGAGTCGGAATGAAACCAGTCAAAGGAAAGAATAATATTACTGGCAATGTTGGAACGGACTCTTCTGCCTTCTCTTCTACATTTTCGGAATCTGCTGCTAATGAGATTCAAATGGTTCCTTCAATTTTTAAAACCACCGTTGCTTTTGCTGGAAATGTTGGACTTTCATGTTACGTGTATTTTTGTATTGAAGAATATTTAACTTTGAAACAAATTGTTCCTGAACGATATATGGCACACTTTGTTACTGCATGTGGAATGTACACCACGACAAGTTTTTTGAAAAAATTGATGATGGGTGGAATGATGTCAAATGCAGCATTAGCCGTACCGTATCATTTGGTGAGGTCTTTGATTGGAGGATTGAGTGCTGGATGTGTGGCTCTATGTGCTTCTCTTATTGGTTCAGCAATTTCCTACAATTTAAAATTGAGAAAGCTGAAACGAAACATTTCAGAGGAAGAATATTTGTCATTAATTGGTGTGACTAAGGAAGAAGCTCAAAAATCACTCGGTGATCGATTAAAGGAGCGACTTCCAATTTGGTTGAAAGTTCCTTCTGCGCAAGACAGAAATATGTTGGAAGAATTGTCGAAATTGCATTCTCTGAAAAAATTAGAACTTTCCATGATACGAAATTCGAAACAATCTCCAGATGAAAACAAATGACCTTTCAAGTGTGTAAAATGTAAGGTAGCCCTGAATATGAAATATATGGTAGAAAAGCCTGAATAATTGTGTAGAATTATTCACTGAATTCATGCGACGAAATTTTTGAACATTAAATCTAGAAATGGATAAACTGATACAATTTATAAATTTGTATGCCCGATGTTAGGCATGCATACCAAAAAATCACAGGGCTAGAGAGGTTGAAGTATTTTGAGATTTAACTTGGTGTTGCAAAAGCCAATACTGACTAACAAGTGCAACCGTCAACAACAAACAACAAACAGGGAATTGTGGAATGTTATCAACAAAGTATAGGGATAGGACAACAAGGAAATTAGTTGGAATTCTAATATAATTCATGACTGTAGATCTGACATCCTCTGGAATGTAAACACTCTTCACAGTTGAGATTGCAGGCCAAAATATGCCAACACAAAATTCAAACATCAAAAATCCAAAGAGGATGAGATAGAATGAAGAAGAGACTATTGGAACGATCAAAGAAACTAATGCAAGACCAAAGACAAACAGTAAAATGTACTCTGGACTTCTCCAAGCTCCGAAAACGAAATTCGAATCGTCCTTCTTCTCCACTTCATCCGAATTGACAAGAAGTGCTCTAAACACCAAACTTCCAATCATTACTGCAAGCATGAACGCAGCAAAAATATAACCAATTTCTAGTTCTTGGCCTTTAACTGAGTTATTAAGGGTGGGAGTCCACATCAACACAAAAATGTACATGGCAGCCTCAAAAAAGCTTTGTGAAATTGCAACACACAATACTCTGAGATCTGAACGAATGACCTTAAACCCTTCTGAAAAATTCTTTGCATAATCTCCAGTTCTGTCTCCATAGTTTTCTTCCCAATAATACAGAATAAGTCCTCCTCCAATAACTAAACATAAAATTGCAGCATCAAACGGAGCCACAGCAGATTTGTTGAAAAGGTTATACAACAGGTTAGAAACAAAACCTGCAACAATGGCAATTATTCCGTTCGAGAATGTTTGCTTGTAAAAAGTATCACCGATCCAAGAACTTGAAAAGTTGTATCTATTGAAATGCTCATAAACCATCCAGGATTCAAAGGAAGAGTAGAGAATGGATGTGGCTATTCCTCCAGTTAGCCGTCCAATTAAGAGAACAGTTAAGTTTGATGAGTGCTTAGTGATGCAAGAAATTATATACAGTACCACAAAGGCTAGACAAACATTCTTTCGGCCTCTGTTTCAGTTCATCATTAGCACAATAGATCTCATTAAATAGGATTTTACGCTATTGTACGTACAATTTGTCTGAAAGAGCTCCAATGATAGTTCCGAAAAGCATGCTACTCAAAAAGCCCACAATAAACAACTTGGAGATCATATCAATGTGGTAGCCATACGATTCATACAATACATAAACATAGGCTCCTTTATATCAAAGATCAGGTCAAAACAAAGGGGCGAGATTTCATCGGAATTAGACCATGAATCATCAGCAGCCTCCAACACACAAATTATACACCAACACCTACCCTGTAACCAATCACTAAAAGTCATACACAAATACACTCCCAAATAAATGTACTGAAACCGAGTAAAGGCTTGTGAGTCCACCTTCTCTCTATTATCGGTCCGTGTTTGGTTGAAATAAATCAAACCAGCACATATCAGCATCAAGGCGGCCAACACGCTGAACATTTTTTTAAAAAAAATATTTATTTTGTTCTTCCTATTAGATTTCTCATTGACATGAGGGAGTTGATGATGATATTCCATTGGTCAAAGGTTTCTAATTAAGGAAGGAATGTGTGTGAAGAGAATAGCATATATCTCACGGTTGTTCTTTGATGTCGGTACTTGAAAACAATTAGTTCGTTCTTATTGATCACTAGTGATCAGTCTTTGAAACTTCATCACAACTAATAGTCATTATTATTGAGAGACAAACTGCTCGAGTCAGTTGATTCATCCACATCCAAAGAAGACGAAGTATTCATGTCGTTATCTTTGGCGACATCCATCAAGAATCTCTGGAAAGTGTCTCGATATAACATATTTCTCACTACAACGGCCAAACGATCAAAGAGATCGACTTGTCCATATCCATTCTTAATTCTGTTGACAAGATTGAAAGTTTCTTCTTGTGAAATATTCAATTCATATTTGCTTTCCTTAGTGAGAAATTGTGAAATAATTTCTTGCTGTTTGTTGGCTCGGTGTTGTGTTCGTTTCATCTTTTTGTAAGATTCCACTTCTTCGAGGAATTTGAAATTCTCATACGACTTTTCATTCATACAGAAAATTCTCAACTTGTTGCGCATGTCTGGATTCTTCCAGTAATATTCAAATTCAAAGTGTTGTTGTTGCTCAGAAAATTGTTGTTGCTGCGAGAGAATTGTTTTTTTCAATTCTTGTTGATCCGACATGTTTCTTGCCATCATGACATAGGCATCGATAATATCTCCTTCTTGAATGACAATCTTGACCTTACTACATGTCACATTCACAGGAACACCTGTTCTGAACCTATTAAGGATTGAAACTTCCCAAATTTTCACACCACTTTCGACTGATAATTCTTCCAATTTTTGAAGAACAGACTCCAAGGTCATTCCTTCAAAATACTCGTGAATCATTTTGTTTTGAACATTCTTCTCAGAGTTTTCATCTTTGATTTTCCCCATAATTTTGTTTTCAAAAGATGCATTAAAATTGATAATTCTTCCTGAAGTGGAATCCACAGTAATGACAAAATCAGTGAGACCATTCATGACATTTCTATACTTTTGCTCTTCGAGTGAAGTTCGATCAAGTAAGCTTTGTGCCAATGCATGTTCTTTTTGAAGTTGAGTGAATGACTTTTCCAAAACAGATAACATGTAATTGACTCGCATTCCCAATTTACCAATTTCATCTTTTCCAAATTTTGGTAATTTACCGCCCTTGGTGATCGAATTACTATCATTATTCCATTCATTGGTAATTTGAATAACGCCATTCGTGAGACGAATGGTTCTTCTCAACACAACTAGTTCCACAAAAATGACCACAGAAGCTGAGAGAAGAATGAGCATGGCTGTCATGACTGCCCAAGTTATTAGAAATGAATTGATACCATTCGTATAGAGACTTCTAGAAATGTCACATCTTATAAGGACAGTATTTTCTCGATGGACATCTTTCAAAATTTGTAGTGTTGAAATTCGTTCTCCATAATTGGAATCTGACTCTAAAACTCCTTCAATCGTTCCACTTCCGCTGTGGTCGCAATGTCTATTCAAGGACAATAAACTCGAAGACGAATCAAAAGCTCCAACATGGAAAAAACCTCGCAACAACCAAGAGCTGTTATCTGCATCAATAGTGAGTGCATTGTAATTTGCAATCTGAGAAGAGAGACCACTTTGACCTTTCATGGATTGAACAATTTCAAGTCCTATCGTTGAATTTAGATTATAAAAAGAAATACAGACTTGAGTTTTGGCAGTCAAGTCTTGAATAATTGAATTGGATTGATATCTTCCAAAGACCATGACTCCATAAGTGGTGGTATCAGCATCAGTCGTCGTGACAGGGACTGCAACCATCATGGCAAACTCCTCAGGATGATTCACATTGGTTGCTGAAGGTAATAGATAGGCAGCCCTTCGTGTGGTGGAAATGGTCATGTCTTTGATAAAGTAATGTTCTGGATGTAATTGTTCCATTTCTACTGGAAGGTTCTCTTCCAATGTTGCATTGTAACATGCCAATGATTTCAATATTGTTCCATTTAAATAATATAAAGACACAAAAGATAATTTCACTTGTGCCAAATGTGCACAGAAAAAGTTTTCATCAAAATAGGCTTTCACACGATTAGGATCTCCATTATAGATAAATAAGTTGGCTGTATCAATCCATGGCGCATAATCAAGAATTTTGTTTTCCAAGGCATAAAAGTTATCGGTCATGCTTCTTAGAACTCGTAAACTGCTTTGTAAAATGGTTTGATATTCAATCTTTGAAAAAGAGATGTGAAATGCAACAATTAGAATTGCAAAACATAATAAAACGGTGAGAAAAAACATTAAAGAAAGAATAGAAACTGTTTTCACTCGTATGGAATTAAAGTTTCCTTTTTTAGAGAGGCTGGAATGAGTTTTGGACTCAAAATCTTCATTTTCGTCATTCGGTGCATCAATTGTAAACAGCGAAGACATGACCGATTGATTGTTATTGTTGGTACTTCTACGAAACAGTCTGAGAGTTTTTCTCTTTGACTGAGAAACTCCATCATTGTTTTCTAAAGACGACAATGCATTGGATGGTGTTGTGGTTGTGGATGGTGTGGGATGGTTGGAAGAAAGGCAATGATGATGATTTGTTTGATGAAAACAATTGGAGGATGCCATTTCATTACTTGTTGTTGAGGTGTCATGATGGTGTTTGTTGGTGTGTTGTTGAGCAATATCAACTTCCTCACCAATGCTGTTGTTGTTGATGTAGACTTTGTATTGACTCATCACACCAATGTCCTCCAGTTCTTGAAGGCTTGCGGGTGATGGTTGAGAGAGATTCAACTGCTTGTCTGAATGGTTGTCGTTGTTGGTGGAAGAGGAGAACCTGTGCATTTTGTTCAATCAGGCAATTATATCAATGATGATGATGATGGTGAGATTCAACGAGGTCGTCAATGAGAAGCTTGTTATTAGTGTTTAAAGAAGGAAGCAGAGCGATGTCAATTGTCAGCCGACTCGGGTTATTATTATTGTCCCTTGACGACAAGAAAGAACAGTGTTTGGATTTTTTTGGGTTTCACTGAACTTGGCATCCAGATGCAGTTTATTAATATAAGCGGAAACAAATAAGGCCTTTAATGTTTCCATATATGATAGTTGTTGCATCGATCATATTGCACCATATTTTGCATTCTACAAGCTTTCATGGTTCAACAACAAGGGAAAGACAAAATTCTAAAAGAAATCACTTTTGGAGTTAGTCAAAGAAATAAGGGGCGTCAAGAACACGACTCAAATCAAGAGAACCTTTCTTTGGTAAAGGTGGGAATTGAATGTTTGGATAAAGACGAGTAAAAGTAGCCAAGAGTTCTTCCAAAAGTGGTTGAGAATGTAAATTGATGAACTGCTCTCTGATAATTCGGTTCATTCGATCAACATTTCCAGCATTACACCAGAATGAGTCGTGAACGGAAGCGAACTCAATACCTTCTTTTTTACAAGCACTAGCTGTCATGAACATGTGAGAAGAATCAAGGGAGTGAACAAAGTTAGGTGGGAAGGCTGACTTTTGACGTGTTCTGCTAACAGGTAGCTTGTCAGATGAGTCTGAAATGGTCACACACTGCATCACTGTCTTTACAACCTTTGTTCGTTTTGATCTGTAAGGCTGTATTACTGGCAACCCGAGAGGAGTCGTCCATGTTACTGGATTATCAGATGAAGAAATCAGTAAGGCACAATCGTTGAGCCATTCCATAATGTTTTGAGCACTACTGAACACCTCTCCTAATGATTTGAGGGTGATCGATGCCAAATAAGAGGCACATGCGAACACATCATCCTCTGGAACCTCCTTCTTTTCTTTGAGACGTTTTTGAATCTGTTCTCTAGCACCTACGAATGTGACACCATAAACGCTTGTCATCACAGTTTGCTTGATTGTGGATCTATAAACATTACCGTGTAATAATTTGGCCAATTTGTTTCCAGCCTTCATGTCTCTTTCGATATGCTTCTTGACTACTTCCAGCACACCGACATACACGTCCATGGGTTTGGAAGTTGGCAGCAAGTTTACGTGCAAGGCACCCAAATTGTCTCTACCTAAGGCAGCATAGTGTTGCAGACCATTGCAAGATCCGTCCATTTGAATTGGAAGATGAGAAATAAATTCTTCTGGATTTTCTGAGCGCAAACATTCGGCCAGTTCTACGCATGCGGCAAGAGTTTGCCAAGGATTTTCTGATTGAAGCCACCATCTGTTTCCATCAAGTGGTTGATCGGCTGAATCAATGATTTCATTCAAGTTTTGCTCAATGAATTGCACTCTCTCATCGAATGAGAGCTTGTCTTTGCCGTATAGGTTGGCTAAATGAATTTTAAGCCAGAAAATGCCTCGTCTACCAATTCTCATTCCCTTATCAAATGTTAATAAACCTCTATTAATATCAGCACCTAAATGATTCAAATGAGGTGGGATTGGGTAAGCTCTACCTCTAAAATCAACATTATGAGGGAAGTAAAAGGAATTTTCTTTAAAATCTTCTGCAACCTTGAGCTTCAACAACATGTCACATCTTAGAGAGTGCAAATTTCTGTTATGAGTTTTGATCTTGGCGACAGTACGTTTCCACTTTTTCTTAATTTCTGGGTCGTCAGTTTCTGGTTCTTCTGGAAGTGCGTCATCAAATCGAGATGGTAATTCTCCGAGTCCTCCTCCTGAATTCCAAACCTTCAAAACTGTTTCGTATACTTTATGATTGATTTTCCACCTTGTTTCATTCAACGTATTTAAACCTGCTAATAGCTCGGTCATGTCTGCGATCTTGAGAATGTAAGCTTGTAAATGAGAGCCTCTCGTTCGCATAATTAATGACTTCAGAGCAATGTAACCTCCAGTGGTAGAATTTATCCAAGGGTTTGGTGGTATCAACATTGGTAAGTGATTTGGATGAAGTATTTCTTGTGTGACGTGTTCTCTACCAATGAGTTGGATTAAATTTTCGTCTGCTTCGACAATTCCAATCAGTCTACCCTGTTTTGATAAATTTCTGTGAATAAAGGCGGGTACTGTTTCGGAGGGAGAATCCACAAGTGGAACCTTTGCAACATTAACTACTAATTGAATTAAAAAAGTTCCTAGTTGAATGAGTTGTTCTTTTGTCAAGGCTACATATTCATTGAGTTTCAATTTGGAGAGTCTGTTGATATTATGGTAAATCAATTGATTCTTGGTAATGAGTTTGAAGTAGTTCGTTCTTTTTAACTTATCAACGTTGATTTCAGCTTGAATTGCTTCACCAATTTGGCAAGCAAGGGAAGAGACTGCTGGACCGGAACGTTCTCTTAGGCATGATGACAATACTTCATGGAGAGAAATGATGGCAAGTTTTTCAGCAGATACTGAAGTTAGACACAGAGGGATGGCAAAATTGTGTTGATTTTGTGCTGATGACTCTTCATCTTTGGCAGGAGCGGGTTTTTTCTTTGAGAAGGAGGAGAAATTGACTTCGTCTTGTTTTTCTTTGATGAGTTTTGTTAGCGGTTCATACCATTCGAGCATAATTTTCTTTGCAGGAGGAAGACTGGATCCTTGATTTCTTTTGTTTGCAGATCGGAGGTCTTTTCTATATCGCTCCTTTGCTATATCCATTGAACGAGTTTCTAGCTCCTTTTGTTGTAACAGTAGTTTCACGTCTTCATCCCGAGGACTCATATTCATGATGAATTGCTCAAACTTTTTTTGAATATTGTTCCTATTATCACGCTCCAGTTGTGCAGCCATGTCTCCGTACAAACCAGAGCTGACGGCCAGTTCGTGTTCAATTCGGTCTTGGTCAGCCGTTAAATCACTAATGTTCATATTCTTCTCCCAAGCAGGCTTTCTAAAATTTCCGTCATCAAAAATCAAGACATTTCGTTGTTCCTGTTCAGATTCTTCTGCTCCTTCGGCCAATTTCATCATCATGTTGTTTCTCTCGTGATGAGTGGTATTACTCGTGGAAATCATTCTTCTTTGATGATGCGAGGACACCATATTATTGCTACCCATCACCAAGCCTTGAATGTTGTTGTTACCATGAAGGGAACCCATCATCCGACTCAACCGATGACCCACCGCCACCTCCTTTGCAGAGGCTGTTGAAGTTTTGGAGAGAAGTTTGGCAATAGCGAGTTTTTGCATTTTTTTGAACACCACCACCTTCACATTTTGATTGAAATATAAAGAAGAAAAAACTCTCCAATAATTATTCGTGGGGTCGTTGAAAATTTAAGATCAGCAGTTCTTCAACAATATTTTCATAGATTCATCATGATGATGACTCATCGACGATGGAAGACTCTTCCATGCAGGATGATGATGAATGGTGTAATTAATACTGTTGTTTCATGTTATCCTCATGGAACGATTCATCGGAAACGACATGCATTGGTAATTTTGAGTTTTCTCGGAAATACATGGTTTCAAACAGCAGCTACAAATCCATCCAATCGTTGTCGTTCATTGTCCTCTTCATTATCACCAACATCAACAACTGCAAATTCTCGCAGACAAAACGACCTTGCTCTGCAGGAACTCCGAGAAAATGAATTTGCAAGAATTAGACGCCAAACCATCCATTCTCTTCCTTTCAGAAATATTTGGCCTTTTCTTAATTATTATGAAAATCGATTGAAAAAGGATTTGAATGAAGATGATCACCATGATCATAACGAGAATCATACAATTGTTTTTCAAAAACCTCTAAAAGTGGAATATTTCAACGAATTATTGCATTCTTTAAATATTCCCAACATGACATGTCCCACGAGGAATGTCAACTCTAATGGCATCAATTTTCATGAAGAAGGATGGTTCTATAAACTACAGTTTGTGGATCAAGAGTATTTACTCAACACATGCACAAAGGAAAAATTACAAGAAAGTTTTTGGTACGAAAGACACATTTACTCCACAAGTCAAATTCCAACACGATTCAATAATTTACATGATTTTTATGGACATCTCATTTGGCTCATGTTTCCTAAAACAAAGAGACTGTTTAATAAGTTGCATTTAGAACATATGAAAAGTCCTTCATCCAATACTGTAAAAGAACGATCACCACTACAGAATTTTCTGACTCTTTTTGATGAGTGTGGAGTAGTTGTTTTTATTGAGGAATCATCTTTTGAAGAATTGAAAAATTTGTTGTATGGAATGCAATTTAAAAAACTATTTTGGAATCACAGAGCTCGTGTGGAAAGTCAAATGATTTTCACAATCTTTGGACATTCCATTTTCGATACACTCACACAACATCCATATATTGGCTATACTACGAAATGTGTAGCACTTCCACTCTCCTCTTCAATTTGTAAGTTATTTGATTGTCAATTTAATAAGAGTTCATTAATTTGTTAATATATGTTCGAAAAATAGATGCTAATCTTTATGATAAATATAGACCTGAAAATGTTTATCAACACCAATCACTCATCACTATGAAAACGCATGTATGGAGTGTTATGGATGATCTTCTGTTGGATGCATTCTCAAATTCCAAATATGGCATCAATTTACACAACACAAAAAGTCTTCGTCCTCTTCCTCTTTTAGGTATTCCAAATTATTGGAATCCACAAACAGAATCATTCTATGACAATGAAAAATACTTTCGAAAACCCAAAGACTCCCATCCTGTTGAATGAACTGAATTCATTTATCTCTGACAACGTCATGATCTCATTTCCAAAAAGTGAATGGAATCCAATAATGGCAAAACGAGGAATCAAACTTGAAAAAAATGCTCGAAGATTCACAACAACAAACACGTGTCGATCAACAAAGATTGCCATACTTTGAAACACCGATCGGGTAGGTTTCATGATCAATGTTAGAAGATTCTAAAAACTGTGGAACAAATGTGGATGATGTTGTTGATCGGGATCGAAAAAGAACATTTTATCAAGTGGGATATTCTATTGGAGAACACTTCAAGAGCAGAATTCATGAATATTTACATCGATCGGATTTACCCTTTCAGTCCACATTTTTACCTTTTATCAAAGAGAATTCAAATTGTTTAGAACCTTGGATTCAAACGACTAGTGAACTCTTTCCAAATTATATGGACGAAATTCGAGGATTAGCTGATGGGTCTCAAACTTCTTTTGAGTGGATATTTGCTTTAAATATGCTCAACGAGTTGCGTAGTAAAATTCAAAAACATCATCAAGATTTGGAAGAGAAATCAAAAAGCGCTATCCAAGTACCAAAAGTAGGAGGCTGTTCTGAAGTATTTGTATTAAGTGACAGTTTATTCAAGGGAGAAAAAGCAATAGTGGCACACAATGAAGATGCTGACAAGAGTATGGGAGAATATGCATATATTGTGAAAGCTCGATATTTAAAAAGTAACAATGAAACGAACAAGACAATTGTCGCCTATCATTATCCAGGAACATTAGCAGGCAACACATTTGGATGGAATGCCCACTTGATCTTTGGAACGAATGGAAAAAGTCCTTTAAACGTTCTCACAGAGAAGGGCATTCCTCGTTGCTTTATCAATAGAAGTGTCTATGAGAGTGAATCTATCGAGGAAGCATTTGAAACCCTCAAGAAATATGCAATGCAGGGTGCTTCAGGTTTTTCGACGAATATTTCAACACGATATAAGGTCGATATTCATGAAGATTCTGTCAAGCCAAAACACAAAAGAAATCAAGAACAACCTTATCGATTTTACAGAATGTGTAACATTGAATTGGCTCCTCCTTTAGAATCTAATATATGCATCTCAATGTATAATGTTCCCATTGGTGACGAAGATGATGACCACAATCACTCACCCATTCATTATGCTCACTTTAATCACTACACTCATTTGAAAGGAGTGATGGAGGGTAATGTACCAAGCTCAAGAAGAAGATATGAACGATCTCTTTCTTTTAAGAATATATGTGACGAGGATGGAGTTCGTCAATTCCTTGGCGACACCCATGATACTGAATTTCCCATTTTCAGATGTCAACGATTTCCAGATAAGGGTAAGACATTAGCAACTATGATTGCAAATGTGGTAGAGAAGAAAATAAGAATTTATGTTGGAAATCCAAAATTTGAACCACCTATTTATGAGATTGATTTGTAATTCAAAAACATGGTCACGAGAACGCTCCATCTATTTTCTCTTTTGGCACTACGTTCATATAGCTTTCATAAATAATAAATTGAATGCCAATATTGATCAACTTACATTTTGTGTCACCTTAAAACCTTCTGAAAGAGCAGAGCAAACATTAGGAATTTTGGAAAGAGCTACTAAATTGTAAAGAGCATGCTTTGTTTTCCAACCGTAATTGTTGGAAGTTGTGATTTTGCAATAGAGTTCAATCGTGTGGTCATCAATGGCAGTTTCTTTCACCACTTGCAACAAGTGATTTCCAACTGGATCCAATTCGAGTTTCTTGTATTGGTCTAATTGACCATCCAGTTCAACCATGATGTTCTCTCCATGACAACTCTCCTTTACAACTATAAACAAGTCAAACGAATCTATGCTGAAGGGCTTTGTCATGTTGGAGGGAGACTTGTCTTTGTCGCTCATTATTGTTCTCTTATTTGAGAAAGCACAAGGCTTGATTGCTTTCACTCCATTCTTTGTGGCATATGATGTCTGTATCGTTATTTGCAATGAAGGCTTTGTGGATGATAACTGAATCTTTTCCTCAATGTCTTTTTCTTCATTTGAATTCTCTTGCACAGACTCTTTGTTTGTTTCGTCCACCGTTACTACAAAACTCAATGACTCATCGTTTTGCTTCGTTGGAAAAAAAAGTTGAGGAGTTGAACTGGACGGAGACCACTCTTTTGTAGGTCTCTCACCATCTTCCAGTAAACTAATAGCACTGCTATTCTGCAAGTCTTGATCGTCCTTTCCAGTGTCTTCAAAATAAGTGTTGCTTGCTTGATTAGAAGCCGAACTGGAAGCAAAAGAGTGGTCATAATGATCATTACGATCATGAAGAGTGTTGATTAATTCATCCTCAAACATTACTATTGAAGGAAATTGAATGGAATGATCCCATTCGCTCAATTCTGCCGTGAGTAAAGGGTCTTCATGTTCGTCATGATGATTAGGATCATGAGGAGGCAATTGAATGGGTTCTTCCTTATTGTTGTTGTTGCTGTTGGCAGCTACCCGAAATTGAGAAGGAACAACAGGTAAAGGAGGAATAGACTCAAAAAGCTCACTTTCTTTGGTTTGCTCTTTGGTGGTTGAATCGTCAGATTCAGAGGGTTGTATCATTGGTGGTGAATATGGAATTGCCTCAATAATGAAATTCTTCTTCTCAATTGATTTGAGAGTTTTTTTTAAGGGCTGTAGTTGGCCTCCGAGTTGCCCAGTTGACCATTCTTCTGACTTCGTTCAACGGATGCGCTTGTCTCAACGTTAACGTTGGTTCAAAATTTCGCAACGCGAGCGCGAGAGGCTCTTTCGTAAGCTGAAAGACTTCACCAAAAACAAAACCAAGAAGTTTACAAAATTTTAAATGTTTTTAATAAACTAATGTGTGGCAAACCAACTTTACAGCTCATCGTGTTGAGCACCAGCTGATGAAGGACCCGATCCTGGAGCTCCCTGTTGAGCACCACCTTGAGATTGATAGAATTTAGTCATGATTGGTCTAATCTTCTCCTCGAGTCTCTTCTTTTCTTCTTCGAATTCTTCCTTAGAGGCATCTTGATGTTGTTCTAACCAAGAAATAGTGGTCTTGGTTTCATCTTCAATAACCTTCTTATCTTCAGCTGGGAGCTTTTCCTTGAACTTTTCATCATCCAATTGATTCTTCAATTGATAAGCATAGCTCTCAAGAGCGTTTCTGGCGTCAATTCTTTCCTTTTGCTTCTTGTCTTCTTCTTCGAACTTGGCAGCTTCATTGACCATTCTTTCAATTTCAGCTTGATCCATGTTAAGCTTATCGTTGGTAATAGTAATACTATTTTGGTTACCAGTCTTGGTATCCTTGGCAGTAACGTGGAGAATACCATCAGCGTCAACAGAGAAGGTGACTTCAATTTGTGGAGTACCTCTTGGTGCTGGTGGAATACCAGTCAATTCGAATTTACCCAACAGGTTATTGTCCTTTGTCATGGCACGTTCACCTTGATAAACTTGAATCAAGACACCTGGTTGATTATCTTGATATGTAGAGAAGATTTGTGACTTTTGAGTTGGAATCTTAGTACCTCTTGGAATCAACTTGGTCATAACTCCACCAACGGTTTCAATACCCAAAGAAAGGGAAGCAATATCAACAAGGACAATGTCTTCATCCAATTCACCTCCCAAAATACCTCCTTGAATAGCAGCACCAGCTGCAACAGCTTCATCAGGGTTAATTCCTTGCTTTGGCTTCTTACCATTGAAGAAATCAATCAACAATTGTTGAACCTTTGGAATTCTAGTAGAACCACCAACAAGAACAATTTCATCTACTTGTTCCTTACTGAGCTTGGCATCCTTAAGAACCTGTTCGACTGGCTTCAAAGTCTTAACAAACAAATCATTGTTCAATTGCTCAAACTTGGCTCTAGTCAACTTCAAGCTAAAGTCAATACCATCATGAAGTGATTCAATTTCAATTCTTCCTTCGTGTTGGGAAGACAAAACTCTCTTAGCCTTTTCAGCTTCTCTCTTCAACTTTTGAATGGCCTTCTTATCCTTTTCAACGGATTGGGCTTGTTTTGGATTCTTTCTCTTGAATTCATCCAAGCAATATCTCACGACTCTGTGATCAAAATCTTCACCACCCAAGTGAGTATCTCCGTTAGTGGCCAAAACTTCAAAGAGACCTTCATCCAAGTTCAACAAACTAACATCAAAAGTACCACCACCCAAATCGAAAACAAGAACATTGACGTCCTTCTTGTTCTTATCCAATCCGTAAGCAATAGCTGCGGCTGTTGGTTCGTTGATAATACGTTCAACAGTCAATCCGGCAATAGTTCCGGCATCTCTTGTGGCTTGTCTTTGAGCATCGTTAAAGTATGCTGGCACAGTAATGACAGCACGAGTGACCTTTTGTCCCAAATATGTTTCAGCAATAGCCTTCATCTTTTGGAGAACCATTGCGGAGATTTCTTCTGGAGCAAAAACTTTCTTCTCTCCGTTAATTTCAACTTGAATGTAAGGCTTTCCGTTCTTATCAATAATCTTGTATGGCAAGAGACCAGCATCCTTTTGAACTTCCGTATCAGAGAAACGACGACCGATGAGTCTCTTTGCGTCATAAACAGTGTTGGTTGGATTGAGAGCTGCTTGGTTCTTGGCTGCTTCACCAATTAAACGTTCACCTTCGGTGAAAGCAACTACTGATGGTGTAATACGATTACCTTGATCATTGACGATAATTTCAGCTTTTCCGTTCTTATAGATGGCAACACAGCTGTATGTTGTACCCAAGTCAATACCAATGATTGGTCCGCCACTCTTCTTTTCCGATTTCGTTGAGTTATCGGTCTCTCCAGCAATGAGGAATGATGCTAAAAGGCATACTAGAAGAAAAGATAACAAAGCCTTCGACAGGATGTTGTGCTTTGTCATGGTTGTATACGGAGAGAGGTCGTGATGATTTTTTTTCAAAGTTGTTTTGCAATTCCGAGACCCAAAACTCTTCCTAAAATCCATTACAAAAATAAAAGAACACGTGTTTCAATTTCTTCCGAAGGCAAGCAAGGAAAGAACACGAAATCGAATCGTGTTTGCATTGATGCTTCAAACAAAAACATCTGCATATGGATGACGGATTTCAAACTCATGATGGAGTCTGGGTGATAGACAAACATGTTCACTGGACACCACCAATAACACTCACGATGAATCCGTTCTTTTTAGGAATGCACACGTGTACATTTATTGGGTCTCATCACGATTGAATCAATCCTCACACAATTACTTTCTCAGCTCAACATTTGTGACCTGGGCCACACCGTGTTGAATGCCTCTGCTCTTTCGTTGAATTGTTTCAGTCTGGCATGATCGCTCTCCTTTTGGCTTCAAAACAACTTCTTTAAGAGCTGTCATAAGGCGCTGACTGTACTGAAGCTGCTCTTCTTTGAAGCTTGCTAGGTCTTGCTCAATCTTTGATTTGAATCGATCGGTAATTTCTTCTTTAAATGCTTGTATGAGACCTTGCGTCTGTTTTAACATTTCACTGGATTGATTGGAAAATGAGGATATCACTTTCAAAAAGTCGCCAAATACCGAAAATAAAGGAGGTTCTTCTGAACATCGAAGTGGCTTTTCTCGTTCATGGTTGAACGCATTGAATTTTCTCTTTTTCAACATCTTAGACACAAAGCTTGCATGTTTTTCCGATTTCAACAACCTTTTCCTTGTCAATATTCCTCGAAACCAAGATTGCAATTTAACAGAAGCATTCATCTTGAACATGTACAAAGTAAACACGTCTCGGAACATAAGTTTTACATTACTCTCAGGCGATAATTTTGAATCAAGCTCCTTTCCAGTGCTTGTTTTTATAAAGTAAAATAGCAGGGAAGAAGTAATTTGGTACATCACATGAAGACTGAATGATGATGTTGATGTTGTTGAGCATTTCATCTCGACACCACTTTAAAGAAACTTACCCATTGGCTTGATGACTGAGCTTTTGTGTGAGCTCAACAACTTCATTTCGAGTGTTGATTAGCTTTTCATTGGTCAAAGCATTTTCAGCGAATAATTTATCTCTCTTTTCAGTTAACTCTTGGACCAGATTTTGCTGGAATAAGAAATACACTTCTCTGTCCGTTGTTGCCTTATTAAGATCTACATGGAAGAATGTATGAATAAGGACAAGAAAAAGCAAAATAACTTACGGTCAATTCTCGAGGTAAGTTTTCTTATCATTGTTTCTCGTTCTTTGATTTCAACTTTTCTCTCTCCTGTTACCTCTTCGTTCAACAACTCCATGGCACTTGTCAAATCTGTAACTTGTTGTTCCAATCTCGAGAGTTGATTTGATAAGAATTTGTTCTCGTGCTCTAACGTTCGAATCTTGTTTCTTAAATCCATAACTGATGGCTCTGGTTCTTCATCCTTCGAAATGCTCTTGTTGTTCTCTTCAGCTACCATTCTTTTGGCTTCTTTCTTTTTCTCATACTCGAATTTTTGCTTTTCTGTCATGAACAGATCTGTCATTAGGTCCTCCAAGCTGAAATGTTTTGATGTGTTATTTTGTGCAGATTTGGTTGTCATAATTCTCAGAAGCTTGTTTTCAATATCGTTGTATTTAGCAAGACCTTGTTGAGCAACACTGAGGTTTTGATAGGTAAGAATCAACGAAAAGCTAAATTCACTGCTATTGCACTACTTACAACAATTCATTTTGCAAAGCGAAAATAACAGATCGAAGCATATAAACGTCGTCAAGGTATAGATATTTGTGTTTAAGCAACAACTCGGTGTCAAATCGTTGTGTCACCCAATTATAGAAATTGAGCTCTTTTTTCATTGCTTCATTCTCCCTTAGAAGCTCAGGTAAAGATCCCCACTGCTTCACTAATTGCTTGACCTCAGAGTCAGACTGTTCATATCTTTGAATTTTCTTTTTAAGAACAAAAATTAGGTTTTCCAATAGCTGCTCATACAGATGCCAACAATTATTATAATTGGTATAAGTAAAAATGAACTTACTCTCATCTTATATTGCAGACATTGTGTGTATTTTTGGGCATGATCCAATTCTTCGTAAGGAGTATCTCCTCGTTTTTTTGCATTTCTTTTTGCTTCAGCATTTCGAATGACAGCAGGCAGCCTAGGGACAGCATCTTTTGTGTTGAAGAACTCTTTGGAACCTTCCGTGTTCGTTAAATTGTGCAAAAGCTCCTCCTCTTCAGCTTTTTCCATTATTTCTTTGTACAAAATTGGATCATGATGGTAAATGTCATCCTCTAGTTTCGAGACAGATTCCTCGAGATGTTTGAGGTCGTTCTCTGATGGTTGATGTTTTACAAGGTCATGATCATTTGTGGATTCATACTTTTTGTGGAACTCTTCAATCTTTCGATCCTTCTCTAAAATTTGAGACTTTAAGTTATCAATTTCGCTTGTGTAACTCAAGTTTTCTCTCAATAAATAGCAACAAACTTGAAAAAGGTCTTGAGGATGACCGTACGAAACATTTTGAATGCTGTGTTCATCTGGCTCCACAGATGCGTGCACTATTTTGTCATGATATTGAAATGCTGACATGATGAAAGCAAGAGTCGAATATACTTGTTTTCTTTTTTCTTGTTCTTGCATGGTTATGGGATATAAAGGCGGTTTACATGATTTCAACACTGTCAAGAAATGGGCAAGATCGTCCGATTCATAAGTAAATCTATTGGGAAGAGAAGGATAAACGTTAATGATAAGAGGTGGTTTTTGTGTTTTACGAGGAAAATCGTCCTGACTGCTCGGAGTTCTAGCTTGAGAAAACGAGATATTCGGAACATGATTGTTTGGGGATTTTGGTGTATGGGATGGAGAGATACGGGAAGTTAGAGGTAGAGTTGCTGATACGTTAGTTATCGTCGATTTCGATAGATGAGTTGATGTTTTGGGCCTCGGAAGACTTTTATAACTTTCTCCTCTCGTTACATGTTGTACTGGAGGGCGATGCATGGAAGCACTTTGGGGTTTAAAGAAGCTCAACTTGTTAAGTGAGGACGACAAGTCCTGGTCTGACTTTAGCTCTCTTAACCCACTCGAATTTAAACTATTTGAGAGTTTTCTTTGGTTGAGAGGAGGAATGGTGGCTGCGGTGTTTTTCATTTTTTTTGAAATCTGTTTTAAGAATGCTGTAACAGTTTTGAGCGGCAAAAGTATTTTCTGGCTCACCAATTTTAACAATATCTCGTTTAAATTAATGGTCAAGAATTTACGATACGATGATATAAATGTAGTTCTATTGAAATTGCATGCTTTTATCATCAAAGTGTGGAAGAATGATCAGGATTGAAAGCAATAAATTTTCATTCACTTCTCATGAGGGTAGATCATGGTTCGAATACTGTGTGGAGGAAGCTCAACGTCTACATAATACTCCAATCCAACATTCATATCCAAGAGCTGGAATTTCAAGGGATTGTCCTTATTATTCATTGCAACAACTACAATGTTGTTCTCAGGTGTTAAGAATGAGGTCACTAACAGGTCGCTGCTCGACTGAACCAGTGAAACTCTTCTTGAATCTTGAATTAGGAATTTCGAAAAGTGGCCCATATAGTAGTACATTGGTTGTAAGTAAAGAGATTGTGTCTTGTTATTGGCCAAAATTAAAGCATCACACCAATTATTCATGTGTGTGGGACCACCGATGGCATCGAGAAGGCAATTCCAATCCGTCCAACCTTGCGCATAATGTTGCAAATCGTTGATAATGTCAAATCCATAACTTTCTCCTCTGGACCAATCACCATAATTGACATTGGGTCCTAAGAGTCAATCGAAAAGGGTGACATTTAGAATTAATCGAAGAATCATTGGTAAGGGATACTGTTCAATACACTTACCTTGCGTAGCCTCTGTTCCAAGTAAAATCTTGTCAGGTGCCATGTCATGCACCAAATCTAAATGCTCATACGTGCCATCAGAATACCAATGGAATGCAGTTCCATCTGTATGAGATGATTAGTGCGTCAAGTTCATGCATCATCATTGGTTGCACCCAAACATGAGCATAACAATCATTGAAACATTGATGAATAATATTAGTTAAGAACATTGTTATTATCGTAAACTTACCCACATATTTTGCAGCTTCCTGATCAGAATAAATGGTTTGAGCCCACAAATGAACATGATCTCGATTGTGATCATAAATCATGATATTCACGTCAGGATGAGTACTCTTCATGAGAGGTCCCAAATAATGCTTAATGAAGTCTCGTTCATATTCAGCTGTGTAGACGCATGCTTCATAGGGTGCGGCATATTCTGCAGAGCTCATTCATGGTGCAATAATCATTTCAATGAATGTACATTCAAGGTTACAACAACAACAACAAAAAAATCCAGCAAAAAACAATCGTAAATAGATCATTTTAAACCCTTAATCAACATACCTGGTTCGTTCTGTATCGTCAATCCCCAAAAATCGATACCTTCTCTCTTGTACGAATCAATATACTTGCTAAAATACAATGCCCACGATTTCAACACTTGAGTATTATTGATCAATCCCAAAGGTAAACCACTTCCGTTCATATTATGATTCGTCTTCATCCATGCAGGAGGCGACCATGGTGATAGGAACAATTTGAGAGGCTTTCCATGAAAAGTCTCTGTCGTATTCACCACTCGTAAGGCCATCGGTAGCTTGTAGAGCTTATCTCGATGAATGGAAAAGTCTTTCAATTCAAAATCATTGACTGTATCATCACAACTATACGTTCCTAAGGCAAAGTCACATGAATTCATTGGTATTCTCCCGATGGTATAATTTAAACCAGAGGGACTCCAATACAGATTGAGAATGTCTTGTTTCATTTGTTCATTCATGGTTGAAAATACAAAGGAAGCACTCTCTGTAATGGCACAACCGAAACCAATGATCTTTTGGAGCAGACGATTTGGATTAAGCAAAACAATATTTGGCTCGTCCTCTTGAATACCTCCCTTGTTCTTCTTGACATGGCTCATTGTTAAAGGATCAGAAGGAGTGCTTTTGTTATTTCTCTTTTTGAAATAAAGAGGTGCAATCGGAGAAAGTCGATCCGAGGTGTTTTGTGCTGTTTGAATGACTCGAACAAACTTTGGGACTTGTTTGGCATGGGATGCAGCAAAAACCGTAAGATGATGATGAAAAGAGCATGTAGTCAGTGCCGTAACAAACAAGCAGGTCAGTAAAACAGAGAGCAATCTCTGCTTGCCATTTCGGAGCATTTTTTTGTGTGGAGTTTGTGAAATTGTGAACCAAAAGGGAAAGCACGCCTAAACACTCATAAAGATAAGGTCTTTTATTGTCCCATCGTGTGCTTTTTGAGCGTGCAGTCCGTAGAACCAGAGAATAAATGGTATTTCAATTGGCCAACGTGATGTTGCTCCTTAATTTGACCTTCCAAAGGAGCAAAACCTTCAATCGAGAGAACCTTATCTGTTGAAATGGTTTTTCTTTCTGGATTTACAGAGTGTGGCGTGCTGTGAATTGGAATTCCACTTCTAATGTCCCAAAGCTTCACAACATTGTCGTCACCTCCTGAAATAAATTGAAAGTCACTCACCCATTTCACTTTTCGAACCCATCCTCGGTGTGATCTGAAAAGAGATGCTTTTTTAGAACCTCCTTGTCGAGCATCCCACAATCGAATCAAAAAGTCTGGGTGAGAGCTCAGTACTGTTGTACTGTCTGAGTTGTCCTTAACTGAAATAGATGTGACAACCTTACTACCGTTGAGTGTAATATTGTTAACACCTGTCGCAACATCCCATACACGAATGGTGTGATCAGAACTTCCAGACACAATCCTTCCACCCTCAATCCATTTGACACAAGTCACTCCCAAGAGATGTCCATTTTGGTTATCGCTCTCTTTTCTTTCCAGTGTTCCAATGGGTGCATATTGTTGAATTTGGGATGGCATTTTCTTCTTCTTTTTCGTTGGTTCTTTGTAATCTTCATCATCATCGTTATCATCCTTAGCTGGAAGATTATTTTCATAGAAAAGTGAGCTCTTAGATCGTGTCAAATCCACTTCCCATAATTTTAAGGATCTATCCTCAGAAGCAGTGCAAATCATAGTTCCTCGTGGATGCAAACAAATATCATTCACAGTATCTGTGTGACCATTCAATAACATTTTCATTCTCATCTTTCCTTCAGATGGATTTGAAACCCAAACCCTTCCATACTCGTCTTTACCACAACCAGCAATCAGAATGTCACCTACAGAAAACGATTTGTCTTCTGCACTTGTATGATGTTCTGCAATATAACACGTAGCAAGTCCAGTAATTGGCACTTTGGATTGTTTGGTTTGATGCACAATTTTACCGAGTGTGGTATCAATAACCCTCACCACACCATCATAACATCCTGAAATGAGGTATTGATTATCGGAAACATTGGAAGTGAGATGGTTTCCAGAGGTGTGAACGACCAATGACAATGCACTCACCCAATCATCATGAGGAATGCTATCCACGCATTTTGGAGCAGGTTGTGCTTCAATATATTCCAAAGTAATGGCTGATTCTGGCCAAATTTGAAGTTTTGTGAAGAATTTTGCAAGGCTTGTTCTCAAGAATATCTTCTTTCCAGGTTTATATTCGATCAAAAATTCAAAAGGAACATGTTTTGGATGATTTTCTTCTGAATGTTCTTGAATTAAGAGTTGATTGATGACTTCCGAAAGACCAAATCTTGTGAAATTAGAGGGCACTTTGAAAGCATTTTCCGAAACTTTTAAAGGGTAATTCTCTGTAATGAATTTAACTTCCATCTCCGAAGGAAATTGAGAGAGTAGAAAGATGGGTTTGTCATCATCGGCATTGTCCAATATTTCTTTAATGCTACTCTCTTGTGTTTGGGGCTCTTCTCGGTTGTCGCCATCATCGGAAGCATCATCTTGCAACAATCTTTGTTCATCTTCGTCTTTCATGTTGTTGTTTTCCTCATCATCATCACTACTACTACTTGCCCACATGTCATAGGTTGCTGTGGTTTCTTCGTGCTTTTTCTTGTTGAGATGTTGTTTGGACATTTTTTATCACTAGCGATGGTAAATATTCACAAAAAATTTGAACCGCGCCTGTTCTTTTGAAAGTGTGCTTTGGTTGCATTTGGTTGTTCAACAGTTTATTGGCAGAACGCACAACACAAGGGTTTTCATTGAGTATGCAATCACATCATGATGATGGTCATCGATGCTTTCCTTTGGAGTGAGATCGATTGGAGCTCGAAGTAGGTACAACAGTTGGTTTTCTCTTTGTGGATGACGACCTAGACGAAGAGCCTCTACGCTCAGAGACTGAAGAAAAACTGTAATCTGAATAGTCATCAGAGTTGTAAGGACTAGTTTGAGAAGAATACATGTCAGCATTGCTTGCTAATTCACTTTCATCCTCTGAAGTATCGTAATATGTTTTCTTTGGAGCTTTGTGTCTTGATTTCTTTTCGTCTGTAGTACTGGTGCGAGATCGTCGAGGTGATTCGAGAGGTCTTCCTCGTGACGGAGAGCTTGGTACTTTTCTTGATGACAACGCAGAGGAAGACGCCCCTTTTCTCTCGTCTTTTGTTGGAGTTTTGCTTCGAAGTGAGGGAGACATGGAACGAGAATTTCTGGTGGATGAGGTAGATGTTGAGGTGGGAATTAAGTGTTTTGGAAGGGCTGATTTGGAGGTTTTTGGAGATTCATAACCTGAAATTCTTCTTTCTGAAGATGATGATCGAGAGGTAGCTCCTCGTTTTTCAACGCTGGCTCTCCTAGTTGGGGATCTACTTCTCTCTACTCGTGGCGATGATGAAATCTTTGGAGATGGAGAACGAGTTGACCTAGATTTTGTGACAGAGCTTCGGCTATCGGAATGTACTTGTTGCTTGCTGAGGTAATACTTTGTGTTTTCTGCTCGTAATTGTTCAATTTCATTCTTTGCATTCCGTAACTCTCTCTTAAGGAGTATGACCTTTTCCTCAAGCTCTGGCGCCCTCTGGAGTTGATCCGACTGCTGGGCTAGTTGTTTCTTAAGCTTTTCAATCTCTGCTGTTTGAATGTGTAATTCACGCACTAATTCATCGTATTGTTTTCTTACATGCTTGACTTCGTTTGCTGACTCTACTTGAAGTTTTCGAAAGGCTTCCTCCACCTCTCTCTTTTCTCTAGTTAATTTCTCAATTCTTTGTCACATAGTTTGCCAATTATTCATGATTTAGATCTGTACAATTTCAACAGATATATATACTTACTCCTTATTTGGCTTTTTCAATTGTTCGTTTTCTGTTCTTAGATTTTGAATTAGATTTTTTAGTATTTCGATGTTTGGTTCCTCATACGCAAGTGGAAGAGGGTATCTAACACAATCGTACTCAGTGTAGTATATGACAATTAAATATCTAGTGTTGGAAGGTGTCAAAGATGCTTTGCTCGTCTCACTCTCGTCCATGGACGGCGTCGATGATGAACCTTTTGATGATGATGCCTTTTTTTGAAATAGTACCTCCATTTGGTTTTTCGTAATAAATTCAAGAGACACAGAATTTGACTTTTTCATCAATGCTTGATAAATCATTTTAAGAAAGGTATGGAATGGCTTGTAACTGTTTGCCTTGCTTGTCAACGTCTGAATATCTGTAATATTTAAGTAAAATTGATCATTGGATAATTGTTAATTTATATAAATTTCATCAGTATTCAAGATCCATAGTTATTAAATAAAAGATTTCGACATTTGAGTTTTATGATTGAGCACACGACCGAAAGTGTCAGCTACATACGTTGACTGCTATATCTTCCACACCATCGATCACAAGTTAACTTGTGTTCTATCGTTAAAATTAAATTATCAGCATCGGGTGTAGTAAAATACACCATGTAGGGTTCATTACCAAACGAATAGTCTGTTTTCGAATTGAACGTTTCGCCACTCCCATTCGACATTGTTGTCTTAATTTTTTTGTACTTTGATGGTTTGATTTTGGCGGGATTTGGATCGAGGCGGGATTAAAATTCGGTGTTGCTGAGGGATGCTGTTCTAATAAAATAATATTATTAATTAATACTATCATTATTGGTGAGTGTATCTCCAATGGTGCGGTGTCGCATCATGTCATTATGAATTTTGAAATTGGAATTTCGTCTCCAGCACAGTCATCATCATCACGAATAAAACGAAAATTTTCATATTTTAAAAAATGAGAAAATTCTTGCGGGCCCTGCTGGAACGAAAGCAGAAAACAAGAATTGAAGAATTGAATGAAAAGTATCTCGAAATTATGAGAAGAGGTACTAACGCTGGAACAGCTCAAGCTCGTTTCAAGAGAAGTACTGGTTTAGATGAAGAAGATGTTCTCACCGGTAAACAACACATTTTGCATAAACAAAGAAAGGATCGTTTAGCTTTCAAACCGGACAGAGAAATTCTCGAGAATAGTACTTATCCTGCCGAATTTCCAAGCACTTATGTTCCTGTACCAGAACCAGAAGTACCGGATCGTAGAGGTAGAAGAGCCTTGGGAGCATTATATAAATTGTACAAGGAGCTGTACAATCGTCATAGAAAATTTGTTTGGTTTAATGGATATGAACCATCCGTTCAATGTGCTGGTGTGTGGGTTGCTCCTTCTGCTACCGTCATCGGAGATGTTAGATTATGCGATAATGTTAATATTTGGTACAATGCTGTTTTGCGAGGCGACAAGAATAGAATTGAAGTTGGACCTCACACCAACATTCAAGATGGTGCTATTATAACTGTTGATGATAAGCCAACTCAGGCTGGTTTTGAGAGTGGTGTTGTCATTGGTGGACACACCACAATTGGACATGGTGCTAAATTACACGCTTGTCGTATCGGCAACGAATGTGTTATCGGAATGAATGCTACCATTCTCGACGGAGCAATTATTGAAGATAATGCTGTTATTGCTGCTGGCTCTCTAGTGCTTCCAAATACCAGAGTTGGGCATGGTGAAATGTGGGCTGGATCACCTGCTCGATTGGTCCGTCATTTGGGTCACCATGAGGAGCTTCAAGTCAAGTCAGATGCTTTAAATTATGTTGCTCTCGCTGAAAAACACTCATTAGAGTTCACAACAACCGGTATGGCCTACAAGGAAGTTGATCAACTTGTGGATAAGCTTGAAGAGCTTAATCCAGAAAGCAGAGATGACAGACCTGTTCATTGGGGAGTTTGGCACGAACAGTCAAAATCTGCTACTGTTCCTTTGTGGAAGAAGGACAGAATTCTCTAATTTCTTTAAAAAAAACATCACTTTCATTTCTATAACTATTTATAATGTTAATCATTTGTGTCGCATCCTTAAATTAAACCAATTGGATTTTTGAAGGTTTTGAGGGGAGTCAATGTCTCGCTCATTAAATTTCTATATTCTTGCTTGCAGTTGATGTTTGTGAGTTCTTTGTGCAAAGTAATGAGAACTCGTTCATCATTGACTTCATTGACACAAGCAAACATTCACATGTTTTCCAAATGGATGTCAAAAAATGAGAAAGTTCTTTCTGCTGTGGATCAAGAACTATAACCCTCTTGTTTTCCGAAATCAACTCCACAAATTCTTGACAAGTGATTGCCAATAAAAATCATCACCAGCTTCAGCTTTCAACACACACCGTCATCAACAGCAACGAAAAAAAATGTAAGTAAAAATTTTTTGTGCTCTCAAATTTTTTCTCTAACCAACAATTCTGTGATGATGATGATTTTAATGAATCTCATATGTTGTGGCTGATTAAAATAACCTTTGTGTTCTATGATTGGATCTCTGTTTTGGATACGGATATTATGATTTCGGTGGTGATGATTGGATGAAATATTTATCTGATAATTTGGTGATGGGATCATCCTCTATCTTCAATATATAGAACAATAACAACAACATCAAGAAATGATCTTCCTCGAGGCTGCTAACAAAATCATTCAAGAAGTGCTCTCCAAGCAATTTGATCCGTAAGTACTAACTCTCGTAGATTATCGACATCATCATCCAATCATTCAATGCGAATGATGGCTTACTCTGTTTTAATCAAACAAATCCTCCTTACTCCACGAAACTCGATGACTTTTTACAACACGATGGTTCTATTCACAACAACAACAACAACAATAACTGTTTAATCTCTTTATTGCCCAAAATAACTGGTCTCTCCTTATACACGACATCATTGACAATATTCTCTCCATTTAACTCCACTGGAACATCACCAATCTCTTTTCGGGTCTTTCCAATCACATCCTATGGCCTCTATTCAAAAACTCTGCTCTTCACTTATCAACAGAGCTACAAGAACTGGAGTTCGTGTGAACGGAGGTGATTTCGATGGAACTAAATTCGTTCTTGAAACTGATGCTGGTAACAAGAATATTCTCAACGTGTCAGTCTATGTTCATGGTGAAAAGGTTTTCACAAAATATGGTGGTATTGAATTGTTAAAGAAGACACTTCCTGGATTGACTGTCCAATCTCCTGGTCTCAAGGTTGAAGATCAAGTTCACACCTTCACCATCACTATCGATGTTGAAAAGGAAGAGAAGAATAAGGCAAAATGGTTGCAAGAAATTCCACGCTGTAAGACAACCTACATGAGTGCTGTATTCTTACAGGCCATGGAAAAGCACACAAAGGGTGAGACCATGGAACCAATTCAAATTCCATATAGACCAGATGAGAATATCTATCTTATCAGTTATAAGGGCAAGTCATTGGTTGCAGTTTACAGTATTTTGTTCCGTGATCCTGATGATGTTGTTTTGGCAAACGGATTTTTGTGTGAATTCAAGGATGCCAAGAAAGATCGTGCATTGAACGCTGCACCAAATATGAACTTTTCACAAGGGCAATTGGCTGGTGAGTTGGTTGATATTAAATCAGTCACTGAGCCACGTGATGAAAGAACATTGAAAAAGGAAGGATGGGGATTTGTTTCAATCAGTTTATTGGATGTTCACTTAAAGGCTGACAAGCAAATGAACACTGCTGAATTATTGATTGGTTTCCGTTCCTATTTGCACTACCACTTGAAGTGCATGAAGGCTTATATGCACATTCGTATGAGAGAACGTGTCGATAAGTTGATGCTTAACTTGAATGCTGCAAAGGACTTGAGCGGTAAGAAGACTGAAAAGAAGACCATGTCTGGTAAGACCTTTAAACAGAATTAGATGTGGTATTGTTGAACTTTTTGAATCTTGTAGCAGTAGCATTTGTCGTTGTTGTAGACACTTTTTGTTTTCACCTTTTCCTTATTTATTATTCAATACAATGAACATGTTGTTGAATTTTGTAAACTTAGAACATTGCATGCATTTGTCAATTTTATTTGCTTTTTCTTTTGGATTCAAATACATTCCTCACTTGTAAATTAAATAACGAGAGCGAACTCCATTAAAGGCATCTAAATCAGGTTGCCATGATTGTACAATTTCTTCTACGCTCACTTTTGGATCTAGGATGAGCTGGATGGTTTGGTCGTTTCCAATTAATGATTTGGCAAAACTGTTTCTCCACATGAGTTGATTCGCATCGTAGAGCTGCAGAAGTGATTTGATTAATGTCAACGAGATGGGCAAAAAGCTCTGGTAATATTCTGCAATTTGCGAATCTGATGCATTCTCGAGTGGTTTCAATACCAACCGAATGCCTTCACATTGCTTATTCGTATGAATATCCTGAGTAGGAATAAAATAGGTGGGGTATGAAATCTGTACATATTTAAAATACATTGCCAACTCTTTTTCATATTGAGAATGCAACAAGTTAAGCCATTTTCTTGAATCAATAAATGGAGCTCCAATGACTTGGAAAGGATTGGTGGTTCCTCTCCCAATCGACACATTGTACATGGCTTCAAACAATACCAAACCAGAATACAATTCCACAGTATCTATATTAGGAAGATTTGGGCTTGGCGGTAAATATAATATTGGTTGTTTGAAATATTCTCGAATTTCTCTGAATGACGGTCGATATTTGGAGTAGGTATTCAAAGAGTCATCCTTCACAGGAATAATAGTCAATTGATCTCCCATATTAATATTCATTTCTGTGTCAAATAATTTTGCCAACTCTCCCATAGTCATACCAGTGATGAGCGGTAACTTGTAAATTCCAATAAAACTTTTATACTTTAAATTTAGCATCGGTCCTCCAATTATACATCCATTCAATAAATTAATTCGATCTAAAATTGTAAATTTCACATTATTTTCTTTGGAACTAATCAAAGATTCACACATGGTGCTAATAAATGTAAAAGGTCTCATTCCAACATCTTGAATATCCAAAACGAGCATACTGATATTTTTCAACATGTAAGGCAATGGCTTGTATAAATCATTTCTAGAATGTTGATCATTATACAAGCTATAAATCGGTAAATGAGTCACAGGATCAATATAATCCCCAAAATATTGTCCTGGTGCTTTATCTCCATAAACTCCATGCTCCTAAATTGATTCTTTTTGGAAACAAAGTATGTTTTTCATCAAAATACTTACAGGAGCAAATAATGCAATTAATTTCAATTTTCCTTCATTCGATAATTCGAGCAACAAATCAATCGTGGATCTTGAAAGAGAGTAGGACTGTCCTGATGGATTAGTAATGAGACCAATCGAATGTCCATACAAAGGAGTGAGATAATTATTGACTCCTGGCTCAATAAAATTTCTCGTGTTCATTGATGGTTTAGGAAAAGAATCAATTTCATGATATTTTCTGTTCTTATTATATAAACGAAGAGAAGAGGTAGAAGGCTTGATTTCACGGGCATTTACATTAAATTCAGGGTGAACATTCAATGAAATGGAAAGACTCAAAGTAACAAGCAGAAGCAGAACTATTGACCTAACGGGAAGGAGTCTAGGTCCGAAAGTATACTCCGTATACTGATTCATCCTCTGTCGTTTCTGTGGATAATGATCATTACACGAAGCTGAAACGATCAATGAGTTTGAACGAGCAGCACATGAGTTTTGAGTCGCTTCAATCATGAAAGCCTTCATCCAAGAGACAGAAATTCTTCTTCACTTTTCAATATTTTTTTTTATTGAAAAAATTGAAAATATGTTTATTGGCCCTTCGGTGCCTCAGATGTGAAATAAAACTACATTGGACTTCGTTTTCGTGTCAGTACTACTTCGGAAATATGTCAATAGCTTTTGTCAGCGTATTTCAAAAATTAATAGAGTACATGCTTGTGTTGAGCTAACTGTTGCATGAAGCGGGTTGAGTTCATGAATTAAACAGGTAGTAGAAAATAAAGCAATGTGGTTGTTCCATTAATGCTCTTTTGAAATAACGTTTCAAATGATAAATGATACTTTTTGCTGTTATAATAATGATAATAGGATATGGTAAAATGGATATAAACTGATATATATATATATATATATATAAATATGATTTCCTTCTATAGGGAAAATTAATGAGGCACAGTAGGTGGAGAGCAATCTTGGATCCAATACAACGTAAGATTTTTCTTTCTTAACCTGATTGTCATTGCATGATGATTATTTGTGTAGCCTGCTGTTCTACCAAGGTGACAACTTATGACTTGTCCTAAAAGAACAGTGTTGATTTGATGCAGGTTCTTATTGACCTTATTATTTTTGAATTTTTGTTTGGAGTGTCTGAATTTGCGTTTGTTTGGATGTGATTTCTTTCTTAGTTCATTCTTATAAGTTGAAGTGGGTCGTCTAGAAGTGTTTTCAGAAGTATTTTCAGTTGGTTGTTGTTGTTCATCTTCTCTATGGTGGTTGGGGGTAATTAAAGGTTCATGTTTAAGAGATGAATTCAATATCTCTCTATCTCTCTTTTGTTCTTGTGTTTCTCTCTTGGTTTTGTACTATCTCTTTCACAGTGTTCGTTAATTCGGTTAGCTTTAAAATCATATCGCTTAGATTCTGGTTGATATTGTCAAGTCTCTTCTCTAAACGTTGGAGTTTCCAAGTATAGTCACGGTACCGTGGGTCATCTTGTGGTATTTTTTTTTTGAAATGTTTTATTGAAAAAATGTTTGAAAAAAATTCTCTCTAAAAAAATTTCTGTTGAGGAAGTGAAGGATTTCATTCATTGAATGAAATTCGAAGAATGAAATCAACCATGAGGTGAATACATGTCAAATCTCAACAATAAACAGCATGAAGAGAAGTTGACTTGATCATTTTGATTTTTTTTTACAGATATAAATAGTGGCTTGCATGGCTCTTCCTAATTCCCCAAGTGAAACACTTTTACGATCAATAATTTCCCAGAAATTTCGAGCAGCTAATTGAGCTTCCAAAAGTGTTTTTTCAATGGTCAATAGGAATAGAATTCCATCAGGTTTGATGATACGTTCTAATTGTTTCACAACTTTGGGATAAATTTTTGCATTTCTTGAATGACTTCCACACAACACTCCAAAAGGCATATCTGAGAGAACAACATCAATGGATTGAGATTTGAATGGAATGCTTTGAGAGTCACTTAACAGAATGTGAATATTTGTATGATGTTTGCAATTATGATTCATGACATTTGTCTCATCGGATGAGCAATCCAAATTGAATAATTGTATCTTGGGAGACTTGTTGAAAAAGAAATAATTTGCAGAGAGTGAGAGAGTTCCTGAACCAGCAAATGGATCTAAAACGTTACAAATCGAAGGATGTTTGGAAGAGAAGGCCTTTTCACACAAAGAAGCATCTTGCATTAATAAAGTTTTCCACAACAAGTAACTTGTTTGAGGTTTGAGGGTGGATTTTCCATAACTCAACCGAAAATCTTGTTTCGTGTAATAGTAAATGAGATCGAGCTCTGGAAAATTTTGCAGAGATGCACTCTGAGAATGGTTGGTACAATTTTCTACACTGTCAGATTCACCACCACCATCACTACTTCTGGTATCATCTGAGAAATGTCGAAGTCCATATTCGTGTAAGTAATGAAAAGGAGGCGAGAGAAGTAAAGCTGTAACTGCCCGATCAGTGTCCAAATAAATTAATATATCGATATCAAATTTCTTCAAATTCACACGCATATTCTTGCAAATATGTTGTCCAATTCCATAGCCATACTCTGAAGCAATCTCTACAGATGAATACGAATGACGGACTTGATGTGATTGTTTTCGAATAGCAGTCACTCTAAATTTAGTATTTTCTGAAAATAATACTTCTTGAGTTGGAAATTTCTTGGTATATAATTTTTGAAATAATTCAAAAGATTGCTTCCATGCCATCTCATCTTGAGTACGATATGGAATTTCATTCTTAAATTTTGAAAATGCACTTTCCTTGTCGAGTGGAATGTTTGGAACGAGTGAAATAAAGGAATACACACAATCCACAGAAGGCAATGCATTCAAATGTAAAACAAATTGTGAAATATGTTCCATAAATTGTTCACGAGAGTATTCCGATTTTCCAACCAAATTAAAAATTAAAAGCTCATTGTGTGAAAATAAAAATTCTGGCATGTGAAATAATTCTGCAAAATTCACATCCATTGTCATTTCAAATCCCTCTTCGGAATGTATCTTTCCATGTACACATGTTAATGTTTTCAATTTTCCTTTTTGTAATTTCGAATTTTTTGTTTTCAACAATCTTGCCATAGCAGTGGTTGGATAATCGAATAGATTCACAGAAGGCTCAAATCCATGATACCACCAATCTTTTTCAACTCCTTCATGAAAAACCGCTTGAATTTCACTCTTTACAATTTGTTCAAATCCTTGTGTGTGAGTGATGAGAAATTGAAATGAATGAAGTTGCGGTGGAGATGATTCCTCATGTGGTGGAGACGACGACACCTGCACTTGCTCTCGAATGATGATTGGATGGTAACTCTTTTCCGATGGGGTGTGTTTTTGTTGTGGTGTGAAGGAAGAACAGTCCGTACGAGTGGATGTGTCAAGAGTGAAATTCGAAAAGAGTGATGAAGAGGTGTTTTTGGACATTTTTTTACTCAAAGGCTTGCACATTCTGTTGAGAAAGATGATTCAGCAGGACCAATGAGTGATCGAGGCCATTCTTGTTTCTTTATTATTCTCTTCCTCATACCCAACGCATGTTCAAAGACTTTTTGTCAATTATTGTATTTCCATTCTGAACTGGATTTTTTTTTGAAAAAAATGAAACCACTACTCGAGTCTCATGCCACGAAGGATCATCATCCGTTCATGAATCAATCTCCGAGCTCGTCTCTACATTCGATTGATGATGCAAAGTGTTATTCATTAACAGATTTACCAGAAACCTTGTTTGTCGAAATTTATTCCTTTCTTTTTGAAATTCCAATAGTTCCCTATCATTCTCTAGGTGATCAAATACACAAGAACATTTTTGGGAACATGGTAGTGAATGTACATTGGCCTTTCCTCATACATGTCGGAAGATCATGATGGCTCTTGAACAGAATCCGAATTTTCAACTCACGAAGTTTATTCAATTTTATTGCTTGGGGATTAGAAATGAAAGATATGATGTCATTGAAGAATTGTATAAGGATGTCAATTCTGAAAAGGTGTGGAAGCAAATTATTCCTATTGTCATTTATTTGAATTTTCCACCATTGGAATATGTGGAATCATTGGATTTCAAAAAAGATGTTGTTCCATTAGAACGAAAATTTAGAAAAGCCTATCATTTACACACTTTCTTTGATTATGAGGATTTTCTTTTCAAAATTGATCGAATTGTGGAAATGTTGACCATGTTCGTGAATTGTGTGAGAAATGATATTCAACACCAGCATGCCACTCTCAATGATATTTCTTTCATTGAGTTGAATTTTCCAATTTGTAATGATTACTCCATTAACATGACATATTCTCAGCTGACTCAAATTTTACATGAGGCTGATAAAGTGGTGGCTGCTTGCATGAAATTATTCCATTGGAAGGCATACAAAAATTCCTACTTTGAAGAAATGTATATTGAAATTCCAGAGGAACTTCCAAGAATTAGAGAGAACTATCAACTCTGCGTTCAGCTTTGTAGCGCTTTAAAAGAATCTACGGAGAATAATCAAGATGACTTGAATAATCTCTTTTCCAAACTAAACTGCTATTACTGTGACAAACTATCTGCAGCCTGTAACTATTCGAGACAATTCTTCAACAAACATGTCGTTTTGCATGCACTCCATAACAGTAGTTGCCTCTCACAGGATGATTATGACAAATACGATCAAGAAATTATTGAGCGTGCAATATTTGCCAATGGTGAAAATTTGACCCTTTTACCTTCATACTTTCAACAGGAACAAAATGAGGACACACTAATGACAGCACTTCGGAGGGGATTACTTTTACACAAACTCTTATCCGACAATTATGTGGCTGATTCGCCCGATAGTAATTTTTTGAAAAGGAATATATTGTTTTTTAAGGCAATGGATATAATGTTGAAAGATAAGGATTTTGCATTTGATGTTATCAAGACACTGGCACGAGAGAAGAAGGGACTTAACTGTGTGGCTTATTATGTCAAGAGACGTCTCATGAGTTTGGACAATGTTGTGGACTCATTCAAATTTAACAAGAACAATAACTGTCTCTTGTTTGATTGGGAAATGATGTATTTAATTCTACATGCTGACGCACATTCATATCGACCAACCATGTATTACAGGTCACAAAATACACATGCAACACATTTTGTGAAGGTATTGATGAAATTAGAAAATGACACCATCGCTAATATCAACATATCTATTCCAGAGCTTCCTCATGACATTAGAAATTATATTATTGAACATAACAAGAAATTCTTTGACGTATTGCTTAAGGAAGAATTGATTTCAATTAGGGATTACAGAGATGTCTATGATCATGACAACGAAGAGTAAAAAGTATTGTTCTTTTTTTTCGTCAAGATAGTCATCCATCATGATGAAGAAGAGGTTGTCTCGAAGAGAGGAGCGAGCACTCTTTCAACACGTGTATTTATTTTTCTCATAATTGCCATGATCGTTGTGTATGACCATCTCTCTCATGAATTCTCCAAATTTGGATCTGCAACTGTCAAAAGTCTTCTCTTAAAAAAATGTCTTCTGCGTTCATGGATGCTCCGTTGCTAGATTTTACTGTTGGAACAAATAATGACGACAACAACAATACAAGTAACCCATACAATCCATACAACATGGTCAGCAATCAAGGATCATCCTCTTCATCAAATTCCGCATTAGTCGAGTTACAAATTTTAGAAAAAGCCAAACAAATCGATCAAATCAAACTCCAATTAATCGAACACAGATTCAATACAAAAGTTATTATTGATGATGAATATCGATCCTTTTTGAAGAATCAAATTGGACAACTTCATGTCTTGGAGAGTCAAATTGCTCAACTCCGAATTAATGATCACAATGAATTTATTAATTCATTAAAATTGGATGATTTGAATGCAACCAATCCTGTAAAAAAGAACTTGGTAGAACCTGCGGTGGCAAAAGTGGATGCACTCACAGTCAAGTCATTCCTGTCAAAGGCTGAAAAGAATAATGCCATGAGACGTTGGAACAAGGCGATTAATGCAGTGAGAGGTATTAGTAAATTTTCGCAAACGTATGAGAATGCAAGAATTAAGAAGGCAGAGGAGATTTTAAAGAATCCAATTTCGGCTCAGTATGTACAACTTGTTGTGTGAATTTCACAAGGCGTTTGACATTGTTATTTTGTTTATTCGTGAATTTATGAACACACCATTCTGTGTTTAACAAAATGTTCATCAATATCACATAGAATGAAGAATGAAATTCTCGAGTTGAGAAAGTCACTTGTTATTTTGAATAACAAGAAAAAGTTAACTCCAGATCAAGAAATGTTAAAGGAAAAGTTAGTTGAAGAATTGAGAGAGTTAGACAAGAGATATCATGATCAGTTTTCTCAAGAATAGACCTTTGTCCAAATCTATTTATTTAATAACTGAATGACATGAATTGTAAATAATAGAATGAGGTATTGAACTTCTTTTTTAACATCCACACATAGTTTTTATTCAATAATCTCATTAAAACTTTTCATTTGTTTATTGTTGAGAAAACATTCCATGTTGGTCCTTGCTTGCGACACTTTTCGTACAAAATTTGCACATTCTTCAATCCAGTTAAAGAGACAAGCATGGAGCATTTACTTTTGAGATCAGAATATTTCTTTTCCTCTGTCAGAGAGGTCTGAATCTGAAACAAGTCAGAGGCAATTCTCTTCTGTAAATCAGTCGCTTCGTTTTTGTGACCTATTAACTCATAACATGCATGCAAGTCACTCTGTGTTTTGTTCCAATACATGGATAAATCTCCTTTCGAAAGAGTTTTCATGGTCGAAACAATGTCATGAGAGGAACAAACGGATTCTTCTTTCAAATAGTCCATAAAGTAGCAAAGGAATGCATTGGAAACTTTTTCAAAGGTTGAAGGTCCAATCAAAATAGACGAATTAAAAAATCGATTCAATTCCATTAGTTTTGAGGCAAACTCTAAATTCTTTCCAAATACACTAAAACTAAGAGATTGGTTGGTTCCCACATTTCCACAAAGGAATTTTCCCGAGTTGATTCCAATGTTCACTCGAATTTTGTTTTCTTCAGAAAAGTGCTTTTTGTTTAAATCATTTTCAATGGCTTCCATAATTTCTAATGCAGTAATACATGCATGCATTTCGTGATCATTGACGGGACATGTTGATTCATTAAAGAAGCATGTGATACAGGCAGAATTAAACTTATCCACAAGTCCACGACGATTGTGAATAATGACACAAACGCATGTCACGTAATTATTCACAATGGTTAACAATTCTTGAGGTTCTAACGATTCGGACATCTTGTTAAATCCTTCAATGTCACAACAGAGTACACTCATGTGTTGCTCGCTCATGTATATTTCACCACAATCTTCGTGCTCTTTTTGTAATACTTTTTGGACAATGACTTCAGGAACATATCTTTGACCAAAATTAGAAACACAGCGAATCGTGATGAGTTCAATCAATCAAAGGAACAGAAGAATAGATACATTGTGAATCATGTCAACGAACTCTAAAAAAACTTACTTGGTAAAAGTATTCAATCGTTTTCTCATAATCGAAATGTATTCTTGCATCTCCTTAATATCACTGAAAAAACTTGAAGGTTCCTTTTCCTTATCCATATCTGAAAGATTGGTTAATTTTAACATGTCTATAGAAATTTGATGTAATGGATTGCTAATGGCTTTCACAAAAAAGAATAAACAAAACATTCCAAATACGAAAATAATCACAAAAATTACAACGCTTGTAATTCCTCCTGTGACCACCTCATCTGCAAAAGATGCTTTTCGAGTCGCCACTGCTACTCCCCAAGAAAGATTATAAATATCTGTAATAAATGTTAACTCAACATCTAGAATTGCATCGATTCCATTATAGGGATATCGTTCAATAAATTTAGAGCAAATTCCTTTTTCAACTTGGCATGTGGTCGTGTTGAGGATGGATAAAATGTTTCTTTCTCTGTAGTTGTCAATAATTCTCTGAGCAGTCAAATATTTTGGTTCATCGTCATCCACATTGACAGCAATAAGATCACCATTAGCATTTGTAATAAATGCCAAATCTAAATCTTCAAATAGAACACTCGAATTCTTCAACAAGGAACTTAGTGCTGGAGATAAAAGTTGAAATGCAGCCACTCCATACAAGTAAGACGGATTTTTCAGAGATGCATCCACCAACTTGTCAGGAAGTGTGAAAGGAGCTTTGGTCACATTGGAAAGCGTACTAGTGTTCACATACACAGGAATGGTTACTGATATGCTCAAATCTCCAGCTGAAGAAATATAAACAGGTGACCATCGAATGTTCGTGGAGGGATTGTCACTCCTCATATAAGGAGTGTACCATGGTCTCTGAGTGGTAACAATAGATACGTTACAGATCGAATGAGAGAAGTGATCGGCAAAATATGCTTCTGTCATTGGTTGAGAGAAGTTCGAGCTGAAAAAGTATTGACATTGTGCTCCATCAACAATGGATCCATTTCGAATGGTAAATAAATGATCTCGATTGTATCCAACGTAGATATTGTCGTATCTGGCAAATACTATGCCACCAATGGGAATGATATTTCTATAAATACCAGCCACATAATGAAATAAGGTAAACCAATGCGTCGAGTTGGTGACATCGAAAGAAGGATTTGATAATTTAAACAGCATGGAATTAACTGCAAGAGAAGTATAGTCTAATAGATGAGATATTTCATAATTACTGAATGTCTTAATTTGTAATTGTTGAATTGATTGAGTATTCTCTGAAACACGTTGTCCACTTGTATACAGTAATATAAATGCAGAGGATATTCCAAATATCCCTTGTAAAATAAATAACAATAATAAACAATTTAAAATCGTGAAACACCGAGGAGGATGGCACATAAATGTCAATTGTCCCAAACAGCAAATTTTCAGCCATATCCAAAATGAATATTCACTTTCAATGACATGTTCTTCCACTTCCTCATCATGTATTTCCTCAATGGCATCTGTCATGAGTCGAATTTTATGTGGTGCATGTTTGTTGGTCTTGTTTGTCGTCTGTGGAAACAACGTCGACGACGAAGAATGCTTTATGGCATTGTCCTTGACCATCTTAATTCGATCATTCTTACCCAACACGACATAATCAGGAATGAAAAGTGAACGTAATTTCATTGATAATTTCGAGGAGGAGGAAGAAGAAGAAGATGGTTCTTGTGGTGGCATGTCCTTGTTGGAATTTGCTCCTCCTCCTCTTTGATTTCTTATGGTTCGGAACATTCGGTCGAAATTGGTCCTTGTGGAGGAAAAGTGAGAAACACAACAAAAGTAGGAAAGAAAAGCCTCTAACATGATTCGGCATGTAAAGTTGTTGTTGTTGGAGGATGAGGAGGAGGAAAATTGATTCAGACTTTGATTCTGAGATAGGATGGAATAGTTGGGAAGAGGAGGAAGAGGAGGAGAGGAAGATATTTCATTCCCTCGGGGAGGAGAGGACGAGTGTTTTTCGGTTGTGTTGGTACAGAGTTCTTCTTTCGATAATGAGGTTGATGATGATGGTTGTGGTTGGGGCGGACTCATCTTCATTAATTCTTGAGGTTGTTGTTGTTGTTCAACATGTTCTTTTCGTTGTTTGTCCTCTTCGTTCATCATGATGATCCTTGTGGCCATTGTATAGTTTCTCCGGATTTGCATGGGCACACCCTAGGTCCAATACAAATTTTAATGAAATTCGGCAATCCAACTAACACGCAACGACGACGAGATTCAGAGAATTTGGAGGAAGTATTTTTTTGGTGGTCGCTCCGACCTGAAATGGTCATCACCAACAACAAGATTGTTTCAAAGAGGTTGACGCGTTGAAATTGAGAAAGTTCGCACAATCTTTAAGGGCTTGAGGGTTTTCACCATTTTGAGAGCATTTTGAGACGAGATCGTTTGAAGGAAATGCTGATGGCGCTCAAATAAGTCCATCTGTTCTGAAGATGGCAAGACAAACCCCTTTCAGTGATGTTTACTCTTGATTGTAACCGCTTTCCTTAATGAAGGAGAGTCCTTTTGAATAGTTGGTGGTTGTTTCACTTGTTTTATTATGTATTAAAATCAGAAAAGCTTCTTTAATGGCTTTTAATTCCTTGTTTTCAAATTTGTTTTGCAACTCTAATGATTTCGAATGAACAAACTATGATTTGGATTAAATCACTTTTCGATTTTGGAGAATTTTCTCTTGTTTTTAACAAGATTTCCCTGTTTTAATGCATAGAGTCAACATTTGAGTTTCTCCTCACTTTGAAGAATTGGTTAACAAATTGGCCAAACAAAGATTCAAAAAATCATGAACTTTACAAAGAAGAAGAAATTGCAAAAAAAAATTTGAAAAAAAAATGTCTTTGCAAGATCCCATGACGATGAGCACTGAGGAAGATGACTTCGAATATGTTACACTTGATCAATATCTTCCGAATGAAATCAAAATGATGATATTTGAATTTTTACCTGTTCAATCCTTGTTTGTTGTTGCGAATAGAGTTTGTAAAGCCTGGCATCAGTTGTTGTGTGATGAAAAAAACAAATTTGTTTGGTTCCGATTGCTCTCAAATATTTTGAAAACGAAATTATTAATTTTGAATGATGATGGAAAAAAGATGACAAAGCCACAAGAAATGATGCAATTTTTATCGTGTGTTCAATGGAGAAAATTACTCAAATTTATCACTCTCAAAGAACGTTCGATTATTCACAATTATTACTTACAACAACAGGAAAAGAAAGCTGAATCGGAAAAGAAAACACTTACACAGCCAGAAGATCCTCCAAGTGATGGTGATGATGATGAATGGGATGAAATGGACAATATTGAAGAAACAACCACTCCAAGCACTGAAAATTTACCACAGCACATGCAACCCTCTTCAACCTTGTTAACTGAAAGCGATGCTCCTCAAACAATTCAACAAATACCTTCAAACGAACCACCATCAAGCCTTGACCTATTCAAAGAAGATGCAGAAACGATACAATTTACTTTCAAAGAAAGAACTCTCATTTGCAAGCCAATTAAGGCAAGCTCAACCGACTTTCCCAGCCAAGACATTCCAGAAACGCGAAATGCTCTCAATACAAGATCATTCTGGTCGTCAACAGGCTCTAAAGACAACAAAGAGAATGAATATCTCATTTATCAGCTGCAGGATCCTTGGTTTGTTGTCGAAAGAGAACGCAAACTTCAAAAAGTGAAGGGTGTGAAAAAGTGGACCGAGTTTTACAAATACGTGGGCGTTAAAAACGCCAAAGAGGGTAATTCTGATAACACCTCCAACCATGAAGACAGTATCATGTCGTTTGATTCACAAATTGGAGGATTATATTTGGAAAAGTTTACACTCAAACCATTCATGGCAACGTAAGTATTTCTTGCATGCAGGAATAGGATAATTTTACTTTTCACCATGCATCAAAATTGAACAATGAATCACTTCTATATAGATGGCAAAATAATAATTGTTACGCTCCCAAACAAGTGTCTCTTTCGGTGGCTAAAATTTCACCCACTATGAAACTTGAGGACTTGAAATTTGAAGCATTAGATAATTCGGAATATCCTGTTCAAAATACAAACGAGTATCATCAGTTTGAAACAGGACCGTTTATCATTCTGTACAGAAGAGACAACAATGTTTCCCTTCCTCCAAGTGCTGAGAATGCAAAAACTGAAGATGCAGTGCGATCTGAGACGACTCGACCAATAAATTCCAACGAAGAGGAGGCAGAAGAATCAGAAACTGAGGAGGAAGTTGAAGAGAGTGAACATGGCATAAGAGTAGCAATCACAGATGATGATCTTTTTCATGCACTGTCACGATCAGGTGGAGTTGTCAATGACGCATTCTATCGAGAGTTGAGAGCAATTTTGGAAAGAAAGCTTGCTGAAAGGAGCAGAGAGAGTGAAGAGAACAAACTGTTCCAACAATTGACTGCAAGAGAAGAGGGAAATATTTTAGTGAGATTCAACTTGATAGGAAAAGGACAAACTCAACCAACTGATAACTTGTACTATACATGCTTGGAATTTGTGGACTTGTCAGGATCGGCCTTTGTTCTTTGATTCATAGATTCCACACATGCTCAGTCACATTGTGAAATTTTTGGATCCTCCACATCACTAACTTTGGTTAAAAACTTGAAAAAAGTGACCCTATGAATTCTCTCAATGAAGTGCCTCTCAATGAAAGGTTTTCTAATAGATGTCTCTCTGAAGTTTTTACCTTCTTCCCTATATCTGAACACACGTTCAATAACACTGCAATAAAAAAAAAAGCACGTGTGTGAAGTGGAAGGTTTAGGAAATAAAAAAAATGGCAGAAGAACGCTTCCGCAAGTACGAGTAAGTGGAAAGAAATGGATTTTTATCGTCATCTTTGCAATTCCGATGGCCTTGAATTCATCTTCTTTACATAATTTGGTGAATCATTTGACTATTACTTTCTGAATGACTGAATATCTAGTTTTTCCAATGAAAAGAATTGGTTGAATTACTTTAATAATTTGGAAATTGCTGATGGGAATTACATGTCCAACACCACCCTAGAGAAGTACAAGAGACGATGGTACAATAAGAATGTGGAGCCTATCTCTTTGGAAGTTGGAGCAGCAAGTAGTAGTAACACCTCTTCTACTTCCGAGGCAACCTCATCCCAACAAGCCTCATCATCATCTTCTTCCTCAAATCAAACGACAAATTCTTCTAGTAGAAACAACACCAATGCAACACATAATAGCAATACTAATAGTGGTAGTGGAAATCAATCGGGCAACACTTCGTATGGAGGCTTTTGGAATGCTTTTCAACAACAAAAACCTTATATTTATACCGCAGCTTGCAGTGTGATTGTAATTTGTGGTTTATTGGGTTTGATTTCCATTTTGTTTTGCCCAACCTGTGGTGCAGCACAGTCAGCTGCTACGGTACCACCACCTCCAATTTCTAATTCACCTCAATTCGATCACGAGTTTGAACTGGATGATACGGTAATTCCACCTCAGCCACAACAAACTATTCCAGCTTCTCCATCTAGACCCTCAATTTCTCCATTCATGTCACTTTGCATGAGCAGTTATTATTTGAGTGTTTTGTTGTCGTGTGGAATTTTTGCTTTTGAATTTTTATCCAAGTATGGATGGAAAAAGTATGCCTACATTATGTTTGATGCCGATGGTCAATATTTATTTATTTCACTGTTTTATTTGGTTTCAGGAAAGTCTGGAGTTTTTATTTTGCTATTGATGCTCTCTGCATTGGTGCGATTATTGCCAAATTTACTCATTGTGACCAACAACAATCCAAAAGTTTTAGCATTCCAACAAAAACTTTATCAATATGATTTAGGCGACAAATTCGCAAGATTTGAATTGTTCCTGCTCGTCAACGAAGTATTGTCCTTCTCCATTCTCAAAATCATTTTAATTATTAATTTTATTTGCCACCGTTACATTATTTTCCCTCACTTGGCAAACTATATTCATGCCATTAAGGCCGCTCTCGATCAATACATGCCGAACATGTTGCGAGGAGTTTACACAAAGATTCGCGAATATCTATCCATGTATGTTGTCTCACTCCAGCAGAAAAAAACCCAACTCGATGCTCAACATTAAACTCGAACGAATATTTATTGCACCTTATTCCACTCCATTCCAGAAATGCATGCATGGAATCACCAAAATACATGTTGGTTTTGAATGTTCAGTAAAAAATCGGCTCTCCAAGTTAGGTTGAATTCTGATGTCGTTGTTCATTTGTGTTTGAGATTTGAGAATGACACGAGCCAATTAAGACGAAATGTGAAAATTGTTGAATTTTAATATGAGTTGTGTTTAATATGATATGATCATGAGGACAACCATCTGTTGGAGTATGGGAGCAATTAATTGGCTAATTTGAAACTAAAGTGGGATTTAATTGTAAATTCAAAAATTCAAAGTAATGATTGACTTGAAGTGAGTCAGAGTAAATTAATACATTACAAAGGTGATGAAAATCTAGCAGCAGGACCATGTAGAGGTCAGTGTGATGCTGATGATTAAATAGAATATAGAGGATTGGAGTTTGGAAATGTTGCGAGCATGGAAAAAAGCTGCGAAATGTGACCATCTAAAGGCCCACATATTTACAAAAAGTATTCTGGGGTCAGCTTTTTCTGTCCCATTCCAGTTGTGCTGTTTTCCGAACGTGGAGCAGGGTCGAATTGAAGGAAACTGCAGTTCAACAAATCATCTACCTCCATAATTGCTGCCTTATTGCCGCATCTGTAGCAATAGTTTGGCGCAGAGAAAATTGTAACGACATTGCCATCATGACACCAGTTATATCCTTCCATGACCAATTGGTGAGCACGGGCAACCATTGTTAAATCGTTATTGTGATTAAATTGTTCACTCACATCCTGTCCAAATGTGTAACCAGCACCTCTAGGTGAAATTCCCCAACTGCTTCGTTCATCTGGATCGGACCACATCAAATCACACATTGGACCATCAAGTGGAATTTCTTGAACTCGGTCCAGTGTTCGAATGTGATCAAGAGAGTCGATAGAAGGAGAAAGACCACCGTGTACACAAAATATCTGTTTGTCAATTTCGGCTGCCAATGGCAGATAGTCAAAAACATCTGTGAGCATCTTCCACACAGATTCACTTCCGTATTTCCTCACGCATTCGTCATAGAATCCGTATACTTGTGTAATTTGTCGACTTTCGTGGTTTCCTCTTAACATGTGGAGTCGGTTCTTGTATCGCAACTTGAGACAAAGTAAAAGTGTAACGACTTCCACACTGTGATATCCTCTGTCTACATAGTCTCCAAGAAATAAGTAGTTCGTGTTCGGTGAATCACCACCAATCTTAAAAAGCTCAATCAAATCATAAAATTGGCCGTGAATATCGCCACACACCGTCACTGGCGACTCGACCGTAATAACATTTTTCACTTGAGAGAAGTATTCTTTGGCCTTCAGTGCAAGGAATCATCGCGACGCGAGCGATTCAAAAGAAATTCATAGTGCGGTATAGCAAGAACATGTGATCATTGTGATGACGCCAACAATAACAATATCATCACCACGGTTACTCTCACAATATTATCAGAGGTCATCATTAAAACATACCATTGTGCAAATCTTCTTTACATCAGCTTCCGATAGATGTTCTCCTCTTCGCAGCTGTTCAATGCACTTATCTAAATCTGCCATCTTTTGAAAAAGGTAGTTGTGGTAGGAAATGAAAGAAAGGAAGGAAACAACACAAGGATCGCACAGCCACTCTAGCGAAGCGTCGTTACTTGAATATTTTTTATTTTTTGTCGAGATGCTGCTTTACAAAACCCTGTGATGGTGGCGCCAGCCTTTATGCTGTTGTTGTTGGTTGTTTGTTGCCCTACCAACAACGTCACAGAATGAAGGCTTGTTGTGGAGGAATGGGCATGAAGATATTGTAGTAGAAGTAGTTGTAGTGGATTTGATCATGATAACACGGAAAGGATACAGATTCATCTTGAAGGAAGGAAATATTGGGGAGGAGATTTAAAAAGATAACTGTTCGTGTATGATGATGGTTACCATCCCTCGTGGGAGAAAGCTTTACCTGTGAGAGTGATGACAGAGTGGTTCTTCAAGAACTGAGTTGTATATGTGATAGTAATTGAATTCAATATCCATAAAAACAAATGATGATTATGGAAAGAGAACATATCGATGTTTTCAATTCAAAATATTAATCCATATTGGGTCGTCAGAAATATAATGCATGTGTTCAAAAGCAAGATGATGAAAAGTATAAACAATTTTTGGTGATGATGATGATGTCGTGTTTCATAACACTCACCTCTTTATCCAAGTCGGGGTATCTCAAGAAAGCACAACCTCCCTCCTTGTCTGGAACATGATATGGATCCGGATGAACATATTCTTCAACCCAGTATTCTCCTCTTTGCAAAAGGAATTCAATTTTTGAGGTATCTGTCTCTCCTTTGTATTTCTCGAATTCTTCTCTAATTTTACGTGCTTCAACACAGAAAACATCCCTCTCGGCACTGTATGAAATTTCTCGCAAAGCTCTTCTGTATAATTTAAAAATACGTTGTGAGAAGGGTGAAAGAATGGCCATTTTTTTGATTGTAAAGATCCTTCATGTATGTTTGCCATCTTTTTCACAATACTTTCAAATAGGTCCACCCCATGGTTATGATTTCACTCTGATCAAATGGTAATGGCCCAATAGAACCAATGGTCAAAATAAGTCCTGATGATTGGAAGCACATGAAAGGTGGTCAAACAAAAAGTGTTCAAAGTTCCTTCCACACAAAAAATCTTCAAAAATGTTTTCGTTTCAATCTTTGAGTTCAACTTCCTCCAGCAGCAGCATCAACACGAGTTTGATCAGCAACAATACTAGTAGCAATAGCAACAATAATTACATTAGATGCTCTCAAATATTGGAACATATTCATCAGCAACAAAACCGAAACTCGGGAAGAAAGTCTTCGTTTTTGAAAAACTTTATTCCTTCATCAACACTTTCTTCCGAAGAGAACCCAACATTGTACGATCCAAATACAATATCCATTCATCGTGTACAACATGTGTCGGGCCACTTGGCTGTGCATTTATTTAATGGAAGGATGATTATTGGTCTCGATTATATTTCGGTTTCAAAATTGAATAACAGTCATTCTCAAGACCAATTATATTTGAATTTATTAGAAGCAATTAAGAATTTTGTCGACTCCAAATTCAATGCACATGACACGACTTTGAGCCCAATCCTCTATTGTTGTGATAAAGATCCTTTTGTTTATAGTGATTTTGAAATCAGAGAAGAAACAGCAGAACAATCAAGTGGATATAATTTTGGAAATAATTTTGTGAGAGATTTGCGCGTGGTTCGATATATTACAATTTCTAAAACCGGCAATGTTGTGGTGTGGAGATATTATGAAGATAATTCCACTTGGAAGGTCGAGAATACTTTTAATATTATAGGGAATAGCTCCAGTCTCAAAGTGGAGTTTGTGACTGTGGTTGCGGATAGAAATATCTTATTTAGGACGAACAGTCCATCAGAAAAGAATGCCTTGAATATATACTCTTCTTCTGGTAGCCATTGTGTGGTTTTTAATGATAGCAGCGATAACTCTGAACATGTTATTTATTCTATTTTACAATCATCACATAGTATGAGCAAATCGAATATTTTGTTAATTTCACAAAATGAAATAATACTCTTTGATTTAAAGAATAAGAAGACATTATCAAAAATTGAAAATGTTTTCAAATTTAATGATATCTCAAGTAATTCTGACACGCAACAACAATCAGGTGCAGATTCACTATTTTATATTGGACTAGTCATTCATCCAATAACGAAAGAAATTATTATGATGGATACTAACTTTAATATCATTATTTATTCAAGTGAGCTGTCACACTCAAAGAAATTAACTATCAACAAGTTTAGTCTCAAAAAAGAGAATATTCCGAAAATAGATATGGCACTAATTTACAACATGTTTCTTGCTGTTTATGATGGAAACTCCAATATTTATATCATTGATCTAGCGAATGGATGTGTAATTTCGAATTTAACTCTTCCCAGCGACATGACGAATTACAAATCCAGTGGAAATTTTGCTAGATTTTTTGGAAATGCTACCCAATACTCTTGCAATAGCGAGCCTTCTACATTGTATCTTCATGATAGCTCACTAATCTATGAATTACGCTGTCCTCCTCTACTTGATATTATCAGGAACAGCATCACTGGCTCTTCTTCTGCGAGTTGTATCACCTCTAGCTCGTCTTCACAGACATTTAACCATTTACTTAAAGACTTTAAACTGTTTAACATTTACACAAGAAACATTTTGGAAGAAATTCACAACAATAGTAGCGGCACCCACAAATTGAATCATGCATCTTCTTCAACTATTGATCTGAGAAAATCAATTTTACCACATTTGGAAAACCCAGCATTGATTTGGACAAGCTGCAGCACTGTGCACGAGCAAGAAGCTTTTCTAAACGAATGTGAACAGTTTATCGATAATTTTCCATCCAAGGACTCGAAATTTTGGAAAAAGCCAACATCCAGTTCTTCAACAGGTGAAAATTGGGAGAGTTCCTCCGTACCTTCTCCGTTATCGCCTTCGTTATCTCCCTCATCAAGTAAGACAAGCCCAACAATGGGTGGATCTTCCCCTTCCGCATCCTCCTCCAATCAGTTGTTTACTAAAATGACTACATTGAATATGAGTATTGTTCCTCCGCTAACCTCTTCCCTATCTATTTGTAAGGAACAAATAGGAAACCTCGATGTGAAACAAGCAGTTGCTTCCTTAGAATGCAACGATCACCAGGGAGATAGTACAAAGCAACTTGATGTCAAAACTAGCACATTTATGGACAATCTGACGGATATCGAGCTTTACGACATGATTGAAAATGATCCACAAGCAGTTTTGGATTATTTACTTGATGTTTGTGATCTTTCTATTTTCAAGAGTATTATACACCAATATTCCATGGAAGAAAACATAGATGAGAGAAGTGACAGCAGCAAAATTTATGGTATTTCCATTCCTGGAGCCTCTGATTCCAACATTAGACCTATCACAACATTTGTAAACTTATTTGAGCAAAATTTTGAGGATTCTATTAGCCCCTTAGAATTGTACAAAGTTGAGGAGAACAGAAATGAAGATTTTGTGGTTTATCAAAATAAGGTCACAACTGCACTTGAACCAAAGCGAAATACGAATCATACTAGAAAGGGTTTACTCTATTTTGAAATGGTCATTCGATTACTCTTTTTCCATACCAAATGTCCTCAAATTATTTTGGTTTTGATTGTCATGATGGAAGAGCACAAATTGAAACAATTCAACGCTCGAAGAGATCAACTAAAATCTGAAATTGATCAATTGGTCAAGAAGAAGCAATCATCAAGCTCTTCACTCTCATCCTTGACAGGAGGAAAAAACTATCAATTGGAACAATTTAACTTGCAAAGTTTACAGAATGAGTACAATGAACTTTCACGAAAGTTGAAACAAAACAATATGAAGGCAAAATATAGCAAGGAAATTCAAAGAATACTCACCTCCTATGTCGACTTGTTCGATAGTGAGCAGCTTCAACCATTCATGGAGATCGCTTCAAGATTTTCAGATATTCAAGTGAAAACCATGGCACAAGTTTTTATATGGCAAGGAAATCGACTCGATGCACTGAGGATCTATCTTTCACATGACAGTCCCAAACTTGAGGAACAAGTCATCAAGCTCGTGTCGACCTATCTTTCACAACAGTCAGGCATCACGAATGTGAGCTTGTCCATGTCATTAGGAGGAACAGCACCCCTTGAAGAGCAGTATAAGGTCCTGAATTTACTTTTCGATTTTTGTCTCAATCCAAAAACTAGTAAGGCGACTTCAAAGACCAAAAATTCTCTTCTCACTTTTGCATGGCAAATGATGCCCTTATCCTACAGCGTGTTTGATTTCTTTTCCAAATATGATCGATACAGAATGGAAGCACATGCGAGTAGCAGAAGCGAAAACAAGAGTGACAAGAACAATGAATTGTCGACACTTCCTCGTGTGTTTGTCTCGTCCGATGTTGATGATTCAGATCTTATTGGAGATGATATTGCATTGTATCTTCAAGGAATTGGATCATTTTCAAACATGAAATTAAGAGCTCAACAAATGAAATAGATCCTTTTTATTATATTTTCGAGATATATTGCTTTTTTATTGGGATGTTGTTGGATATTCTGAAATATCTAGCGTTATGCTTTAATTCTCCACGGCCAAGATAATTGTCATTTCAACTGCTCATTGTCAACCACAACCCAGTTTGACACCATCATTAAGAAGACGGTATTGTGCGGCTTAAAAAATAGAACTGATCATGAATACCACCTACTCCACCTTCCCAAAAGGAGACAAGCCTAAGAACGCACCAAATGTTTCTTCCATTCCTTGTGAGGGATGTGGCCGTGTTGCTTCATTCCAGATGTCTATGATGATGACGAGTTGGAATGCGGTTGTGGAGAACCTTGTGAGTTTCCATCCGGATATATGCATTACTGTTCTAATAGATGCTTCAAAGAGAATTGTTATTGGCTACTATTTGGCAATGTTCTGGTGGTAGAGGACGAGTGAAATGGATGTGGATGCCTGCAAGTATTTGAAGTAAACATTAAGAAGGGGTTCAGATCACTAAAAAGACGAAGGAAGAATAAGCCAATGCAAAACAAAAAGACTGTCGACTTATTTGAATTTCGTTGTAAATCTTGATCAATATGAAACCAACCAGGATTTATTCCACTGGAATTCTTCTCACGTGTTGTTGTTGTTGCTGTTGTTCTTGTTGTGAGGAAATGTTCCTCCATGGTCCGAACCCGAACACTCTTCCATACATGCTGCTCTTGCTGGAATAGAGGCCCAAGAACATGACTCTTATCACAAACACCATTAGTGTGAGAACGGTCGGGAATAACACTGGAAGAATGGGCCATAAGAACTCTTTCGTTCCCAACACATCGGCTCCAACCAACAGCAAATTATTTGGTAGAGTATCCACGAGAAGGTATTTCCAAACAAAGCCCATATGAAGTAAATCACCAACACAGAGAGACAACATGGTCCAATGGAAGAGAGGAACTCTCTCGATGAGATACGAACCATTGGAATGTGCCAAGTCCTTATAGCAATGCCTAAGAAGTAAATGATGAAGCACTCCAAAGGCGAATAAGACCATACCAGAGAAACGAATCAGGAAAAAGATCAAGTTTCTCAAATCATTGTTGGAAGCAAGGGATGAAAGGGTTGTTGTCGTTGTGGTGGTTGTTGTTGTGGTTGTTGTCGTTGTGTGCAAGGGCAGGTTTCCAGTGAGTATGACTTCCACTAAATGTTGAGGCATGAAACTCCCCAATACGAACCGAACATTAGGGAATAACATTAACACACTCCCAAAGAACATTTCATAGACAAAGGGTTCCCAATACATGAGTGTAAGGAACATTTTCAGAAAGGGAGTGAGTTTGAGTGGAGTGATCGAGGACCTCGATGAAGAAGAAGGACCTCCTAACGTTCCAGTCGTGGGAGAAGACATATTTTCAAGAAGCTTCTTGAAACCGAATCGTGAATTAATTTTCTTGAATATAAATTATTTGCTCCTACTCCAAGACAGAGAAAGAGCATGACAATGTTGCCTGCATTCCATCCTGCTTGCCCTTGACTACAAAAAGAAAATGACCATGTATGGAAAATGAAAGACCTTTCATATTGAATCTTTTTCACCTATTAGATTTCTCTTATTGAACGAAGAATACATTTTCTCTTATTGAATGAAGATAAGGGTGCTCCTATCCTGGCGGTTCGTGCAATGCCTGGCAGAAGCGTTCCAGAGGGTGCTCTCAACCAGGTTTCCCTGGGAGGCACACCTCCAGACCCGACAAAAAATTGAGGTAATAGTCATGCGTTCCGTAGAACGCTTTCAGCTATTACACTGAAAAGAACAGATACTACACTCGATCAAAGCCAATTGGCCGAGAAAGATGTTTTCTAGAGAGAGGAACCAAAGGGAGTAGATATTGAGCAAGGGAATGGAAGAAAAATTGGAGGAAAATTATGGGACCTGAAAGATGAAGTCGATTGAAGGTGTAGTGTGCTGAGTGGTGGTGTTGATCGAATGAATTTGGTGAAAAATAAATTTGAAAATAAATAAATTTGAAAGATATGTTCCACCTTCAACCAAAATGAATTCGATGCGAGGTAGTCTTTGTTGAATGGAGAATTATTTCTGAACCAACACTTGTTTTCACATTTCCAAGAGAACGATATTTCATATCTTGCTGTAACAATGGTTAGTAAGTCTCCTCGAGAGACGCTATATCAAAATTGGCAACGATACAGAGAAGATTAGCATGGTCCCTGGACTAAGGATGACACTACTGATCGAGAAAGTATCCCTACTTTTTTTGATGTTGCCATTCACACTCTTGTGCTAACGTGACAACACCTCAACAAACAATGGAATGACCATCACCAATTTCTCGTCAGCAAAACCAACAACATCAACTTCACTTAATTCAATAATAGACAGAAACATCTGGGTCACTTGCGATATATTATATTGTATCGCGTTACGGTTATTGACTAATTATTGATAAAGTAATAATTAGTCAATAACCGTATAATAATCAGTATATTTGCGATATTGAGGAAGTGTTTGTGTAATATGAAGGTCTTTTGTTTAATGGAGAGAGCTTTTGGTCAATAGAAGAACCTTTCAAACTAGTTCACTCGATACCAAGATATAACTACTCGCATCGAAGTTGAATAAATTTGTGAAAAAGGTCTAATGTACATAATAAATTGAAAAACAAATACATTCAACAAAGTAACATGAATTTATTGCAACAATTTAGTTCTCAAAACGTATGGCAAAATTCCTCCATGTTTGTAGTATTCGAGTTCAGGTTCTGTATCAAATCTCAAAATGGTAGTAAATTCACTCAACTTGTCATTACCAGTCACCCTGACTTTAACTTCTTGGAATGGCTTCATACCAGCACTCAAATCAATGGTAAATTGCTCCTTACCAGTCAAACCTAATGAGTCGGCACTCTCACCCTCTTTGAATTGCAATGGAATAATTCCCATACCAGCAAGATTGGATCTGTGAATTCTTTCAAATGAGGTAGCAATGACTGCCTTAACACCCAAAAGATATGGACCCTTAGCAGCCCAATCTCTGGATGATCCTGATCCATATTGTTCACCACCAATGACAATCAACTCATGACCTTCATTGCGATACTTCAGTGAAGCATCAAATACAGAGACAACTTCATTGGTTGGAACATGAAGAGCCATTGGGCCTGGCTTGCCAATCATCTTGTTGAAGAGTCTAACGTTAGCAAAAGTACCTCTCACCATGACTTCGTCATTACCACGACGAGCACCATAAGTGTTAAAGTCCTTTCTTTCAACACCTCTTTCCAAAAGATATTGAGCAGCTGATGATTTGAGAGAAATGCTACCGGCTGGAGAAATGTGGTCAGTTGTTGTGAAATCTCCCAAATTCAACAAACAATAAGCATTTTCAATTGGCTTTGTAGCATTCAATTCTCTGTGAACATTCTTGAAGAATGGTGGGTCGTGAATATAGGTTGACTTTTCATCCCATGGGTACAGCAATGTCTCTGGGGCATCCAATTTGTTCCAATTTTCAGTACCCAATGCAATCTTTTCATAGACACTCTTGAACATGTTTGGAAGAACATTCTTGGTGACACAGTCATGGATTTCTTCTTGAGTTGGCCAAATATCTCTCAAATAAACAGGTTGATTGGTTGTAGGATTGATTCCCAATGGGTCCTTGTCAAAATCAATCTTGACATTACCAGCAATAGCATAGGCAACAACAAGAGGTGGTGAAGCCAAATAGTTTGCTTGAACAATTGGATGCACACGAGCCTCAAAGTTTCTGTTACCACTCAAAACTGATGCAGAAACCAAATTAGAATTGACAATAGCTTCATGAACCACTTCAGGCAATTCACCAGAGTTACCAATACATGTCATGCAGCCATAACCAACAGTGTTAAAACCTAATTGATCGAGGTAGGATTGCAATCCAGATGCAGCCAAGTATTCAGAAACGACACCTGAACCAGGTGAGAGTGAGGTCTTGACATATGGATTAACAGTCAATCCTTGCTCGACAGCCTTCTTTGCTACAAGTGCAGAAGCAAGCATGACATTTGGATTTGATGTGTTAGTACAGCTGGTAATGGCAGCAATCACAACTGAACCATGAGTCAAGTTGTACTTTTTACCCTTATATTCAATCTCGACAGTCTTGTCAACTTCTTCAGCTGGAATTTCGAATCCTTTGAATCCTCTTTTGGCAGTTAAACCCTCCTTGAATTCCTTGTGAACATCGGTCAATGAAACACGATCGTGTGGTCTCTTTGGACCAGCAAGTGATGGAACAACAGTGCTCAAATCCAATTCCAATTGAGCACTATAGCGGATCTTTGATTCGTCAGTATTTTCATAAGTGACAAACATGTTTTGTGCCTTCAAATAGTTTGCAATCACTTTGACCTTTTCCTCATCTCTGTTAGTTTGTCTCAAAAATGCAAGTGTAACATCATCAATTGGGAAGAAACCCATAGTAGCTCCGTATTCTGGTGCCATGTTTGAAATGGTTGCACGATCAGCAACAGACAATTGCTTGACACCTTCACCATAAAATTCAACAAACTTTCCGACAACTCCCAATTTTCTCAAATTTTGTGTAATGGTCAAAACCAAGTCAGTTGCAGTTGCAGCACCAACCAATTTACCAGTCAATTTGTATCCGACAACTTCTGGCAAAACCATTGCACTAGGTTGACCTAACATGGCTGCTTCAGCTTCAATACCACCAACACCCCAACCTAAAACACCCAAACCGTTAATCATGGTTGTGTGTGAGTCAGTTCCGACTAATGAGTCTGGATATAACAAAGCTTGCACACCCTTTTGTTTATCCTCACTGGAAACTTCTTCATTATTTTCAAAGACCACACGAGCCAAATATTCCAAGTTGACTTGATGGACAATACCACTTCCTGGTGGTACAATTTGCAAATTCTTGAAAGCCTTACTTCCCCATTTCAAAAAACGGAATCTTTCATAGTTTCTATTGAACTCTTTTTCTTGGTTGTGTTGGAGAGCCTCCTTGGAGCCGAAATCATCAACTTGAACGCTGTGATCAATGACCAAGTCGACAGGCACGAGAGGATTTACTTGAGCTGGATCTCCACCCAATCTCTTGACGCCATCACGAATGGCAGCCAAATCGACCACTGCAGGAACACCGGTAAAGTCTTGCATCAAAACACGAGCAGGTTTGAATGGAATTTCAATAGAATTCTTGCTTGATTGCTCCCAATTCAAAATAGTTTCAACATCATCCTTCAAAACTGCAAATTCATCACAATTTCTCACGCAATTCTCCAACAAGACACGGATACAGTATGGGAGGGTTTCTAATCTTTGATCATTCAAATCAGGTAAGCTATAATATTTGTAGAGCTTTCCGTTAATTTCAATGGTACGAGAAACACTTGATTCGAATGGATTTGGTTGGGCTGGCATGATGATTCTTTCTCTGAAAGTGAACGGATGATGAGGATGAGGAAGGATCGTGATGGAGTGAAGAGGAAGAAAGAATATTTTTTGAGAGTGAAAAAAAAATTTTCGCCTGCGCTTTTCTTTCTTCATTTGTTCGGCCCCACATGTGGTTTTCGAAATTCTCCACTTTTCATTCGGTGAAAATTCGCGACTTGGATGCGCATGAATTTGAAAGATGCCATAATGAAGGATGCATAGATCACTTCATGCAGCAATTTCTTCAGATATACAGGGAATATCTGATGTGACCAGAAGCAAGTTTAATGAAACCCACCTATGAGAATGGTGTTAGTGATAAGTCTGTGATAATGCTATTGTTCTCGTTTTTTTTTCAAATGTGAAGATGCTGAAACTCTGTTGTTATTGGTTTCCAAATTAATAAATTACCTTATTAATCTTAACTTTTAAATTTCAACCTTAGAAAAATGTTGCCAAGACGAAAACCAGAGTTCTCTCCAACTTACAACTTGCAACATCAACACCATATTTCATCTCTCTCTTCCTCACTTCAAACTACCGTGTTACCTAATGGTTCCAAAACATCTTCCTCCAAACTCTCCGACCTCATTCATTCATTCGTTCATCTTATGCTCTTCTTCTTCTTCCTGCTCCAAATCAATTCCATGAGCAGCCAGCATCAAGGCTTTTCCCACGCCGCTCAAGCTTTTTCATCTGCTACACTCAATTGTACCTTCCTTCCAGCAGTGGGATCCTCTTCATCGGCGATGAGTCCCTACGAGTCTTCCTCACTCTCACCACCTCCTAAAGGCTCATGCAAAGGTCCTCTTCATCGAGTCCAATCTTCACGACTGGTGGCTCCAAAACTCAACTTGGGATGCCCACTCCATTTACTTCCCTATTACAAACCAGGAAGTATTGAAATTCAGTGCGGAGAGTGTATTCCAGGAACGAGTGGTAGTGGTGTTTCTTTCAACTCTCTTCATTATCTCCAATGCAAAGCCAATGAATATTGTAATGATGATGCCAAATGCACTCCTCTCACGCAACATCCACTCTATATGAAACCGTGTCCTTACGAAATTTTACTGCACTCACAACAGAGATCCGATCTGGAGGGTATTCCTACTTTTTGTGGTGGTTCTGGATTGGTATGTATTGAACATGTCTGTCGACCGTGTCGAGAAGGAGATATTGATTACAATACAGGAGTGAAATGCATTTTGGGAGAGTGGAGTTATGCCTCGTGGGTCGATTCTACTATGGAACCTTCACCTCTCATCTTGTTTGCTCTGAGTGTAATGACCTTGCTGTATGTGTTGGTGGTGAATTTGTTGTGTCGAGGTGGATTGAAGTTGTCTTCCAAAGTATTGCAAAATTATTCGAGGGAAAAGAGGTTGAAAAATGTGATCAAGTTGACCAGTGAATTTATCAAGACTTTGGAAAGTGAGGATCAGCAACAAAAATTGGAAGAGAATGATGATGGTGACAATCAGGTAAAGTGATTTTCAAGAAATGCTCTCAAGACAGTAATAATATTTTAAATAAATTAATTGTAAATAAAAATATGAATTGATTCATTCATCATAAATAGTCGAAAACTATAATAAACAAGAATAAGTAAGTTCATAATTAATAATATTGTTGCCATGAACTACCATCAGCAGGTACTGTGACACCTCCAACGAGTAAACCAATGTCCACAATCCACCATACTCCTATACCTCCCAACGTTAATAATTTAATGACACTGTATGTACATTATTTCACAACATTTGTTTTTAGAAATTTCACATCGTCACCATCATACTCAACTTACCCTAAAACAATGTGTTGCAAATAAAAACGATCAGCTCCAAAAATTCCTACAAACACAGCCAACACTAAGGCAGTCGTGTATTGGAAATTGCTCTGAATACTGCCATTATATGTGATTGATGAGAACAGTTGGTAAGTGGTTCAAATTGTAATTATCATTATCATCATTATCAAATTAAAACCATGTCGTGAAATAATCAAGATTTGAACATGATTCCTAATTCATGAAAGAAAAACATACGTTTTGCATGGAAACTTTTGATACCATATTCTTGGTCCGAGGCATTCAATTTTTGGCAGTACTGTACAATTTGCATATCCATATCTTGAATTTTGAGTATAAACTCCGTTTTGATTGACCATGTCGTCATAGCTACAAGTTTTAATTCCATTGAAATATCCTTTCATGTCAAAATCGCAAATTTTAAATTCATTTGGTCTGTGTGTGGTTAAGTTTAAATCGATTGATTAATTATGTTATGCGTGAAAAAAGTCATTGTCATATGATAAACATTAGGAATTATTTTGCAAAATTATTATTATTACAATTCCAAATTTAAAAAAAGAAATTTAAAATATAATATTCTTCACACAGACATACACTAGTGTACATGGCACAAGTGGACCATTGGGATTGTAATCTACATTTTGACATTCACTCAAATTGGCAATGATGTATTCCGATCCTGTTGTATTGCTGCAATTCGGAAGAGGAACTCCCTGTACCATCGGATCGTGATTTATAAAAGTGACCGCAAATGTCATGGCAAGAATTGACAGTGAAAGCAATGTGGTGGAACTGAATAATGATGATGAGGTCAACATGTTGATTGGCGTCCTTCGTGATGACATTTTTTTTTATAATGTTTGACATCCCTGTGAACAATTTGAAGTCCCAATATTTAGGTCCATCTTTCCACACAACAAGAAGAGAATTTCGCAATTCTTGTAGCTTGACATTCTTTGTGATACCACTTCAAGGTTCTAATCAATGAATAATATGTTAACAAAACAAACGTTCTATTAAATAATTATTTGGTCTGCTTTGCACGACCCGCCAAACTTTTCCCGCCCTTCCAAGCCGTTTCACTTTTCACAAAATCTTAAGAATAAAAATGTTTCCACCCAATGTTAGGCCTAATGCCCAAGATCTTTGTGGAAACACCCATGCTGCAACATCATCATTGACCAACACAAACATAAACACTCACCACTCTCCATTCCATCATCCTTCTCCACAACAACAACAACAACCCATTCATTCATTTTCTTCTTCCACATCCTCCTTCTCACACCATCATCAACAACCTACTCCTTCCACTCCCTCTCATCATCATTCTCTCATGATTCCCAATAATAATAATAATAACAACAACAAGGCTTATGGTGCACCACAGACCCATCAAGGTGTGTTTGATTCCTTCTCTCCCTTCTCTAATTTTCATATGAGTAGTGGTTCTTCTCCCGAGAATTCTTCATCATCCTCTCAAGGTCGTGATAATCAAGGCTTTCATCAGCCTTTGTATCACCAACACCACCAACCTCAAGGAAATGATTATTACTCTTATGACCACTATGGACATTCATTCATCAGCCATACTCCCTTCCAATGGCATTCAAACAATCCTGTCTGTCCATCCGATACGAGTCATCATCATCATCATGTTGTTCATCAATTCCATGAGGCTCAGTGCACCACTCCACACTTGGAAAATTTAGAATTCTCCATCTCCAAGTCTACTACTACTACTTCAAATCCACCCCAAGATCTTGAACAGTCACTTTCCTCAACCACCAAAAAGACTTCTACAAACAACACCAACACCATCACTGGTATGAAGAGAAGATCCAGTAATTTTCATTCCATTTTCACTCCTTCACCTCCACAATTTCAATCGGTATGCAAAAGTAGTCATCATCATCTAGTTCCATTTCAGAATTCAAGTGGTGTAAACTCTGCTTCTTTTCAATTATCGTCGTCACCTTTCACCACCATGAATTCACAACATACCTTATCGAGAATGACACCAAGCAACTCCACCAATTCCACTGCCAACACTACCAACACTCTCGTATCACCAATGATGACGACCAATACAAGCAATAATACCATACCAACTCTTCCTCCAACAACAACTTCCTTTCTTCCAGGAACGAGAACTTCCTTTGGTACCTCCACGACGACGACTAGTGCAACATCACGAAGAAGTTTACCGAGCAACTTTTCGAATCTCATGAGTAAGGAAAATAGAGGCAGCACTCCAATGATTCCAATTCTTACACCTCTCAATACAACTGCTGACAAATCGCCTGTGAAATGCAAACCAAATGTCATGTCAGACGGTGGTGCTACTGCTGCCAGTAATCACATGTTGGATTCAGACGATGAAAGAGAACAAGCTCCTCCTAGCGCTCCTAAAAAGAAGAAACCAACAAAGAAGATTGGAACAAGAAGAGCCTCCTCCTGTAGTAGTGTGTATAAGAATTTATTTGAGGAAGAACGAGCATTTGACTTACCAGTCAATTGTCACGATGATGATGACGACGAAATCGACGAAGATTTTCGAGAAGTATCCAACAACACAGACAATAGTGGAAACCTTGACTCCTCGCTCCATTCTCATTACAGTATTGGGTCCATGTTCTTAGAGACTCCATCTCCATGTACGCCAAGGGATCAATCCAATAGTGGAGGAATGCGAAGTGGCAATTCGAAAAATCAACTCTTTGGGAATTCTTGTAATTCGAATAAGAGTTTTGTTTTACCTTCCACCATTCGACCATTCCAATCGAATGCAATACCCTTCGTGACTCCCATTCACGCAAGCAATAACAATCGATTGCTTGCAAGTACTCCTGCTTCCTCATCCATGAAAAGGACAACAACGAGTAGTGCTCCAGTTCTTGAATGTGAATTAACTGGATCTGATGATGAGTTTATGTCAAGTCTGATGAAACCTCCACCACCAAGGATATCCTTGTCGATGAAGCGTCACCATTCCCAACTTCAACATCAAAATATTTTCAACGATTTTACTTTGGGTTGTGACGATGAAGAATTGGAAAATAATGAAGATGATGTTTTGAATCCACCATCCTTGATATACAATGAGAACCGTACCAACACTGCGGGTGGTTCTGCACTCTTTTCATCATCCAAGTATGATAGCCCCATTGATCAAGACGAAACCATGAATGAAGCGGTAAATTTATTTGATAGCCCGGTATCTCAAGAGTCCAAAAAGAGAAAGGCATTGAGAAGTCCTTCATTTCACAAATACAAATCTCGAGATGAAATGGACAATGATGACTCACCTCCTAAATTTGAGGAGTTTGAAAGATTTGAGTCATTCTTAGTGAACCCCAAGGCAAAACTGAAAACAAAGTAAAGAATGTTCACTAACACTTCTCTTTAAGGTTTATTCAAGGTATAGCATGCAGATGACGATAGCTCGTTGCCCTTAAAACGTATTTCAATGTGTGCCTTAGTTTCTAGAGAGTGGTCGAAATTTGTGGCTGCTATTCTTGGAATGATTATGAATATTCTAATTAAATTTGAGCTCTTATCAAAACAAACGTGAATCACACGACAAGGCATTTTCAAATCCAAAACCTTTAACGAAACACTCCAATCATCAAGTTGGGAAGAGAATTCATTCCTGGAGAGGGCCTCTGGTCGAATAACAATCTCATTCATTGTGTCGTAACTACTCGAACCTTGAGTGATGGTTAAGGCAGGCGTGGATGTTGTCGCTGGTGTTTGTTCCGAGGTCGTCGACGAGGAAGACTTCTTTCGCTTCATGGTTGAAGTGGGATCTGCTTTCTTTTTCAACTCGGATTGCTGAGAAGAACTTGCAGAACTCTCATCACCCATCGATTCTTCCTGTTGTTCGATACTGTTTGACATCAATTTTCGTTTCCTTTCTTCTCTTTGATTCCCTCTTTTGTCCGTTGAAGCGGTGATTGAATCATTCTTCCAATGTTGTTCGTTTTTGTACTTCAAAAAGAATTCCTGAATATACGTTGTTTCAAACAAATGATCATCGAATCTTGCTTTTGTGATAACTGTCTTTCTCTCAACTTTTTTAATGTCCATATGAATGCATATGCATTTGGTAATGGTTGCTATCTCTTGTTTCTTGTTGTCCATTAAGGCTAAGGTAATTTTGAAAGGACATGTGACAATTTTCTCGTTGTACTTCGATTTAGAAAGTCGTTTTCCGTAGGATTCCAAAGAAAAATAAACTTTTTGTCGGTCATTGATGTCGTCATAACTTTTTGTCCTAGAAAAACCATTTATGTCATAATTCGCATTGTCCAGTTCCCAGTTTTCTTCACTCTTATCTCCTGATAGGTACTTTTTAAACCTGAAAAAGCATGAATTTTCATAGACCAAAAGCGATTTAACAGCCCAGTAATGTGTGATTTCGCGTTGACTATTCGAATTTTCATTCACCTCAACCTCTAAACACGCTTTTTTCATCCTAATGTCATGTGGTGGTTCAATAAAAAACGAAAATATCAGTGAGACTTCATCTGAGGTTGACGAATTATCACTAGCCTTATTTGTAAGGACGTATTCTTTGGTGATGTGACCAGTCTTGGTTTTAATTACAGCGTTTGAAGAACTGTGCTCGTTTCGGTAACTTGAAAAAGAGGGTGGAACCTTGTTGGATAATGACGAACTATCTTTTGGAGATGCATGTAGCATTTTAGTTGGAGCCAAAGGAGTGCTGCTTAATGTGTCAGAAGGATTGTTTTTGGAGGGAGTTGTTGAATTGGAATTTTTAGCTGGAGTGGATTTTCTGTCGACTGCCACTGGTACTGGTCGATTTGCACCACTTGATCTGTCTGTTGTGGAGCTTGTTATGGAGGTTGGTGTTGTGGCATTATATTCAGCAACAAAGTTTGATGTTGCATGTTGTGTTGTAGTGTTTGAGGTCCATGTTGATGTTACAAAATTTTTTGACATGTCATGCATTGATGGTGTGTGAGATGGGAAATGAGAGGGAGGAGGAAAGCCATAGGGTGGCGGTGGTGGATGTGTATATTCAGGATACGAAGAAAGAGAAGGATGGTAAGGATATTGTGGTGGTGGTGTTGTTGCTGGAGGAGGAGGCATGTAGGAATGACCACTACTCGAAGAATGTGGCAAATACGAATATGCATTTTGATTGTAAAAGTTACACGAAGAATGTGTCTGAGAGGCATGATAAGTTGGAGGAGGTGGTGGAAGAGCATGATTGAATCGATAGGGGGGTTGCATGTAGCGTTGTTGCGGATGATGGGACTGGAAATTGGATGCATCTTGTTGAAAAGCATGATGCTGCTGTTGCATTGGTGGTTGTGGTGTTTGAGAGGGATAGTTTACCGGATGCATGGGATGTGATGGATAGGAAGTCAAACCATGGTGATGATGATTCTGATGATGGAAAGGCATTATTGGAGGCGGTAAGGGATAGGGAGAAGACTCTCTTCCTTGTATTGTTCCTGATGAAAAGGAAACAGAAGTAGTGTTAGCACTAGTAGTAGCAGCACTAGTAGCAGGTATTGTTGTGGATGTTTTTGGGTTTGCAATAATTGGTGGTGGTGGTGACGAAGATGTGGATGAAGAAGGGAACGTGGTGGCTGTGGTGGATTGATGCATGGAATTTGTGGCAATCGGACAAGTTGGTACTGAAATTGGTGTTTCCATGTTGGAATTATTATGATCATTGAGGTAATTAGTTTGTATTGGGTTTGACACCATATATGGTTGGTGTGAAGTGGGAATAAGACGGTTCGAGGAATTCAATTCTTCCCTTTGAGTTGCTTCTGAGCCAGCGTGATCAGACCTCATCATCACCATCACATGAGAAGATGGTGATTCGTGATGGGGTGTTGCATGGAATGGGTGGATATCTTGTTGTTGTTCATTAGGAGTGCATGTAGGGGTTGAAGTGTTGTTGGAATTTTCAACCACATGTACATGCATGGATGATGTTCGTACGAGCTTGAGAGATGGATCCATGTTGTTGTTTGCCGTATTACTGCATGTCGTGTTGCTACTGCTGCTGCTTCTGTTGTTATTGGTAGTGTTGTTCATTGGACTTTTCGTATCAACATGGTGATCATGGTTTAGAGAGATAGCGCAGAGGTCCTTTGGATGATGATGGTCATTAGGAGTCTTTTCAACCCTACATGTAGAGGCCATTGCAGCAACATCTCTTTCATCCCTGGTGGTACCAGAAGAAGCCTTTCTCTCAGCTTGCAGAAGTGTCTGATTACTTGTTGTTGTGGTGGTCGGTGATGAGGCTTCTCTGGTGTTGGTATTTTCCCATGAAGAAGAGAAATTCATGGTAGCAGGAGCAGTTGGATGATGTTGATTTGTTGTTTTCTGTTCTTCCTTCGTTTTTGTCGTCGTAGTGATGGTGGTGGTTGGTGCTGTTGTTGTTGCTGTGGTTTGGTTGATTTGGTTGGTGGATGCGGAAGTATCTGCACTCGATTCGAACCACAACAACAAGGATCCTGAAGCAACAGCGAGCGGTATTCGTCCTAGCTGCTGTTGTTTGCTGGCTTCAGATTTTTCGTTAGTGGTCGTATGGATAGTGTTGGTCGTGTTGGTAGTAGAAACAGTTGTAGTAGTCGCAGAAGGAGGAGGAGGAGGAGAGGTTGATAGTGGTCGTGGTGTTGGTTGGTCGTTTTCTTTGTGATTCTTTTGGGGAAGCGTGAGCGAGGTGGTCCCAATAAACTCACCGACGCCGTTGTTGGTGTTGGTGGTGGTTTCACAAGTGCCCCCAAATGTATTACCTTTCGTGGTAATCGTGGGGGTCGGAGGCATCATGGAAGGTTGTGAGTCATCATCATCATCGTCATCATCGATATTCAATTGTTCACTGGTTGTTTGAGTCCTCCTATGATCATCGTCTTGTTTAGGACAAGATAGTCCTCTCTTCTTGTTTGGTTCCATAGGTTGTAGTTGTGGTGGTCGACGTCGAGTTGCTTCTTCCTGTAAGTGCTTTGAATTCATTTCTTGTGTAGGATCATCGGACAAGGATGATGAAGACATTTTTCACCTCTCTCTCTTTGGTCGTATATGGATTTCCAAGACAAGTTAAAGAGAACGAAGAGAAATGTGAGAGATGGTTCAATGATTTCTTCACTTTGGGTGGTGTTGTGCAGCGACAATCGTCAAAGAGCGTTCCAGCGTGCTAACCGTGTGGTTGTTGTTGTTGTGGTGTTGGTGTTATGGTTGTTTTGGTTGGATGATGAAAGGTCGCTTCCACTCGTTTGATTTCGTTTTGTTTTGGTTTTTCTTTTTTCAAAGACAACCAATCACGTTGTGGTCTTGTTGCGCTTGGATTTGGCAAGGTTTACGATAGATTTGGTGTGATCCAATTAATACCGTTGTGAAAAAGACAAAAGATGAATAGACACAGACTAGTAAAGTTGATGTTCTTCTCTACGAGTTTTTTGGAGAATGACCATTGGATGAATGAATGGAAACAAAGAGTGCCATGTGCATGTGAGATGAAGTGAAACAAAAGCAAGATGTCTTTTAAGAGAAAAACTTGTGGATGCCTATCGGATAGGGTTTGAGAAAATGAGAACCGTCGCATAAATTGTCTTTTTTCAATGAGCACAAATATCGTTAACTTTTATTGGCATTAATCAAAAAAGAGTATGTCATGAGATTCACTATTAGTACACATTGAATAAGAGAATGATGCCACCTTCACCAACGCCAATGAGTTGTTTATCGTCTGGCGAAAACTTGATAGAATAAATATATTGACCCTCTGTGTCTATACTGGCCAGCCTTTCTCCAGAGTCAACTTGATAGACATGAATCTTTTCATCGTTACCGAATACTGCAATTAAATGATCGTTCATGTTGGTTTTGGTGATGAATTTGGGTTCAAATTTCTTTGAATATGGAATGATTCGTTGTGGAGCATCTGAGGCAATATTCCAGTAAGTAATGTATCGATCTGAACCAATACTAATAATGGTTTCTTGGTCCGAGCAAACAACAAAACCATTCACAGAGCCAACTTTGTGATTGTAGGAGGCCACTCGTCGTTCATTTCTCAAATCGTAACAGAAAATCTCTCGATCTTTGCTACTCGAAAACACATGCACATCATCTTGCATAATTTTTAAACCTGTCACCATTGTAGAATGTTCTTTGAAGGAGCATACAAGCTGTCTTGTTTTCATTGCATAAACTCGAACATCTCCTTCTTGGCCTGCAGAAACAAAAAATTTGTTGTTGTGACTGGTGTCGATTTTTGTGACGGCCATCCTGTGAGCATTGGCCAGAGTCCACAGTTGTTCTCCTGTTTCACAGTCCACAGCTCGAATAGAGCCGTCACTCCATCCCGTCAGCAAAATACTAATCTCATCCTTAATAAATGCACACGAAACAGGGAAAACATTGGCCCCTTTCATAGAGTCTGATTGAGCAAATTTACATCGAGTCTCTGGTAAATAGTTGGCCAAGTCCCAATATATGACCTCACAATTTTCAGAAATGGTTGCAAACTTGTCACTAAGGCCATAAGGAAAATCAACACCGTAAATGGATTTGGAGTGGTTTCTTGCGATCAAACGAGGTTCTAACTTATCTAGTGAGATTTTCAAAATTTCTCCATCGTCTGTTCCAGCCAAAATAAATTCATTTCCAAAAATTGAGAGAGAGGTTATTCCTCCAGAATTTGAAATTTTCTGTTTCTTGACAATTTGTTGGCAATCAAATATTGTTATACTTCCATCACCTCCACCAACAACGACATGACCATTGGAAGGATTTATCACAATGGAAAGTACTCCTGAAGAGCAAATTTTTACGGGAGCTGATTGCAATCGTTTTAGCCTGACATGCATAAAAGACAAATCTCCAGACGTACTTCCAACAAATAAATATTCACCAAGCTTATCAAATTGCATACACGTGTATTCTCTTACGAATGCACCTGTATTGACTTTTTCTTGTTCCAATATTCCCTTATAGGGATCCAAACTCCAAATGATAATGTTTCCTGCCGAGCAAGTTGCAAGTAAATATCGATCTGTTTCTCGCTTTTTAATATCTCTCACCATACCACCAAAACAAACCAAAATCTTGTCATCTGTTTGTTTTGGAAGAGCGGCACTTGCAACAATATTTCCTGTTGAAACATTCCAGATCAGCAATCTTCTATCGGCAGCATTTCCGACCGTAGCAAGCAATTTCTTTGTATATTTCAAATCCATCCATTCAAAAATTATTATTGATTTGGCACCATTAGTGATTCAAAAGCAGCAGTGGACACTTACGTCATCATGAGAAAAGGCAACACCTCTAACACATTTTTCATGTTCTCCCAATCGTTGCACCAGTTCAAGCGATAACGTATCCCACACACAAACATCGGCATTTTCTCCCTGTTGTCCCGTTGCTATCAAGTAGCCCTGATTGGAGAAGGCTAAACATGAAACCCGATCATCATGACCTCTCATAAACCTCTGGCCATTCGGATCTTCACTATCATTCATCACTGCAACACTTCCCGAAATAAAAACAAAACAATTGGATTGCTTGGGATGTTGCAGCACCGACTGAGGCAATTTGGAAGAGAAACCAATGGCATGTTCCAATTCGATTTGAGCCATTGTTGTATCGAAGGAAGGTTTGAAAATTTTTTTTGTAGTTTGAAATGGCGCCATTCGTATTTGAATGAAGAAGAAAACATTTTTTAATGCAATCTAGTGATTCACTAGTGTTCAAAGACTTTGAAACAAAACACAGAGTAAACTCCAATGAGGATATCCTCATTTGCATTATCATTCTAATTGGAATGATATCTTGATTATTCTTGTTTGCCAATTCCTTTAAAGAAGACCTTGAAAGGTTCTTTGACTCTTTTTTTTGCTTGACACCTGACAGCGCTCAATCACAGCGCGCATCAACAAAAAAATTCACCATGTCCTCTTCGAACACAAGTCTTCACTCTCGGTCCCATTCCTCTCCTTCTTCCTACCCCAACATCATTTTCCAACAAGATTACAATACCATCACTTCAGCTATCACTTCCAATCTTTTCAATTATTCCAACAATACTAATAATAACAATAACAACAACAACAATTACTCCCAAATTCATGTCTTTCCCATCATCAATGGAAAACATTCTCTCAAAACCATTTGTCGTTATCATTCGGATTTGTATATGATTCGAAGAGCCATGATGGATGATTGGGTTCAAAAGATCACGTCGTCATCATCATCATCGATCCATCATCATGACTATTTCAATAATTCTGTCATGAATCATACGAATAATAATAACAATAGCAATAATAACAAACAAGGACTTTTTCAACAACAACCAAATTATATAGAGACATTGAGTAGTGAAATTTTGAGTGAACGATATTTACTTCTTCATCATGGATACAGTGAGTATGAGGATTCGGAAGATGAAAATCATCACACTGTGAAAAATCAATCATCTCCTGCAATGACTTCTCCATTATTGGGAAGAGTGAATCAAACGCATGAGAGTGTTCATTCCATCACGATCGATCCTAATAGGAATCGAGTCACTCCTTCGATTGAAGTGACATCGACTGCCACCGAGTCGACTTCCAATTCTTCCTCTCTATTACTTGATAATGTGAAATATTCTCGAGAACAATTGGTGGATTTTACATCGACACCATTAACTATTGAGCAACGAGTGTTATTTTGTATTGAATATGGTTATCTGGAAGAATTGAAATTTTTATTATGTCACGCTGCTTCTTCATTGAATAATTCGAATTCACAACAAGGAGGATATTCGATGACTTCAGGAACTTCATCACTCTCTTCTTCATTATCTTCCTCTTCCTCTTCGTCACAGAGTCATTTACATAATGCAACAACAAATCAAAATTCCTCAAGTACAAATCATTCCGAGTTATTCTTGTCACCTCCAACTTACACATCATCCTCTGCATTCTTTGATGTGAATCAAATATTTAGAGACAAGTCCAAAAACGATCGTTCGTTGCTACATATGGCTGCTCGATATGGTCATGTTCATATTATTTCATACTTGATTGATGAATTGCATGCCAATCCAAACCTTACTGATAAATCCGATTCCACTCCTATATTTTTGGCATGTGCTCACGGACACTCCGATGCATGTCACGCCCTTGCTTCGAAAGGAGCTTCTCTAAATATTAGAGATTTATATGAAAATTTCCCATTAAGTATTGCATTGAGTTGTGGTCATTACGAAACTGCGCAAGCTCTTTTATTGTTTGGAGCAGATATAAATTTTAAAGGAAAAAGAGGAAACACTGTTTTGCATGAAGCGTGTGAAGCAAATGATTGGCAACGCGTTGATTTCATACTGAGTTCGAATGGTGGAGGTTCTGTCAATGTTGCCACAAAGAATCGATTTGATGAAAATTGTTTATTCTCTGCACTTCCATATCCATCGTTATTGTATCGATTGTGTGAAAGATTTTATAGACAATCGACACCAGAAGAATTTCAAAGATGGATTCGATCAGAAGATCAATACGGAAAAACTCTCTTACATGTATGCGCTCAAAATTTATATTTTATTTCATTTTGCATTTTGGTGAATTATATTCAACCTGATCGATTGGCATCCTTTCTGAGTTGCAAAGATCGAGTGAAAGGAAATACTATACTTCATACATTGGTGTCACAAATTGGAAATTCTCCAGTGACAAACATTGCCGGAAATTATATTGGTTCTTCTTTGGAACAAGAATATTCAAGTGCAACATTATTTACAAACACCACCAATCATCATTCACACCACACAATTCATGGTTCATTGTCACTTCCTTCTCTTTCACCTCCTGGTATGATTTCAACTTTGTCTCCAAACAACAGCAACAGCAGCAGCAACAGTACGACTACAAGCTCTGCAAATTCCACACCCCTTTTATTTTCTCAACAACAATACCTCTCACCTTCACATTCTCCACTCCAAATTAATTCCTCAACGAATACTTCAGCGTTTATTACAACTTTAAATAGCTCAGTAGACTTGTCCGATTCGTCGTCACATTCTCATCACCACAACAACTTGTTAAATAATCACACCACCTTATCCAATTCATTGATTTCCTCCGATTATGGAGATTCATCAGAAATGTATTCATCTCAGACAAGTGCAACCAATAATTATCAAACACCCTTCTCTCCTCACAAGTGTTATTTGTATAATCATGACGTTCCAGGTGATGCATTTTTATGGGCATTCATTTCAAGTGGTGAATTAGTGGGTGGTAGTTATAGTAACAACAACAATAGTAGTGGTGGAAATAATTCTTTAGGAATTAATATTGTCGATGAACAAAATAATGATGGTGACACTGCATTGCATTTGGCTCTTAAAGCTCAAAATATTTCTGTGGCGCATTTATTAATTCATGAATTGGGAGCAAATGTGAAATTACAAAACAAACAACACAAATCAGCAAAGAAAGTGGCAAAGGAATTTGGAATTTCTCTTCAAGATATTGTGAACACTCCGAATATTATGGATCTTCTTCAAAGTCATGCAATCAAAGAATCCAATCAAAACAATCAACACAACAATAATCATTCCACATCATTGAATTCATCATCTTCTTCAAATAGTGGCAGCGGTGGAGAAAAGAGTGCATCCAATCGATTGACAGGACTTTTCAAAAAGATTACAAAATCCTCACCGATGGATACCAATTCCAACAACAGTGGCAACAGTCATCACTCAAAAACCAAAAAGACTTCAATTGAAGATTTTAATGTTGGAACTGGAAATTTGAGTAATAGCACAAGTTCCTCATTGAATCATTCGAATGTGACATCTTTGCCATTGGTTCAACTTCCCATAAGACCAACTAGTCCTAGTCAACAACAACAACAACAAACACCATCTCTACTCACATCATCCACTCCAACACAACAAAATGGTGTAATTTCAAATTCAACCATATTATCGAGAGAACAATTAGTGGCATGGACCAATCATACGGCTTTTAATTTGGGAATTGTCGATTCATGTTATATGAGAATATTTGATCGAATTAATTCATTGGCCAAGTCGATCTTTCGTGCTGCTCATAGCAAATCGAAATCATCTTCAGCATCTATTGTGGATTGGAATATTGGAATTTACATCTTCGAAGAGAGTATTGAAGCATTGGAAGAATCATTCGAATACGAAAGAAGATTATTTTTGGAATGTGGCATGAAGAGAGAATTAGTGGAGGAGCATGTGAAAGATCACGAATGTATTTCGCAATGCTTGCTTGATCTATTGGATGAATACAAGCAACATGGAACAGAGTCAATCTTGGAAGAGTTTTTGTTCTACATGATTTCACATGTGTCACAACATTATTTGTGTATGGATCGACTTTTGGCAATGGAAGTGAAAGCATTCAGAGTGGCTCCACTTTCAGAAGAGAATGAATTAATGCTGGAATATATTTAAATTGGGGTGTCATTTACGAATGTTCACTTGTAACATATTTTATATTGGGCAGTGCATTTTCGAAATTAAAGTGTTGCCTATTCATTCGAAATTAATGAGAGAAATTCAATTATTATTAGTATTATTGTGATGAATTGTTGTTTATTGTTGAGAACAATATTCCTCTGAATCGCTTCATGTCTGTTGTCATTCCAACATTTCATAAAGCACACTACACTTGTTCCTTCTCAGAGTGTATTGGACCAAAGTGTATATTCTTCGGATTTTTACAACCACACTGCTTTATACACACCGCATCCGATGAATCAAACATCGATGCATGTTTCAGTGTGTATTCACAGTGTACACTCAGCGTCATCTAATTCCTCGTTGTCGTGATTGTCAAAGAGCATCTGTCAAGCTCATATGGGCTCTTCAAAAGGAAGAAGATGAATGTTCAATGTTCTTTGTAGTGATAACGTCAACAAAGAGCTCTACTTCATTTCTCTGGCTTGTTTGAGAAAAGATTTCAAAGGCCAGCACAAGCTCTTCATCACTACGGATGGTGATTTCGTCCCCTTCCTCGTCTACATAACGAAGAAGGACACTGAAATCCTCAGGATCATCCTTGATGAGATCGAGGTACTGTTGAAGTTGTGGAGAAGATGGGATGGGCAAGCGAATATTCATGTTGTTTGCCCATCCTCTCACTACCACATAAAAAGTCTTTCTACAGAAGGCTTTCTGTCCAATCAAAACAGAACACAACAACAACAATCTTTTCCAGCCAAATTGTTGTTGAGGTTCCATGATGGAGAGGTTTGATTGTGAGAGAATAATTGTGTTGTTGTTGTTGATGATGATGTTTTGTGAGAGAGTGGCAGATCCGATTTCAGCGATCTCTTCAAAAAACAAAACAGCAAGAGTGAGAGAGGGAAACGGGTCTGCAAATTTGAGAATTTTTTTTTTGAAAACAAATAGAATTTCAAAAATAAACCATTTCGTGGTCGTGTTGTGAATTTTTGTGGATTTCCGAGTTCTTGCTTTCAAATTGTGAGCTCGAATATAAATCAAAAAAAAAATAAAAAAATTCAAACATGCTGCTCTCCACACCACCACGTACCAAGAGTCCTTCTTTCAAAACAAATGATACCAAACCCACCTCTCCGAGAACAGCCTCCTTGATCTCGGGAGTTTCTCTCGTGATCATGTTTTTTGTAGCCATGTATTCGGAAATGTTGATTCGTACGAGCATGATTATTCCCAACGACTCTGAAACCACTCGGAACAATATTAAGCAAAATGAAATGAAATTTCAGAGTGGTCTTGTGGGCTATCTCATCATTTTGTTATGTGATGTCATTTCATCGATATCCATGTATCAAGTATTTAAATCCATTTCGGCAGTTCTTTCTTGTTGGGTTGCTGGTTTGAGAATGATTTATTCAGTCATCTTTGGATGGGCTATTTGGCAATTATTCAGAGGGTATTTCATGCTGTTCAATGATCATGGAAAGGATTTTATGGAATTTTTTGCACGATATGAAAGTATTTGGGCGTTTGGTTTGATGATCTTTGGATGGCACTTGTTCTTTTTGAGTATGCTTGCAAGGAGATCGAATTTTGTCGCACCATGGATTGGAGTTATGACAGGTGTGGCAGGAATTGCATATTTTGTGGATAATTTATTGAAATTAACTTATTCAGAGTATGAGAATGTGAAAACGTTGTTGAATATTGGAGTGGCCATTCCTGCCATTGTTGGAGAGGTTGGATTGGCAGTAGCTTTTATTTCACACTATGCTAAAAGTAGGAAACATTGAAAAGTTTCCCACAACGAATGAACGAACGAGTATTTCAATTAACCTTATTACTCTACAACGAAACGTATGTTGAAGGTTAGCTGCTTGTCACGATGCAAACCTTTAACAAGCACGATCAACTCTTGAAATCAAAGACATTCTCATGCTTGAAACATGAGAACCGTTACTTCAACATCAAAATACTGACTTAATGACATGGTTAAATAATGGAATTCCAATAATGACGATTTTTATTAAATTACAATAAAAAAGTGATGACTGTGTGAAAATCTTTTAAGACATTCACGTTAACTTTGGCAGAGATGCAACACGTATTAAATTTCTTCATGTTTGGCTGTCACATCCATCTCCTTGGCAGAACTTTCCTTTGGAGACTCTTCATTGTTGGTGGTGGCGATGTTTGTTGTTGGTGTCGTTGACAAGGACGACGCATCGACCACTACTATGGACGTCAGATCCACACTTCCAAACGTCGTTCGAGTACTCGTGATACCACCACCACCACTACCGAATGCAAATGGAATTTGTTCAGCAAGAAGACTAGTTCGATGATTATTCTTGAAATAGGAACTTGAATTGATATGAAAAGGTAAAGGCGAAGAGGAATCACCACTGGACATGACGATGGAATCACGAGATGGTTGGTGATCATTGTCATCATCATCATCATCCATGTTTGATCCTCCTCTCTTTGTTCTTCTTTCTGTGATCCAATTCATGGCCATACAGACACACAAACTCACACTACACACACCACCACACAACATGGCATTTCCCAACAAGGTTAAACCCATCGCTAAATAATCACTCATGGCTCGATCCATATACACATCGGTACAAATGGGTGGTTGGGCATAAGCATCTGAAGGTCTTTGAATGGTTCCACAATAATGATCAGCACTTTTCAAAGCTATGGTTTTCTCCTTAATACAATTGAGGTACAAATTCATGCAAATGTATTGACAGGGTTTTTCAATTTCAACCTGTCCTTCCGAATCTTCCAAACAATGACGGAAAGTGGCGGAACAAAAGTAACTTCGAGCGGAGGCTTCACATCCCGATGGCATCTCTCCATTGTAATTGGATTTGACTTTTTCCACAAAGTTGTCAATCGAGTTGGTGACTTGAGCCTTGTAGAAGGAGAGAGAATTGGCGACGAGAGTGCTCACATTGTTGGCAATCATACCTCCACAACTCTCGATGGAAGGTTGAACGGCAACACAGGAGGAGGAACGTCGTGAATTCTTCTTGTTGTTTGGTGAATGTGATGGAAAGGAATTTGATAACAAGTGGTGGTTCTTGTTAGTGTTCAAAAGTGTGTATTGTTGTTGTTGTTGGGATTCTTGGGATTGTTTGTATTCATCATGATAATTTTGGAGGAAGGTGTGGATGGTAGAGGCAAGACGAGTGTGAGGATTGTTGTGATCTAATTCTGTGATGGTTGTTGTGGAATTTGAGAATGTTCCGGACCGAAGAGAGCTTTCACAGAGTGCGGAGATAGTGCTGCAAACAATGACGATGATCAACACGAGAAATGATTTGGAGGACATGATCAGTTATTTCTTTGGCTGTGGTGCGAGAAGAGCGAAAAGGAATCACCACTGCCTGCCAGTTGTCAAGTCGTTTTTTTCTGAAAAGAGAATGCTTAGCCAGATCTACACCAAGCACCAAAATTTCCATTAAAAATCAAAGCATCAAAATAATAATATACCGATGGCGATGATGGAAAACATTGTATTGGGTATGTTTCTCGGTTGTGGCTGTTGGAGGCTATTTTCATTCTCTTTTTCACATACACACAATCACTCAATTGTACATATCCCAATCCATGTCCAATATCTTTTCCTTGATACTCATGTTATCCGTTAGATTGGGACATGCTTGAATGGTCATCAGCAAGTCTTTAGGTGTAATGACAAACTTGTCGATATCTTCTCGCGTCATCTCCTCTTCATTGTGGTTGGTCAGATACGTCAACTCATCAGTGTAATGCCGATAGCTGTGAATATATTTGCCATCTTGCACAAGATAGGACCCAGGCTCTGGTTTGATGAATGCTCGTTCTGATGTTGTGGCCGTCTGGCTTCCATTTTCACCTTTTTCTTCTGCTTGCTCATCATCCGTGATGGTTGTCTGATTGTTTCTAATGTTGTAGCAGCTTTGTGAGCTTTTATATTGTAAACATTTTGAAATGAAATATTTCAAATAAGACTCTGCAGATATGAGCAATAAATTAACAGAGTCTCCATCAACTCCATTAAGCAATCCCATATCATTGGCAATCTTATTCATTTTTCGTTCAATGAAATCCCTAGACAGCGAAAAATGTTGTTTTTCGTATTGTGTGGCAGTTTGTGAGGAGTACTGTGACGATGTTGAGCTAGATATGGAATGAGACAATAAATTAATTTTACGAGAGGCATCGAAGGGTGGTGCAACAATTGATCGGTGAATAGAAACAGGATAGGGGTCATTCAACGATTCCTTTTTCATGAGCATCATCATGTGATTCAGTCCCGTAGTTCTGGTCCTGTTATATTGATCAATTCCTCCTGTGGAATGCAATTGATGGATTGTAGAAACTCTAGCGTTGAATAATAAACTCTTAATAAAATAATTATGGAGTGCAATAAATTCATATCCAAAAGTTATTTTCACAAAGTGATCCCATTCTGTTTTTGATAATTTAGCTTGAAGGTATTTAATGAAAGTATTCCAATAGAGCGATTTCCGATCATCCAAATGTCTATCAATCAACTTTTTAATTTGTGATAAATTGACTCGCTGGTGTAGTTGCTGTACATGTTGATGCTCTTTTTTTGTTATTCCTATTCATGTGAAATGATTGATTGAAAGATCATGTCATCATGAATTTTTTTCGGATCCGATAAGAAAAAAATCGTGATGGTTCCGATTCCACATCATGAATGAAAAAGTATCATCGGAATCCATAGAATGATCATTGTAGAGTTCATCCATGATCATTTTCAACATTTACATGAAACTTAATCATCATCATATACGTGAACTTACCGTTTTTAGACTTCTTCCCGCTAGAGACCAAAGAAGCCGTTTGCATTTTTTTTATTAAAAAATTAAATTTTTTTAAAAATTAGGATGTGATAGGTTTCAACATTAAAAACATTTTCTTTGATCAAAAAGATATTTTAGGGGTGTTTAATTCTTTTGCTGTTTCTTTTCCTCTTCCAATTTTTTATAGTAAGCTACGGTTCTTTTCTTGGCTTCTTTCATGTCGTAAACTGGTTTGTAGGTAAATAAACGAGTTGCTTTTGTGGAGTTAAATCTTCTGTCAGCGACAAGCAAGGCGTTCTTATCAAGCTCAAATTGAGGTGGGATGTCAAATTTAATGCCACACACCTTCAAGATGGTAGCAACAATTAATAAAATGTAACTAATGATGTACATGACTTGTACTGGAATTCCAATCTTTGGTGTTGGTAAACTGAATTCTCTCAAAATGTCCGCCATAAATCCCCAAAACAATTCTGGTTCTTGATTTGTAACAAAGAAAGCTTCACCACTCACTGACTCCTTATCCAAATGAGTAGATGCTAATATCAAGGCATGTGTAACATTTTTCACATAGGTATAATCCATTTGATTTTTTCCATTTCCAACATAGAATTTAGTTTTTCCTTTTTTACCATTTTCCAATACAGTTGGAATGAACAATAAATCTCTCTCTCCGAAAATACTTGCTGGTCTAATAGCGACTGTTCTAATCTTATCCTTATTCTCTTTACCATATTTCAATGTGAGTTTTTCTTGTTCTACTTTGGTATCTGTGTAGACATTGACTCCAGATTTCACATATGGTTTTGTTTCGTCGCAATTATTCGTGTCATTTCCATCAAAAACAACACTAGCAGAAGATACAAGAACAAAATTCTTCCTCTTTCCAACTTCATCACTCAATTGGATCAAACAATCCATTAAGTTGCGAGTTCCTTCAACATTAACCTTATAGAGAATGTGAGAAGGTGATTTAAAAGGATCAGGAGTGGCAGTGTGAAACACAGTGTCTACTTGAAAATCTCTGAATGCATTGAGAACGGTCTATTTATGTGCACAGCCACATTATCAGCCACACCATTGAGTTGTGTGTGAAAGATTCAAACAATATTCCAAAAAATCATCATTAATTTTTCGGAATTCAAGGATGAGAGAAATTCAATAATTCAATCATATCATCATCATCATGAATGTACATGAATTCAAACCAAACACACACAAGCGTGCAAAACCAATTTTTCATCAATGTTGAACAAACACTACTATTCAAGCTTACCTCTTTATCACAAATATCACCCTTATAGAACTTGACATTCTTCACAATACTTGGTTCTCTAATATCCATGACCGATACATTGTATCCCTTCGCCATCAAATCCTCCACCAAATGCTGTCCCAAAAATCCCGCACCTCCAATCACCATGCAGTTTTGGACTGGATTGGAACCGACGACGTTGAATTGTTGTTGTTGTTGAGAGGACATTTTTTTATTGTTGTAATGAATGATTTGTTCGCAGTGCGATGGAGTGATGAAACAATAGACAGTTCCTCCTCTAAATGGTGCTTTTGAATCCACGGACTTTCCCATATCCACTTCCATGCTCTTAGAATGACATTCGTCCAACACTTTGAGTTTTGTGGAAATGGTGTTTGCTTTGATCTTCCTCTCAACGGTGCGACACAACTATTCTGGAACACTTTGGCTTTTCTCCATGATGACGTTTCCTAAAAATACTATTCGAACACGAATTGTATGAAAAAACACTTAGTGGGACTTGTAACCGTGAATGGGAACGTGAATTTGATCTGCCAATTAAAAGCCAAAACAACCTTGAAATTATATTTGATTCAATTCAAAAAAAACAAACAACGAACAACCACCACGTCAACTCGAGTGACACACCATCATCAACTGAAATGGGTTTCTGGGGAGAATTGAGAAAATTTGAAAAGCACGTCATTCGACCAGTGGCTCATACAGTAAGAGAGCCATTTCATCAATTGGAAAAACATGCAATTCGTCCAGTCGCTCATGCCATCACTGGTAGAGGAAAGAAGACAGAAACTGTGACCGTTCGTGTGGTCAACTCTCTAACTGAATATATTGCAACCCTCCAAGTGGATGTTCCAGAAAATTCAACTTTTGCCACTTCTGTGGAGGCTCCTCCATGTGCATCTCCTCAAGATCATCATTTAGTACCTTGTGAAAATGTTGTGACCATTTCCACTAGCGAATGCAAGACCTCAGCCAATGGAAAATTGTGTACCAAATGTGGAAGGTTTTTCCCTGATGATCAATAGAATCAATTATTGTGTAGGATCTTCTTTAATAAATGAATGTGGATGAAAAACTCCAGTTCCACCCATGGATCAAAAATACAGAAAATGTACCTGAATCTTAATTTATTCTTCACTTTAATGACTAATAACAACACCTTACTGCTTAAACAAATGAAGAGAGGTGACAGTGGTATAATTCAAACTAATTCTTCCAAAGCGTTAAGGAATTCAACGCATCCCTTTTCTTCCACACATGTTGCATGAAGATGAGTCCAGTAACTACATTTGCAAAGTCAAATTCAACACAAGAATTAATCGTATTTGCCAATATGGCTCTAAAGGTGAGATGTATCTTTCCTCAATATATGCAAAATGTGGTGTGTTTTCATTAATTTCATAGTACTCTGTGTTTGAGGTCTCGTTCGAATTTGAATTAGAAATTGGTTTGCTTTCCCTTTTTTTGGAATCATAAAGAAAAAAAATATTTTGAGTTTCAAAATTATCATCAAAACCAGCTTCCATCGTTTCAGCAGTAAAAGGAAGAGCCTTTTTTTGTTGTGATAAAGTGTGTGGTACTATCACAGACTCTGACCGATCCATAGCGATATCATCTCAACAACGATTAGTAGTGAATCATTACAACAAACCGAGAGCGTAGTAGAATCAATTTCATCATCATCATCATCTAATCATCAAATCATCATCGCTATTATTTGGTAATAGTTTTACAGCAATACCATCATGATGATTGGAAATTTTAATTTACGTAGAGATCGTACCAAACGGTATGAAATAATTCTGGATTGTCTTCCTAGGTGGAGTGTCATTCTTATATTGGTTCTTGTACTGTTGGTTGTGAGCATTCTAGTCGTTGTTTCTTTATTTGCCTCTCCATCTGCTTCCATTAGCATTACGAGAAGACACTCTAACGATATTACCAATCAAACTGTGGTTGGTAATTTAACACTAACACGAGATGTGTTTACTGGTTCTCAACCAATTGTTGACATTTTCGAGGATATCAGTGTTTATAGCATGGAATTTAAATATACCGTTAAATTCAATCCGATTGAAAAGGGAAATAATACATTTGCAGGTATTTTGAAAGACGACTTGCTCATGAGAGGTTATCTTTATGGAAGAAATTCCAAGGATGAAGAATGGAGGTTGATAAATACGAACAAGGAAGATGAAATCATTACTAGATCTCTCGCATGCACACAAGTTGGATATATTGGACCTATTTCTTACAGTGGATGTTGGCCAACGACAATCTTTTATTCGAGAGTTATTCGATATTCTCAATACAAGACAGAGCTCTATTTCTTGAACTTGGAACAAGTACATAAGGCCGGATTATTAGAAAACGTTATTGAAACTTCTTTTGTGGCAAACAACCCAAATTATTCGAGTTATGAATTGGGCTTTAGAATGACCTTCTCAGTTTTGGCTTTGATTCACTGGATTGTATTTGTTGTGGTTGTTGCTTGGTCACAACAATGGACAAACTGGCATACGACTCAAAAATGGTTAGTGGTGCTGCTATTCCTTCATATTTGGTATCACGAGCCATTGTATCCTGCAATGATGTACACAGGTTGGGAAGGTTTTCCAATTGTTAACATTATTCTAAGTGTCTCATTCGTGTATGGATTTTTATTCTATTTGCTCGTTTTCTTCCACTCTGTATTTAAGGCACCAAAACACAGAACCTTTATGAACTTTTACTTTACAAAGATTGTCATTGTTGGAGTTGCTTATATTTTAACATTGATTTTAATGATTTGGAGCAGAGTGTTCAACGTTGCAAATCCAAGTTCTGTAGATATTTCATCCATTCCAGGCTATGTTTATCTTGTCGCTGCCAATGTTGTGTTTTTGGTGTTGTGGGGAATTGATTTAGCATACTATATTTTCCGTTCAATGGGAGCCGTGCTCAAATTGAAGCAAAAGTATTCTGGTAGATTTAGGGTTATTGGGTGCTTTAGTTTCATAGTTGCTGCATGTTTTATTGGAGTGACCATAACTGCCAATGGCTTTAGAACTGATATTCAATCATTGACCTTCTTATTGTTGCACGGTATTGTTTATGTTTACTTTGCCTGTTTGTCAATTCTTTTATTGCCAGGACCAAGAGAAGAAAAGAAGCCTGAACCTCGCACTGTCACCATTGATCCAACTCAAACAGACAATACCAAGACAGATACGACCAACGCCAAGGCAAACAGCCCAAGAGACAATGCAGACGACGATGAAGTTCAAATCACAGATGTCGTGCTCTCCAGAAATGATGATGACGAACATGTTTAAAGTGAATTTATTTTGTATCAAAACTAAAAAGAATGCCGAAAATTATTGAATGAAAACACTCTAGTATTTGTTTTCACCCAAACTCTTAGTGTGTTGTTGGATTTAGTAAGGTTACTTACTGGTCTCCAAAGTTACAACTTGTTCAGCTCGCATGAACAAATTGCAGAGAGAGATTGCATCTTTCTTGTGAGGAGTGTGGAATAGCCAAAGCTCTTAGCAATGACATCTTCAACATCCTCGTAAGTCACCTCGACTGTGCTTCTCTTGTCATTCAATGGATCCCAAATGATGAATTCTTGTCTAGTTTGTTGATCCACAAAGTCCGAGCCGCAGCTGAATGGAATACCCGGTGAGGATGATGATGGAGGTTGCTGTTGCTGAGAACTAGTGCGGAGTGTCAAACTGGTCGCCTTTGAAATACTATTGGCGACCACCTTATTTCTTCGAGTGGTTGAAGATCTACTTGATTTAGCAACGCTTTGATCGACATAGTCTTCGTCATTTTCGTCATCGTAGTCATTGTCGTCTTCGTCCTCTTCATCCTCACTAAGGCCACTGTTGCTGTCATACGAATATTCATCATCACTGCTTTGGGATAATCTTGAAGAAGCATCGTTGGCAGAGAGATTTTGAGAGTCGTTGTCCTTATAAAAGGCATCCACTTCGAAGAGAGACGAAGATGAGGAAGAAGATCTCATATTATTCTCAGAAGTGCTTGTTGATGGAGCAGTCACCCGATTCAGAACACTTGAAGGAGAAAGGCTGAGGGCGATTCCTGTGGTTGTTGGTGTCAGTAATTTGTTTGACGAAGAAGAGGACATGATTTTGCCGTGTTTTGAAGATGACGCTGTCGTATCGATGGTCAAGCTTGGTCTGTTATGGCCAGTGTTAAGGGTGATACTACTATGATCTCCATTATTGCTGCTGCTGTTGCAATGACTATTACTACCATTACTATTGTTGCTACTATTGGTGGTGTTCGTCATTGATTTCACTTTCTTTGCACCATTCGCTTCCAATGTGGGCTTTCTTCTTCTCTTCTTATTTTCATTGCTTGATGATTTTGCATTGCTTCCACCTGGTTTCATGAGTATTGGTTCATAATGTTTGTTGGCAGCAGCACTAAGTGCAGCAGCCGTGATACTCGAAGGAACCGTGTTGGATCCATTGTTACCTTGCTGACTGCCTCGGCAACAGGGGCAAAGATAACCACCTGATTTAATTTCGTATCCGTTGCTCTTTTCACAATTTTGATGGACCCAACGATGGCAACTATCGCATCCAATCCATGGTTGCTCCTTATCATCCGCATCACTTTCTTTATAGATTTGATTGCAATAAACACAAAAGTGTCCCTTTCTGTGATTCGTTTCATAAAATTATTATTATGGAGCGATTAAATGATAGAGAGTCGTTCGTGTTCATTCATCAATTCAAATAAACGTTTCAGAAAAACCTACTTGTAATGCACTGCAGATGAATATCATGTGGTGGTGTTTTTATGAAACGACATGGAGAAGAGCACATGGTCCATATGTTGTTCAACGAATTTATGAAAATTTTCATTCACGGTTATTCATCATCAATTTTGGGAGTTTAGATGACAATAATGAAAATTCATGTATCACCCGAAAGTGTACAATCATTATTATTATATCATCATCATAAACAAACATTTGAATTCATCATCATAACGATCAACATTCACGCTACTTACATCCACAAGCATTGCAAAGCATGACCGGTTTTCCTTCCTTTGTTGTCCAGCCTTTGCGCCATAGAGGAGTTTGATTGGTTTTGCATTTAACGTTTCCGCACACGAGAGGGTATTGTCTCATGATGATGATAAAGAAGAGGTGGGGTTGTTATTCGTATTCTTTGATAATCGCCGTAAACTACTATAGGTATCACTGAAAAACGAATGAACCAATCAACAACAAACAAATAATAATCAACAACAATCGTTCACCATGAGAATAATGAGATTCAATCATATTATGAGTATGTACTCATCCTACACAACTTACCTCTTGAGGAGGACGAACGGATCAACTCGATATGATCAGCAGCGGATGATTTTACTTCCCAGACAGAAATCTCTCTAAGGCAAACAAACAAAGAGTTTTTCGATTTTTTTTCTCACAATTTATTTTTCGCTCAACTGCCAATTTTGTGAACGTGCATCTCCCCGTATTAAGGCGGTTGTTGATACAAATATGGAAGTCTTACTTGGTGGTGTCTTGCGATATCACAGAATAATATGATTTCCCTCATTCGACTACTTCTACCATATCTCAATTCTCCTTCGATTGAGAAGTGAAGAGAATGAGATCTTTCATGGCTTCTTCCTGAGATTCATATCGCCTTAATGGAATTTTCTCTGTGGATGGCTCTTGCTGTTCACAACCAGTTAGTGATGGTGGCATCAACACCAAATAATTGGTAAGAATATCACGGATAACCTCAACTTTTTTCACTAGTGGTTTCAAATATTGAACCAAACAATCTGACAACAGAGCACTGGTTTCAGTTTCCATTTCACTCACATCCTTAATTTCTCCATTCAACAACTTCTTCTCGAGTTGGCCTTTCACTTTCATAATTGAACCACAAAAGAAGGAATGTTTTTGATTTTTACAAATCTCTTTGGCCATCTTGACAAAGGCATTGGGTTCATGGGTGAGTCCTTTCTCTTGTAATTCTTGATCCACACGACGCATCAGAGTGGCCAAAAATTCAACTGTTTTTGTGAGATTGTAAATAACCTTGTCATTGAAATCACAAAGTCTCTTTCTGTGCTCTTCAGAGTGAACATGTGGCAATACATCGTCAAGAGTATTCTCGAAAATCATGTACCAAATACGACCCTCTCGCATCGACTCTGTGATGAGCATTTCATTCGTTTTGTGAATATTCAAATACCAATCGGATTTGATCTTGTACATGAGACCATTATCAAGAATCATGACATATCCTTCATGACCTTTTTCTTCTTCAATGGCTTTCTTTATGGATTTCAAATCAGTTTGTTTGTTGATGGTTTCATTGGTACATGTTTTGACACATTCAATTCCATATTCCATACAAGATTGTTTCATTTCATGATATGGTACAAAATTTCCTAGAATGGTTTGCCTTAGAGCAAGCAACGATATGAAAGGAGTATTTCCATAATTTACAACCACACGATGATCCGGTGAAAAGTATTCAAATAATGGTGTGAAACCTTTTGAGATCCAATTCACACAAAATCGAATTAAATTTCCAGAAGCAAGATGCTTGGTTTGTTCGAGTAAGGAGGGTGCGTTTTCAAAGCTCAATGTGAAAGGAATGGTTATTGAAGATGAATCTAAATTATCAAGGTTCCCAACTTTACGTTGCGAGCAATAGAAAATTGGTAATTGCTTTTCATGCATTTGTTTTCGTTTTTCGTGATATTTTCTCAATTCTTCCTGAAAGTTTGTGTTTGTGATTGATGAGTCTCCATACTCATTCATGGAATTTTCATGAACCTCTTCATTATCACCATCCTTATTCAATAATGCATTATTACGAGTCGTATTCTGTGGTCTCTCTATTGAGCAATTCCTTTCAATGCCATACACAAATTCCTCAATCGACTGTGAATGCTCATTTTGATAGTCCAACTTGGTTCTAAAACGTAATCGAAAGGGAATGAGAGGTGTTTCTTGTTGTGCTGTGTCAAGACTAGAATTTTTATAATCATTACTCTTCAAAAATTCAATACATGGTGTACATAATGAACCATCCAATTTTTCCAACAAGAGAAATGGGGTTTCCTTTCCAGTTTCTCTTTTCAAATGACTCAACATTTTTTCGACAAGTTTCACATTGCATTCCTCTCGCTCGTCGACATTAAAAAATTTAGGCATGGATCTGTAGAGTAAACGTTTCGATTCCCGATCAAAGACAAGTCCTCTAATTTCTCTTCTCAACATTCTCCTCTCAAATTCATGTGGATCCAAATCAATGACGAGTTGATTCTTGGAAATTTCCTTGATCGGGATGGAAGGAAAACTCTCACTAGATACAATTTTATAGCTCACAAATGTAAAAGGTCCATTGTGTTGAAAGGTGAATCCATAGGTTTGGCCAATATTTTCAATGATTTGATCCAAATGTTGAATACGAGGATATTGGATCGGATGATGGGCTGACACGGCACTAGTGGTGGTTGTGTCTTGTGTGGATAACATTTTTTTGATGGAATGATTCACCTCTATGTGAATGTGTGAATCATAACAACATTTCATTTGATGGATCATAATTTGGTGCAATTATGAAATGGCATGAAGGAACAATTTCATCTTGCAACAACACTTTTCAACTTGTGGTGTAGCATTAATAACATGATGACGAATCGTCCTCAGGATGAATAAAACTATAGTTCAACATGTATTTAAATATTCGCACTAATACTTCCATGATTAATCTCCTCAAAAGTAATTCCCTCATTTCTCAAATATTCCAAAACAGCAGGTTTGATTTTTGGTCCTTTTTCATCGGAATGATTTCCAGCTCCATAAATGATGGTCAATTTGTTTTGTTTCTCTGATCTCAACTTTTCAATTCTCTTTCGTAAAAAGTTCATCGCGTTGTCCACATATTGTCCATGCAGGTCAATTTCTAAATCGCCCTTGTCCTTATTGAGATGTTCAAACATGGTTTGAGCCGATTCGAGTTGATACTTTTTCATGAGTTCTTGATGCTTTTTTCCTTCATCACTTAATTGTTTGGCGAGTGCTCCATCTCCACTTTCGTGGGCTTTGGAAGCTCTCTCAAAACAATCGGACATGAGTTTCGACTCTTCACTAATCTTCTTTTCGAGCTCCTTAAATAATTTCATGGCTTCAGTTTCATGTTCAATGAATTGTTTCTCAGAGGAATCATATTCCCAACCATACTTTTTCAATTCGGCCATTAATCTCTTGTAGACATTCTCGGGTTGACTTGTGTTCTCAATTTTCACTTGTTTGGTATCCGAGTCCAAATCTTGAATGTTGATTTTGGATGAAGTCTCTTCTTGCAATTGTTTGATCGTTGCACCTTTAGGTCCAATGAGATATCGAGCCAAAGAAGCAGGTTTCAATAAAAAGGAATTTGTAGCCGAGTCAAAATTAGAAGAGGAAGCATTGGTTGAAGGTTTTTGAGAAGCCTGATCTCCCAACACTGTGTTTGAAACTTTGGAGGGTTCCGAGGAGGTTGTAGATTTTGCTGAAGTTGTGTTTGTTGTTGAGGAAACCTCCGCCTTCTTCTCTCCGACCGATGTTTCTTTCGTGGTTTTTACATCATTGGTTTTCACTTCGGGTTTGGATGCAGCAGAATTGCTGTTGTTCTTGGAGGATGACGACTCTCGTTGGCCTGAAAAGCAATTGCCCATTTTTATTGTGTCTTTCAGTTCTCGCGTGTCGACCCTGTCCTTTTTCAAGGAGATTTAAGAGACGAGAATGGGCAGGGCATGAGATATTTTGGCAAGTGAAAAATGACACCTTGATGGGAAACCTTGATTGAAACGATTCTGCGGTGGATGAGATGCGATTAAAATGTAAATGGGCAATTCTATGACCGTGTGATATATTCTTGGAAATGCCCTCCAACACTGTACATGTTTCAGTTTTAATAAGGCCATCTTTTAATTACCTTATTTGAAAAGTCTGTCTTGCATTTCTTCCAAAGGGTCGAAGCAACTGGCATCTTTTTTTCTCTCCCTCACTTGCTTTAAACTGTCACACATGCTTTTGTGTTTTGGCAAATGTTCTCTTTGACATTTTGCACAGCAATATCTTTCGATTTTACAAACAACACAAAATTTTGAAGCTGGCTGCCCACAATTACCGCAAACATGGTCCTTGTCCAATCGATACTCAGCAGGGTGAACATTCAATACAAGATGTGGCTGGATGAATTTCTGCTGTTCATTGTTGAATGCCATCATAAAATCATATATCTTACATGCTAGAGTTGTGTCGAGTGGAAATTGCAAAGCCAATAATTTTAAAACTGCCACACTCACTCTGTCTTCAGAGTAAATGTCTTCGAGTTGTTTCATTCGACTTTTTACCCATTCTGCTTGGATGGCAAATTGAGGTCCAGGTCGAAATGGATCCATCTTGAAATTAGTTAAAAAGTCCACACTATTCGGAAAATCAGGGCATATTACATCATTAAAAATATAATAAGTGATACATTCCCATGCTCCGAATAATTCAAATTTGTGCATGGTTTTGCTTAATGGCTTGGTTGGATCGAGATTGTGATAGTATTTGCAAAAAATTTTTAGCGATCATGGTCCTGAATGTGTATCGTTCGTCTAAGGTGTCGGCCATCATGGACTCTTTTTCTGGAGGAATGTCCATATGCTCATTATACAGTAACTTTTGGACGTCAAGATATTGTTTTGTTGCCTTTTCTACTCCCTTCTTTCTTTCCTTTTCAGTAGGTTTTAACAACGTGACATCCCTTCCGAAATAGGCATTTTCATCTATTTTTTAGCTTTAGCACGACAAAGATCACTCATATCTTCCAACTCAAGTCTTTCCATTTCCTCTTCGATTTGTTTTGAGCAAGATTCATCTGGAATCACCTCTGGTTGTTCCATTGTTAATGATGATCATCACCAAAAGAATATGGTTTCAAATGTGAACGATGGAAAGTTGATGTGCTTCCGCAGCCTTTCCGTATGATATAATATCTAAAGCACTCTCCACAATTTCTTTCCTTTCCTCTTCTGAAAATAAATCCTTTCCTGCATCATAAGATGGATCTTCTCTATCATTTCATATGAACCTCTCATTAAAATTTCACATTCAATTTGCTTCATTAAAAAATCTTGCAAAAAGTTGAGCGTGACAAAAGTGTCAAGCTGTTGAATATTAGTGAGCAGCATGCAATTTTCTTATGGTATATTCTTACCTTATCGTTTCCTTTTGTTGATTTTGTATGCTCTTCAACCTTAAATTTCCCTCGTTCTTCAGGATTTGGTACATAATAATTACAACTTAATATTTTGTTTGTCAAGTAATTGCTAATGACATTTGATGACAAACAAATTTTTTGTTGAGGAGAAAGTAGGTCCCACATTGTCTTGTGGTGAATATTGTGAGCAAAAAAGGAGAGTCTACCATCGTTATCAGAATTAATTTCGCTCTCACCGATGTTTCTATAGCTGCAATAATATCCCCATTCTTTGCAAAGGGCATCTGCCAATCTTTCGAACAATTTATAGATATCCGATCTGAATAAGCCGAATTTAATTTAATTTCCCATTTCCTCAATTGTTTGTATTTTCACTTGATTTGTTTCTGGAAATGGGATTGGATCAGATGGCTTTGTCCCTAATGATTTTTTGTTAGTACTACTCCTACTGTTGTTGCTTTTAGAAGTATTATTGGCTTGTTGAGTCTCTTTCTTACTTTTCTCGGCCGAGGAAGAGGGCTCAACCTTGCACATGACAGCAATCGGCGGCTTTTGGAGCAGTTGTTGTTGAGAGGACGTAGCAGGACGACCCACAGCCGACGCTGCAGCTGCTGATTGCTATGGTTTGATCTTTTAAGGCATTTTTTTTTGAAAAGGACGCGTTGAAAAGAATGAAATCAACAACACAAGGGGTAGATTTCACAACAAAACAGATATTTGAAAATATCAATCCCAATATATTAGCATCAGCATTTAATGACATGATTCAAAATCAAGACATCCCAAAATGCTGGAAACAAGGATGGGTTAAATTAATCGGAAAAAAAGATATAATCACAGACTACAAAGATCTAAGACCAATCATAATCATGAATATTGGATATAGACTCCTATTCAACATTATAACATTCAAACTTAAAGATTGGGCCGAATCAAATATCAACATTAGACAACAAGCATTCACCCAAAATCGAGAAACAACAAATCACTGCATCCTCATACAAGCCCTCATTAACAAATTCAAAAAGAAAGGATTCATTCTAACCAATATAGATATTGCTGCTGCATATGATTCCATTGAACTCAAAATCATTGACATGGCGCTCACCCACTGCAAATTCCCCCAAGAACTTAAAAACTTCATCATTAATGCTTACTCAAATCATCAAATCCAAATAGAATGGAATCATACACTATCAGAAAAATTCACCAAGACAAGAGGAATCCCACAAGGATGTCCTCTAGCTCCTCTAATCTATAACTGCATCTCCCAAATGATTATTGATAAAATTATTGAAAGAGAAAAACTCCCAATCACTCCACAAGATCTAGACATTGATGATATTGCCACACTTTGTTTTGCCGATGATATGTCAATTATCAATTCTAACATTACTCTCCACAACAAAAGACTCAAGAAAATTAACAGATGGTTCAAACAAATATTCCTAGAAATTAATCCATCCAAATCAGTTACAACTTCACTCCCTAAACCAAACGAGGCCTTGATTAACAATACCAAAATTCCAAACCAAGACAACCAAAGAATCCTCGGAGGATATCTTTTTGAATCTAAATTATTTAAGGAAGAACTAGAAAAAAGGAAACATAAGATGATGAATATCCTTAACATCCTCCCAATTAATCTGATTCAACCATATAATCTCAAACAAGTAGTCACATCTAAAACCTTATCCCAAATTACACACCTTGCACGCAGTAATTCAATAAGCCAATCTCAATTAGAATCATTCGACTCTTCAATCAGAAACCAAATCAAAAGAAAACTAAATATTGATGCAAGAACACCTAAAGAATGCCTATACTTACCAATCTACCAAGGAGGAATGGGTATTCCATGCCTTGAAATGATGACTGATATCATAACCCTAAGATCATTAATTAATATCTCATGTCACAATTACCAACTCATGCAAGAAGCGGTAAATGATGCTATCACATCAACATTCAACACCAAAAAATCCAAAAACCTAAATATATTTGAAAACTTCCACCACATAGCAAGGAAGTATGAGCTTAAAGTTGATAACTGCAACTACATACCTCAACTTGTAAATGAAGAATCACTAAAATACCATAAGAAATGTAAAAACTTTGAAGTATGGACTGATGGATCTAAAACTGAACAAGGAACTGGATTTGGTATTATTTTACAATCCAAAAATATAACAACTAGACACAAATTCAAACTTGATCCAATCCATAGCAATAACTTAGCTGAACTACTAAGTATTGTCTACACTCTCCGATTATTACCAACAAAATCAAAAGCAAAAATCTACACAGACAGCGAAATAAGTATCAATTTGCTATCAAATCCTAAATACCGAGGACCATTTCTCCCCTTAAAACTGAATTTGAATTCCTCAAGAAATCTAAAAACCTACAAATCACCATCATCAAAGTTAAAGGCCACCAAAATAGTGGTAACATTCACGTAGACAAATTAGCCAAAAAGGGATGCACATCAGGAAAATTGATAATTCCTCACAGACAACTTACCCAAAACCAAATTATCCTCAAATCCAATAACCACTGGATTCCAGATATTGCAACATTCATCAAGAACAAACAACTTCAGAAATGGAATGAATCAATAACTTTGAAGAGCAGGAATAAGTTTAACCCTTCTTGCATCTTCCCAACAACATTCAATTTCATGAAGTCAAAGAATATCTCTCCCCAACAAAAATATGCAATCTGGAGAAACATGCACAATGTTCACATGAAAACATTTAAACAACAAACTCACACCTGCCCCAGATGTAATTGCACCGGAACTATTGAACATTATTCCACACGTTGCACATTACTATCGGAGGAAAGAATGTATGCTAAACAGCAGATGAAGAGGCTTCTAAACATTGAATTGATTCCCCATGACCGAAATGAAATTCTAACCTCCTCCAAATTCCTTATCGACAGCAGAGGAATCATTCTTAACTCCGACACATATTTTACAAGAAGAAAACAGGACATCATCAAGTACTGGGTAGACATCCAAGCAATTCTATCGCTCTTGATGGGTAGAGCTTTTAATCAATACTGGGAAAACGAAAGACCTGAGGCACCGAAGGGCCAATAAATATTTTTTTCAATTTTTACTGAAGGAGTTGGCCACCCGTGCAAATATTGGTGACCAATTCTGATGATTGAATTTGGATATAAGCCTTTTATAAAATATGTTCTGAACATTTGCATCAACATTTCTGAATTTTATTCTTTTGGAAATCTTTGCATGATTTGACGTTGGAGCTTCCTTTTTTGAATCTCCAATTCATTACTCCGAATTGTCTATACTCATAGCAATAATATTGCTATAAGGAAACAAGCTCCAAATCAGCTTCTTCAAACCAAAGAGCAAATTCCTTGCGCTCCTGAATTACTTCTTCGCTGTTTCTCATAGCTGGTTGGGGTAATCATCCCGATGATGTGGTTGATGATGATGAGAACTTACACTACCTCCATAGACATACTCCCTTCTGGGTGGAAAAATTTCTTGTAGGATCTTCTTCGGAAGATAAGGCCCGAGATGGGTAGATTGAATGTTCTGAAAAGAACGGAAGTGTTTTGTAACAATAAGGTTGACTGAAAGTATGGCTAAAAAATGTCAACAAATCCACAACCAAAACAGCTCTCCCTCCCATTATGTTTAGAATTCAACAACACTTTGTGTTGTATTAACTGGATTTTGCCTTATTTATCATTGATTTGCTCAGTGATTTTCTTTGACACTTTTTGTCTGCGATTGGCTTTGGCCTTATCATTGATGGGTTCTCCCACGATCTTTTTTAAATTTTATCCGTCGTTGATTCGCTCAATGATGTTTCCGTCGCTTTATTGCGATGTTTTTCAAGGAACATGGTCTATATCAATTTCTTGTTTAAAATTTTATTGAGCTAACCTTTTTTTATGATCACTTGCGGTGAAGTAGACATGAATATTCTTGATTTGTTTCAAAATTAACAATTTGTTTATGATTTCTATTCTAACAAATTTATTTATATGATCTATATTCGTCCCAGAGCTATTATCCATTCAATGTGGATTTTCTCAAAGCAATTTGAGTATTTTCATCACATTCTAGTATCCATTTCTCGGGACAACTGTACAACAATAAAGGTTGTTGGTTGACACTCCATCTCCAAATAAGTGACACTTCCTGGAGAGGAGACAGCAACTAACCCAATGGTATTAATCTATTATTGTTTGAAGTTACATAACAATTCTCTTCGTGAATGTTGTAATGATGACGAACGCAGTTGTTGTTGGCTCATTTGTTTTGATATTTGGATAAAACTAATTTCCATTATGTGAATGGGATTTAAGCTAAAAAACCACAGGAAGGCATGCAGACAACCGTTTAATAGAACTCGATTCTTGTGATGGTTGTTGTGAAGATATTCTATGAGGTGAGGCGGAAATATGGGATGGCTTATACAACTCCTTAATACAATCAATAGAAATATTGAGTGGATATTAAGTTTAAAATAAGGGAGAACTATTATGTATGTTTCTGAAATATCACTTTCTGAGTTACAGCATTACTTTGGTTTCGATTACGATCTGCATGGGGACAGCCTTTGTCTCTTTAGAAACTTCTTTCAGTTGGGACATTCAAGCAATCTATCTCAGTGTGTGGAAGAGCACCTGTTTAATCCAAAACGTCATTCAATGTTATCCTTGGCTGCCTCAGTCATTGTAACACGAACTTGGTGATTCGAACTTTTGATTCACAAAGTGAAATAACTCATCATGAGTCTTTCTTCAAACAGCCATAATTTAACAGGGATTGTGAGTGTCAAAAGTTCAATGAAGGGAAGACACAGAGCAAATATTATTGTAGAATTTCGAAATAGTACAATGATAGATGATATTCTGCGAAGAACAATTAGCAACATTCAAATTTAGAATTCATTATTAACACTTGTTTACTTTATTTCTTCATAATATATATAGATGATATCATAATTCGTAAAGTAATAAATAGATATTAGAGTCGTTATTTATATTGTATTCGTTGAGAATTTTTAGAGAAGAGACTTGACATATCCCTTAGTGGAAGGAAACAGAAAGGTCACATCCAGAATCAGCTGGGATATTCCTGATGCTAGAGTTTTACAAAGTTCTGGAAGTAAGCAGGAACTGACAGCCATCCTTTTCGGCTCTCGGCTGCAAGTTTGAACTTTGAAGGGACATCGATTTCAACACCACAAATGGCCTCTCATTAAGACTTGTACCTCTAGGAAGATAGATTTAAACGACGATAAGTCAGTGAGGAGCTAGTTGAAAAGACCTAATGATGGAGAGAGATGGAAAAAGAACTGAACAACATGATGCTCAAAAGTATTAAGAAAGATAAACCCGCCGACAAGTTTGTTGATGAAGTATTTTCTGAATTCAAAGTTGAAAATGTTGAAAAATACGTTTCAAAATCTTCAGACATTAAGGAGAATCTCGAGAAAAAAGGGGTGAAATTAACTCCAGCAATAATGTCCCTTGCTCTTTGTGCTGGTCCGGATGGGTTTATGAGGTTCTATGAGAAATCAAAGACCTTTAAGATTTGGAGTGCTCTGTTGGACCAAAACTCTCCTATTAACTCGTTAAGGATTGTCCATATTGGAGAACGTGCAATGACCACACTTTACAACACTCGTGAGGAAGTGGCTCAAGAGTACAATGAACTTTTGGCCAAACATTATCAATCCTTATTGATGGAACATAAGGATGAGGGCAAACCAAAGACCAAATCATCAAAAAAAAAGCAATGCCTTCGAAATCCTCCACTCCTCAACCATCCAACAACAGCAAGGTTGCGTCATCTACTAATTCATCATCCGAGAAAGTGGAGACTCCAACAACATCACCTTCTCCACATCAACCTTCTAACGTTGAAACATCCAACGACAACAATATTTCTGATGAATTCAAGACTACGGCTGTTGAAAGAATGACGGCCGATCAAATATACTTAAAGTGTAGAGAATGCTGCAAAATTGAATTTGGATGCGGAAGAAATTGAAATTAATTTCATTAAGAAACACAAAGAAAACGGAAATGTTGAAATTTATGAAGCGACTATTTCGTCATTTAGCAATGATGAGAAATTGTTGACAAAAATGTTACAATTAGAACGACAAATTATGTTCTACAAGGAATGTTTTAAAAACACAGTCATCAGTAGAGTTGGATTGGTCTCACCTTCCAATTCGAACCTTGAACGGGTGGAGAAAATCATTGAACAACATAATGGCCTCTTTGTCAACATTCAATTGTTCATTGAAAACAACACTTTTTCTGTTGTCAAGGAAGGACACAAGCCTGAAATTGATTAAAACAATACTACTCGCTTAATAAAGTTATGGGGTTGAATGGGTTGTTTGCAAATAACAACACATGAATATGTGAAATGTTTATTCCAAGAAGCCAAATCAATCTCTTTGCAAGGTCCTCCACCTCTATTGTGGCCCTCCTATCTCCTACAACTCTCTCATGCTGACACATCTAGAAGTCTCTAATACCACTGATCGGTGATATTAGAGTCTTTCGGATGACATCATGAAACGAGAGATAATTACATGGAAAAGACATGATAAAAGAAACGAAATTGGTGTATGCTTTCATAATATTGTTTTATTTGCATGATTTTCTCCCGCTTCATGTTTTTTTCGACCAATTTTGGTGTTCTCTTTTTCTAAACGAAATTTCTCAATAGTTAATTCAAACAATCATCAGCAACAAACGGGATGTGAAACAATCCATCAAGAAGAATCTAAATTTAAGAAATCAACATGTTTGGTTCTTTATGTGTAGTTAAGTTTTGAAGACATGATCTAGAAATGATCACAACCAAAAATTTTATCAAAAAGGTGCGAAGAATCTTGGTCATGATTTTTGCTGAAGGAGGAATGAATGGCTTTCATTCTTTTTCATCACCGTGAAATGAATAGACTTCCTCCCACTCGATCACAATACGAGTAGGCTTCACTGAACTTGTTGGTGTTTTCTTCATAGAGCCATTTCAATGTGTGATCACAAATCATACCACTCACACTCACTCGAATGTGACTCACTTGTTCCAATATGGTGGAATTTGAAATCCATTGCATCAAGTTCAATTCCATGACATGCTCTTGACAGAGGTCCATCTGCTTGGTGATTGGAATTTTGGTTTGAAAGAGAATTGGATTTTGATTAATTCCAAATAAAGTCACATGTGCAGAAACGTCATGCAGTCGAGTACTCAATAATTGAGGAAAGTTCCTGAAACAAGGGTATTGAGTATGCAAGGTATATCTCACACGATCCTTGGAATTCATCCAAAGTCTCAAAGGCATCAATGCCACTCCAAAATAAGGTTTGTAACAAGTGTCATTAAATCTCAACTCGGTATAATTCCACAAATGACAAAATTCTTCCACAGTGAAATTCGAAATGGGTGCATTTCCATCTCGATCGTATGGATCATACATGATGATTCTCTTAACCACCTCCTTAGTTGTTGTCGATAAAGCTCCATTCCGTTGTTGACCTACAAATTTTGTTGTTGTCACCATTTCAGATTCATAACCCACAGCCAATCGATAATGTCCTTCATAATCACCACTCACTTGTGGATTCTCATAAAACATTAAACAAATCACTGGAATGTCTTGTTTCAAAAATTCATGAACTAATTCAGAAACCCAACATTTCACTCCACTCTCAAATCCACCCAATTTGTTTTTACAATTTGATGAATGCAACCATGAAGATTCACTCGCTCTCTCTGGATAATACATTGTCAATAAACCAGTGTGATCATACAAGGAATCATCAGTAATGGTGGTTGCTGATAAAGAACGCGTGTTGAATTCAACCTTCTTTTCTTTGTCATGAATATTCCTATCAATATGATCATTATCTCTACTAAAAGTACTATCACTACTAGTTGTTGTACCTTCACAATTATTACTATTACTACTACTATTACTACTACTACTCCTTTTTAATCCAATTCTCCCAAACCAACCATGTTCAGGAGCATCGGAAGGAAATTGTACATGATATTGTTGAGTGGGCGTGGAACTCAGAGGTTGTGAAAATCGAGCACTTCGGACCACATCCAATGAATTGGTTCCAGTGTGGTTGGAAGTTCGAGCCACATCCATGATGGATCTTTGATCAATGATGAGGATTCGTTGTGCCAAAGGACACTTCCTAGGTTCCATTGTTGTTGGATAATGTTCAACAACATGAGGATGATGATGACCATTCTCGAGATGGTTCCGAAATTGATGATGTTGGACATGATGATACAAATCATCCCAATAAGTGAGAGCCATTTGTAAGGTGGCAGCTCCACATGAATAATCTGTGAGTTGAGAGAAGTAGGGAATGTTTGGAATGACGTAACAGTTCGTGGTGGTGGTTGTGGTGGTGTGTGAAATAATTATTGAGCTACACTGCGAATAGACTTCGTGCACGAACTGAAATAAATTTATTTGAATCGATCGAGAGGATGTTCAACCAAGGATGATCGTCATCATTAATTTAATCTCAATCGACTGCTGCCGGAACTGGAGGAAGAAGGAGAGGTTGGCATTCCACTTTTTCCACTCGACATTCCATTTCTCAAACGATTTTGTAAATGAGTGGTCACGGAAGTGATCACTTTGACAATATTGCTCGCAGAAGAGATGGCATGTGAAGATCCAACCATAGTGGCAGGACTAGGAGATGCCTCCATATTAGAACCCTCCAAATTAGTCATCTCTGTTGGTAATTGTAATTGTGAAGTTTTTCCTTCAAATTCTCGAATCAAAATTTCAAGCATGTTATCTTTCATTTCAGCAAGGGCTTTCGAATTTGATGACAACATTAACAGAGTACTTAAAACAAGTGTAATATTGAGACGAAGTTGAGCCAATTGTTCCACAAACATTGTCTGGTGTGGTAATGATAATGAAGTAGTAGTGGCACCCGGAGAATTTGGAAAGGATGGCGAAGGAGTGTTATTTCCATTGCCAATTGAAGAACCCTCTCGAATGGGTGATGAATTTGAGGTGGAGGAAGAGGTAGATTGAGCATATTGTTCTGTGACGGTACTTCCACCACCTCTTCTTCCTGATCGATGTAAATGTTGCGTCATGGTGGCGGAAGGATTACCACCTGAATGAATGTTATTATTGTTAGGAATGTAAGGCATCAACAGATTCAAAATTTGAACCAATAAGGTAATTAAGGTCTGACTATTCGCAATATTTCGATGAAGACCTCGAATAACACTTCCACTGAAACCACTCAAAACAATAGAAATGGCTACACCTCTGAAATATTCATGATTGGAAAGAGCAAGTAAAATACTGAGTAATGAAGTCAAGTAGGATGGAATTCGAATCATGTTGTTGTGGTTGTTATGGTTGACACTTGAAGCTGTTGTCAATGAAGTTGATACAGGTGATGTATTCACACTACCATGTGAATTCAACGAATGGTGCTGAACTTGCTGAGTAATCATCATTCTTCTCACCACATGTCCCAATAATTCAATCAAGGTGTGAATGGAAGTTTCATTCACAATGAGTTCACTCATGAGTTCATCTTCATCCTCTCCTCCAATTTCATTTTCAGAAGAGGATTGAACAATCACGAGAAGAGCATCCAGAGCAGATTTTAACAACTCTTCTCTCTGAGTGCTTTCAAATGGAATGGTATTCATTAGTGAAGGATATTTTTCTGAATAAGCGACCGATTCGGGAATGAGTGCTGACAAAATATTTGGTAAAATGTGTCTCACTACGAGTGGAACGAGTTCTCCATCTTTGGTAATGACTGAACGTTTCTCTGAAGTGTTGCAACAGTTGCGTAACACTCTTAGGAAAGAAGAGGCCAAATAAGGTTGAGTTCGAGAATTGAATGCTTCAATGTGATCCACTAAAAATTGCAAGTAATCATTAGAAGTGAACCATTTTCGAACATTTTCAGAAAAGTATGTCAATTTCTCAAGAATACTTGCCACCACTCCGAGAAGACCTTCGTCATCGTATTGCAACAAGGAACATAAACTGTGTAAGAAGGGAGTATAGGAACAGAGAGTTTCTCGTATTTGGAGATAGAGTTTTCGTTCTTCTGAACTTTTGTCATTGTCACCACCACCAACATCACTGGAGGTGGAATCAGTGTCAGTATTGTCATGTGTCATCGAGTTGTTGCTCCAAGCAACAGTGGATCTCGAAGAAGTATCCATTTCACACTTGTTTAACCATGAGGAAATTTCATAGCAAATTTCATAAATGGTTTCATAATGATACATGGAGCTCACATGAATGGCATTCGACAGTAATTTCACAAATGATAAAGGTGACATTCCTAACACTCCAACAAAATAATTCAATTTCATCAATCTCAAAAACACCATCGTATTCATGTTGCAAACTGTTCTCGAGGTGTGATTTGATGAGACTGCACCGCCACCTCCACTACTTGCACCAATATTATTCTTTCCACCAATAAGCATTTGTCTGTACATGATCAATTGTAACTGTTTGGCTAATTGATTGTTTTTTAGTTGTTCCACATGTTTCTCGACAGCTTCATCATACAGAATATCGTCATTGAATTGCGTGAGACCTCCTGACGATGATGATGCTGTTCCATTGATGGTAGCATTCATTTGGTGTTGAACAGCAAGGTTCATTTGATTCATGTCGAAAAAACTGTAATGCATTTCATCCGTTTTTTGTTCAATTTCTTCAATCTTTTCTTCGATTGGTTTTTCAAAGTCATATTCCTGATTCACAATTCTCAAATGAAGGAAATATTCCATGAGAAGAATGAGTGTACGCTTGTATTGTTGAATTCTCTTATCTTTAGCCAATTCTTCGAGTTGTTTCAAATGAAGTAATGCTTTCACAATTCTTTCAAAATTTGAATATTCAATCGAATCAACATAATAGGCCAAATAATATGAGACCTTATTTCTCCATTGAATGATGTGTTGAATGGTTGGATTTTTAACAGTAACTGGACTATCGACATTGTAAACGAGATCGTGCTCCACAGCGAATGGATCATGAATGGTGGAAGGGTCTTTTGGTTGTGACAAGATGCAATCAATAACGTCACCCACTGCCTTGACAAAAACTTCAGGGCGTGTATGATCTCCAACTTCGTGTCCCCACTTGAGAGGATATAACTCTGGTTTCAAACCAAATTTCAATTGAACCCAACAATAGAAATCTTCGTCACATGCCAAAGATTCTAATTTAGTTCGAATCGTTAATTGATCATATAAAAAGCACTGAGGAAGAGGATTGCAAGATTGTACACACATGTTAAATAATTCATTTTGAGAGGTCGCTTTTGAGCTATCATCTGCATAATCGAATTCAAAAACAATGTCTTGATAATGAGTGGCGTAAGGAGGAATAAATCTACGTCGACACACCACCACATGTTTGATACGATCATGAGAAAGTATTGGTGATTGTGAATCATGAAGCAACTCCAAATTGAATGCATCGTAACGTTTCGAATGCTTGGTCTTGCTTGTAAACAATTGTGGATAGAAACAATATTTCACCTTAATTTGATAGGCCTCTGTGATGGTTTTGTCAAATTTGTAGATGGATCGTTCTTTGAGAAATTCTTCATCGAGAAGAACGTCAAAATCAGCACAAGAGGTCAACAATTGATTGGAAATCATTTTCTGAGCAAAGGTTCGAATATTCGTCTTGGGAGCATTTGAATTTCGAATTGGGATGATTTTAACAGTTAATTTGTCAGGAACGACCATCGAAGGGGTTTGAGATTGGTTTCCTTTTGATTCAAATGTCACTTCATAGTATGCCTTTGAAGAATTGTTGTTGTTGCTACTTTTTGATTCCAAAGAATGAGTACCCTGTGCATTAGCACCAGCAGTGGTCGTATTATTGGTGGCCACTTTTCGATTCAATTCCGCTGAATTTAACACAAACCAATATCCATTGAATACTTTTTCGACTCGAACGGATTGGTGATTACTTTGTATGTATTTCAACACGGACGATTGGGTATTGACAATGTGAGTTCGATCCAATTTCAATGTTTGAAATGGATGTTTGATGGTCTCATCTTGTTGTTGTGTGGTCCACTCACTCGAGTTTCCACCATTGGTGGTGTTGTTGTTGTTGTTATAATTCGTGTACACAATCTTTAAATCATAATCCATATCCTTGTCAAATTGCCACTTTTTTAGGACCTTATTGGTCTTGTAATGAATTTGTAATTCCTTAATTAATTGAGTTCTATTGGATGCTTCCAATGTGAGTGTGTGTGTTGGAGAGGAAGAGGATTGTTGAATGTTTGAACTAGTAGTAGTGGTTGTTGTTGTGGAAGAGGAGGAGGATGTCTCACTTGTTGCATGGTTGTTGCTATTCTGAGAATTCAAAATAGAGCCACCATTTTGGTGATGTGTCAATGATAATGAACCATTAGTTGATGATGACTGCTGATGATGAGACAAATTCTTATTTATCACAATACTGAACTTGGAGACATGATCCGAATAGACATTCACACAACTGATTTGTTCCAATGCGATGGGAATTGGAGCACTCGTGAAGGACTCTTTGAAGAGATATACAAAATGTGCACAAATACAAATATAATAAATTTCTTTTTCGTAGAGAACAATGGAATAGAAGAGAACTTCGTCCTGAATGAATTGTTCGAGATGGAGACGAGCAATGATTTTTTCCTTCATTTTGTGATTTTGTGAGTGGGTGGATGAGTGGGTGAGAGAGGAAGAGATGATGAAAGCTTTCAAACAAACACAGTTTGAAGGTTCACAAATAACAATTATTATTCAATTTAGTCGTCGTGATGGGAAGATAAATTTCACCACGAAATCCCTAGAGAGAAATGGATGTTGTTGTGTTTGTGGTGGTGTAGATGATGACAAAATGATGGAATAAAGACAGGCGGTTTTCGTCTGGACGTTTTTTTTGATGTTTGACGTGAGGAAAATTACTTGTCAGTAACTGTTTCGTTGAAACAGATCTGTTTGTATTTTACTTTCTGGCAGTTTCATAATTTTCCAAGAACCATTGCACGGTTTCCTTGATGGCTTGTTCGAATGGCGTATATTGGAACGTTGGATTTAAACGCAAGAACTTGGCATTACTTGAAGTCTTCTTGTATTGGCCATCTGCCTTTGAGGTATCGAAAACCATGTTGCCAGTGAAGTTGAAAGCATCCTTAATAGTTTGAGCGACTTGTCCAATGCTCTTTTCATCCTCCTCACTCACACACAACATGATTGGTTCTTCGGATTGATAATTGAACATGGTCCACAACAACATACGTGCAGCATCGTGAGAATACAAAAATTGTCTCAATGGCTTTCCTGAGCCAAACACAACAAAATCAGTGCCATTTTGTTGAGCCTTATAGCACTTGTGCATGAGTCCAGGCAAGACGTGTCCAGCCTCTACGTTAAAGTTATCGTGTGGTCCAAACAAATTGGTTGGAATGACACTTGTAAAGAGACATGATTTTCCTTCATTGACGGCCTTTTCATTGTACCATCTTCCTAACATGTCGAGCATTCTTTTGGCGTAGGCATAGGCATTATTACTAAAGTGTGGAGGTCCTTCATGAAGTTTTTCTTCAGTAATTGGATATTCAATCTTGTCTGGAAAAACACAAGTAGAGAGACATGATATTGTCTTTTTCACTCCGAAATCATAACAACAAGTCAAAATATTATTATTCATATTCACGTTATCCAACCAAAAGCTCACTTTAAAATTCATATTCTTGAAAAGACCTCCAACAAAAGCAGCTAAATGAATCACATAGGTTGGTCTGTACTTTTCAAAAAGTTGTTTGCAGGCATCGGCATCACGGAGATCACCATCCTTGCTTCCCAAGAAGACCCATTTTCCTTTAATTTGTTCCTTCTTTACAATATGTTCGACTGCCTTTCCAAACAAACCAGTTCCTCCCGTAACCAAAATTACATCATCCTGAGTGAGTGTGATGGGCTGATCAGAGACTTCTCGTTGAGCCATTTTTTTTTACACTAAAAAAAAATATTAAAAAAATTGAAACGTTGGGAATGTAGATCAACACAACAGTTTGATGAATGAACGTTGTAATATTTGAGTATTATTATTTTTGGAGTTTTCTCACGGGTGGCCAACTCGAGCGTATTTTTTCGTGAACACATCAAGCTGCAAGAGAGAATTTCGCTGGGGATTTTTAATAAAGCTACGATCATAGTATGATTTTATGATGATTTCAACCCCTCAAAACTTGCCAATGCAATATATTGTTGCTGACACGTGAAGGAAACACTACTTAATTATTGGTGCGTCAATAAGTTGAATTGGCATTACAAGAGCCGTGGTGGTAACGTCCTAAAATTTTGTCACGTCCAGGGTGGTATAGTATTGAAGGGGCCCTTTCCCCTCTTCGTCACATTATCAACACCATCTCTCTCAAACCACAACTCTTAAATTGAGAAACGTGTATTGAAATTGTTGCTAAAATGTTTTCAAACTTCTCTTCGAAAAGGGTTTTAAAAAAATTTCAATTTGTGGAGTTCAATGTGATTGAGAAGAGTTTGAAATTAACACCAAGCCCGTCAAAAGTGCACAACAAATAGAACATCCTTGAGTGTAAAGTGGTCTGTTGTTCTAGAATTTCATGCTGCTTGTTTGCACTTTACACGGGCTTTATGTTTAATTCAGCCAAAGTCAGTGACACCTTTTTTTAAGGGCTGTTATTAATTGAATATTAGGTCTCACAATACCAAACAAAATAATCTGAAACTAGACTGAAAGAAGCATCTACCATATGAAAATCTTGGTTTCAGCATGCTTAATTGTAGAACAGTTCAACTCTGAAACAAAATTTGAATAATGGTCGGTGTTATTAATCGAGTAAAAAATAAAAGTGCGCTCGTAAAGAATCTTGTCTCGAGCGACCAATGAAGGAGTTGGCCACCCTTGAGTTTTCTCATTGATGATAAAAGTAATGAACGTGTAGTGTCATCATCCGTCTTCCAAAAAAAACTGTTGCCGCCCAAAGTCTACGAAACTGATGGCATGATGGAAGTTTAGAAAAAAAATCTCTCTTCGTTGTCATCATCATCAATTATTGTTTTTCTCCAACTTTGAGTTTTTATTGTTGAAGAGTTACGCAGATTGTTGTTGATTGATCTTCTTCTTCTTTTGATTCATTTGAACTTTAAATTTTGAGAATTTGAAATGAGAGGTCTCAAATTAAAAGTCAACGCTTCGGAGAATGAAGCACCTCCGAGAGATTTTGATATTACTCAAAGCGGATCCTTCACGAAAGGAGATTTTAAAATTAATCAGAACTGGAAGAATATGTCTTTGAATGATTTGGAGACCAAGCACTTGTTGGGAAAGGGTTCATCGGGAAATGTCTATCTTGTATGTCATAAGGCCTCTGGGCAATTATTCGCTCTGAAGTATATCTCTGTTTTTGATGATCAGAAAAGAAAGACCATTATCAACGAGTTGCAAACGTTGTATTCAGCTTCGAGTGAGCATTTGGTAGGTGTTCTTTTGATCTTTCATACTGTTTGTCATGACAATTTATCTTGTATTCTCTATTCATTATTGATTTATATTAATGGTATTTTAATTGTCTCAATCTCTCACTATGATTTTGTACCCATTCTTTTAATTGGGAAAAGATTGGATTTTTTGGAGCTTTTTATCAAGAGGGAAATATTCAAATAGCCCTCGAGTATATGGAAGGAGGCTCCTTGAGCGATATTATTAAAACAGTTCAAGGGCCAATCCCAGAACCTTTTTTATCTCGCATCATGCAACAAGTCATGTTGGGTCTGAGATATTTGCATAAAGAGCGTCACCTTGTACATAGAGATTTAAAACCAGGAAACATATTATTCAACAGTAAGGGTCAATTTAAAATTTCAGATTTTGGAGTAAGTGCTGAATTGGACCACACGGGAGCTGAGTGTGGATCCTTTGTGGGAACTGTCACTTACATGAGTCCTGAGAGACTTGAAGGGAAAAAGTATTCATTCGCGAGTGACATTTGGGCTTTGGGAATTATTGTTTTAGAGTCAGTCACTGGAAAATTCCCATTCAGAGATGAACACGACAAACCAATCGGAGTATTCTGGGAATTATTGAACACGATCAAAATGAAAGCTCCTCCTTCACTCTCTCCTCATCAAGGGTATTCCAGCGAAGTGTGTGACTTTATTGCCCTCTGCTTACAAAAAGATCCAAAACAAAGAGCAACCGTTTCAGAATTATTAGAACATCCTTTCATCACCAAACATTGCTCCAACTCTCCAACAAGTGGTGCCGAGTGGCAACAATATAATAATTGGATTGACACTCTCATCAAAATTCGATCTCAAACTGAAAAGTATGTTCAGAGCGAGCAACAAGAAAAAACTCATTCCTTAGAAACAAAGTTGAAGAAGCTTGTTCTCTGAAATGGAATGACTCTCACCAATAAAAGTGTTTTTCTCAACCATTTCTTGTCGCTTCACATTTACCTTCCAACATTCAAACGTTGAATGACATTGATTCCATGAGCGAAGCGAACAGGGTCATGAAATCGATTTATTTTGCCCCAACAGACCACGATCGTGATGTAATAGCTCTTTTCATGAATTGGAACAACGTGTAAAAATAGACAGATACACGATCGAGATTCACATTCATTGAATCCATTCATTCATCACACACACACACACAACATTCTCGAGTGGTCGCTAATCAATTCCATAGATCCAAAAGTGTACATACTTGGCACGTTTCAAAAGTACTTGTTGTTGTTGTTCAAAACTCCTCTATCGGGATTGATTCAGAACAATTTGTTTCATTCCGAATTGGATGTATTCGTGCATTCATAAAAAAGCTTTTCTGATTGTTCCGGAACCCGATCACTCCTCTAACAACAAGAAGAAGAAGAACAACTGCGCACGTTCATCCTAAAAACTCCTTCTTCCAAAGTACTTTTCTGCTCTCATCATCCACTAGTTAGATTCTTCGAGTTATTATACACCTTTGACTTCATCAACCGCTTTGCATTCATCATCGGATATGCTCCATCTGACCCTCACTTCTCCAACCTGGAGAACTCTGAGCATTACTCTTAGCCTTTCTCTTTTCCTCTATTACCGATTCATCTATTTGAACCAGCACGACAACAACAACTCCCATACGTTTTCCATGATGGATGCAACTACAAGTTATAATGGATCCTATATTCAGTCGACTTCTTCTTTGAATAATGGAGAACAATTATATTCACCTCTTGCATCATCATCATCATCATTAGATTCACCTCAAAACCAACAGCAACAACAAAATATCACTCTCTTCACCTTATTGCTTCATGAATTATTTAATTATTATCGATATCTAATTTTGGAAAATAAGATGGGAGTTTTAATTCATTTGCATACGGTGTTTATTTTGCTGTATTATGCATGTCGATTTGTATTGTTGAAATTTTTGGGGAATGTCACCCAGAAAGAGAAGGACGCGTTTTCGAATGGATTAATTCCCTATGTAACGATTAATACCTTATTTGTATTTTATATTTTAAACCATTTTAAGAATATTAATTATTTAAATGAAATTATAATTTGGATTGTTTGGTTGTCTGTAACTGGAATTTTGAAGAGTTTTAATATTGTGTGTCGAGTGAGGTCTTCAACCATGATGGAAGATGTCATTGCTCCAGACAAGGAAAAGCATCTCAAAATGATTACTTTATTGACAATTATTTGCTTTACAAATTTGGGAATGATTATATATGCAACGATATATATCATTGGTTTTTACAATAATGACTACTCATACTATTTATTATTCATCTACGAAAATGTTACACTATTCTTGGAAAATACTCGAATATTTGCCAAATATGGAGGATTTGTGTGTGAAATTTTTGGACTCATCAATACTGATACTCATCGAAAAAGCTCGGAAAATGAAAGTTCATTCATTAAGAAACTTCTCTCTACAATTTTTCACAATGAAACGATTTACATTACACGATTTGTTTTAGAAATTTTACTGCTCGTCATTGCAACCATGCACTACATGCATGTTTGGTACAACAATGGACTTAATTTTGCAGTCATTGATTTGTTACTCTTTGCATTGATTAATAATTCATTCAACGAATTTAGAATTCAAGCCTCTCGTTTGCTGGAATATCGAAGAATTAGTAGAATGTTGAAAGAACAATTTCCTGCACCCACTCTAGAGGAATGTCGTGAGAATGAGCTTTGTACCATTTGTCACGAATCATTTCATTTGGATCATGTCGAGGAATTACAATCATGCACAAGAAAACTTGAATGTGGGCACGTATTCCATTTGATATGTATCACTCAGTGGATGCGATGCTCCTTTACGTGTCCAATTTGTAGGAGAGATGTGATTCGAGAAGTGAACAAGACGACCTCCTCAGGGAAAGATGAGTCCAAACATGAGGAGCATACTGGAACGACCGACCATCATCATTCTGGAATGCCCTCCACATCAGGAGACGAGACTCCCACCTCTCCAGTGAATCCGCACACAACCACCTTGCTCAGTACGAGTGGAAATTGGCTTCCATTCTCCTTAAAGATTGAGGAAACTTCGAGTGACATTGAATCGAGCGATGACGAGGATGGAATGCATGACTCATTCGGAGAGAGTGCTGCAAACCTTCAAGATGATTCTGATACCACTCCAATAACACAATAATTACTAGGGGTTTTTATTTAATGCAGCAAAGGATTCTTCTTTACAAATAATGTTTGTAGAGAGCTCTATGAAATTAAGAGATCATCATGTTCAACAGAGTGTAATATTCACCTAGGTCGACTTTAATTCTCATTTACATCACACTCATAAATAATCGAAAATAGAAAATCAATGATATCCAAATTTGATTTTATCTTCGATGTGCGAACTTCTTTTTAAATTGTGTATAGACATATTCATCTGAGGCAGTATTATAGGTATATTTTCGTTTCAATCCACTTTCTTCCAGCTCTTTGACTCGTTCATTGGTCTCCCTAATGTTTTGAATCTTATCTGCCGCTGAAAGTGGTACTTCAAGAATTGCACCACTCAACAGTTTTTGTCTTTCCTCTTCAGAGAGTGGCTTGGTGGGTTGGTTCGTTTGCTCATTTCGACGTCTTCCTCTTCGTTTCATCAAATTTTCAATTTCTATTTTATCAACCTTTAACTCCTCAGGCAATTTATACAATTCCTTCTCTTTCTCGAGAATTTCCTTGACACTGATATCTGATTTTTTCTTGGCATCATTTTCAGGTGTATGACTCGAAGAAGCAGTTGCCTGTTGATTTTCCTCTTCATCGTCACTATCGTCAATATTTACATTTTGATCATAGGAGTAACCCTTTTCTTTCATCTTTTCTCTAATATATTCAAATAATCGTTTATCTTGTTCTGATAATTCTGCATCTGTAAAGTTCAAATCCATTCCGAGCTGTGACATGGTGCTCGATGATTCTTTCTTTTCCATATTTGCGAGTTTCATGGCAATCCAATCTCCCTTGCTTCTGTCAACGAGTCCACCCTGTGTACCACCTTGCAAAATATTTAACTGTTCTTTCTTTCGTTTAACACTGGTATTTTTAATTTTGTCCAAATTAAATAAATCTCCAGTTTTTAAATTTGCTTGCATTCCTTTCGGTCTGCTTCTCAGTTTTTGTTTTAATTTTGTTTTTTCGAGAGTTGAATTAATGTCATCGTCTTCCTCATCGGCACTATGTGTCATTTGGTGATCCGCTCCACTGCTACTCTCATGGGCGGAGGAGCTTTCAAATGAAGGAGTCGATGTTGATTCTTCTTGTTGCTTTGGTGGTTGTGATGATAATTGGCTTTGATGGTCATCATTTGTACTCATTAAATTATTTCCACCCTCTTCACTTGTCGTACCCTGATGATGGTGTTGTTCATTCTCCGAGTGAGGTATTGTTTCCGATGATAAAGCAGTCGTAGTCGTTGTTGACTGGAGCTGCCCAGAGGAATCCTTCAATCGAAGGTTCACATTCTTTGGTTGTCTCTTTTTGATCATTTTTTTAAAGAATTATTTAAAAGTATGATCAGGTGCACCTTCAAGCAAAACCTCTCAATGAAATTCGTAATTAAAATTGTTGCATTCATGAGAGTCTTGTTGAGAGAATAGAAACCATTCGGAAGCTCAACAACTCCTATTTCAATGATCAGACAAAGTGTTGGATTTAATAGAGTCAACAAGTGTTGTTTTCAGTAGCAGATCAGATAATGGAATCATCATTTGAAAGAAAAGCTTTTCAGAGGAAAAAAGCTCTTCTCACGCTCAGAGAGGAATTCATTCAAAATATTTTTTAATTATGGGACAAAGAAAAAAGTCTTTTTTTGGGATTGATTAATTGTCAATGGGAAGGGCAAAGGATGGGTTTGTCTATTTGAGAGAACTCTTCTGAAGAGTGAGTTCTTTTCCCATGAATTGATCAATGAGAGATATTAAATCAAACTCCTTCTTGATGGCTTCTTTAGAGTCCGTTAAAACTCCTTCCTCAATAAGCAAACAGAGCTCAAAAGGCTCTTTCCGATGCTCCACAAGAAATTGAACATGCTGAATGAAAGGGAGTGAGGAGAGCTGTTTCAAAATCTTGTGAGAAGGAATCTTAAAATCCACTCGAATATTATAGACAATACTCGGAATTGGTTTTTCTTTGGTTGGTTTTGAAATGGCAACCTGATAGGAAACTGTGGTGGTCGACGTCGTTGAGAGAACATTGTTATTTTGGCCTATCCCGTTCTCAAATCCCTGTATCCTTACAAAACTGTATGTATACAACCTATTCTCATCGATATATATATTAAATATTTCCTGCAACAATTCCGAGGTGAGATCTAGATAACTTTGAGGAAGGTTGTGGTCCATTTGTGTTGGTTGTAGCAGAGCGAGACAATAATAACAATTTATTTGGAGTTGTAGATGAAGGTGATCGATCCCTCCAAAAAAATCAATCGTCAATGCAGGTGGTGTGTTTGCGTCATCTCTCTCTCTCTCTACGGAGGACCATCAAACTGAATGATATGAAACATTTAAAGCCACCAATTCGATGGTTGTTGGAAGAGTTGCTTCGGAGCTCATGATGAAGATGAACGGAGGGTGTTCCTCGGAGACCAGATTCTCTAAAAAAAATACATACAAACGACAACCCCTCCGAAGAGTGCTCCCGTTGCATGACATTTCGTTGACGATTTTCTGTAACTGTGTTTACCTTCTTCATCTGCACCTGTTACGAGAATTTAACGATACGTTGCGGAGCACATCATCATTTTCTTCTTTATCATACATCATTCAATTCCGATTCATTCATAGACACAGTCACCCTATTTCATGATGAACACAATAACGAAAACATTATTAAAACCCTTCACAAGTCGGAAGGGCTCTCATGATGACGAGTCATTGTACTCGACGGAATTTCCAAGACAAAAAGAAACCCTAAAACGATTCAAGTCACTATGCACACCCTCTGTGGTTAGTGTCAATAATAACAAATGGACATATTATAAATATTGTCACACCGATAATCTCCCTCCTTTAATCATGTTACATGATTTGACAGGATCTTCACAAGATTTCTATAATCAATTTGCACTGGTATTTGATGAGGGAAAAGACTTTAATTTAATTAGTGTGGAAATACCCTCGCATTGCACCACGATTGATGAATTTATAATGGAATTTGACAATTTTTTGGATGTTTTACTGTTTTTAAATGGTATCATGAGTAGTGCAGCCTCTCCACCAAAAACCACGATACTGAATGGAACCAACTTGAAACGATCAGAGCCATTAAGTATTTCAAAAAATCGAACTCATCCCAATTCAAAACAAATGGTCCATCTTTTTGGATGCGGTTTAGGAGCATTTCTAATTCAATGCTATGCAGAGCAGTATCCTGACAAAGTTGCAAGTCTCATGATTGTGAATGGATTCATGAATAACAAAATTTTCAGTGATTATTCACCCCTTAATGATCTGTATATACTAGCCCCTAAATTCATTCTTTCCACAAAAGTCTTAGACTTATTTTCACCTTTCAAGGAGCGAGAATTTGCCAATAATGATGAAATTCTATACTCAATTGAATATATGGTCGACAAGATCACTGATGAGGTCTCTCAAAAGCAGCTTGCATCGAGACTCTGTCTTATCAGTGATGAACGAATAATTAACACGAAGAAAATAATTGAGAAAATTGCCAAACCCTACAACACGTGTCCTTGTGTCACCATTGTCGACTGCATGGATGATGAGAATATGATATACCCAACGAGTTTAAGAACAGAGCTTCACAACAAGTACTATCAGCCACAAAATAATATTCGACTTTGTCTCATGAAACGAGGAGGTCAATATCCATACATTGCTTCAGCCGATGATTTTAATATTTATTTGACGGTACATTTGAGAGGAATTTATCAGAATTGTTCAGATATTGACAATATGGAAACACTCCAAGTTTCGAGCCCAGTCTTGTCAGGCATGCAAAATTTTCATGACAACACTCCCTTTTCTCCTGAAGCCTCTTTCGAATCGAATCTTTCGAATAATAGGCACTCCATTTCAGCTCTTCCCATTCTGTACAAACATATTTCATTCACACCTCACACACCTCCAGATATAGCTGAAGAAGATGTCACTATTTATTCGTACAGGAGTATGAATAATCATGATTTGGAAGGAGAGTTATTTAATGAGGAACCAGAGTGTGATGACGATGAAGCAAGAACATGCAGCCACGAATTTAACGTTCGGTGGAATTCTATGAGTTCTTCTAGTATGAAATGTCGTTCGAGTTCTGTCTCGAATAGCCACAACAACAACTCACTGCCACCGCTTGTTGGTACCATTGTTCACAATGAAGAAGATGAAGAAGACGAGTCAAGTCTCGACACTTCTAGACAGCATGACATTCTCTTCTGATACAGTAATAGAATTATGGAAGATTGGCAACCAAACACATTGTTCTTTTTAATTTCTGTTCATGCCTGTGTGTATTTGAAACTTGACACACCCGCCATTTAACGGAAAGAAATTTAAAAATTAAAAATTGAATTTCACCACAACAACATCGCCATATGCTTCGCCAACATTGTGAAGATGAATTTCTCTCCAATGAAGAATTGGAATACTTGGCTGAAGAAACCATGATTTCCATTCGGCCCACTAAAAACCTTCCCAAAATCAAAATGATTACTCATACCATTGGTCCCGCTCTCGCCAATCAGGAAATTACTGTTCCTCTATGGGCTGCCATTCAACTCAAAAAGCTGAATCAATGCAAGATTGTTATTCCCGAGTGGCTGCGGGTTGATTGGTTGGAAGAGTCTTCTACCCAATCATCCAAATCACATGATTTTTATCCAATGCCTCCTCACTTTCTAGAGATTGGTTACTTGTTGTTGAAAGTGTAAGTTTTTAGGAGTAGCTCGTATGGTATTAAACCAAAATAATAATAATGCTATCAAATAATGAAATGAATCTCGCTCTATCCGTACATGCCATCTTATATGAATCTCGCTCTAATGGCGATTATGAAATATCAATTTTAAACCTCTCTAATAATTTAATTCTTTGTTAATAATTATTTGATAAAGAGCAAAGAATGATTTTGATGACAATCCAGAAGAAATATCTTCTCTCTTGAAAACACTCGAAGACAAACGAAGAGACAATCTCACCGATGGTCTTACAAAGGGTATTGGAGATGTAGAGCCAACAGATTATTTCCCTGGTTATCTTCTCACCAACTTGTCCGAGATGGAAATTAATCGTATCCGTAAGGCCACTTGCGAAGTGTTGTCCAAGAGAGACCGATACTATAGAACTACATACTCTGGTGAAGCAGCACCCACAGGCGCATCATCTCAGACCAATGAAGACGATGAAGAAGATTAATATCATGATGATTTGGAGAGTGTGCTCAAGTTCTTGCGAACGGACCTTGTAATTTTCCAAGAAATCTCATCGTGCTGATCCTTCGTGTGTCGACAAAGACTGAGAGAAATTGTAGGATGAATATCGTTCTCTACTTTGGCGCAAGTAGTAGCAAAAGAAGAACAAGTATTAGAAGAACAACCAGATGATGAGGAATGGATGAATATTGCGAATTGAATTTTAATCATATTTAAATGAATTAAAAAATGCTGAAAAGTGCTCTTCTTCTTTCCTCTCCCAAAATTCTTCTCTCGGGTGCCTCTTCCACATCATCATCATCAACAACAAAAATTATTTCCAGTTGCATTATCAGTAAGAGCAACAACTCGTATCACACTTCCAAGCACACTCAATTTACAGCTCCATCCGGTTACGAGGACTTGAAGAAGGTTGATGAGAATGAAGCCTTTCCGTGGTTAGAACATGTCGTTCCAAAAAGACACCAAGACCACCCATATGCGATTGCTTCTCTCAGTTTTAATGGTTTAGGAACTGCCAAGAAGCCACCAAATCCAATTGTTTTCATTCATGACTACACTACAAATTCCAAAGCCTTCTCTACCATTGCACGAAAACTAAACTATCCATACGGAATTGTTACTATGGATTTGAGAGCAAGAGGTAAAACTCAAGTTAATGGTTTGGAACAATTATTCACAACACAAGACCAAAAAGAAAAAGCTTTTCTTCAAAACAATACATCAAAAACAGGTCCGCTGAACCTAATTACTCACGCTTTGGATTTTGTCAGATTGTTGACATACTATGGATTACCAAGAGCATTTGTTGTTGGTCATGGCTTTGGAGCTAACATTGCTTACATGTTGATGAAGAAAAATCCCGAACGTATCAGTGGTGCTGTTCTAATTAATGGTGGCTACCCAGTGAACAAGACATCAATGGGGGAGGTTACCCAATTGCATGAAAGAATTGCTGGTACCTTTGGCGCTTCTCTTGAAACACTTTTGACACAAGATGCAGCAGTGAAGAGCGAATCTATTGATTTCAAGTCATTTGTTGAGTACTCTAAAAATCAAAAGAACGATGAAGTAAGATTGGCTGCTCTTAGAGATTTGAGATCTATTGAAGATTTTGCTCTTTCTTTGGAGGATTTAATTCGTCTGAGACATCCAGTTGCTTTGATTCGCTCCGAACATGGATTGAAAGATGGCGACAAGAAACCAATTATTGATGCCAAGGTATTCAAATCAATGGAATCTACTCTCAACACCAAGTCAGCAGTAACAGTTAATGGAGCTAACCATTACAACATGCTTTTCGAAGAGAAGTACGCAGAGCAAATTGCCAACACAATCGACAGGCTAGTAGTTGCCTATGATATTCACAGAGTGATAGAACATCGATTCAACGAAGTGAAGGGAGAAGTATCTGTTAAAGCTGAAGAGTAAAGTTGAATGCTCTAAGCAGCATCGTTCAAGTAAGATATTTGCCATAACCTAAATCATTTACATTTCATGGAAAGAAATAAAATTTAAATTGCATCAATGTGTATAGTTCTTAATAAATTACAAAATTTCCTCAATATTTACATCCTCTTCCTTTGGTTTCAGATTGATCAATCGATTCGAGACGTTTTTAAGTTCTTGAATGCTAATTCTGCCTTCCTGAAGTATGTGCTGTTTCACTTTTTCCATTTCTTCTCGAGAAATATAAATAAATTTGCCGCGATCGTCTAGTAGTCCTGTAATTCTACCTTCTTGCTCCAATAATTTAATTCTGTTGATGCAGTGTTCGGTTTTCATTTTGAACTCGCTTGCCAAATCCTCCAAAATTACTACTTTGTGGTCTTTGATATAGTTAATAAATTCTGACAAAAGACTCTCGTTGTGTCCAATGTCAGAGTCAGCTGCTTCACCTTGCTCTTCAACTTCAAATAAATGCCTCCATTCTTCATACTCTTCTTGTTTTTTTCTTTCGAGTTCTAATTTTTCAGCCTTTTCTTTTTCTCTCAGTTCCATTTCTTTTTCTTCTCTTTCCAGTTCCATTTCTTCCATTTTTTTCTTTAACTGATTTTGTCGTTCTCGTTCGGCATTGACCATCATTTCTCGTTGTTCTTTTAATGCTTGTTTTTGACGTTTCTTTTCCATCTTTTTCATATTCACTCTTTCATTTCTTGATAACTTAGCTCGAATATTTAATTCATCACTTTCTTCGATTGTTTCTTCGTGATTCTCTTGAAGATCATCATCGGAAGAGGTATTTTCATCATCGGAAGAGTTCACCTCTTGTTGTTGCTGTTGTTGTTGATTTCTTCTCCGAATGTTAGATGCAATGGACCCACCTCTACCTCTTCTTATTCCTTGTCCTCTCTGATTATTACGTGTGGTTGTTTCTTCCTCCTGATTTTGTTGAACATTCACTACCGAGTTGCCTTGCTGTTGTTGGGCTAAACCAATTAGCGCTAACAGCCAATAGAAAAAATTCAGCAAAGCTTGCAGCATTTTTTTTGTAAAAGTCCTCCAAACCAACAGATTTGAAAAAGATCAATCTATTGTGATCAAGAGTACACTACAACAGAAAATCGCGATGCAAATGGTGATGATCATGACCTCAATCATGTTCTTGTTGGTAGGAGAGAAAATTAAAGAAGAATTTTATCAAAAAAAATACACAAAAAATAGGCACACAATTCCTGCATTGGAGATTCTCTTTGTGTTGCTTGCTCTCCGATGAAAAGTGCTTCATCGTTTTCATTGTCTAATAATTATTATTATCGGAAAAGCTTTTCACTATTTTCAAATTCAAAAAAATTCAATTCCGTAATTTATTGAATATGTTCAAGCAATGCGATGAAACGCAAATTTCATTGAATGAATTTAAACAAACAGAAATTGTTAGCGACCTTTCTGAAAATCACTCTGAACAACAACAAGGAAGAATATCATCGCAACAATATGAAAAATCCAGCACAAATGTGATGATGATTGATAAGGATTTATTATGCATTGAGTTCAGCTCGTTGCAGAGAAATCATCATCAAATGGATACTCATCATAGACAAGTTTTGTTGAATCATTTAAAGCTAGCCTATGAGTTTTCCGATCGATATATTCGTTCCTCGCTGGGTCCCTATAGTAGAGATAAATTAATTATTAAAGGAGATTTACAAGGGACTATCATGGTCACCAATGATGGTAGAACTTTAATGGAGCAAATGTTTAAGCTGAGAAGCATGAATGAAAATCGAGAACAACATCCAATACATACACTATTGTATCATTTATCGAAAAATCAAGACACCACCATTGGTGATGGAACAACTAGTGTGGCGGTGTTGTGTGGAGAATTGTGTAAACTCACTATTGAGCTTATTGAAAAATGGAATTTAAGTATTGATAGCATCATGAAGGGTTATTACAAGACGTGTGAATATGTTCTGAATGAATGGTTGAGCCTTTTCGAGAGTACAAACTCTTCTCCACAAGTACGACTTGAGAAGGCATCTCGATTTTTCAATTTGAAAAAGATACGCTTCAAAGGTCAAAAAGAAATAGAGTTAATTGTCGCCAAGTCAAGTCTTCTCTCAAAGCAAGTGAAAACAATGCGTGAGAAATTAGCATCCATTGCAGTTTCAGCAGTACATGTGACAAATGGCAATTTAAGCTTTGTCAAAATAGATCCGCTCATCACAAGAAAAGGGCAACAAGCTACTACTTTCTTCGATCAAGAATTGAGCCATACAGGTGCAGATGCAGAAATTATCGAAGGAGGTATTTGCATTACAGGAAAAAGCTTATCCTCAAATTTGAACATGCCATCATTTAGGAAGAATTGCAGAGTGGCTTTATTTTCTTGTCCTATTGAAACTCCTCGACTCAAGACAAGACATTTCATCAATATTCATAGAGCGGAACAATTGGAAGAGTTTGAAAGAGTGGAAAATTCATATTTTGAACAGGTCACGCAAAAACTTGAAGAGTTACACATTGACATTGTAATTTCTCAGTGGGGATTCGATAATCGATTCAGCGACTATCTAGTCGACAGAAATTTAATTGGAATTCGATGGGTAAGCGCTGAAGATTTGGATCGCATTGCTCTTGCTTCTCAGTCCACCATATGTGCTCGAGTGAACGATTTGAATGAACAAATGATTGGTTTTGTTGGCACTTTCCAATACGATGAGGAAGAAAAGACCATCATTTTAAGTGATTGTAAGGAGTCAAGAGTTTGCTCTATTATTGTGCGAGCTCCCAATGAATATCAAGCGGAGGAAACTGCTCGCTCACTCAATGATGCTCTTATGAACGTCAATTCTATGTTTGCCATGCTCAAGGCAAACAAATGTAGCAACAGCACTCCATCAGAAGCGCAAGCAACAACACCTCTTGTGATTCCTCCACTCGTCTATGGAGGTGGTTGTTTTGAGACAGAACTGTATTCCGTCATTATGGAAAATCTACACAACATTTGCAACAATTCGAGGAATGATTTGACACTTCAGACCATTGCCAAGCAGTGGGCCAAGAGCTTGCTTGTTATTCCTGCGACATTTGCTCAAAATGCAGGATTAAGTCCAGTTGAAACAGTTCAAACACTCATTGACAAGCACAAAGAAGGAGGAGAGAGTCGATATTTTGGGCTGTATGCACAAACATTTTCGGATGGAGAAACTGGTGTGACTGAAGATCTGTATCATCAAACCTCGTCGAAAATGAGCAACTTTTTACTTCGACTCGAGAACATGAGTGACACTGAAGTTATTGAGAATGTCTTGATCAAAAAGAACATTATAAGACTTGCAACAGAAATGGTCAACATGATCCTCAAAATTGATGATGTCATTTATTATTGAACGGATATGCATTACAATGATGAGCCATTTAACCCAGCTCCTCAACAACAATAAGAATTTAATCCAATTCCATGTTTGGGAAGATTGAAAAAATCTGGTGAATGTGTTGTGTGAGATTTGAAAGAAAAAATGCAAGCATCCACCTCTAATCTTCTCAAAACATTTCTACCTGGAGCCACGAAAGGTAATGATTGTTTTTTTAAATTCGAGTTGCGATCATGATGATTGAAATGAAAACGTGCTGTTGTTGTTGGTGTTGTACAACATGTTTCTTCTGTTGTTTATTCTACTTTTATTTCTTGAAATCAATGATGAATCGGACTGTCATTGATTATGTGAAATTTTGCAACTCGTAACAACAATAATATCATTAATAATCAAATGATACTTGATCATCATTCTAGTTGGTTTTATTGGTACTGGTGTCATGGGAAAGTCCATTGCCACCAATTTGTTTAACAAGGGTTACAAAGATTTGATTATTTATTCCAGAACAAAATCCAAAGCTGGTAAGTGTTGGAAACAATTGAAGTAGATCAAGCTTAATTCAAACACACTTTATTCCATGATTTAACTATTTTACGAATGACTCATGAATGAACATTTTACAAACTATATTCAAAGAGTCACTCATTGAAATGGGAGCCAAGTTTGTGAATTCTCCAAAAGAAGTCGGAGCCAATAGTGATGTAGTGATTAGTATTGTCGGTTATCCATCCGATGTGAGAAGTGTGATTCTTGACGAGGAGAATGGAGTCTTGGCTGGAATGAATGTCGGAGGTGTGATTATTGACATGACTACATCAGAACCTTCACTTGCTGTTGAAATTTTTAAACAAGCTCAAAAGAAGGGAGTTCATAGCTTGGATGCTCCTTGTAGGTATGTATCATGGTGGTGGTGATTGAATATATACAGTACTTGATAATTTCAATAATTTTTAATATCATCCTTGGATTGCATGCACTTTTTAAATTATTTAAAATAATTGCTCCTCAACACTGTCATCGGTGTATGTGACACCAATGTTTCTACGTTTATGTTCATACACAGCGGTGGAGATATTGGAGCTCGAAATGCAACCTTAACCATTTTCGTTGGTGGTGAAAAACCAGTATTGGAATCGGTTCGTCCAATTTTTGAATCCATTGGAAAGACCATTAATTTCATGGGAGAAAGTGGAAAGGGCCAACATGCAAAGATGGCCAATCAAGTCATTATTGCTTCATCCATGATTGGAGTTGTGGAAGGTTTAATGTATGCTCATAAAGCTGGATTAGATGTTTATCAAACTTTGCAAGCTGTGAGTGGTGGTGCTGCAAATTCATTTTCATTGACTGCTTATGGACCTAGAATCTTGAGAAGAGATTTTGAACCAGGTAAGTAGGAGAAGTTATTCAGAGAGAGTCTAATGATAGTGTCAATGTTATTTCACTTGTTCTTCTCAATGAATCATCATTGAAATGGGCCACCATTCACAACAATATGAACAATCATTGTCGAAAACATTTACTTTGTTTTTATCATGCTGCTGCGAATATTCTGAATGTATGGCAAATGTTTCCAATGGATTGGACAATTATTTTCTCAAAGGTTTCTATGTGGAACATTTTATCAAGGGTAAGTGTGTGAAAAGAGAAACTATTTTTCAGTGTGTGAAGTTACTTTTTTGAAAATTAAGACATGGAAATTGTGTTGAGTGAATGTAACAAAATGAAACTCGTACTTCCAGGTTTGAATTTGGCAAAAATGTTATACGATTCATTGAGGTAAGTAGAAGGTGTTTTAGAATATCATTTTTTGAAATTAATATATCTGCTCCAATTGTATCATTATTCTCTATTTATTCTCTCAAAGAAATAATGGTGGTGCCAAGAATGGAACTCAAGCTCTCATGTTGGCATTGGAACAGTTGAACAATGTCCATTTGCCAAAGTATGACATTTAATGGCTGACATTATTGGTTTCATTGCTCAATTAAATGCGTCTATAATGTCCATATGGTTCATTATAATGAATTTTCACTCATTCTCAAAGAATATCATAAAATTTTTCTGCATGCCTAAAAGGATAACTTTTATGGAAATTTGTATTCGATCTGAAATCAATTTTACATAATTAATATTATTATTATTATTTATCAAAAAAAATGCTTTGCGAAACACGAAGGTTTTTTTGTGCTCATTCTCACGGCCATCAATTCTACTTCTCCGCTCTCATCAAAGGTACCAAATTTATTGGTAATAATACCTTTGTGTGCTTTGAAAAGGGAAGGAATCCATGGTTGAAGCAGTTCAGTAACGAACGATCATCATCAACAATTTCAAACAAAGCTTCGGAAAGAAATTACTCCTTGAATCGTAAAAATGAAATTAAAACATTGGATCAATTCTTTGCACAACCAAAGGCTTTTGATGCTGTGTCCTTTATTAACCAAAAAGATTTAAATTTTAGTGAGGCTTTGAGAGTTTACAATGCAATCAAACCTCAAGATAAGACGATCAATCTAGTGTGTGCAATGATATTTAATTGCCAACGAAACAACCAAACAAAGACGATGAAAGATTTACTCCAACTGTTAGTGGAAAAATTAGAGAATTTCAAAAATGTGGAGCAAAGGAAAAACCAACATGTAAAAGATCATACATGGAATGGAGTACTTACGGCGTTGTGTATTAATTCTGAATATGAAAATCATGCTGTTGAATGGTTTTTCTTCCTTTTGAATAACAAAGTAGCAAAGCTATACGAGAAAACATTTGGTTTAATTATGAACATACTTTCTAGAAATGGAAATGTAGAAAAATGCAAAGAAGTAATGGAATTGATGAGAAATGAGCAGGTACCTCTCAACGTGTTCCATTTCTCCATGATGATGAAGGCACTGATAAAAGCAAATAGACTTTCAGAAGCCATCTCATTATTGGAAGATATGGAACGTCATGGAGTCCAACCTGATGGTACAATATTCAGCACATTACTGTCTGCATGTGCTGATTGTGATGCCGAAGAACATGGAAGAAAAATTCATGAAATCATCAACTCACGAGGATTGCTAAATGATTTGAATGTGAATAATTCGCTCATAAATTTCTATGCGACACGCAAAGATAGTGAAACCGCTCAGTCATTATTCGAGCAAATGAGAAGGAACAAGGCCCCAATGGACGTGATCACTTGGAATTCAATGATAAAAGCATTGATACTATCAGACCGTCTTGGAGAAGCTGCAAAACTCTTACAAGAAATGGAAAAGTGCAACATACAGCCTAACTCTGTAACATTTACTACTTTACTCTCTGGATGCGCCGCAACAAAGTCATTTGATATTGGACAACATATGCATTGGCTAATAGAATCCAAAGGCTTCACCGATTGTACCAATGTCAGCAATGCACTACTTAATTTTTATATCAAATGCAATCGCCCAGAATTGGCTGAGACTCTATTTACAGAGATGTTGAGAGATGGAAAGAGTACTGACATCATTTCATGGAATTATTACTTGAATGCATTAATATTATCGAAGAAATGGAACACAGCTATTGATTCCATAAAGGAAATGGAAAAGAGAGGAGTAGAACCGAACAGTACTACATTTGTAACCTTACTGAATGCATGTACGGACAACACAAGAATTGAAGAAGGAAAACACATTTACTCCATGACACAAACAACACAAAAATTCAGCAACAATGCTGCGATTTTGAATGTCGCTATCAGATTTTTCGAATCGTGTGGAGACAACGAATCAGCGCTTGCCATCTATGAGAACAAGATGAATCCTCGAGAAGTCTTCTCTGAGACATGGCATTGTATTACTCGTAGCATGATTGCCTGTAACAAACTTTCATCTGCAATAAGTGCGATTGAGTCACATAAGAAGACTGGACTAAAAGTCGACCATAACTTGCTCATCACAATGGTTCATGCGTGCACTATGGCCAAGTCTCTCGAATATGGAAAACGAGTTCACAAACTTGCCACATCCAAAGGAATCTCCAATTGCCTTCCTCTTAACAATGCCTTAATTAATTTCTATGTGCAGCTCAATGATATCGAGAGTGCCATCTCGTTGCTGAATAATATGCTTCAGTTACACGCCAAAGGCAAACCTTTCTCTTTCAATACTGAATCCTACAATTATATACTCGAGGGCTATTCGCAACGTGGCTTAATTACCAAAATATTACCTCTTTTCAAAGGAATGGTTGCCAATGGCATCAAACCAACCGAGCAAACATTTACGAGCATATTAAGAGCATGCACTATTGGTGAGTCCATAGATGGACACACTGAAAAAGCTCTCTCGATTTACAACGATATGGAACGATTTTTTGGAGTTAAACCAACACGAGAGCATGCCACTTTATTATTGGATCTTCTTATCAAGGAAAAAAGATATAACGAAGCAGAGATGGTTATCATGAATGGACCCCTAGCACACGATCATGCATCATGGCTTGCCGTATTACTGAACGCATGTCAAGGTGTTGACACGGAAAGAGCTGACAAAATTCGCAACCTTTTAAAAGAAGGAACCATCACGAATGAATGTAAAGATGGAAAACAATAATAAACGATGGTGTGTTGCCAAACTTGAATCTTTAATCCTTGTTGTTCAATTTTTGATGTGTCACTCGTGCTCTATCATTGTTGGACGTGTTCCAAAATGGGCCTTTGCAAGAAACTGAGAAATTCAGGTCATGACTTCCCATCTTGGAATTTTCAACGTCTTTTTATCTTGAAAAAAACTGAGCTCTCTCTGGAGACTGGTTCATTTCTTGTTGTTCTTGTTGTTGCAAGCTTGGTTGTGTGTGTTGTTTTAGGGAGTTTGTTGTTGTAGCAGTAGTAGTGGAGAAGTTACAACTAGTACTGTTGGACGAGACATCATATTCATCCTCCTCATCCATCGATAATAACATTGAAGGAGGAGCAACATTGACCGATACATCATTTCATCAGAATTTATATATATATATTTGAATAAGCCTTCAATTCTTTCAACAAGAATTTTCAATAGTAATAATAATAATAATAATAATATTAGAACGGATTGTTGAATTCATCATGTCTCCGAATATATCGGTCATTAGCAATCACAGTGCTCGAACAACCGCAACAACAACAACAACAACCCACAATAATGTTACGGATGGTATGATTACGAGCCAGATTGCCAGTAGTCATCCAAATGTTACCGATCTAATCGATTGTCATCATCCCTATCACCAACATGAACCTTCTTCCGCACAAGTACTACTTGCTTCTCATTTCTTCACGGATGATAATTATTCTCCGTTACTGGTCCAAACCACCACGACGTCTTTCCCATCAACAACAACAACAACAAAAACCAAACACCATTCAACCTCTTCTGCCTGTTCCTCTTGTATTAATAGTAATATTAACAATACTCCGACGAATCAAAATAACAACAACAACAACAACACAAACAACAATTTGTACAGAAATATTTCATGCTCAACACCCATTGCACCCACTCAAACTGCTGGCACAGTTACTCCTCCACAATGCCTTATTCCGCAAGAATGCAGCAACAACACCTTATCGGAAAGTGTCATACAGCAACGAGTACGGTTCATTAAAGACAAAATGCTGCTTTTGGTTAACTTTGAAGGACTCACTTTGAGATCTGTACATGATGTAAATACAATTCAACAAGTATTACAAGAATTGGTTGGATTTCATATGAAAAATATCCTACAATCAGCACAACAAAGCAGAAAGGACAAATATGGAAAGCTTTACTCTTCGAATGCACTTCGATTGCAGCAACAGTATCAAATCGATTGTTTTGTGTGCTATGAAAATTTTAGTTGTGACAATGAGGATTTATGGATTCGATTCCAACACACAATGGAATCTCTGCAGCAACAATTTAACTTTAGAATGTTTGAAGAATTTTCATGTAAAAATAGCTATGAAGCTCGAATCTCACAAACCATGTCAATATTATCAGAACAAGATCACGTACCTGCCGTTTTTAGTCGATCGCTTTCGCCTCCAAGATCTTCATACATGAATTCCTTGGAAAAGGATCACAACGATTCCCCCAGTAATACCTCAATATCACCTCTCGAATTGACGAAACCATTTTCTCAGGATGTGATTTCGGATCATTTAGACAGCGCCTTAAATAGCATCACAAAACAGCCTATCAAACATGTAATCCAATATCATGCCAAGTATTTCACATCTACAACAACCTCATCAAGCCATCAAATGGATGACTCAAAATCTCCCTCCTCAGAGATATACATTACCATAAATAACCGATTTGAACTATACAAGGTTCTCAGCCGAGGCACCTATGGAACTGTTTACAAAGGTCAAGATAATCTTCACAATACTAGCGTTGCTGTGAAAGAACTAGGTAGGTTTTATAATCGTTGACTTCTTTTTTGGATTAGTGGCTGACATCTTTATTATGATCCTGGACTTGATGTGTCCGTATGTATGACAATGGAATTCTCATATTCTCGAATTAATTTTAGATCTCGAAATGATGGACAAAATTGGAGCAATCGAGTTTGCACAAAGAGAGGTTGAAATAATGAAATTAATCAAGGATCATCCACATCCTCATATTGTAAATACTTTAGATGTGATAGAGGAGTATGAAACAATTGTACTTTCTTGTAATAACAAGCCACCGTCAAAATCATTCGTTTATATCGTGACAGAATTTTGCGAAAAGGGCTCTCTCGAGAATCCTTTAGATGAACACGAACAGCACAAAGAAGAGGATGTGCAGCGTTATTATGTACAAATGGTATTGGCGATTGAACACATGCACAATGTGCTATCAATTTTGCATCGTGACATTACATTAAGCAATGTTTGTCTTGATGTGAACGGTAATGTCAAAATTGTTGATTTTGGATTGTCGGACAAGTTTGAAAAGGGAAAGAAATATCATAGACTCTTTGTGGGCAACGGTGGCTATTGTTGCCCTGAAGTTTTGCTAAAGAAATGCTATGCTGAAGAAATTGACGTGTATGCTCTTGGGGTAGTTCTGTACAAATTATTGACAGGATATTTACCCTTCAGAACAGCTCAAGACAAATTTTCAATGAATTACTTTATTCCACTTGAGGAGGAAGAACAAATCTCTGATACAGCGAAAAATGTCATTCAAAATTTGTTGGAGATTAATCTTGCAAAAAGATGGAAATTGGAAGATGTCAAACAGGACATTTGGTTCAAAGAAGGACTTCAAAAGCTGCAAAGTGGTAGTAAACAATGATTATCAGAGAAAAGAATTGAGGAATTTTAGGATATTAATGCATTCAGTCACTTTCATATTGGTATCAAGGCTAAACTCAAACTATTTGTACATTTTCAATGATAGTCAAAATACCAAAGTGATCGGAAATACAAATAGGATTGCGATTTTGATCATACGCAATAGGCTTAGTACCAAGTAGCTCAATATGAATAGGTTTCCAGTATTTCTTGAGTTGTGTGTGTTGCGATGGTACCATTAAAGATTTCAATAAAACCCGGTCGTATCTCATGACTTCGTGAGAGTATTTTGCTAACATGGCGTTTGATTTGGTGTCGAAGGTTTTACCTAAATCGTTGGGATATTTCAATGATTTCCATACATCTTGATATTGTCGCAAATGAACATTTGAGGTCAAGTAACTATTTTCGAGATAGGGCAAATAATTTTCATCGTAGTTCCTTTCACTGTCGAAGTTAAAATCTCCACAAATGATTGCTTGTGAGTATGGTATTTGAAAATTTGAAATGACATCCAACTGTTGAAACCGCAAATCAGCATTCGATAAACTTTCTAAATGAACGGTTGTAACAATCATGTTTTGAAATTGCATTTGAGAGTTTCCAATTTCAACAGATAGTGCTGCTCGATACATGTTCGAAGGTAAGGTATTATAAAACAGTTTACGGATGGGCAATGTTTTTTTCACAGCCATCAAGACTCCATAGGGGTAAACAGAACAAAATGCATCATCTGGTGAATCAGAAAGGTAATAATTGTTTCTGTCATGATTATTCGTATGAATTTGTCATTTGGTGGTAGTATCACCATTCAACAATTTATGGTGTTTTGGTATTTTGGTATTTCAGTAAATGGACACATTAGAGTATTCCAATAATGATTTCGAACTCACCTTATGATGGGATGTTGTGCAATCATTTCCAACGATTGAGTGGTTACTTCTTGGAAACACAAAACATCTGGAATGGGACTTGAGATCGTCTGAAATGATGAAGAACTCGAAAAATTGTGATTATTAACATTGAATGTCCTCTGAAAGATCTCATTCATCAACCCATCCATTCGCTCCTTCATCATGTATGCATCAAACCAAATATTAAAAGTCAAAATTCTCAATTGAGAAGGCATTTCATGAGTGGCCGTTAATTGAGCAATTTCATCTACCGTTTCCAAATTCTTCCATTTGCTTTGCTGATGATCAAAAGAATGAGGAAACAAGATCCATTCCTGACTTGGATAGGCTAGTGTAATGAAGGGATTTGGTTGTTGTTGTTGTTGTTGATTCATCCCACCATAATTAAAATCCCGATCAAAAGATTGCCGTTGTTGTTCCCAATCTTGTTTGGCAATGGACCGTGCATCAAACAAGGTGTTTTGCACGAAGGGATGAGGCCGATTGGGTGTTTGATGGGGTCTCTGAGAGAAGTACATCATTTTCTTTGTTTAAATGATGATCTGAACTTGGAGTGTCCATCTCTTGTTGTTGAGAAGAATTTAGATTCCAATCTATTGACTCACCCATTACCAATCTTGAGCAGATATACCATCATCATCATGATACGTTCATCCCACATATTCATTCCAACACTCAACTAGACGAAAGAGAAAAGGAATGAACCATTAATTTGAAAAATATTTATTACCATAATCCGAACATGAAAAAGGAAGGCATGTTCGGAAGGATCGTTGTTCATGGATGTGTTGGACAGTTCTCATGACAGTCCATTAGAGTCACCAGAAGGCATTCAAATTCACACGTCTATGTGGTACTGTTTCGGCTGTCTAAAGGATCCTTATCATTCCCTATACAGTGACAGGTGCCCGTGCATGCACTTGTCGCCTACCTGGTCTGATACATTGACACCTCAAGTTTGAATTTAGGAAATAAAAGAATTTTTGCTGAAATCATATTGTTGTTGAATAACTTTAATCATTGAGGGTTCAATAAATATTTATATTCATTAATTAATCGAAAAGGAAAGATAATGCTGATTTTTCTCTCTCCACAATTACTCTCATGAGCATTTGGCGATGCAATTGACCAATAAGTCTTCCTTTCCACACAACAAAAACGTCGTTGAGGCCAAGTTGTGAGAAGAGCATGTGTGCGGTTTGAGCTGTTTGATTTTCTGCAAGTGTAATTTCACAATTTTCATATTCTACTGTGAATTTGAAATTCTTGAATTGTTCCTCCTCCTGCTTATCGAGTAATTCAACATCAGAGGATGCTTCTCCACTCACATTGCCTGATTTAATTTCTGAAACCTGACCGGTCGTTGCAGAAACAAAGGTTGTTGCTTGGAATTGAGGTGAAGGAAGTGTAGTCTTATGGATCTTCTCTAACATACGTGCCTTTTTTGTTTGATATTGAGATTCCAATGACTTGGCAGAGACTTGGCCAAGTAATAACATTTCTTTCTTATTGTTAACCACTGGGAATACTTTAGGAAGGGCCTTCTTGTACAAGATCGTTTTGATATCAAAGAGAGATGTGGTCTCTTCAATTAGATCTAAAGAATCAAAGGGTTGAATGAGGTTAGTGACTTTCAAGTCCTCTGAATCTGTACGACTTTCCAATAATGCTGGCCATCCTCTGATTTTGATAATCGAGTCGTACACACTTCTGTATGCATATCTGGAAATAAATACTGCAATGAGAGCTGCCATTAATGATGGCAAATAAGCTGCAATACCAACTATTTCTAAAAATATGAAAACGGTGGAGAAAGCTTGAGTGGAAGATGCAGTACAAGCAACAATTCCAACAGCAGCAAATGCACCTGCATAAATTGGTTGACCTGGCACAAAGCCATCAGGGAAAATGACTGCAACAATCTCTCCAAAAAGTCTTCCACATCCGGCTCCAATAATAACTAATGGAATGTATACTCCTCCAGGAATGGGTAAATTCACGGAAAAGATTGAAATTACAAAACGAATCAGGCAAAAAATGGCCAAGTTTGCAAAGACATCTGTTGGAGAGTTCTTAATCCATTCTCCTGTAATACCATTTTCACTTGTGAGCGGCTTGGATGACAATAATTCTTCAACTACTGCACCTGGTGAAAGTGACATGAATTTTCCAATCATTTGAGGGAACGTCAAAATACTGGTCACAATACAAATAAAAATGGTCCAAAATATTTTGTTTTCAAACATCAACATGATCTTGTACTTGGCCAATCGATCCGACTTGAATACTAGATAGCGCTTTCCAAATTTGTCACGTAGCTGAAGAATCTTTTCATTGAGATAGGTAAAACCAATACCAACAAACGCCATCAATACGCCTAAAATGGCATGTGCAATTAGCTCTGGAATGGTGTACGATGGAAATGGTAATTTAACTGTCCAATTCTGGACAAAATTTAAATTCAAGTTGACCGTGGAATTAAATAATCTAGATGTGAATGCTGCAATAACTGCAACATAAAAAGTTTTTAGATAATTCCTCAAACTATAATAGGTTCCTACTGCTTCTAGAGCAAACAACACACCACCTCCTGGTGTCGAAAAGTTAGCAGCCACTCCTAGAGCACAACCACAAGCAATCATTTGCATTTTGAGTGTCTTTACCTTCTTAATTGGTCTGAAAAAGGGTATGTTTAAAAAATTGTTTGCTAAACAAGCACCAATGTGGATAGTTGGGCCGACCTTTGGTAATGAAATAAGCAATAACAACAAATATCACATTCATGGTTGACACGCGTTCAATAGTCAAAAACCTACCTTTCCAAGAAACATTCCTGATCCGAGTACTGCAGGTAAAGCAATGCACTTGACAAGAAGAGTTCTAAAACTAATAGGATCCTTAAGAGTGGCTCCATTGAGAATGGCCTTCAAGGGAGGAATTCCAGAGCCTTCTGCTGTTGGAGCAATAAATGCTGTCAAGAGAGCTGCACCATAAACAAACGCCAAATTGTAAATTACCCACAAAAATAGTCGGAGTCCATAATACTGAACGGGATCGAAAGCATTGATCATTGTCAATCTTCCTTGAAACATGTACTTGATAATTAAATCATGTGTATATGCAATAACTCCTCCAGTGAATCCAATGAGCGTCAGAAATGTCCAAATAAATTTTTGTTTTTGTAATGCCTTGAATCCCTTTCTGAAGTTGAGAGCTTCCTTGTATTTAGCATCGTTGACAGTTTTCACTGTTGACAGAATATCCTTCATGTAAACTTCAGTTTGACTTGTTTGGTTTGTATGGTGGGTCAATTCATTGCTCGAATGTGAATCTTGTTCCATTTCCTCCGCACCAAGCAAGGGAGCTGTTACATTATTTTCATTCTTGTTTGGTTTTTCCAATTTCATTTCCGATCTCTCCTCTTCTATGAGTTCAATTTCCGGCATATTCACTACCGTTTCATTTTCAGCGTTGTTCTTGGTTTTGATACCTGCAACCAATGTTGAAGGTGATGATGATGATTCATATCTAGGGTGTGGTTGTTGATCAACATTATGATTGCTTGCTGTTGTATTTGAGGATGGTAAAATATTTGGTAGAGTCTCTGATTCCGACAAGGAAGGAGAGGAAGGTGAAGTGATGATGAGGCTATTCACCGACGGAGCGTTTGGTATCGGTTTTGTTGTGGATGAGGCAAACCCAAGTGTCGGAGAGAGGTGTGTCATTTTTCTTTTTTACCATTCTGACGCATCTTGAATTTGTTAAAAATGTTGATTTGAATAAAGTCGAACAACTTGACCAAAATGGAATTTGGATCATTTGGGCAAACGTTTATAACAATTTGACGGAGGGTATTGTCACATATTCGCAAGAGAACACTTGTCCATTTACACACATATCGCTGACTGTTCTGTGTGGGCCTCAACGATGTCATCGTACATTAATTTATTGAATGGATCGCTTGATTCTGTTTTGGAGAGCCTTCTTCTCCATTTCTTCAATTTCTTCTTGTTGTACAAGTTGGTCGTGTTGTATCAGATCTAAGTATCGAAAACCTCGAAAGAGAAATGGATTGGCATTGGTTTTTTCATAATCGCTAAGAGTTTTCATCAAGTCATGATTCAGTTTTTTCAATCGGCTACCAAGATCCATGTACTCTTTGGTGGAAAGGATCCCATCTGTTTGGTGCCACAAATGGTCCATTCTTGCTTTCATTCTTTCTCTCTCGTTGATGAGCTTGAACAGGTGACCATGTTGTTGGAAATAGCTTGCCAGCTTGTTGTATTCATTAAGAAAAGCACTCAACATGCTTGAAATATACTCGTCGGTTAAAATCCATCGACTGTTGTCTGACTTCTTACCAGCGAGGCTGATGGGCCTCAACACGTGCTCATCTAAAAAGCGTTCTCTCTCATTGTATGAAATGAACAAATTGTTCCACATGTCATAGGTATGAATGACAACATTTTTCAAACGCTCACATGAAGGTGTTCCTTTCATCTTGGAGGAGAAGTAAATATCCAACAATTCTTTTTGCTTGAAAAATTTTTCTTCCTTTTCTTTCTCGCTTGCATGCCATGCAGTGACTCGTTCCTTCAATGACAATTGGGGAGTGGAGGGTTGTGATTTTCGTGTACCATCTTTCCGTAACGTGTTGTTTCCTGAATGATTGGAGGAGTTCTTTTTCTTTTTTGGAACATGTTCTTCTCCCTTCCTTAAATGAAAATTCTGAAGAATGGTTGTGTATTGGTAAATTCCTTTCACTTCTTTAAATTCCTTCTGCTTATTCGATGGTTGTTGAGAGGGTGATATTTTCTGTTCATGTGATTGTGGTGATTTCTCTTGAGAGCAATTAGTACTTTCTTCATTCCTGGTGTTGGTGGTGATTTTACAAGATTCGATTGGGAAAGTGTTTTGGGGTAGAGTATTAAGATCCTGAGCTCGTATTCGGGGACCAATTGGTTTGGTTATGGACTGATCCACATTAAGGGTGTTCGTAGAAGTTTTACAAGTATTGACATCGTGTAATTGGTTGTTTCTGGGAAAACTGTGTTGATCAATGTCTTGGAGAGATTGAGAGGGTGAAGAGGATTTTGGGTACACACACTGTTGTCTATTTGAGTGGCTATCATGTTCCTTCCCTGAGTCTTGATCATAGTCAGCCTCATGATAGTTCTGAATGGGGATTAAAGGAGTTTCGTGTAAATATTGGATATCATGTCGTGTAAAGTCATGAGGAGGTGTCTGGTCTTGACTTTGTGTTTCACCCTCTGAGGTCAATAATTTGAACTGCTGTTCCAGAGCTTCCAGTTTGCTCTTCAACTCCATCTTTTCAAATCGTTCTCGCTCAAGCTCTTGTTCATTCCTCAAGAATTGCTCTCGTATTGCATGCAATTCATTTTGGTATTCCTTCTTCATTTGTTCAAGACGTTTCTCAACCTCTTTACGAATTTCTTCCTTGACAATTTCCAGCTTTTGATTAATGATTTGAATATCAATAGTTGGATGCATTTTGAGTCGTTTAGGATCATTCGCTTGTGGTGTTTGTAAGACCATTAAGGAACTACTGCTCGTAGTAGTAGAAGGAGGAACTCGGGGAGAGAGTCCTCCACCTCCTGCTATCAAAGAAGAAATCGGAGAAGGCGTTAAAAGGTATGTGTGGTGGTGTTTCCCTAAATGAAGCAGTGAGTTTGATACTTCCGACGATGATGAAGGGGATGATGATGGATTTTCATCCCTTAATGGTGTATCCTGTATGTCTTGCTCGTCGTCGTCCTCATTGTGGTTGGGTCTATTCAGAGTCGGAGGAGTATTGTTCTTAATTAATTGCTTATTAAAATTATTTGTGTAAAGGTTCATGTGCTTTCCATTCCGTGAATTGCGATTCATGGTAGGGCCAGAATCCTTGCCAGGCGTCATCATATCCTCACTTGTCGTCATCATCGGAGAAGATGACTCTCCAAACATGAGCTCCTGAAACATTTTTTTCATGGTTAGTAAAACGTAACGTTCAGAATTTTGAATGGCGCGTTGAATGCTATCCCTTCTGAAATGTCCTTACATTGTTCGATGAAAAGTGTTTGAAAGCTCGTGTGTGCACACGTGTTCGTCCGTTGAGATATTTTTTTGACAACAAGCGTGATTGAGCAGCCTTTTTTAAACATGCACCATTCTCATTTCCAATCTCACACAATTCTCCATCATCTCTCTGAATTATACCTTTTTATCCATTGGTCAGGTCCAAATTGCATGACTACTAGTTCTTCTTTCTTGGAAACAGGATTCACTTAGCCTAAAGGAGCGCATTCCACCCCTCTGATTCCATCCCTTCTGATTTTTTTCACCTCTTCCATTCATAAATCGTCACTTCCATCACCAATCAGGATTCGATCACCATCCATCGTCCAAGTCTCCGCCCATACTGTGTTCTTGGCATCCTCACCATCATGATCACTAAAAAAATTTCTTTTCTCTCTCTTTGTGTGCGGTGCGTGCTTGTGTTTGAGAGCAACACCACATATTGAACAACATCATCAGTTTTCAACATTCCCATCATCACCACCGCCGCGATATATTCTTCATTACGTACCATTTCCAGAATTGAAAAAGTAGTGGCTGTTGATTTTTTTCAATATCATCAGAGAGAACCATTATAGACACATCATCATCCTCATACTATTTATTTCTCATTATTGACATTTCACTCTCTCTCGGACTCTCTGATTTGTTTGTGTGTGAATCATCAGAGTGATCATTTCTTCTTCCATTACTACCATCCTTATATAATTTATAGAAACAACACAAATCGACTCGAATGTCTTCTTTTCTTTCTAGACTTGGTTCAAGCGGAAGTCTTGGACCAAAGGACGAGAAGAAAATTCTTGATGAGAATGAACAGCCATTGAAAAGATACAAATGTTTAGCTTCCTTCAACAAGGACGGAAATGAAGCAGAGTTGCGAACCTTCTATCAAAAGAACTACTCGATTGTTTATAACATCTTTTTGGATGCTCTGAACAATATGAATTCAGAGGCTAAAAAGAAAGGTATGTTGATATGAATTATGATGTAGATGACACCTCTAACGAACCGTCGTCTTCACATTGTCATTGTAATCATTTGATTATTGAACTTTCTGTAACTTGGATAATTACACATGGTGGCTCGTCATCATCAAACTCACACAACTTTATACGACCTTTTCACATTATCTTTTTTGTGTCATGCGTTGACACTCACGATTTGCTTTTTTGACATGGTCTATACAGCTAAAACAATTCCTACTAGTGATGTTTTAGGTCTGACTGACATTTTACTCAATCTTTTCTTACACTCTTCCAATATCATCCAAAAGAAATGGCAACAACGTTCAATTATTCACACACTTGAACTTTTATTGGATGAACAGAATGCTTTTCAAATTCGTATGAAAGGTTTTGAATTGATAGTAAGATTTGTGGATATTATGCAGGAAAATGTTGACAATCAAGTGTTAGATATGATCATGAATACAGTCAAATTCAAGTTGTTGGCTGAGGACGTGCGTGATGTCAAATTACCATCATTTACACAACGTACACTGAATCAAGATGAAAAGTTGGCAGTTGCACCATCCACAGGTGACTTGACAGTCGAGGAAAATTATCAACTCTTCCAATTCTTCTTTACATTTATCAAAGAGTCTGACCACTTTGATTTTTGGTGGAAATTCTTTAAATCACGTCTTGCTCCAATCTTTTATCCCAACGAATGCAAGAGTCTAGATCTTCTCAACAAGATGGACGACATGGGTTTCACTGAAAAAGCACCAACGAGACTCCATTTACTCATTTTAAATGTTATTCTGTCCGCTCTTGAAAGTCCCAAAAACTCTGTCATTCTCTACCAAAGTGATAAGGATATTTATTTGTTATTAATGATTTTCAGACAAAGTTTTCTACTTCCACCACAACATTTCGAAGAATTGGCCAAGATGATGAAAACATATCGTTCATGGATTTGCAGAGATTATTTCCTTTACAATTGGCCTGAAATCATGGAGAGAAACAGAAATCTGTATTTCCGCATCTTTATTGACAATTTAAGTCAAGTATTTTTCATGAAGGGTGAAGAGCAATATATGGATTTGCACATTAACATGTGTTACGAGACGCTCGAAATGTTCATGTTCTTTACACAAATTTCAGACAAGGTTGACTTTGAGACATGGAGTGATTTATTGTCAGCTCACAGACGTATCTGTAATGCAATCGTTGAAAGAAAAAACAAGTCCAGCGAGTCGTCTTATGATGCCACATTCTTTGAGATTTTGGAAAAGACTTGCTTTAGAAATTTATTCATCATATGGATCAAGTCCCATCCAAGCGACCAATATCCAAAGTTGTGGGAAGAATTTTATGAATTGATGCAAACACATGCCAATCTTGCTTCTCCTTTCAGCTTGTGGCGTGGAACAGTTCTCAATTTGGCTCGTATTATTTGTGAGACCGTGTTTGAAATGCCTACAGAAAGAATGAGACTTGGATTTATTGAATACGTGACAGACATGTACACTGTGACCATTGCAAAGAAGAAACCAAAACTCGAAAAGAAGGTTCATGTCTTCCAAGGAATGGATACCTACATGAGCAAAAACTTACCCATCGAAACAGTGCTGCATCTCTTCCACAAGTTCTTGAACATGTTTGGTAACGAAAATTCACAACTTGCATCTGGTGCTCTGCATTCCAAGAAGATGGCAGTTTTGAAAGAAGTTTTAGATCTTTTCCTCGATATTGAAATTACTGAAGTTAAAGCTGTTCGAGGTGCAACCAATCAATCTCCATTTTTACACTCTCCTGAAGGAAACAAATTGTTTGCCATCTTGTTAGAATGGATTGTCGAGGCCTGTGATCGAACAGAGGATCAATTTGAACCTGGACGTGTCATTGCATACACCATGATGTGTCAAATTTTGACCACCCAATTCAGTCAACCTTTAGAAAAGAAATATCTTGCTAACTGCTATAGAAGTCTCTTCAAAGGTCTTGTTCCAGAATATGGAGCTTCTGATCGAACTATTGAGGCCATCATTAAGCATGGATGGAGCTTGTTCTGTATGGGCCATATGGGTGTTAACATTTTATTGCCCTACTTTGTACAAGCATGCCACAAAGTTCTCAAAGAATCAAGTGCCACCATTGGACCAGAGACAAAGGAACTTCGAATTGCTTCTGTGCAAGGTTTGACCTCTGTTATTCCAATTTGTTACTTTTATGGAGATCGTCACCTTCCTCATGTTGAGACCATCTTGAAAATGAAACAAACAAATGTTGCTGAACATGTTAGCGCTGAAGCTGTAAACACCTTCTCAAAGCTGAGAGCTAAAATCTGTCAAACATTGTTAGGATGCGCCACAGATGATCGATTCGTTGAAGTACAAATTAAGTGTATTTGGGGTCTCTACTCAATTATTCATCACGAATTGCAAATTGAAGGAACAACAGGACGTTCGAGCTCTATCAAATTCATTGTTGAAATGTTCATCAAATTCTTTGTTGACAAGAATGCAGATGTTGCCTGTGCTGCTCACGATGCTGTAGTAACTTTGGCACATTTGGGTCTCTTCACTAGATTGGGAATTCCAACCATTAGAACTTTCCTTCTCACTATTTGTACCGCCCTCTCGTCACAATTGAAGGATTCTGATGCTGCTCTTGCTCAATGGCCTATTTTCAAACATTTGTTCTATTCCATTGTTGAAATTTTGCAATACATTCCAATGAAGGTTTTAGAAAGCAAGGAAATTGCTTCCATGCTTTTCAGTGCCATCAATAGAGGTTTATCTGTAGTTTCATTGAGTGTCTTATTGACACCTCAAAAGGACACTTCTACTGAAGCATCCACCGAAGAAGGAGGTGATAAAGCAGCTAAAATGTATTCTTTCGAGAGCTATACTTTGAGCCGAGAAGAAAGTGCTCTTGAAATTGCCACTGCTGCTGAGAGCTTGCTTTGTTATGCATTGAATGTGTACTCCCAATTCCCATCACCCATCGGTGCAGCCCGTATGAGTACTGAAGTTTCTGAATTCGATGTTCTTCAAGAAGAGAATGGTCTCTATGTCACTTCACCTAAAGTGCATCACTTTGTTTTCAACAATTATACCTTGTTGACCATTATGGAGAATCCAAACAAAACAGAATCATGTATTGTAATTTTAAGAGATATGACAGGTAAATACTGTTGGGAATTCAAACAAGTCTACTCCACAGAGACTTCAACATTCAAGAAGAAATCAAACTTCACCATTACTGAAGAACTCGATGAACTACTCGACGATGAATCTAAATCCAATTCAAAGAATGCACCAACACAATCCTCCAAGCATACCGATAGCCCAGGATCGCCTGAAGAAGAACGATCATCCATCTATGTCTCTTCCATTGTAAATCGTAGTGGAGCTGACGAAGAGTTATTCGATGCCGATGATGCTCGTGGCGAACCATTTGTAAGACAAGACATGGGAACTATTGACATCTCTGCAGAAATTGGTGGATTAGGTATTGATAGTGAATATGAAACACCAGCTGATTTGTCTGTTCCTGTCACCTCTCAACAAGAATCCAAAGAAGATGAAGAAGAGGAAAAGGAAAACAATGACGATGATGAATCCTCTCAATCCAAGGTCGAAGAACCAGAATCAAAAGAAGGTCAAAATGAAGAAGGAGCAGAAGAATTGGACTATCCTCACTATGATATTGAAATTGATACGGACAAGACAGATATGCTTGAAGTATTGCAACACTATGTTGCTCAAGTTTTCCCAGAATGTGCAGAGTATGCTAAACCAACCATCACGACACTCGATGATTTGCACCTTGTTACAGAAGATGTTGAAAAACTTGCTTCAAGCTATCACAAGGGTATTTCTGTACTTTCTTCACAAGTTCCTAAACAAGGTTTCACACCATCTCACGCTCCAAAGAAGCCAGACTATGAAAATGATAATGTTTCAAAGGCTGTTTATAAGGCATTTAGATCATTATTGAACAATCTTGGTTTCTTGTCCTCCACAAGTAGAGCTTCATTCAGTTTAATCAATGCCAACGGTAGATTCTATCGTTCACTCAAACAACTCGACAAGTTGACCGAAAGAGAAACTATTAAGGTCGGTCTCCTCTATGTTGCCAACCAACAAGAATCACAAAAGGATATTCTAAAGAATGATGAACAATCAGGATCCAAGATTTATAAGGAATTTGTTCAATCATTGGGTTGGGATGTTGACTTGCGAACACATGGCGGTTTTATGGGAGGTTTGGATGAAAATTTGACGACTGGTACCACAGCTCCATACTATTCCAATGCAACCACTGAAGTTGTGTTCCATGACGTCACTCGAATGCCAACCAAGGTAAATGATTCACAACAAATTCAAAAGAAGCGTCACGTTGGTAACGATTTTGTTCATATTGTTTGGAGTGAACACGATCGAGATTACAAACCATGGACGATCACTTCACAATTCAACTTTGTTCACATTTGTATTTATCCTTATCAAAGACACAAGGAGACATTCTTGTTCCGAGTTCGAATTTTCAGCAAACCTGAAGTTCCACTCTTTGGTCCTCTTCTCGATGGTATGATTGTGGATAAGAAGAATTTGGGTCCTCTTGTGAGAATGACTGCCATTAATGCGAATAAGGCAGTTCGATACAAGCAAAAGCAATACAAGAAACCATTCCCAACTCGAAGAAATCATATCAATGAAATTATTCAGAGACATAAGGCACAATCGACTTCCAATATTGATTTCATCAAGACCTTCTTCTTGGATCAAGATTATGTGAATGTTGAATTTAATCCAAAGAAACCACTTGCTCCACTTCCTGTGAGTACAAGTCCAACGACTAGTGATGTTGTGACATCAACCCATGGTGGTGCAACTAATGAACAAGTAAAGATGAGACCAACGAGAACGAGTGTCAAGAAGGATCAACCACCTCAAGGCACTCCAAACAAGCAAGAGTCAACGAATACTACTACAACTGCCACTAGTATGACTACTGCAACTGCTACTAGTACTCCACAGCAACATGAAGTCATTGAGGAAACTGTGGAAGTGATTGAAGGAGAAGAAGACGTTGAATATGTTGAAGAGGTTGTTTATGTGGATGAATTTGGAAGGCCTGTTGAAATTGGTGACGGTGAAGATGTGGAATATGTGGAAGTTGAAGAAGAGGAATATCAATAGACCATCGTCTATATCGTAAGATTTTCAAATTGTGTTCATCTTTTCCATCAACACTTGAGGGTGTGTAAATTATGATTCCATCACGCGTGAACAGTGAATAAAAATCTTAAATTATTTATCGATACCAAAGGTGAATGAAGGTGTGGAAGGCCTTTTCAAATCAATCGTAGTTGAATTGAATTGCTAACTATGAGCAACACTTAAAAACAAAGTGCGATTGAATATATATTTGTTGGAAGACAACTGGCTTGATGAGAGAGCATTCGACAAGGATTTTATTTCTACAATTTCACCACCAATAACAATCATTAAACTCACTCTATTCCACCTTCATATCCACCACCTGTTCCATACCCATGGCAGAAATAGTCATTATTCTCACCTCCTGATCCTCTCCAAATGCACTCTTAATTCGATTCAACAATTCAGAGTTTTGCACTTGAATGTCACATCTCTCATCACCAGTATCGGTCAATACAGTCAAATAACCATCCTCACTCACATCCATCAATGGGTATTCCTTTTTAGCAACATAGGGCGCGTCAATATTGGCACTGGTTGGAGCAACGACTTCATATTTCTTTCCAGTAAACAAGTCAATGCCAACGAGATGCATTTTGGCACTTCCGTGCTTACCAGGCTTACTGGTACTGAAATCGTCAATTTTACAAGCTCTTCCTTGAATGACTACATAACCTCCTTTTTTTAATGTTCCAACCTGAACAGGATGAGTGTGTGACATGCGAGACAATGAATTTCTCAATAACTGCTGATGATTTTTTTTTCTGAATATTTCAAGAGAAGGATCAACAAGGTTGTTATGTTGGAAAACAGTTCATAGAGAGTGCATTTCTAGAGAGAGAGAGAGAATGATGGCCGTGAAGAGTGGTGGTAGTTTAGATTTGCACTATTCATGATACGTATTTTTGAAAATGCAGTTCTGCTGAACATCTACTTTGTGAAACTTGATTTGTCAACACGGTTCATTTAATGATGATGAGGTGAGTTTGATTGTGAGTGGTAAATTGGTCCTCGACGTGGTGTGCAAACAATTTGATCAAAATTTGATTTCCACCAATCTGTACAGACTTTGCCAGATCTGGCACCACACACAGTCCTTTCCAATCTTCACTGTCAAATCATAATATTATTTCAAAAGTTTTTCCTTCAAGCTCAATAACTGTTCATTGGTTGGATCTGTCTTTAATCCTTCCTCCAATACTTGTATGGCTTGTGTTCGTTTCTTCAACTCTGCCAAACAGGCTGCTTTTCGATAATAGGCCTTCGTGAATGATGCATCCAATTCGAGAGCCAAATCACAATTCTTGATACTCTCTTCGTATTGTTTCAAACAAAAATAACATTGAGCCAAATTGGAATACAAGATGTGACGAATGGAAGTGGAATCTTGTTGATTGAATGCTCTCTCATTGAAGGAAATGGCTTTTTTGAAATCTTTTTGCTTAAAAGCATCATTTCCCTTATTTTTCAAAGTTTCAGCAGAATATGGTTTTGTTTTCACATCCTCTTCAGAAGATTCTAGAGTTTGTTCTTTCATTCGTTGTTGATGTGCCTTACAAATTGGTTTATGAGAAGGACAATCTTTTCTCTGACATTCCACACTGCAGTATTTTACAAGTCCACATGCAGAACAACGTTTCAAACTTTCTCCATTGTCATTACTTTCTCGTCCACAACAATTGCATTTTGGAAGATCATCCACATTATTCACCAATTTCAAATGAGTTTTGAGAGAGGTATATTTGGTGTTGATGAGTTCAATGGCTTGACTTTTGAATGCTTCAGCTCCCAAAATGTCATAAAAGAGTGACATGAGTACGTTTTGTGAAAGCAAGTTGTGAAAGGTCATGGCCGAATATTGTTTCCATCCTTTAAGCTCACGTGATATAAATTTCAATACTAAATCAATATCAATTTGGTCTCTGGCATAATCTTCACGTAGAGCCATCATGAGGAATCTACTAATTGCTCCTTTAAGGTCTCTCACTAAATATTGTGGTTTGTTTTTTAAGACTTGCATCACAGTTGCAAGTAATTTCTTGTCCATAATGAGAAATCGTCTCAAATTGGGAGAGAGCATCATACCTGTAAGACAGAACCATGATCGAGCCCAATACATGGCTTCTTCATTTGTTAATTGTTTGGTTTCATTGTATTTCTTTGAAATGACTTGATACCATGTCAAGCAAAGATCCTCAAGAGTTTTTCCACTACTAGAAGTTCTATTCTTTTCTTCAGCAATGTATTCTCTTGTTTTTTCATCTCATAGCAAGTGATTGACAGGTGCAGAAATATAGAAGACGCTATTTCTCATGTTGAGCTTTTTCATCATGACATCACTCATGTACTTTTCAAAGATGAGACTAAGAGCAACTTTTGGATGAGCTTCACAGAGTGCTTTAAAACACTTTTGCAAATTGACCATGATAATTCCATCATTTCTACAATAGTACATGGCAGCAATGAGGTATTCGAGAATTTGAGTTTCTTTTAAAATGTGTTCAATTCTGAATAACTCTCCATTATTTCTCATGGAGATAAACAACGTAGTCACCAATCGAATACTCTCGCACACAAATTGAAGTCTTTCACAACGATCTTCTCCCGTGTCATTGCCTATCAAATACATGAACATTAATTCTTGCAATCTCTTCATAATTCCATAATCAATCAAGTAAGTGTACATTGGTTTTTCGCTCAAAATGTCGTGTGAAAATTTTTCAATAATCATTCCATCATTTTCGACACATATAGAAAGTGCCCAAAGAGCATCATAGCTATAAGATGCTTTGTCTGAATAAATATGTTCAATCAGAGGGTTCACATCCTGAGGCAAATAATCATAATAGTCAACTTTTTTACATCTTTCAAAGGTTTCTATCGCTAGCTCTTTCAAGTCGTTGCAATCAACGTTGTCAAATACAGATCTTCCTTGTAATTTGGCCATTGCACGAGTACCATAATTACGGAACTATTAAAGTAACTAAATTAATCACATTTGTTCAATAATAACACTTACTCTAATTATTAAACGTCCCAAGTATTGGAACTCTTTCTCCTCTTCGATTGCTAACTTTTTTTCACTTCCGTAATACTCTTTAACAAAGGCTGCTCTGTTGAATGGAGTGAGACCTGCAAGAATGTCTGCCAAATGTAACTTCAGGGCAGTAGGAGAGTAAACATCTGGATTGATTTTCACTTGAGTATTTGGCTGCTTACTAATTGAGACAAGTGTGAGTCCTTTTCTCATCACGTCCAATGCTCGTAGTCTTTTTTCATTTTTCAATTTGGTTTTCATCTTAGATTCTTCCTTTGATGCCTTCTTTTTAAGTAAGGCATCATTTTTCACCAAGGATAGTGTGTCAGTGGCTTTACAAAACTCATAAAATGTTCCACACAACTCTTCAATGGGAGTTTCAAGTGTGTATTGAGCTGAAACTACTTTGAAAATTTTCTTATCACTAATCTTCAAATCTTTGAGATCTGAGATAATGAGAGAAACAATATATCGATTGTCACAACTCTTGAGAAGGTATTGATAAATCTCAACCAGTTCTTGGATCATTTTCTCATCATTACTCATTCTTGCAAATATTGACAAATATTCCACGGACCTCTTTTCGAATGTGTATTTTGCTTTGGGTTTTTTGTCCTTGTTCTTTTTTTTTTCAGTCTTGGTTTCAAGTGGTTCTTTTCTCTTTCTCAGTTCATCAAATAATAGACAGGCAATAACATTCCATGAGATGGACAAGTATTCATAAAGGAAATTTTTCAGAGCAAAATTGCAAACGATTTCATTCTTCTTCTCGTGCATGATGAAATTGCAAATTTTCACAACATGTCTTCTCAATAGGAAGGGCTTCACTAATTGACTATTCTTGGTGAGAATAGTCAACAAATAAATCAAGTCTGACAATGTGTAGGTCTTCCAATCGTTGATCATGAATTCTAAGAGTTGATAAATTGCCTTCGTTGATGTGATTGCCATCGTCACAAGCACTGGCACAGTGTTGTTATTATTCTCCGAAGGTATTAAGCTATTTGTGGTCAAGACGTTGATGACATGTGTGCATTGCTCGTCTTGCATTTCTTGGGAATTTCTGGCAAGTTTTTGACGGTTTGTAATAATCGTAAACAAGGTTCATAGACTTTTCTCAATCTCGCTTTCTCTTGTTCAAACTCAACAGCCTTTGATAATTATCAAATTGTACAATGTGATCATGTTATTGAAAAAAAATGTTTCGACCTTCACCTCATACCAACAAAATCGTGTACTTGGACAAGCGTAAAGTAGAAATTCCCAAGTGGATCAACTCCAAACAAATATATTCTGAGGTGGGGTTGTTCGTGTTGCTGGCTTAATTGTTTCTCGCAAAAATGGTTTTCGATTTAGTATTTCTTTGCGAAATTGAAATGTGCCATGGCCCACAAACTCGCAAGCAAAATTTATTTATTTAGCTGGAGTTCAGGGACTGTTTATCAAATGACTCGACAAAGACAAGCAAAAATTCAAAAATGTTATTGAAAAAAAATACAGGAATGGGTTTATTGAAAAATAAACAAATTATAGGTACTCAATTGTCCGACGATAGTGTGTCTAATGGGTGTGTAGGTGTGAGGTGTAGATGTTGTTGGAGTTGAGTTCGCCAAGCTGACTGCTAAATGTTTCCCAAGCAGTTGCAAATTTTGCAGTTTTGGGTTTAATTATATATCCTCTAGCCTTCTTGAGTACAGTTGAACTGTTCCAAGTGGCGTTTTTGTAACAACTGCCAACATAGGCAGCGAATGAGAGATATATTTCATTTAGCCAATCAGTCAAAGCTGGGGGAGATAAGTCTAATTGTTGAAGAGGTTCGTCTTTGATACTACCGTTCCAATCCATTGGAATACAAGAGAGAGAATGGTTTGAGGGAAGTCTGATAAGAGGGGCATTGAATTTGAGGGAACTGTTGTCCCATTTTGTGTATAATGATTTGATTTCCGGACCACACATGGTGCATGAGGTGAATACATGTTCCCAGTTGGCTTTGGTATTGCAAATGTGGCAATTAGGGTAATCTTTTCCGAAATTTCTAAGGATTTCTGCTTTGTGTAGGTGAGCAAATAATAGTCGTTGTTGGAAGGGTTTGAGTGAATAATTGCTCCAAAAGGAGATGGTACATGGATGCCAGGTTCTACTATGGTCTAAGATTCCAAGGCCTGAGATGCTCATGGTTGATCTATCGTTGTTTAGTAATTCAGTTCTAGGGTCGACAGAGGTTTCGTATTCATTGACAAATGAATACCGTTCATCAATGTATTGGAGAGACCAATTATTTTGAGCCGCGATATTTTTCACGTGGTTCCAAAATGGTTCGTTAAAGGTAAGATCATTCCAAGCAGCCAAAGCAATATTTTTGGTGATGGTGGAGGAGGAGTTGAATAATCTAACTGCTGTGCAAATAGGTTCAATGGAGAATAAAGTAGAGGGGCGAGTAATACCAAGGCCCCCAATTTGTTTGCAATTAAAAATGACTGATTTTGATAATGTGTAATCTAATCCAATAGCCTTTCTGACAAAATTAGCAACCATAATATCTGCTTTGTCTAGAGAATTCTTATTGATTCCATTGAAACTACAGGCATATCTAGGCAAAGATATGATTTTGGACATTAATGTAGTGGTGATGCTGTTGAGATATAGATTAGAAGTTTTAGCTGATGCCAGTTGATTCGAGATTTTGTTGGTTGGATTATCAGAGGACCAAGAAAAATCATTCTTAAAGGTACATATACCCCCAAGATATTCAATAGAAGAAGATGTGGCAATTATATCCTGTCCAATAGCAATCGTGATTAAGGCAAGCTATAATTACAACTCATTGTTGATGTATTCAAAAAACATATCGAATTGACATTATTCAAAAATACAAAATACAAAATTGAATCTTATTTAGTCTTTTTAGTTTGTTGATTATCTTCTGAATCATCAACAGTGGTAGCTTCTCCTCTTGCTCTCTTTGCTTGTTGCTTCTTCTTCCAAGCAAAATATCCATTATCAGTTCCAAGCAATACATCCCACCAAATGAAATTGGATGAATAAGCTCCGTTGTAAGTACGATGATGGAAATCATGCAAATCAGCACCACCACAGAATGGTAAAATATTATTTGGTGAGAATGGGAAATCATATCCTGAATGAGTTTCGCATGCAGCCAACTGTCTAATATTGACCCAAATGAAAAGAGTCAAAATATGTGGTCTCACAATGACTGGTCCCAAGAATGTAGCAATTCCTTGAATCACAACTTCAACAGGATGGGCATAAGTGGCCAATGAGCTTGGAGCATCGAATTCATGATGCTTGTAGTGAATGTTCTTGTAAGCCCATGGGGTATGCATCCAACGATGCAACACATAGTGACCCAAATCTTCAAAGAATAAGAAGGCAAGTGTTTGCCAAACAAGAGTCTTCCAATTTGGAATATCGAAAAGCTCCAAGCTAAAGTAATCAACTTGGCTCAATACATAGAAGGCAGCAGTGTACATGGGCAAAATAATGACAAAGTACACATAGAGGAGATAGAGGGAAGCCCAAAATACTTTAGAGGGTGAATTGTACTTTTTCTGTAAAGTTTAAACAATGATCATGGTGGTGTGACCCCAAACATCAAGGATGGCATGAAATTGCAACCATATATTGATTGGACAGGGTTATGAATGCATTCAAAGTCATGTAATAAAAAGCAGAAGAAGAACAACCGAAAGTTAAGCCAGCAAACGAACACAACCGTAATTGCGCGGTATGAAAAACACAAATATTCCATATTCGGGAAATGTATAAATGGTGAGAACGAATTCATTGTAGATCGGAGTCGCAAGTCCAATGAGGGGCAAAGTAAAGAGATGATTCGGAGTTTGTTGTTGTAAAAACACTTACAGCTTGGATCTTATACTTCCTCAAGAATGAAAAATCAGCTTGCTCAATTAAAAACATGAATCCACACACAAAGAAATAATTCAAAAACAAAACTGCAAATGGAAGGACAATCGTGACCATATTCAACGAATAGCTCTCAAGCATAAATTTCCATAATTTCACTAGTCCGGCATCAAAAACGTTCATCTCGGCAAGCTTTTCCACTGGATAGGCTGTTGAGATGTTCTTATTCACTGCGATGTAGTTATCAAGGAAGAGTCCGGCTTCCCTGATACCCGTATGAACTTGCTGAAGGAGTTGATTCATCGGTTATATTAGGATGGCTATCTATTAAAAAGATGACAACAAGGCTTTCTTGTTATTCGTAAGAAGGAATGAATGTTTTCAAAATTCCGAAAAACAATGAAATATTTGCGCAAATTGAACAATTGGGCACAAGTGGATGATGAAATTCTTTGAAGAAGGAGAGAAGCGTGGCTTGTTCCTAAAACCCCGCACACGCACACACAACTCGAAGAATATTTTTTTCTTGAAAATACTTCCCCGCCTTCTTCGGCTTCTTGCTCTGCTTTTCCTTTTAGGTGTTGGTTCGGATTGCGCACAACTTCGGTTTTGCAAAGCTCACTGAAACACTCTGCAAAACTGGCAGTCTTCGCTATATTTCACGAATAGTAGTCCTGGACCAAACAGCACTATACTCACAAACGGTTTTCATTTGGCCCAATTAAAGTTTGTACAAGTCATTGAAAAGGTTTACTTGGGTTGACAGACCTATTTCTTGTTTGGTTCTATTTCACTTGTGTTTTACTGATGAAAAATACACATTAGGAATGCCTCTGAGCAATGTTTTGCTGTTGAGTGTCGTCACCCTTCTCAAATGGAGTGATTTTGCGTCTCTCTTTAAAACCCATCTCGAGGTGATACTTTCTCTCGCATCAACACTAAGCCAAAAACAAGCTCACAAGACCCAACAGTAAAATAAGACACCAATAATAATGAGTGGTTACCAGCCGTTGTGCATCTGATGAATAAATCAGTGAGAATGGATAAAAGACGTCTTCTGGAAGGAAGGGAAGAAAGTTTGGAGCTGGATAATTTTTCTGAATGGTCTCCTGGCCAGAAACTCGAATGTATCTCACTCGGGTCTCAATCCAAAAGGTGTTGCTTGAAGTGGTATCACCAGTGAAGGTCCATGTGAGAGGATAAAACACTCGTTTGGCTCCTTGCACCTTCCATTGTTCGTTTTGAACTGAACCAGATTTGGCAATAATGATTTGATATTCTACGCCTGCGGCAATGTTGTTACAGGTCGATTTCAGTGAGTCCCAAGTCTGAGAGAGATTAAAGTTTCACAATATGAAAATTTTGAAAACAATAGATGGAGGACGAAAAAGCAAGAGTTAAATTAAACACTACGATGTTGATGGACTTGTACTTACAGAGCTAGGTGAAGAATCTTGCAAAATTGAGACCCAGTCATTCGTATTGGTGTAATCGGCATTTCCATATCGCCCAATTTGTGTCACCTGTGATGCTAATTGAGAGATGGAATTTTTAAGGCATAAATTTTGCAGCTCGGTGATATTGAGAGAGAGACTGCATGAATACACAGAGTCAACATCAAACAGAATTGAAGCTTTTGAAGAACAACCATAACCTGTTGGAGCTGTTAGCCCATCCACTTGCTGATAAATTGCACTCTTTTGATTATTTGTAATTGTGTATCCTGCGAGTAGAGGCTTTTTCCGAATGTAACCAGGATTTCCACTTTTTGGTCTTGTAACTCCAAGTAAATAGTCATTAAGGGTCTTCATTATTAAAGAAATATATAATTTTCGCACACATGGAACCAATGGATTATCATGATTTTCCATTCAATATCATTCTCTACTTACTCCATTAATGAATTGGACATTATTTTTCAGGGTCACCAAAGAGGGGTTGATGAGAGTGGAAACTTTCACAATCAATTGAACGCTGGAAATTGTACCAAGGTTATTTGTAGAAAAGTAGTAACTCACCCCAATAACTGCATTGGTGCATGTTGTAGTGGCTGCGGTGTAGGTAGTTGCAATATTTGTGTTAGAGAGAATGGTTTCATCTCCCGTACTGCTGACTGAAATAAGTTGGGCAACAGACACTCCCGTAAAACTGTTACTATTGGATGGGTTCACCACCGTTGATACGACATTACTGATCAATTTGTTATAGTTAAACTGATTGGAGCATCGTGATTGAAGTGTGTCTACCAATGTTGGGATCCAATAGCATGAGTGCTCATGTTCATCGCTTTGTGCGAATTTAACAAAGGAAGAGGTGTCACACTGATCAGAGCTATAACTTCTTGGTAGTGAAAGATAGGAAAACGTAATGGTGGAAGAAACAGGACTTGTTGTCACTGGAATTTTGTCTCCATATAAATAATTTTCTGTTCTCTGATTTCCGCTTGTTGTAGAGGTGGGAAGAGTTTCATAAACACTCTTTTGCGACACTGTTCGTTTGTAGGAGATGGAAGAGTCCTCCTTGTCAATTGTTTTTTTAATAGTGGTTGCATCCAAATCTCCAACAACCGAATAGTACTGTCCATCCACCGATTCTTAATTTTATAAGGTAAAAAATACAATTCATTAAGGAATGATTTGATGATCACTCAAACATTAGTAATTTTAAAATCATTACTACTTACTTCCCTCAAAGTAAACACAAAACAATGGAGTACTTGGATCTTGTGTCACTTCTTTCGTGCTAATTCCTAAAGTTTGTAAATTTGAAAATGTCACCAAACTCTTCTGAACACACATATAGTTCATATCCTTCTTTGAGACGGGGCTCAAACATTTCGTGAATGTTTTTTCAACTGTCGTTTGAGCGCAATCAGGATCACAACAGCAATTAAGGTCGCATTGATTTTCTGTTAAATCACAAACACATGAGCCAAAACTGGAATCTTGAGAATTGGCGGGCGAAGGAGGTGATGATGGCACCAAATTCCAATCTATAGAATAATCTTTTGTTGTTAAATTGGTTGCAGAGTGAACACTCCTATTTGGATAAATTGTCAAAATATAAAAAACAGCGAATGTCATCATCATTATCACTTTTGAGATGGAATACCCCGAATGAGTCTTTCGCTTTGATGCTGATCGGGGTTGTGTTTCCCTCCAGTTAAAAATGACCGATCTATTCATGATGTTGTATTGATCAAAGTAATGTTGTTTTCAAATGTTTGAGGTTGTGTTCCTTCACTCCGATAAAGTGGTTGGATTGCTTTGCAATAAATTAGGGCTAAAGTGAGAGTTACAGTATTTTTTTTTGGATGAGTGGGTGTTTTTGTATTCGTCCAAGGCGGGAATGGCGTTGAAGAATCAATTAGCTCAGTTCCGTTCTCCATGAATTCAAGGTGTAAAAAATCCTCCTGTGTTCCCGTAATGAAACAGCTGATTTGACACATGATTGAGTCAAGGAAGAAAACACTCACTCACTTGTCAAAAGCACTGCCACCACCGATGAGACGTGAGAACAAGCAAATCTCCAACCATCATTAGGAGATGTAGACACACACTCCTATGGTCAACCCTCTGATTTTCCGTTCCTTGTCAGGAGCCAGAGTCCCTCAAAATTTTGAGACACATTTTTTCATTATTAAGCGAGTTGACCAGACCAAAAATCTCCACTCCTCTCTCGGAGTTGCACTCTCAAAATTGCAAATTTTTCATCAGCCGAAAAAAATATTCAACACCACGTGAATAATAACATGCAACTCAAATACATCATTGCCGCTTTGATGGTGCTGTGCCTCTTAGCCGCACCAGCAACCGTCCAAGCTGAGAAGTCAGTCATTGGATGCGAAATTTGTGAATGGTTGGTCGCTACTGCTGAAGGATTTGTGAACAAGACCAAGCCACAAATTGAACAAGAATTGTTGCAAATTTGTGCCAAGTTGGGTCCATATGAACAAATTTGCGACCAACTTGTCTTGATGGAATTGCCTGATATCATTGACCAAATCATTGCTAAGGAACCACCAGCAATCGTTTGCTCTCAAGTCAAGATTTGTAACGGATCTGCTATGGCTGTTGCTGCTCCAAAGGCTGAAAACAGCGGTATCTGCAACATGTGTCAATTGCTCGTTACTCAAGTTGGTAAGTTGATTTGGGTTTCTTATGTAATATACATCTTCTTGATATCTATAATAACAATGACAAATTCACGAACGATCGATCTCATCATTACGATTATTCGTTTTTTCTTGCTTCTTCCCGCAAATCATTGTCGTGACTCTCATTGGTGCCGACGATATTGCCATCATCGTCAATAACGGTTTTGATTTTTCGTGATGACCTCTCTCCTGCCAACCTCATTAAAACGATGATGCTGATTGTCCAATACTAATATCGATAATACCTACACAAAACCCAACAACAATAACACTCCATCGAATTTCTATTCACATTACAGAAAATTGGGTTGAAAGCAATGATACCATCATGACCTTGGAAAAGAAGCTCGAACAAGTCTGCTCTGTCATTCCTGGACAGTACTCTGCTCTCTGTACCTATGCTGTTGAGCAATACTTGCCAATTTTCATTCATCAAGTTGAGAAGCAATTCCCAGCTTTGACCATCTGCCAAGATGTTCACCTCTGCTCCTCCGCTCAAGCAGCACCAGTCGTTCAACAACAACAAGCTGCCGAGTTGTGCCCAATCTGTAAGGCTGCTGTTGGATTCTTGAAGACCAAGATTAACAATGTTGATGTCAATGCTGTCAAGCAACAATTGGAATTTGCTTGCTCCTTCTTCCAAGTCCCAGATTGTCAACAAATTGTTGATAAGGCTGCTCAAATTGCTCAAGACCTCCAAACTGAAGATGCTCAAACTATTTGCAGCACTGTCGTTGATGTCTGCCCAAAGCAACAAGTTGTTACTTTCAATCCATTCAAGAAGTTCTTGGAAGCTAAGGATAGCAAGTACTGCCCAACATGTCTCCAAATTACCAAGTATTTGGAAGATTTGATTGTCTCTGATATTACTGTTAACGAAATTATCAAGTTGGCTGATGCTGGATGTGCTCGTTTGGGTGCATTGGAATCATTGTGCAAGAAGTTTGTTCCTCTTGCTGTTGATGAGTTGAAGAAGTTGCTCTTGGAAAAGTTGCCACCACAAAAGGTCTGCTCCACTTTGAAGATGTGTGATGCTGCTGAACTCCTCAAGCTCGCTCTTGCTCCACAAGCTGCTGATGGCACCATGTGTCTTGCTTGTGAATATGTTATTAGCGTTGCTGACAATTGGTTGATTGCTAACAACACTCAACAAAGTGTCAAGAATACCCTCGACAAGGTTTGCCAAGAATTTGTTCCATCCATTTATCAATCTCAATGCATTGCTTTGGTCAACCAATATGAAGCTCAACTCATCCAACTCTTTGAAAGCAAGGTCTTCAACCCACAAACTGTCTGTAAGGCTATTGGTGTCTGCTCCTCTCAAAAGATGAACAGAATCAAGGTTTCAAAGATTAAGATGAACTAAATAAATGATTCAGCAATTTTGAATTTCGGAAATGGTTGTGTCGAGGAGTTCCTTGTTTGTGTTGACTCGTGATTGTCTTGTTGGTTCTGTCTGGACCATTTTCGAATGAAAGTGGCTGTGAATAATACGAGTCTGTGATCACGTACGCCCTTTTGAATGAAAGCAATAACCAATTAGAAGACGACGAGATATCAATTTTAGGTCATACCAGAATTGTGCTGTGTCACTCCTGGTCCATACTGCCTTGCCGCCAAATGTCATACAATTTTTAAAAAAATAAATGCTTGAGTAAAACATCTCCAAAACATCATTTCCATTCAACATCATCAAAGTCCTCTTCTTCTTTACACGAAACTCGAATCAACACCTTGTCACAGCCATCAAGAGGAGTCCATCGTCAAGCAACACAATTCCTCGTTTATTCTTTCAACTTTTCCTCATCGTCAATTCCATTCACTTTCGAGAAATGAACTACATCTCCGCCACCTCCTCTTCCAACAATTCCGCAGCACCTTCTCAAAATTCCAACATTTTCGCTTCTCGGTCAACTCTCTTCAGAAATCGACTCACTCCCATTCAAACCAATAATCAGCTCATTCCCAGTAATGTTTCTACACCAAGTGCTGGTTTTCATCATGTTCAGCGTTCGCCTCTCGTCGTGATGAGTGGAGTTGGTTCTCAAAGCAATCTTGGAAGTGGTGGTGGTGGTTACAACAACAATTATCAGAATAATCCTCTTAATAATAATAACGTCAACAATGGTATGGTAATTAGTTCTGCAACCACGACACCATCATCGACAAGAGTTTCACAACAACAACAACAACAGCAGCATCAGTACGTGTTTGACAACAATGGAACAGCGAATTCCTCTTACTACAAGAATGGACACTCCCATTCGAGTAATAACTTGCAACAATTATCGACACCATCTTCCGCCTCATCCTCTTCCATGTACATCTCTCAGCAACAAGTGAACGCTCTTCCTCAACCTCTCAATTATACCAGCTATTCCAATAATTACTATTACTATCCTTCATCCAATCTTCAGAGTCCTCCAACTTCATCCTCTTCTCCTTTTGCTCAACAACAACCACCACCACAAGCCTTATTAAAAAATAATAATAACAACCAGACTCCTCCCTCACAGCCTTATTCGTCCTCTTCACAGGTTGGTGGAACAAGGTACTCGTATTACGCTATAACGACCACCTCTCCTCCTTCCACGAGCTCGGCCGGTACATCTCTGTTGAATCATTACAATCATCAGGGATATTTGGAGAGTGGAACGACGATTGGGAAAGGCAATTCCTCTCATCATCATTATCACTCTCATCACAACGGAAATAATAGTAATAGCACTAGAAATTTGCAGGTATTAACGGTTCCTGGATACATGAGGCCTCGGAGTGGATTAAGTGATTTAAGGTCATCCGTGGATACGAGCTTCACAGGATTTACTGAAATTGAGGAAGATATTGAGTATGTGGACAATTTGAGCCCACATGGTGGATATTTAACACCCGATGAATCGTCTGTAAATAGCACAAGACAACTTTCGCCATTAACGGACGATAGTGATGATATTATCGAGAATATTGACACTATTGAGGTGAGTAGAGAAAGTTTCTGCAAATTTAAAATGACCGTTTTTGGATAATTGTTGTTGTTTCACTTTGGAAAAATCATGAAATGTTGTTGGACTTATCACGTTGTCATTGATAATAATCACTTCCCTGAAAACAATATAATGATGAATGCTGTAGTCCTCTTCGAGAGACACTCCCTCAAGTTCTTCGTCTCCTCTCAGGCAGCACAATCTGACAATGATCTCTCCACAGAGCCCTTCACCCAACTCAAAACAGCAAACACAGTACTTTCAAAAACACCAAAACCAACCACAGAATCCACATGCAACAAACTACTCCAAGAGGCCACCGACTTTGAATAAGAGTGACATTTTGCAAACGAACAACTTTAGCTGTCCCAACACAGAAATTTCAACATCTCCTGTATCAAGGTCCCAACACGTCACCAATCGATCAACATCTCCCATTAATCATACGCCGAGCAGTACACTAGGAAGTGGAACTTTCTTTGTTCCTTCCAATTCCTATCAGCAACAAAATGTAAATAGTAATACATCCTCTGCTCAAAGCACAACCTCCAGCAACATGTCTATTCACACCTTTAGCTCACAACCTTCACCTTCTCATCATTTGTATTTTAAGAACAAAAAGACGAATAATTCCAATCCACCACAACCACATCCACAGCAAACACAACAACAGCCGTCACAATTAAGGGTTAGAACTCCCACAACCATTATGGTTAACGACCTTCCATTGAATGAAAGTAGTGGCCACAACAAAAATGGAAATGCACCACATCCTTCATCTAGCAACGTCAACAGCGGAAACGGAGTGCCAAGTGCTGTTACACAAAACAAACAAGCTTCGTCCCTCCACTCGAAACAATTGCCACCAATGAAGTCAGAGGACACTGCCAAACCAAGTCACTCACCCAACAGTCCCAAACTTCCCAAAACATCTGGTACATACTCTGCACCGACTCCAACGGAAAACCACACAAAAAATCCCACCTCCGATGCCGAAAAGAAACCTAAAAAGAAGCACAAGCAAAAAAAGCTACAAATTATTAAGAATTATAAGAAGGGAGACTTCATTGGCAGTGGCGCGAATGGAAGGGTGTTTCTAGGTTACAATGTCGACGATGGCAAGTTCTTTGCTATTAAGGAGTGTACTTTCGAGAATGTCCAAGGGGATGTACTGGAAACTAAATTGGAAAATATACAGCGAGAAATCAATCTCATGAAGGGACTTAGACATGAAAATATAGTTCAATACTATGGAGCTGAGGTGAATGGTACGACCTTAAACATTTTCCTCGAGTTTGTTCCAGGCGGCTCAGTTTCGTCTTTGTTGAGAAGATATGGTAGATTATCCGAAGATGTGACGCGTCAATATACCATTCAAATGCTCAAGGGTCTTAAATATTTGCATGATAATAGAATTGTTCATAGAGATATTAAGGGAGCTAACATTTTAGTGAGTGTCGAAGGAAAGATCAAATTGGCAGACTTGTAAGTATTCTTGTGACAGGGATTTCTCAGTTAGATTTCACATACTTGTATAATTGATTGAACTATCTATGATGACAAAACCATTCAAATCAATAGTGGGGCTTCACGTAAAATACAAGATATCATGACACACTCATCTGAGTTTAAATCCTTAACTGGTACACCACATTTCATGGCACCTGAGGTGATCATGCAAACAGGACATGGGCGACCTGCCGATATTTGGAGTATTGGTTGTACCATTGTTGAAATGTATACGGGAAGACCTCCTTTCTCCGAGTACACAACTGCCGCGGCTGTGATGTTTCATATTGCAGCCTCAACAGAAATGCCTTCATTTCCTGATTTTGTCTCTGAGGGATGTAAGAAATTCCTTGCTCGATGTTTTATAAGAGACCCAAATAAGAGAGCCACGGTCGATGATCTTCTTAATGACCCATGGATTACTCAAGCAGAGTCGACGAGTGATGACGAATCAGTAGCCACTCCAACCGAGCAGTATTCTTCATTCTCTTCTCACAATAGTGGAGGTGCACCCATTATAGAAGATAGTACATCTTTGTCTGGTTCCTTTTCTCCTTACGTTGACTTCAATAACGAAGATGAGTCCTTTTTCGCTCCTCAAGTGGATATGTCATCCAAAATTTCTCAAGACATGAAGGGTGGTGAAAAACAACCATTGGGTGTTGTGGAAGCTAAAAAGGGTTACAACAGCAAGAAGGATATCAGCCAATTCTTGAGGAAAAATTCCATGTGGCAATCTCGTTCTTTCAACTCATCTGCGTGGGACATGTTCAAAGGTGACAATCCTGATGAAATACCTCCCAGCTTTGACGTGCGGAGAGTGGAGAGCTCAGACAGCTCCTCAGACTTTGAAGACGAAGGAGAGATTACCAATTACTTTGACGAAAGTTTTTCTTCCATTACCAATAACTATGATCACTCTGAACTTAAGGTTGGAAAAGAATTTGATGGATTCAGCTCGCTCAGAACAGAGTATGACGTCAATGATGCTGTTGTCAATACCTCACCTTTGAACACCATTGACGAGAAACCACAAGAGCAAAAACCACTAGAGAAAAAGAAAAAGGATCGCCTTCGAAAGGTCCGTCGAAAGCTCGATGAAGAGCTACGAAAAGAAGCAAGCACAGAATTGCCACCACCTACCCAACTAGTGACTGACAGCTCTCCCAAGAAGGACAAGAAGAAAACTCAAAAAAAGAAACCTGTTGGATCACAGCAGAGCACGACCTCACAAATACCTCCACCCATCAAACCTATTGAGCAAGATTCTCTCGACTCTGACTTATTTCCAGTGATTGAAATTCCAAAGAAGACCCATTATCAAGTTGAAAGGGAAAGAAATGAAATTATGTTGGAGGAAGAAAAGAAAATTCAGCAAATGGAACAAGAACTCTCCAGAATCGCCCATTTAGATCATGATGTGTTCCCATTCCAGAATCAGCAGCAGCAACAGCCAATCATCAACATTAAGCTCGAATCCCCAAGAAAAATTCCACCAATTCCTCAAACCTCCCATTCCAAAAGCAAATCTCAGCAAACTCCTCGAGAACGACCTCGAATTAAATCCGCTCCAATTAAGAGAATTAGTTCTGACGAGCTGAACGACACAATCTCTCCCATCACTCAACTCGGAAAAGCCGTCTCGCCCACAAAATCACCAGGAGCACTTAAGCCAATTCAAGTCAAAGAGTATCGATAGTGAAATTATGTCATGTTCATGTTAATATTAAAGTTTCTCTTAGCATCTAGATGGATCTGTTATGTGGTGTTCATTCGTTAGATGGAGACCACCTCCGAACATATCAAACAATCACAATACTCTCAAACACAGTTCATCCAATTCCTCCATAACTGTCACGACTGAAAGTTCTGCTTCCTTCTCATCATTCACATTGAATTGTCTAAAGTTTTCAATATTGCTCAACAAGTCAATGAATTGGAAATGTTTTAAAATTTCTTCATACAAATTCGATAAATGAGGTTTAAGGAGGGAAGTAAAATAGTGCTCCAAATCTGTGACACCAATGCACCAATCTTGGAGAACAGTTCGATAATCTTCCTCAATTACAGAGAGGCGTGCCCATTCATAATCAATAATTCCAGTAATTTTCTTACTCTTGGGACAAATTATCACATTACTCATTGAGAGATCTCCATGACTGATAAAAAGTGAAAGATTTTCCTTCTCCACTCTTTCTCGAAATTCATCATTCAAATATTTCTCAATATATTTCTTCATGAATGGAATGTATTTTTTAAATCGTCCATTTTCAATTCTTTCAAATATTGGAATTCTAAATTCAATGAGCGATTTTAGATAATCTACATAATTATCAAATGGACCTTTCTTACTATCCACATAGGGGCAAAGAGTCACACCAATACATTTTTGCCTATTATCAAATTCTTTTGCAGGATTCCCATGCTTCAAGCTCAAAAAACTACCTCCAAACCATTTCGTCTCTTTTTTCGAATTTTCCAAAAATTTCAAGTCAAATTGTTGTCGATTTTCCTCGTGGGTTGTATCCAATCCAATTCTTTCCACATAAATCTTTGAAGACACTCGTTCTTTCATTTCAATTAAATAATGAGCGATTTGTTCAATCCAAAATTTTCGTTCATCAATGTCCATGATTCGACTATGTAAACTCATGGAAACTCCAGATAATTTTTCCATTAAGAGATATTCGTAGTCACAAGTTGTACCATCAAGATCGTAATCGAATAAACGAGGAACGCGAATATATTCAAAACTTTGTTTTTCCTTATGAAGAAATTCTAGTAAAGTGATTTCATTAATCGTTTTTGCTTGTTTCCAAGCATCTCCCAATGTGTTAACTTTTAACACAAATTCCAGAATATCGGAAGATCCTTTTTGAATCTTGTCCATTATGGATTCATTTTCATCATTGGATCGTGTGAAATGACTGTTAAATGTCACTAATTTTTCTGGAAAGCATTGAGATTTGGAAGAATCAATGGTTGACAATAAAGATACTTCTCTCATCCAAATAAAATAGACAGAATTAATCACTCCTTCCGATTCTTCGAAAAAAGAAAAATTAAATTCAAATCGTTTGGTCATGTCGGACATGTTGAATATTGTATGAATATTGTTGTCAGAGCTCCGAGTTTCGGGAAGGAGTGAATCCTTTGAATCTCGAAGGTGAAAGAATTGATTTTTTAAAAGTGCACGCTCGAGGATGGTTTGGATCTGATTCGACGAAAGAACATTCAAACTCTTGTTCATGGTTTTGTGTCAATTTTTTTTATGGACTTCAATGTCAAGCTATTCGTTGATGGTATCGTAAATCCATTAGTCAGAGAATTCAACATGACATTTTAATAGAATACGTTAAACACAATGAACAGAGGTGAGTTCACGCAATTAGAAAAGGAAAATGTACAGCTTAGGGTTAGTTCAAAAAGGAAGTGTTGTGGTCACACAATCATAAAAGCTTAATGTGAGAGAGCATACATGATCAATGTCATTGCGAGAATAGGAATAATAGCGGCAATGACTGCACTTCGCCACATGGTTTCTTTGTCTCCCAAAAAACTCATGGCACTTTTATGCTCGAACAAAGAAGTGGATTCGTGATTCTGTGACGCTTCTTCACTCTTCTGCTTATTCGTATCTTGTTCATCCTTACTTTCTGTCGTTGATGATGACGATGTGGAAATGACAGGTTCAGGTTTATCCTGATACAATTCAGTCTTTGCAAACACACCCTTAAATTTCGTTGTTTGAAATTCTTGCTTGGATTGTTGTTTGTACTTTTTCAATTCTGCATCGACCAATTTCACAAGTGCATGGTCCTCAGAAAACTTTTCCTTCACCTCTTGCATCAATTCTTTACCCTTTGTTTCTTCAATTCCATCCAAATAACATTTAGCTCTTCGGAACATGATCTTCTTTTCTGAGGCTTCATCCTTCAATTCCTTATTATATTCCTCAGCTTTTTCCAAATGATCCAATGCTTTGGAGAATCTACCCATCTTCATGAGACTTTGAGCCATATTCAATTGAGCAGCTGTTTGAAAAGAGAGAGCCATCTTCAACTCTTCTGGTGTGCTCTCACTCTTCTTGAATAAAACTCCCATAAAACGATCAATCTTGTCGTATTCATCGACTGCTTCTTGGAACATGTTTTTACGGTAGAATTCATTGCCTTTCTCTTTCAAGAGTTTGAGAGCTCCGAGTCTATTCTGGAGTGATTTGGACAAGTGAGAGAATTCATCAAGGCTAATGTTGTTGTTGTTGTTGTCATTATTGGAGGTTCCATCAACGGAGGTAGCATTATCCGTTGTAGTAGTAGTTGCAGTGGATGTTTCTGTGGATGGTTCCGTTGGTGTTGTTGTTGTTGTATTCAGATCGGAACAAGTGTCAATGTGGTGGTTGGTGATGGAGGTTGGAATGGATGATTCCGATCCTGTGGTACTAGTAGGTTGAGCGATCATTTCTCTTGTGGTTTTTATATAATAATAATTGTCTTAAGGGTTTTATCGTTGTTGTGTTGCTAATAATTATTAGGGTGATTGTATAATCATGCACCATACAACAAGAGAGAGTGTGTGTGTGTGTGGGTGATTCCGAACTCGAAAAGAATGAAATTCAGTCCTCAAAAGAAGAGTTTTGAATTCAAATTTTTTTTTTGATTTGAAACCTTTATTATTGAAATCGAAAGAAGAATTAAAAGAGTCGTGTAATTACTTCAACAGCTACTATTGCATCAAGTGCATGAGCATCATCCAGTAACATGATGTGACTCATATGCCAAGACAGAGAGTTTTGTGACATGTTGAAGAGTCCAAACACAAAACACAGCAACTCTGGAAATACGTCTTGCTCAGGAATCTCAGTCGTTGCTGGGGTTATAAATTTCTAATAATAATTACAACAGAATTCTTATGCAACATGTTTAATTGTATTTTGAAGAACACCAAAAAGTCACTACTGCAAATCCTAATCATTTGTATAATTCACTTAATATCAATCGAACAGCAGCACTGACATCATTAAATGGAGCTACCAAATCACTTTGATGATGTCCATCTGCACAAACGAGTGTGTATTTCAATTTCATATTTCTTGCAAAGCACATATAATCCATTGGTAAAGAACCCCAACCAATTTCAATAATTCCACTTCCTGGTCTGGAAAAGATGATATTACTTAATGAAGCTCCATGTGGTGAAATAACAATATCACTTTCATAGAATAATCGAGCAACCTGTTTTAAATATTCAGATGGATTAGTGTCAGGTATAATAAATTTTCTAAGGACATGTTGAGGAAATGATTGTCTTAAGTGTTCGAGCAACAAGGGATGATCTTTGACATTTCTAATTCTGGCATTTCGATGAATGAGTGTAATAATTTTGCTTGTTCTTGTGAGAGAAACCTCGCCAAACATTCTCGCCATTCCAGCAACAATTTTTCTATTTAAAACCAAGTACTCCATGATATTCATGTTTGGATAAAAATCGGTATCTGAATGATAGATAAATACCTTCTTTGCCCGAATGACAGTACCAATGACACTATCGACCAGAGTTCTATTCCCCGAAATAACTCTCAATTCCAACATTATTTTGAGATACCTCTCAGAAACGACATTTCGAGGCCAGATTAAGGGAATTTCAGGTGGCAATTCATTCCACATTCTTACTAATCGAGGAAGAATTTCAACAGGCATGTGACCATTGGCATATGGATAGACAGAGTAACCTGGATTGCCAATGACATCAAAATTTCTTACTCTAAAAGAGCTAGAAATCGTTGGGACCATTCTTCTCTCAAGTTGGGAATGAACAATAATTCCATCATCTGTGAAGGTGGCCCAAGAAATGTCTGAATGAAAACTATTTTCATCAATCCAAGCACAATCAATCTGAAAAATCCATGCTTTTTCATGAGCTATTTAAATATTGAGAGTGCAAGAACAGAGGAATTCAACATGTGGAGAGAGAATGAACAGAAATTCAACAACATTGAATGAACAGTGAACAACGTCGAGTCGACGATACATATCTGGAGCACAGTATCCTAGTGAGTATTCTCTTCTTGGTGAGGATCGACAAGTGTCTGTCAATTCAGTCAACCTATTAAACCCATCCGGTGAGGGTTTAAACTGTGCACAAATATCCACTTCACATTTATCGGATAACTTGTAGGGCGTGAACTCCACGTTCCTTCATTCTCTCAAATAACTTACTTCCTCTTCCATCGAATTCTTTCAACACTCGTTGCCAGTCCGACCACAAATTCCTAAAATGATTCTCTGGAAAAGTATTGTTTGTGAATAACGGACATGAGATTGATCTTGTGTTCATACTATGAGTAGTAGTAGTAGTACTAGTGGATGGTGGTGATGATGAATCGTCTGTAATAAAAAGATAGTACGAACGGCTACTTTCAACACTTCGACTCGAATCATCATGGGCAGGTTGTGAAAGCATCTTTCACAACAATGGTTTTAGATTCAAAATGTGAGGAGTGAGGAAGAGAAAGCTCTAATGATGTTGTTGGCGCATTGGATGGACGAAACCACAGTGAAAAGAATGAATAAATGACCAATGTGTGAAGAAGAATAACGGACACACCGAAGAAAAGCTTGACTCGTTTTGTCAGAGACATCTGCTCAGGTTCTTAGAAACAAGAATATGGATAGTGAATGTATTCACTCCATGCGGAAGGAAAGAGAACTTCATTCAACCTTTATGAATGGTGGTGGTTATGACGACTTTGAAGACTTGTAACAAGGAGTTGAAGAGATTTATCTTCAGACCAAAGCTTATTCCTTAGCTAATTGATTTAATTTATGAACCATTAAATTAAGTATTTTCGACATTATTTTTAAAATTCGACACAAATCCGATTTATTGGTCGTGCTTCGATTTTCTCTTTTTTGGGCTTTTTGTGGTTCTTTGCGGCGAGTCAGTTCGTTCTGGATTGCTTGCAAAGCTTGGATTTTGTGATCGAGATTCATTCTGAATGATCTAATAAGAACGGATGATAGTTCTAATACTACGAAATATCAAGTGAAAGACCCTTTCGTAGTATTGTGTGTGGAATGTAACGGGTGTCAATATGTCGAACAAACAAAATGCTAAAAATCAAAAAGGTAAAGCAAAAAGCTTTGGCGCATCATTTATCGAGCACAATGCGCCATGTATTGTGACAAAGATCAACCTCAATAAAACAAGTGCACTTTTATTATTAAGAAAGATATAAAAATCTCACTCACACCCAACCAACAGACACACACAATTCAGAGATCAATTTTTGAATTTTCAAACCCACTGCTGATTTCTTACTTGTTCTGCAAATCCTTCTCCACACGTTGTTTTTCCTCTTCGGTCACACATCCTTTTTCACGGTTGAAAATTTTGACTGTGGTGAGACCTTCCGAGCTGTAAATCTCTGGATTTTCAGGAATGAGAGTTCCGACTGGATTTTCTTTCACAAAATGTGGTGAGTCTTCGTAATTGAGTTGAGCGAGTTGTCTCGATTGAGGACTTCTTGGTTCTGTTAAATCAACGGAGGCTGTTGATTGAAAGGTTGATGATGGTACTTGTTGACGAGTCGACATGTTGAAAAGTGGAGAGGTGTGAATTTTTGTTGAATAATTATAATTACGTAGGAGGTGACCATCTCTCTGGTGCTTTGTCTTTTGATTCCATTAATGACTCTTACTCTTACTTTTCTTGATTAGGAATTTTGATTTTTTGAGAAATTTCTAAATTGGTTCCAAGCTAAAGTTGTACCTTGGTATTTTCCAACCTTGTCTTGTACATGGAGAGTTTTCCATACAAACGATTAGTCCATTAGAATAGAGAAAATTCAAAATCGAGTGGTGTAAATCTTTTGATAGGTAGAAACTGGACATGCCGAATTTTTCAAAGACAGAGTGTGAGGAGAGAAAATTCAATTCCTTTGAAAGAGACCTATATTCCCATGGTCGTACGTTGCTTCTTCTTGGATGAAAATTTGACATTTTCCATAATATTCATTTGATTCTTCTCTCCAATTTCATTGAGGCTCTTCATGCATGGCAATAATGTGAATTGTTGGCCCGGAGGAAAATAAAAATACAAATAGAAAGGTTCATCTGGATATGTTTGTGTCACATTGATGACATGAAGAACCTCCTTGCCATTAATGAGATAAATAATTTCACCATTATCAAGATCAAGTATCATACCAAGAATATCATCTGTCTCTAAAACAGAATAAACTCGAAGCAACTTTCCATCGACTTCTTTGATTCTATCAATAATTTTCTCACCTGGATGTAACATGCATGAGCCATCTTTCATGTAAATGCTACAGTCGTATTGATTGGTCTTGATTTTTTTCACCTCACTTTCTTTAATGAACCCTGCCCCGCATCCATAAAGAGTCGTGTTGAATACAACTCTGAAATAGAACTTGCCTTTCACCATGCAGAAGTTACTGACGAGTTGACAGTCTTTTTCTGATGAATTTTTCAAACACAAGGTTTGAAAAGTGGGCATGGTCAATTGTATCATCTTGGAAGGACCAAATGAATTTTTCAAATGCCATCTTTTATAATCTTCTGTGAATTTCATCTTGTATTCTTCCCATGATATGTCATTGGAGTGATGATGCTTCTTTTGATCATTGCTATCATTCGAACGAGCAACAGACTCTGTTGCATACACATCGCTATCAATTGGAGGATGATTGACATTTGAAACCACCACGCATCGTTTATACTCAAATAAATTAATATAACAAAACTTTTCATAATACTCTTTCCAGATCTTATCGGCCATTCCTCCACTATTTCCTAAAGCATAATAATAGGAATTGAGCATTCCAAGCTTTACAAAATCCATCGGAGTCATGTATTGAAATATTTGAAATAAAACTTCAAGTGGAAGAGAGCCTAACAAGTCTTGATCATTGACGACCTGTGCAGAGAGATGAACTCGTATGGGAGAGGAAGGCGAGATGATTTGTTTGAGAAATTGTTTCATTTTTTTTTGGTGTCGAACACCTATGTGAACTCACAAGTACCGAGTTCATTAAAAACTTACTCGACTACTGTTATTGCTTCTTCATCACAGAACCACCAACGAGCGTAGTAGATTGTGGAGGCACCTTTTGCTTGGGAGAATGTGTTGTTGTTTTCTTTTGTTTTGATTTTGATGAGTTATGACATAGCTGCACACTTGACGAGACTCAGACAGCAATTCTTGCACATTTTTTTGGTACATTTGGCCGATTGATAAATATACTTTTTTGTTTGTACAACTCTTCGAGGAGTTGGCACATACAGGCTTCGGTGTGAAGGTTGTGCTGACATTGTTCGTCATTGGGAAGGTTGATATGATATTGGGATTTGTCACTAAGAATTGTTGAGAATATTTCCAAATTCAGGTGATAGATTAGGTGAATTTTCACCATGAACAGAGTGTCCATTACAATCAAATTTTGCAAATGCTGGAAAATTTGGAATTAATACCCAAACACCTAGCATTAATTCCTGTTTCATCTTTGTGGTCAGTAGTATCTTTTGCAATTCTTTTCACGAGAAAAACTTTGCGCACCTTTTTCAGATGAAAGAAAATACAAATTCACTTTCCAGACTAATTGAGAAATATGAATCCAAAGATCATGCAAATGCAATCCAACAAAGGCTTTTCCCCATCTATTAATAACCTAGGGCCCGGAAGAATCGTGAGCCTGATCCCGCGGAACGGAGCATGAACCGATCAAAAAAATCAAATTTCAAGCTCCATCCTCCCACCCTACAAACTGGAATTCAGATCGAAAAATTTGCTGTAGCAATGTGACATTGAAGTTTATTAGTCAACCCATCAATCTTCACTGAACTTTTTGTTTGCTTTCTTCACCACTTGTTCTTCACAAAAATAATCGAATCTAGAGCACCACATGATGAATATTCGTTTGATGCAAAAATTGTTGAAAGATGAGCTTCTTTTGATCTTCCTTGACAGGATTGCCAACAAAGGCGACTTTCTTCAAGCTGGATCTTCGTCCAATACCCTTTAAGAAGGTCTCCAAACCAGTGAGTGTTATTTGGTTACCTTCAAAGTTAACAATTTCAATGTACTTATTCACACGTAGGAGAGGAATGAGTTGTTCCAGGTTCTTGTCATTAATTCTCATTTGTCGCAAATCCAAAACTCGTATTTTCAATTCTCGAAATGTGTGAGAAACATCAGCAAAATTCTTTACAAAATTTCGTCCAATATAAAGCTCCTTAATTGAAGAATTCTTCGAGACAGCCTCGAAAATGTCAATAACTCCCTTGGTGGCAATTTTACAACTGGTGACATCAAGCAAAAATAACGAAGGAACGAGGGATATGGCCTGACAAAAGGTGGAAGAAATTTCAAATGTCTTGATGGTGGTGACAGGATTTCCAGCGATAGATAATACAGTTAATGTCTTGTTTTCGAGTAAGTACTTGGAAATAATTTCTAATGAAGGTTGAAAAATTTGATTGTCGGAAATGTCAAGCTGTTTTAACATTTTGCATACAGATAAAAAGTACCAAGCCTCATCCTCCTCCTCTGATGTCACTCCCTTTGTAATGGCATTCATGGAGATGTCAAGGCGTTCCACTGAAGGATGATTTCTCAGTAGACGTCCAATACTGTAAAACACTTTACCCTCAATACCAGCATTTGAAATTGTGACGTCTTTCAAAGTGCTTGTTACTCGAATGAATTCAATAATGTACTCTCCTCCTTTTTCTCCTAACTTGATGCCGCTCACGTTCAGCGTACTAACAAAGAGGTTGGTTTCTAATGTTTTGAAAAAGGTCATCACCATTGAATCCTTTTTAGGGACAACAATTTCATTCATAGACATGTTTAAATGCTTCAACTTGACAGTTTCTAAGAATGATGTAATATGCGTGAGTGCATTATTGGTAATGTGATTTTTCGAAAGATTCAGTGTTTGAAGACGTTTGCACTTGCTCAAGGCTAAAAGAATGGTTTGGATGGATTTGTCGTTGAGACCACACTTGGCAAGCTCCAATTCTTGTAGGTGTGTCAAGTTAAGTAATAAAGATGCTAGGACCTAGTGCCATTCATGTTCAGTGTTGAGGAAACAAAAAAATAAACTCTTGCAGTACTTACATTTGAGTGCTCATTCAATGGAACTACAGAGAGATTGAGATACCTCAAATTTCGAAAGTAGGTCAATACATGAAGCAATCTTGGAACTTCTATTTTGATATTATTGTATCCGAAATCAAAACTGTCTAGGTCAAAATTTTCTTTCCAAGGAAAGTTAATATTAGGTTGATATATCAAGCATGTCTCAATAGGGTCTAAGTAATAGGCCAAAATTTTGTCATGAATTTTCAAAGCTCGCAAACTTAGAGATGTTAAAACAGTGTCGTCGTCAAGAGTACTATCGAGCTGGCGACAATAAACAGGATTCGGAATGAGTTTTGCCCGCGAACACATTTCACAATAATAGCTCATTAAGTATTCGATTCTGCTAGAAACTTTTGCCAAGAATATTCTATTTAAAGGTCGCTGATACAGAGAGGCCAATGGATTTTGGGGTATGGTCACTTTACATGTCCTCATATCTTCAGGTAAGAGAGAATAATAATCTTGCATTAAAAACAAGATAGCTCCATGTTTCAATTTCGAAGTAATGATAGAAATTTTTTCAGAATTGTTGCCAACACGTTCCAGTTCAATCTTGTATTTTCCTTCATTGGTTACAGAAGTTGTCCAACTTTTGATCTTTCTCCATCTCCAACAATCCGGCTTCTATTCATGATCACAATAGTAAGTGCAAAATGAGATCCATGAATATTTGATGGTTTCATGTCAGTCAGAATAAGAGTTTAAAAAACATCATATCTTATTTTTCCAAACTTACTGGTGACAAATTTGAAAAGAAGAAGATTCCATCCTCAGCAATTCCCATAAGTTGTTTAGGTCCCACGTCGTGCTCGATATAAAAGTATTTCATTCCAAAATGTGACGTCTTACTGGCTTCTTCCAAATACTTGTAAATGGCATCCCTCGTTGAAAGACCTTTATGCTGTTTGTGAACTCTGAAAAGTCTCTCTTGCCAATAAGGGTTATCATGCTTTGCCACGGAGACAGGTAGTAAGGTATTAAGGGCGATTTTGCTTTAAATGGTGAACAATATATTGTGAGTGTAATCGATTATTATTCATCATGATACATATAACTGGTCATTCATATTGTCAATTACTTACTTTAAAAATCCTATTTTGTGCTTTTCTGGATTGTAGTCACCAAAATTAATCTGTAAAATTAGTGATGCAAGATAGACTGCTTGTTTTTCTGTACACTTGTAGAGCCTATTGATAAAATTGAGATGAATCTGTTTTACCATAATGCTCTCCGCCACAGAGTCTTTCATATCTATAGGTCTCTTAATCGTCCTTAATACAAATTTCAAGTTTGAGTCGGCAGAAATGTTTTCTTCCTGAATGGTCCTTTGTAAATTCACAAATCGCCCTGTTATATTCAATAATTGTGGTTAAATGTAATTGTGAGAAACAAGAGACATAGGAAACATTTTCAAAACGTACCAAGTGGCATCGATCCTTCACTATCATAAATTTGCTCCAACAATCCAAAGAATTGCATTCCGAACTCACTCATCCCAATTTTGGACCTTACTGTATCAAACACATCAATGAGATCTGTATCTTTCTCTGCAACAATATTCAAATTACCCAAACCAATGACTTCAATCGTAAGAAGCACTTGGTCGGGTCCTAACTTGATCATCGTTGAAATACTCTTGTTCTCATTCACCTGTCCAACACTGCCGTCATTACTCTTTCTAAACACCTCCAAACTGCCCCTACTATTACTACTTGCGGCATCATCAATTTTTCTAAGACCTTTCCTCGTAGAGGATGTTGGTGGTGAGGCATTACGAGTTGCAGAGGAATGGAATGATGATTCCTTCTTCACTCCGCTATTACTGCTGGCACGTGAAGAGGTTAAGGCTGTATTCAACGCCGATGAAGGTTGTTGAGGAAGAGATGCTTGTTGTTGTTGTTGATTCATTTTTTTTCGCCTCAACCCGAGCACTCGAAATTCTGCAGTATTTTTCACTGACTTTCCAAGTAAATGAGTTGGTGTTTGAAAACTGAAAATTTTAAAGTTAGTCGAAAAGTCAGCGGATTTTTGAATTTGATCCCTACTAAGTTTACTCTGCTCTGTTCCAAATCTGCAGTTCACTTAAATCGATATCTGATTTTATTTAAATAAGCATTGAAATATTTCATCGAATTCAGTAAGAAAAAATTATTGATGAATCAGTTGAAAAATAAGGGACTGATTTGAAGTGAAATCAGTTTCTGAATAAGGGACTGATTTGAAGTAAAGTCAGTACCTAAATTAGACTCTGAGTTGAAATGAAATCAGTATCCAAATCTGACTCTGGGTTGAATAAAAATCAGTTGAAAAATAAGACTCTGGGTTGAATTAAAATCAGTCTCCAAATCATACTATGGTATTGAAATTAGTCTACGGATAAGACACTCATTGGAATGAAAATCACCAATATCGTATTTCATAGTAATCCATGGAAGGCTTGAGTAATCCACTTCTAATTCAGTGTAATTATAATTTCTCGCTATCAATCATCGTATCATCTTTTCAAATAAGCTGATCATCAATGATTCAATGCTTACCTTGACGATGACCATGACACCTTGTGTTCAATTGGGTCAAGTAATACCAACTTACCTTGATTCATGATTTGTTCTGAATGTAGTGAAGGGTAGGAATGTTCGATTGTAACAATTAATGAGTTTGGTTGAGTCTTTGAAAAAATTTTCATACTCATCGCAATCACGTGAATAAACTTGGTATTGTTTAAATCAAGAACAAGTCATTCCTATGAACTTGTTTAAATTTACCACAAACTTGGAAACATGGTATGGCGTTTTTTGGCATTTTGTCCAATATTTTGACTTGATTCGAGTCTAAACTTTTAACGTGATACAAGTCATCCTTTTTACTGGTCACGAGACCATGACCAAATTCTTGAGCATGAAAATAATCACCCTTTTCAAATTGAAAATGAAAAGTTCTTACTCGTTTCATGGAAATGACTTGATGTAATGAAAAGTTCTCCAGTGCTTTGTGGTCCATGTTATTCTTTCCTCCTTGAACAGAGCTAGTGATGGATCCAACTAGATCTTCGAGCATAAAAGTACTCGTACACCATAGTGGTCCAAGATAGAAAATAGAACTGTTTACATGATGAATAATATATAAAAATAATTACATGATGGATAATATGTGAAAAGGAGCTATATCATTTAGCCGACTTACAGAGGAAAATGAACGACTGTATGTGAAGCCAGTGTTAAAATAATAATGTTAAAATCTGTCTCGATGGCTTGTAATATTTCAAAAATTTCCTTTTTCATACTGTATAGAACTTCAAGGCTTCTCACTACTGGATGCATGATGGTGCGTATAAAAGTAGAAAGTCTATTGAGAAAGTGATAGTGTTTGTCTGATATTTCATCCTGAAAATCCTCAATACAATATGCAAATATTATATAATATTCAATTGCTTTGAAATAACTCAATTCATCCAATCCACGGACTCTTCGATGATAGAACGAAGGTGTTTTGATTGATATGTTCTGAACGAAGTGAAGAGCATGAATGTTTCGATTGTAAACATTAAAAGAGTTTGGTTGAGCAACGAAAAATATTTTCATGCTCAAAAAATTTTCTGCATATTCGTTCGTTTTGATTTGCTTAGTGACTTCTAGCTCTCCCTTAATATATCTCGCTCTTCTTTGTGAGTTGGATATGCTTATCTTACTTTGAACCCCATTCGGATCTTATTTGTTGATCAGTATTCCTATTCAATTGATCACAAAGTCAATCCTATTTATAAAAACAACATGATTCAATAGTAGAAATGGTATACTCGTGTTCTTGTTGTAACTCATCCAAAAGAACATGAAAAGATTGAGAACAACAATCAGTTAGATCTTGTCTGAACTATAAAATCTTGTAATATTAAATTTAAAATTTGTCCTAATGGCGGGAAAAGAGGTTCATTTTTTTTTTGTTATCACTGTCCATGCGTTTATTTGTTCGAAAATTCAAACGTTATTCATGGCTGTGTGTGCAATTAGTACAGTTAAAGGTGGTTCATGTCATCAAAGTTAGTGTAATTATTGTTGTAAATTTCAATTATTGTTTGTCATCAAGGTTAGTGTAAATTTCAAATATTGTTGTAAATTTCAATTATTATTCATGGTCGTGGGTATTTCATGTATAGTTTAAACTTGTTCAAATCAATGAAATTGGGATTAAAATCGTATTGTTGTTCAAATTCATTCCAGGTGAGTTTCAATTCTTCCATGAAAAAATGATTTCGTTTCATCCACATTTTAGTAATAGATCGATAAGCTTCCTTAGTAAATACTTTGTCCCATTTCTTACCCAATCCAACTTTAGCACCTGTTAGGCTATGGATATCTTGTTTAGTCTTGATGAGGTACAATAGTCGTTTGGAGAACTTCTTGTTATTCTTTGCATATATTGAGATATTATATAAATTCCTAAACATTTCTTTTCTTATATCACTATAGTATTTACATTCAAAAATAATGTGTTGCATTGTCTCTCTACTACAGCAAGGACATAGCAAGTTCGTCTTGGATATCTTGTTTAAATTTTCCAAAGTCTTCATCACGTTCACTCTAATTTTAAATATTAGATTTAAGGTTCTGAAACCGATTCCTATTGAGGGGTAAATGTTGGTGAACTTTCTGTTCTTGGGAGGAAGGTTCTTTGGCGTATATGTTCTTTTGTGGAGGCGTTGAAATAGAAGTTTGTACATTGTTTGTCTAGTGTTTTGAGTGTATAATACATTGTTGATAATAATATACCAATTATTGGATGGAATATTAGTAAGAATATTGTTACAATCAGCACCTTTCTTAGCAGCCCTATCTGCTAATTCATTTATGCGGCTATAGATATCTTGTTTACCTGTATGACTATTAACATGCATAATTTTGATCTGATCCTTCATTTTTAAATAATTACGAATTTCTTCAACATAAGGATCTCTAGATTTTCTGAATTGGAAAAGTTGGTCATAAATACTTTTCGCATCTATGACTATTGTTCTAGGAGTGTTGTTATCTAGCAATCTAACAACTGTGTGGAGCGCTTGAACTTCACTGTTGTAGGAAGTTCCTTGTCCTAAGGTGTGACTTGAGATGGAAACATTCTGATCAGTTACAATACCGTATCCAGCAATATTATTGTTACACGATCCGTCAGTACCAATTAGTGTAGCTTTGTTCAAGAGGTTTGACATGGATGTGTTGTTACCAACATATTTGTAGTATTTGCTTTCGTTTTTGATTTTTCCAAAATCCATGCTATTGAGAATGTTGCGAATTTGGGTGACATGATTGGAATGTTTGATGTCATTATGTAATTTCACTTGTAAATTTTTAGGGTCAGGAACCCACATACTTAATCTGTTCCAATCTTTATAGAGCAGGAATTGTCTTAAACCTTTAGGGAATTTTCCATAAGGGATGAGAGTTTTTTCATGCCATTGGTCACTCGAATGCCACAATCTAATATTGGAAGATTTGTTCATGAAAATTATTCTCTTGAGATATTGAGGAATCCATGGGTCTGGTTTATACCAAGTAGGGATTGGATCATTGAGGATGTCAAAACCATGCTCCTGTTTGATTCGTTCACAAAGGAATCTTGTAGAAGATCCAAGACAAATATCATATTGTTCAAGGAACTTTCTGACTTTACACATTAGGTCCGAGTAACTCATTTCTTGAACAGAAATTAATCCAAGTCCACCTTTGTCTTGATGAGTGTAAAACCACTCGAGAGCTAATTTTCTCTTGGTTCTTAATCTTTCACATATAAAGTTGCGAAAGAATTTATCAATTTGTTTCTCTAGATGGTCATTAGCAAGAGGAATTAGGTGGTACAGTGCATACGGAACAATGTCTGTGTTGATAATTTTGACAATGTTCTGTATTGGAAAATTCCAGCCAATAGAGTTAGTTCTTCTTTTAACTTCTTCAATAATTGAAGTAGTGTATTTCTTTTGTTCCTCAGTATTATTGGTAATATTATTACCAAGTATAATAATAGAATCATTACTTTTGATCGTACTTCCAGATAATGTCTTGATACTACATTCCTTATCAGAGAAGAGGTTAGTTTTGGAATGATCTAATTCCATGTGATAGCCATGAAGATAGGTTTCAATGTCATGCAAAGAATTTTCAATATCAGGTAGTTCGTTGGAAAATGAGTTCAAATCATCAATCCATGCGCCTGTACTAATGTTCCAATAATTTGCAACACTAGCACCATTATATGTTATTTCTAAAAATTGTAAGAGAGGCTCAAGCGCAATTTTGAATGCAAGGGGAGAGAAGGTGTCGCCTTGTTTCAATCCATCTTTCACATTGAAACATTCAGATTTACCATTAGGTATAACAAACTTTGTCGTAGATTCACCTAATATTTCCAGAATTCCATCAGCAGTAATTTCATCAATCCCTAAGAATAGCAGTCCATCACGAAGCATCATCACGAAGCATAATTCTCGGTAATGAGTCATAAGCTTTTTTGATGTCAACAGCCAAACCATAAAAAGGTTTCTTGTCCTTTTTTGCCCAAGCAATCATATTGTAAATTGAAAGGACTCTGTGAATAGTTTCTCTGCCGTCTTCACCACCAAATTGAGCTAATGATAATCTTCCCTTTAACACTTCCTTCAATCTTTTGGTGATTAATTTAGTAGCTATTTTAAGTCCTGAGTCCATAAGGGTAATAGGTCTATAGTTAGCAGGGTTTGAGTGGTCCTTATTCTTTTTGTGAATTGGGAGAATGCTGACACTTTGCATAGATTCAGGAGTAAATCCAGTTGTAATGATATTTTCAATAATTTGAAAAATTTCCTCCTGTAATTCCTTACACATGTATTTGATAGTTTTTTGTCTTAAACCTAGTTCATTGGGTGCTGTGGATTTCAAATTCTGAATTATCCATTCTTTCTCTTCCGTGGTAATTCTACCGAGTATTTTGTCATTGCAATTATCAATTAATGGATGTTTGTACTTGAAAAACTTGGTAATGTCAATTTGATGATTTCTTCCTCTAAAGTTGAGGTTTTGTTGATATTTGTCCTTGATCACATTGGCAACTTCATTGGGGTCACTAATTTCAGTTCCGTCGATAGATAATTTGTATGGTGGTGATGACGTTTTGTAAATTTTCTTTCTCAGATGTTTAGAGTTGGTTGCATAGTTTTGTTCCCACCATTTCATCTTTCTGTTCAAAGCCTTATCATGGCTCCATTTGATATGGTTCTTGATTTTCTCTTTGACACTTGCAAGACATTTTGGAACCTGTTCTAAAGTTTTACCAATAGTGGTCAAAAGTTTGTCACAAGGATATCCGTGCTCATTTCTATCAAGTATTAACATGAGCTTCTTATATTGCTTATTATATTTGTAGATTTTAGGATCAAGTTTAGGTGGATTGACCTCCACAAATTTGTCGCCTAGTTTATCACAAATGAAAAGCCATTTGTCGTTATCAGATTCTAAATTCTTAACTTGAGATACACATTCTTTGCTAATGGCCAGCACTTCTTTCTTATTTTTGGGATCTTGAAAGTTACGCTTCTTCCGAATTAACAAAGGTGTTCGTTGACATGAGAGGTCAAGTAGAATTTTAACCATTTTGTGATCTGATATGAAGTTGGCATTCAGTACTTCTCCAGATGCAATTGGAAAATCTGTGGATATGTAGTCTATTATAGACTTGGATTGTTTGTTAATAGTATAATGAAGGTGCCATGATAAATGAGGGAAAGGATAGTAATTAAGATTTCTCTTGTTAATAAGATCTAGTATGTTTTGATCAGTTCTTCTAGATTCGTTTGAGGAGTGATTCTCGGATAAAATCGCATTGTAATCACCTCTAATAATGATTTTGTAGTTAGGATATTTTTCAATTAGGTTGTCAAGAATATATGTGAATTCACATCTGTCAGCTGGTTGATTTGGAAAGTACAGAAATTACTAGAGTATTAATTGAATTGATTTTACATTTCACGCCAATAATTCGCGCGTTATTCTTAATGATCGGATCTAAGATGATTTCTTCAATATCTTTGAAAGTGCTTTTGTTGAGGCAAATAGATACACCACAGGAATCTCTTGGATTATGATAATATGTAAATGAAGAATAATATATAGAGGGGAAATCTGGACCAATGTAGACGCTTTTAACTTCCTGGAGCATGATTATATCAGGAGTGATTGAGTTGAGGTAGCCTCTTAGGGCTGATAATGGTTCTACTCTGAGACCATTAATGTTGAGGGTTAGAATAGATAATTCTGGAGCTACTGAAGTGAATCAAGTAGTTTTAGCTTTTTGTGACACTCATCAATTTCCTCTTGATATATCTTCCTCTTGATATATCTTCTAGCATTGGATAATTGAGAGCAAAATCCAATGTCCATTCATTCATTCCATATGCAGCATGGTTTACCAATCTGATGGCATTAGATAGATTGTTGAGTCTAATCAAACATATTCTCTTCTCTTGATTGATGATAAGTATGGATACAGGTTGGTCATTATTGTATTTTCTAGCAAGAGAGGATTCCGTTTGTATTCTAGCTCTAATCAAATCTATGTAAGGCAAAAACATATGATTTATTTCTGGCTTTCATACTTTTGACAGTGATCACTGTTGCCATTTCTTTACCAATTCTAGCTGTAGCAATTTCAACAATGGGTTCACCAGTATCGCTTTCAATTGCATTCCTCCAATCTGCCTTGACTATAGTTTTCCATAGTTCTCCTATTGGAATATTATGGACACGTATAATTTTTTTGGTGTCGTTTTCACATGATGAAGTGATATTGACTTCTTTAAATTTTGTACGTAATGTTTCAACTACCTGTTCTACTTGAGCGCAATCTTCAATAGTGACAATTATGGTATTATTGAGCTTAATAATCGGATTGATGGTGACATATTTGCCACTAAGGTTGTCCTTAATTAATTCAATTACCTCATTCTCTTCAAATATTTTGCTATATCTAACAGCAATATATCTGGGAGGAGTGATTTCCTTCACTGCTATGTCATTGATGTTGAATTCTTCATTGTCTTGTTGGACATTACTACTTTTCTTGTTCTCAGATAATAGTTTGTTAATATTCTTCATTCTTTCCTTCCATAACTCCCAAACATGTTTTCTGTCCTTATGGTTTTTAAAAGCCTTTCTTTCTGTGGTGATTTCGTATTTAATGTCATCAGAGAATATTCTGAGAGTGGCTTTTACAACATGTTGGAAATTTAAGGTCATAGGGTTGTGTGGGCTAGCAATAACAGATACAATTTCTAAAATCTGATCAGTGTCAAAAAGAGTTCTGTTTGTATCTAGTTTAGCATTATTGTGTTTGAGAAAAGTTTTACCAACAATTTCATCAACTGACATGTCTTGTATGTTGAGGTTATTGGTCAGCTCATTATCCAACAATTCAATGTTGTCTTGGTTACTCATGCTTACTATTAGTTTTAGCGGCCAATTCTTCATCAGCTATTGGATCAATAGTTGGGTACAATCTAGTGTCAACACTAGTAGAGCAATTGTGAGTAGGGTTGAGATTATTTGTCAAATTGGGCTCATTATCTACAGATGAACTAGCAGAAGCAATGTAGTCGCTTAATGATTGAAGTGAGCTAGAGTGCTTGGGTCCATGGTTGGGTCTTGTTTTACCGATCTTGCTGGGCATCCTAATTGAATTATTCTTCTTTTTTTTTAATTTGTATAACGAATCTGATCTTGTTAGTCTGATTAAATACCATTCAGTCAATAGCGCTTTGATCTTAATAACTGCCATCGTAATAGGGTCTTGATAACAGTTTGATCACAACGGTAACAATCTCAGTATTTATAACCGGTGGTAGTTGTACGGTACCAAATCAGTACAGTACTTCGTAGAGAGGGAGAGATATGTTTTAAATTTAAGTTTAATGATTCGGAGATGGTTCTTTGGGTGGCGATAAAGGGTGCTCAAGGTGAACACCTAGCGGAGGTGTTGTGTTATTTTTTTTTCCTCACTAAAGAGGTTCATAATTTTATAGTTCTTAAAAAACACACGATCGTTCGAGTATAGTTCTTTATAAACACATGATTGTTCGAACAGATCAAAGTGCATCAAAGCTTTCCCATCACATTGAGGAGTATATACTATTCTTCTATTTCTGAATGAATAAATCTTCGGAGAGAGAGTTACAAGATATTTCAAAAAAGAAGAAAAAATGTCTCTCTCTTCCAATCCTGCGGTTGTCGTTTTCGGTTGTGGCAACAACACACATAACATTATTCTACCAACCTCCTCCACTACGGGCACGATCAAACAACCTCGATTAATTTCCTTTTTAAAAGCCTTTGAGGATGCTAATTTAATGGGCTCCTCGAATCATCGATCATTGACCTCCTCATATTCGGAACATCAAGATGATCCTTCTTTTACTGCTGCTGAACAAAATTCTCGAATACCAAAACATTTTTCATTGATTCAAGTCTGCACGGGAGGTGATTTTGCCTTCTTTCTCTTTCGGGATTACAAACAAAATGAAAATCGATTATTTGCTTGTGGCTATACAGGTGCAGGTGAACACGGTGTTGCGCAAGACAATTCGAGTTCGCATTTGAGAGATATTACAGAGATGGCCAAGAAACAAATTCTTCAGAGACAATCAAGTACATCAGTGATTAGAATGGAAATTAAACAAATTGCTTGTGGTCGGAATCATTCCATGTTAATGGTCGAGTTTGAGGAAAGAACCCATGAGTTGGGATTACCCAATCAAAAACGATTGGCCTTTTTTGGAAGTGGATTTAATAATCATGGACAGTTAAGTGTTGGAGATACATCTTCTATATCAAGACTTGGACCAGAGGCAGACGTGACATTGGTGCCACGAGAACACTTGTATAGTATTGAAAAATTCTTTGCACGATATAATACATGTGCATTTATTACAAAAGATAGAACTTTGTATGCTTGTGGTGGCAATTCAAATGGGGAGATGGGAAAATCAGGAACGGTCTATCGATTTGAGAAAATTGCTAGTCATATTTTGGATGCAGATTTTTCGTATTCACATGGAGCCATTATTAATTTGGATGGACAGGTTTTCACCTCGGGGCAAAATGATTATGGAAAATTAGGTCATTCTCAATCCACGTCCTTTCAATTTGTTCAAGCACCATTGCCAAATAATGAAAAAGGTCTCAAAGTTGCTCTCGGAATTCATCATACCGTAGTGTTGACGCAATCTGGTTCGATCGTTGCATGTGGACATAATGATAGTGGAGAGCTCAGCCTTGGAACGAATGTAAACGTATCGACCTTCACAAAAGTGCAAGTAGATGTTCACTTTAAAGACATTTGTTGTGGTTTCTACCATACTTGTGCCTTGTCGACCAACAATGAAGTTTATGTTTGTGGAATGGACGTCGAAACGAAAGGTAACAAGAATATTTTGTTAAAGTTGATATCAAGTGATCCATTATTTCGAAATGTGAATGCCATTGCCAGTGGAGGATATTATGCATTAATGTATCGCCAAGAGCAAGGAGAAGGCAAGACAGCGAAGGAATTTATCGCCAAGTTACTCAAGTTTTCAAAATTGTCTGCGGAAGGAAGCACCACTGAATTGCAGGACATACAAATTAAGTTGATGTGAATTCTATTTATTTATTATTTGGAATTTATTATCAAGTGAGCTTGACTCATTTGTGAGTCACTTGTAATGTCATATTAAAAATAATTTATTTGAATATTTTTTAGAATAATAAGCAAGCCTAAATTGATCTTAGGCCACAACATTCCTTAATAAAGTTTCCAAAAGTTTGTCTTTTTGCAAAATGGTACTCCTCAACGAATTAATTTTCTCCAGTTTGTCTACGATATTTTGTTCCAATTCTTTGAGTTGTGCTTGGACTGAAGACACTTCCTGATCTGTTTTCAACCTCTCTTCGATCAGTCGTTGCCGCTGAAGTTCCACATCCTTTCTCCACATATCATGTTCTCGTTGCATGCTATCTAAATCTTCTTGAATGTAATCCATTGTTTTACCAAGTGGGTTAACTTTTGAAATTAGTGTTTGGATTTGTTCCCTTAACGTCGAAAGTTCAGTGGTGATTACTTCCTTATCCTTTTCTTTCTTTCCTGTTTGAAGAACAATTCCTTTCACTGGCTCGTCATTTGAGGGTTTTGCATTTGGTACCTTGCCAGCATTGCGCTTCTTTTCAATGTCGCTTTCGTTTTCCATTAGCTTGTTGACAAGAGTTCCTTTTTGTTCTGTATTGGTGTTACTTTGAGTTGAGGATTTAACAGCAACGTTCTTTTCAATAATGATTTGGTCATCTTCCTTGTCTTCATTTTCGTCAGTGATTAAGCCTTCAGCAGCTTTTGTTTCTACAAGTGTCTTTTCAGTTGGCATTTCTTGTGTGTCAATAGTTCGAACATTTGTTTTAATTTTTGGAGGTGCCCTTCTCGCGGATTGGCCCCGGGACGAGAATGGCCTTGAATATTGTGCCAAGTTTGGATCCTCTTGGTTTTGAGCAAGTGGTTGCTGTTGTTGTTGATCGTCTTGAGTATTTGTATTTGGAGTGGACGGCTTTGAAACTTCCCTACCAGAGCTTGGTCGACTCACGCTTGCTTTTTGATCAATGGAATTAGGTGTGGTTGATCGCTCATCTTTCGATGGTGTAAGAGGCTTATTACTCGCAGGAGTTTGAGATGAAGTGACACCTCTCGATGATGGGCGACCTTGATCTTGATTTAGAGATGGAGAATTTGTTGTCGTTGGAGATGAGCCTGAAACCTGTTGCTGCTGTTGAGGTTTTGATTCTGCTGCATTTGTTGTTGGGAGTGTTGATGGTGTCGTTGGTTGCTTTGCTTGTTGCGGAGGTTGTTGAGATTGTTTTTGTGCAGAAGCTGATGTAGTTGCTGTTTTTTGTTGTTGCTGCTGTTTACTCGTACTGTTGGAAGCCCCAGAAGAATCCGATGGTGTGTTGGGGGTTGCTGCATTTTGTTGCTGCTGGCCATCCTCCGCTTTTTTCTTTTCCGCCTCTCTTTCTGTATAATCCTTGTATTTTCCTGATTTGATTTTTTCGATCGCTTCTCTGTATTGATACTTGTCCTTATTTCCAGCAGCCTCTGCAAGGGCTTGGAAAAATACAGTAATATTCTTCGGGCTTTCTTTGCCCTTAATGATGAGTTGTATATTTACAGGAATGTTTTTCTTTATCGTATGGATGACCACATTGATCAATTGCTTTAGGAAATTGGTTTTTTCTTCATTCTAATGAGGTTCAATAAACCCATTAATAATCGATTATTGCCATTGAAATGTATTTTGACAGAAGAAGGAACAGGGTGAATCATGCAAAATATATTATACAGAATAAGCACAAACTTACCGTTAAATCTTTCTTGGTTTTCAAAAACTCTTCATCAAACAACCCTTCGGGATAACCTCGTTCTCGGACCAAACACAGAACAAGCGCTTTCAAAAAGGCAACAGGTGGTCTTGCCAAGTGCTTATCCTGCAACGGAATCTTTGAAACCAGAGGTTCTAACCTTTTCCTTGAAAGCTCAATACACTTTCGGGTCTCTTCATCAAACTCTTGTGCTGTTTCGCTCATGATGACAACAACGATGATAACGTTCGTTGGAGGGAATTTTTTTTGCAGTTGTTGTACCGAGTTTTGGCGGGAAGTGTGGATATTATTGAAAAAGGGAAGAATAATTGATTCAAACACGATCAAATGGTGGTAGATATAGTTGTGGCACTCATTCATACATTAACTAGTTGGCCAACTTTCAAAATTATGGACATGGCAATCAATAGAATTGATTTACTCACATTTCATTGATTTTCAGTATTACGAAGAATTTACTTTATTACCAATTTATTATTTAATATTGCTATCAATAACTTTGTCAGAGAGGACAATCCTGGCTATTCGCTGCTGCTGCAGGTTTGATGAGTCCTCATCTATTCAAAGGACCTCTTTTGAAACATAAAAAGTTGACATTCAATTCCCATTACAAAAATGTTGAAATGTGTTCCATTTTTCATCACCATAAAAATAGTTAAAAGAAGGGTTGGTATGACCTAAATGAATAAGGATAGAATGTAATTTTGATCTGTAATGTTTGTGCGTATTCTGTAATCCATTTCTCTTCACTCCTTGGCTGAACTTCAGAAACATTCAATTCTTCCAATGTTTTAATTTGAAATAAAGACTCAACACCGTCTCGAGTAAGCTCACATTTCCGCAGAATAAGCTTGTGGATCCTTAATTTACCTTTCGAATGAATTTTTATACCTTGATCAGTTAAACCAGTCAGCCATAATTCCAAACTATGAGGAATATGAATATTAGAAAACATTTTCATGCTATTGTCATCAATACCAATATTAGAAATTATTTTCAAATCTTTACGTGAAAGATTAAAAGAATCTAAAGTTAATTCTGTTATGGATGATCTCAGAATAGATGAAAGAGTTGTCGAATTGAAATTGGTGTGATGAAATTTCAAAGAAGTTATTTGTGGTGATTCGAATATTGATTTAAATTGAGACTTTTGAATTTTGAGATAACTAAAAGAAGCCTTTGTAAATAATGATAATACATCTCCCATATTGGAGAGCTTTGAGAGAAAAAAAGACCATCCTGCATTGGATATTTTGTTACCTGTTGCAGTGAATTCAAAATCAATTGGTGATGATTTGATGATGTTTCTCCATGCAAAACAAACACCCGCCAATTTAATGATATCATTTCGGTTTAAATGTGGAATGATATGATGAATGATGATATCGGGAGTTAAAATTGAATCCTTGTGATGATGGGAGTTGTGTTGGTCCTCTAAATACTGTGTTGTGGTTAAACAGTTCTCAGAGTTTGGTTTTGAGGGAAAACAGTCACCTGTCAAAAAAGGAAATTGCGGAATTTTTTTGGTGTTTGGTATGGAAAATCCTGATCTCACAGGTAACTTTGGTCGTAATGAACCCAAACGCATTGTGATTGAAAAAACTTGAAATCACTACATAACAAATCCTTTGTTGTCAGAAAATCTTGATAATATACAATATGAGCTTGTCTTACCATCGAGGTATTTAAATATATGTTGAAATGTATTATTGAACACTTGTTGAATAAATGGTCGTCTTAGGTGGTTTAGATTGTTGACATAGCAGGTCGCTAGTGAATGGCAATTACATGATCGAGCACCATTTCGAAAAGAAGGATTCTGGTTCAGGCTTTGTGTCAGCCATCACCCTCGTATTATCAGTTCTGAGGGAAGGTGTGGGACTCGACGATGATGATGGGAGTGACTTTCTTGGAGAGGATTTTCTTGCTTTTCTGACGATTGGAATTCTGGTTGAGTCCACTGTGGAAGGAGGCACCTCAATTACCGCTTGTTCAACTGGTACTGCTTCTCGAGGTGTTTGTATATCCGAAGGCAGAATCTCCTCACTCTTGAGAGTACTCGTACTAACGACGGTGCTGGTGATAATGGTGGAGGAAGTGGCAACAATCGCAGCGGTATCTTCACAGGCAAGGTCTGCGAATGGAAGAGGTTTTTGCTTTTTAGGAGTTAATTCTGCTATTTTGGTTTCTTCTGTTGTAGATACTTGGTCGTGCCCTCTCTTAAGAGCGGGTGGTTTCTCTGGACGCTCCTTCTTTGCTCTACTCTTGAAAGCGTTTTCATCTTCGTCGTCAGAAAATGTGACAATCTCTGTCTTTTCATCTGCATTTAACATTGCATCATATGATTTTAGGTGATTAGAAACGATATTCATGGTGCTGACTTCATCCAACGGTGCACTGATTGCACCGTGACAATACACAACGCTAAAATTATTCTTAATTTGAGAAATTTCATCTGGAGAGAGCTTGTCCAACGAAGCGCTCTGAGGCTTGTCTTGCTTGGGGTGTTCATCCTCCTCTTCGTCACTTTCCATTCCTTCCAAGTCTTTCTTGGATCTTAGAGCAAATTTTTGAGAGCTCGTTGGAGTTGAAAGAATCTCTTCGTCGTCACTACTTGTGCTCATATCGTCGTCATCGTCTGAAGAAGATACATTATTTGCTTCCTCTCGATATTGTTGTTTTTCTCTTTCATATTTACGAAGTTTCGCAATAAGTTCTTTTTTTTTACCGTGCACAGTCATACCTCGTCTCTGTAAATATGGCTTGAGCTGAAGGACTGTCATATCACGAACATTTTCAATGACCAAATCGTCTTCGACAAATTGTTTGGATGGAGTTTTCTTGGGAGTTTGCGTTTTGCGTGGCGTCTTTCGTGACGGTGTTTTCTTTGTGGGTGTAGTGGCTTCAAGGTCTTCGTTTGCAGGTGTTGAAGTTGTGGAGGGTGTGAAAGATTGTGATACTTCTGAAGATGCTTCCTTAACAGCAGGAGGTTGATCCGTGTGATGACTTGTTGTTGTGGGAACTGAAGGAGGATTTGGTAAATTGAACACTTTTCTCATGGTATGCACGTCGGGATAAACCAATACAAAATATGGTGCATACACATTTCCAATGACCTCAGCAATTTTTCCAATTGCTTTTCCATCTTTTGAAAATAATACAGCCCCTATATTGAGCTTTAATTGCGTCCTCAAAAGATCGCTATCAATTATATTTTTCTCCTTAAGATTGGTGTCGTTTTGAGAAACAACGTGTTGATGCATCGTGCTTCCATTCTTCTTATCCACAAATACTTCAATAATTACTTTCTTCTCCACCACATTTGTAATTTTACCAATAGGTTGTAATTCTTGTAAATTGGTTACTTGCAATTCAGACAGTTCCTCGGGATTGCTATGTCCGCTGAATGAATGATCCTTATGATGTTCTTGTTTGTCTTCATGTTGACTGGATGTAGAAGGATGTGGTGGAAAGCCATTGCTATTCTCAGTCATTACTACATCATGATGATGCAAGGGCTCAAAAGGATTTCTGGATGTATTCAACGGATGAAAAAGTTGTCCAGCTGCATTCTCCGATGGTGATTCGGGACGTATGACCTCAAACAAGCCATGGTCTTCCGTATTCATTGTTTCTTCTCCAAATTCCATAATGAATAGAGCAATTTCGTACGTATGAGAATTTTTATCAAATGTAGTCGTTGTGGTCGCTTTCTTGAGGGTGGAGTGGATTATTGTGTTGTTGTTGTGTATTCTCGGAGAATGGTGAAGATGCAATTCAAGGTTTTGGTGTTCGTATATTTTTTAACGGTTTTTTTTTTCTTTTTGGCGTTTTTGTTGGGAACCTCTGTTCAGCTTTCTTTTTCAAAGATTAGTGGTCGCCATGACATGGTTCAATAAACCATGATCATGCTTTCATCGTGAAATTTCGAATAAGGCTCTTCAAGTGTTTGTACTCTTTCACACATTCATTTGATAAATTGAAATTATTATTTTAAAATTGAATCTTTAAAAACATTTTAAAAAAAATGTTTCACGATCATGAAGATGTTCTTTCCGATGACTCGACCATTCTTCATATTATTGATTTTCCTATCAACACCGATCACGATCTCATTTATGAAAAATTGAGAGGAAAGATGAATGAAAAACGAAGGAAAGTAAAGCCTTTCTCTATGAAATTTGAGGTGGCTCATACATTCGGGCATTGGAATAAAGAACCAGGTAAATCAAATCAGCACTTTAACTGGACTTGGGACGTTAAGATCAGTTATAATCATGAATGTATATTAATCGCGGATAACACCAACAATAGAATTCAAGTATTCGACTTGTATAGCAAAGCCTACAAAAAAACACTCCCTGTGATAAGTCCTTTTTATTTATGTATTGAGGAAAATTACGACAGTAGAGGAAATGATGCGTTAATTTATGTTTGTGGCAGTTGTATCATTTACAAACATGATTTAAGACAATTATTGGAGACTGGAAACACAAATCAAAGCATTTGGTGTTCCAAAAAGCTTCATGTTCCTAGAGGAATCGCCATTCATCCTGTTTTGAAGCAACTTTTTGTCAGTGAAGTGATAGCACGATCAATACTAATATTGAGCTTAGATTATGGTCAGATTATTTCACAATTTTCACTTGACAACCAACCTTGGGGTTTGGCCTTTACTGACGAAAATGATTTAATTGTTAGCGAAACATCTCCCCATCAAAGAATTGAAATATTTAGAAAGATTGAAAATGCTTGGACAAGTATACGAACTTTCGGAAAGGAGGGAACAGCACCTGGAGAGCTATCACATTGTTATTCGGTGACCTACGACAAAGGCTCCCAGCACATTATTTTGAGCGAATACAACAATGATCGTATTCAAATTTTCAACAAGGATGGCAAACCTCTTCACGTTTTTTCAGGTCACTCAATACAATTGCTTCGTTGGCCAAACGGAATTTGTTTGAACGAGTGTACAGGAGAATTATTCTGTTGTGACTCTCAAAACAATCGAGTGATTGTTTTTAAGTAAACTCATTGGAAGATTCCCTGTCAAATGCCAGCTCATCTTACGATCCATCGAGCTCGTACTGATTTTTTTGGGATTCGCTCAAATTCAAACAAGGACGAATGATGTCACATGTCTTGAAAGGAAACGGCAGGTTGAAAAATAAGGAAAGCAGAAAATGCATTGCTGATTTGCCATTCTTATGTAAATTCTCTCACAGACAAGAGACATGTCCGATAATGGAACGAAGATTCGTGTGAGAAAATTCGATCACGATAAGTGTAATTCCAAGAGGATATTAAATCCAACAAAAAATCCACTCAAAAAGAATCTAACAGTGGGTAACATTGCTTAAAAACATCACATGTATTCACGTTCGTTATTGCCTTCACTCTTGAATTGCATTTAAATTATGAACATGTCCTCTCAAGTCAAAATTTCTGATTCCAATCATCAAAATGATGACACCATTTCCATTCTAACCACACATGATGTTTCAAAACGAACCATTGAGCATGCTACTACCAATGACTCTCCCCAATTACTACCTTTAGAATCTCCACATTCTTCTTCTTCTTCAATACTTCATCCGCTAAAAGATACCACTTCTCCTTCAATTTCATCATCAAAACTTCAAAACACTCTTCTTTCCTTTTTCAGGAAATCCTCTTTCAAAAGTCTCTTTCTTTATCCTTTCCTTCGTTTGGTTTTTGTTTTTACCTTCTTTTTCTCTGCTTCATTTCTAACTCGTTTCATCACCATGCATATATTGGTTCCTTCTGTGGATTTAACACAACCTCCTCTTCGTGATCTTGTTTTGGATCAAATTGAAACTCCATTCCCAGAGGCGTTCAAAATGACAGAGACCATAACTGTTGTAATGTGTATTCTCATGTTCGTGTTGGCCTTTTTCAATCGAACACATCGATTCAATATTGTGGCGAGATACTTTTTGTTGAATGGTTATTTACTCATGTTGAGATTAATGAGCATTTCAAGTACCTTATTAAGTATTCCAAATCCTCAGGATGTGAAAAAGTGTCAACTCTTGCAAGAAATGAGCACTTTTGAAAGATTGATGGGCCCTTCCTCCTCTCGAGAACATACTGTATTGGGATATACCTGTGGCGATTACATGTTTTCTGGTCACTCTTGTGGATTGATTCTTTCGACCTTTTTTGTCATTTATTATTCTTCGATTCGATCCTTTCATGGAATGACTTCATCTCATGTTCATTCTTCAACCGATACAACGATCACCAGTGCCACCAACTCTCTAACATTCACGTTTTCATCAAAAACTGCTCGATATCTATGGATAGGAATGAGAGCTCTGTTAGTTGTGGTTTTACTTTCAAGTTGTGTCTTGGGGTTGTTTGGAATTGTGTGGTCAAAGGAACATTATACGGCCGATGTGGTGGTGGCATGCATCATTACCTTCTTGTTGTGTTTGGTATATCATTATCAATTGCATTTGTATTGTGAAGAAAAGGAAAGAAGAAAAGGGAAGGACCATCATTGTCATGAATTCACAAAAGATGTGAATGGTCCTGTGGATACTCATGTTTCTCTTCATGATGAGGATCATGCCAATTTAATTGATTTAGAACAGGCAAATGGTATGAATGAGGAGTTGTCAGGGACATTGACAAACTCACCAGCATCAAGTGGTCATTCGAAGAGTGCAGCCATGAATGGATTTTCATTCACTTTCTTTTCATTATTTGAATTTGACATGGATCGAGAAGATTTGTTGATGAGTCAAGAATTTGATTTGAAACCTTTGGAGTGTTTGGTAATGGTGTGGACTCGTGTGTGGCATTTCGTTAGAGGAACTCGAACCTGTTCTGACAATGCAGAACAAGAACCAACAAGGTTGATTTTTCAATAAGAGAGATCTCAGTCACTGGATCCAAGAACTCTCCCACTCAGAAATTTGACATCACGAGTAAACTGAGTGTTGTTTCAAACGAGTCTTTACTTTTTAAAACTCTGTTTCTTGTTTTTTTTCGTTCTAATTCTCTCTCTGGCTCTCCTTCAAATTTTGCGATATTCATCTTGGTGAGCTCCAAATTTGATTGAATCGACAGCAATAATTATAATTCAGCAAAATGTTTTTGATGGAATCATTTTCAGAATCACTTTTATTCAACATGAAATTGACCAATATTTAAAATGGGCGATCAATTGAATGAAAGTGTTGAAAAAGGGCTACCACGAGAAATTTGGTGTTGTTCTTGATTTGAAAAACCAAGCAACCTAATAACCCATTGTAAACAACAAACGCCAAAGAAATCCTCCAATTTCTGGAATCGCTACAAGTACTGAAAAAAACATAAAAAAAAATATCTCAAGATGCCAGCAAGCAAGTTCCAGCATTGGTCTCAAAGGAAAAACCAAACACAAGATCATCATCATGGTTTCCGCTTGTGTTATGCCTCTCAACCACAGATTCAACCTTTTCATCAGACGTTTGTGTTTGTGGAAGGATCCTTTGAATCACAAGATGATACTGCAACAACCACTGGCAAGACCTTCTCCATTTATGAAATCTCAGATTTGAAGAATATTCAATGTAGAGAAATCTTTAGGGTGGATGATCTTTCTGCCTTGTCCGATAAAAACAAAAAGCCAGCTTCGTTGAGTGAAGTGAAATTGGATTGGGAATCGGAGATGTGGTCGAGAAATTCCAACGAGTCGACTACGAAGAATGATGAAAATTCTCCTGCAGAACCAGGAAGAAGAATGAGAGCCTTGTGTCATGTTGGATACTTGACCGCTGCACACTGTACCTGCAATGAGGAAGCCATCATCACTAATTGGAATTTGAAGGAAGACATGTTCATTCAACACTATACACGCACCTCGAATAATGTTGCTATGGGATTTGTGAATGGAAGAGCTCTCTTCATGCAGTCTTCTGGTACCTATACTCTTCCACAGATCGAAAAAAGACAAAATGATTGTATGCCACCATTGTTGACTCTTGAAACAGTGGGAATATCAGTGTCTTCTTCCTCCTCAGGAAAGGATCGCTGTAAGAACGCCTTCCTAGTGTTGCCCTGTTCAAACATTGCAACGAACAATACTGAAAATTATTCCTTTAGTGGAATTTATTTTGGCGATTCAATTTACAGATATTCATTGAAGCAGAATGAATTTGTGACAAGTCATCCAATCCCTCTCCTCGATGAGACACTTTCAAAGAATTTCAGCTTCTCTGAAGGTCATTTTGGAAGATATCCCAAATTTGTACCGTTCATGGAGAATGATCAAAGATTGAGAAGCTTTATGTTGCAAGAAGGAAAACTTTACGAGTTCCTTTGGAGCGATTCTGAATGTACCAGCTTGAAAGTCGTTCAACATTTGGAATGGTGGAATGATGATTTTGAGAGTGTGACAAGAATTGGCAATGTTGGACTTTTGCTTCGTACCCATGAAGGTGCCGTGTTTTATATTCCTCAAGCACTCGGAAATAATGAACCCTTCTCTAAGGCAAAAGGAAAGATTGGTATCATCAACAACCAGTTTAGCGAACTTTTCTGGTGTGAGCAATCACAATGCGTGGCCCAATTTAACAATGAAACAAAGCGCTTGTTTGAAAAGGTACTCTCTTTGCAAGATTTAATGGGATTGGAATTCAAGCTTGTCAGTGATTTATTCAATGAGGAGACCTATTTGAAAGACTTGGAGTTCTCTTGTTATGACCCTCGATTACAGGACTCCAAGAGTTTGGAAATAGTTGATCCTTCAACACTCTCGCGAGAGAAACAAAGAGTATCTATTGCTTATCAATGTGTCGAGAATGGATATAATGACATGGAAATTATTGCAGGAATAGGGTAAGTTTTGTGAAAAAAGATTATCAAGCTACAAAATGGAACTATCCTTACTGTTATTGAGTGTAGGTGTAAAGAATTTAAAGACAAATTAGGAGATGCCATTAGTGACTCTTATGTAGAACTTGAACCTGAAGATTTTGCCTCTTATCTGGGTGCTCCAATTATGCATACTACATCTTGGTTTCCTGATCGCCTAGAGTATCGTTACTTTATTTTGGACATGAAGGATGGAAGAAAATCGAGTGGTATCATTAACATTGCAAGTATAACTCGTGGATGTTCCTCATCGACAAGTATCAATTTGAAAGATTTGGTTGAGGAGCGTAACAAAATGAGAGACGAAGTGGACGGTGCCGAGACCTCAAAAACACATTCAAGGAAAAGCAGCTTTATTGGAATTCTCTCACCCAAATCTTCAAATCAATCAAGATCAAAAGAAGAAACTGCTTCATCATTGGTGTCACAATCACTCTCACAAAAAAAACCTAAGATCTTTGAAAAACTTGCTCTTGAACAATTATTCCAGGTAGAGAGCACCCAAATTCGTGTTTGTGATCCCTTCTCCGAAAGAGGTGGCGTGATTATTGAAAATGTAAAACCTGGTTTATGGAAATGGGTTCAATACGGTTGTGACTCGAAAATTTTTGACGGTAGAGGTAATGTGGCTCAATTACTTGCCTTTCACGGTGATTACAAATACCTGTTGCAAGATCCTAAAATTTGGATCGTTCCTGAGGGCACTTATCAACCAAATGATCGCTCTCGAAAAATTGAAAAGAATGAGTTCCACGAAAAGGAATTGGAAGGTGGATGGTATGTCATGAAGCTTGGAGTTGGAGTTGATGTGGCTATGGCAGGAATTTATGATCAAAAGTATTTCAATGATGCATCCGTTCTAGAGCTCGAGAAGAAGCAAAATCGATCTGCTATTGACCTTAATTTCAAATTCAGTTTTTTCTCGGAATGGCAAGAATATGTGAATAAGGTTATGGAGCAACGAAACTACCCAAACAGCATTCCAGTGCCATACGGAATCATTTCATCTAGTGGTTACGGTGACGGATGTTATGCATGTTTGTTTAAAAAGAGTGAAGATCAAGTGGTTGCTGTGAAATTGGTATTCGTGAACGAAACTAATTAACGGACAGGCAATCTGTTGTTTCATTCGAACGAACTTTCGATATAAATTTTTTGCCTTGTGATAAAACAAATTTTATTGATTTTAATTGAAATTTGGTTTTGCTCTTTCTCTGGCGAGAACATAAATCGTCACACTTACAAATAACACAATGAACATGACAATATCGAACAGAATGAGGAAATAAATTGCTTTTTTTGAGGAGCGTGCATATTTTCGTTCTCTCGGGTTGTGTGAATTTTTAAAGTATCCGTAAAAGGCGATTAAGGGAAGTAGTGACAAGCAAGGAACCATCCATCCCAACACTGCCACAACAATAGCAAGTCCAAAATAGAATTTCAAATGTTTGGAAGGCCTGGCAAGTAGAAAGGATCGTCTTCGTAGCGATTGAAGAGTGGATGTATCTTCTTCTGTGGTGTGAATATCAACATCTTCCAAATCTTCATGTAATGTGGCTTCAAATGGAACTAATTGGAGTGAGTCAATTCTCTGATCTGATCGGTCTCCATAAAATTGTGGATATTTTCCACCAACCAGCGGCATAGTTGATGGTGACATTTGTTGCGAAATGTGTTCACTCTTATAATTTTCATTAGAAGCAAAGGGGCTTGAATACTGAATGTGTGAAGGACTCGCCTCCATGAAATTTACTGAGGCTGCTCCTTCTTGCTGTTGTTGATGATGTGTTAGAGATGTTAGGACATTTCCTTTATCATCTCTTTGAGGTTGTACCTGTTGTGGAATGGTTTCAATATGCACCAGTGACGCTGGCGACGATGCAGATGCTTCGCCTGGCGCCAAGGCATTCAACTCTGTCATGATTTGTTCATGTCGAGAAGGCGGAGGTTGTTGTTTGAAGACTGTTGCACTTTCTGTGAATAAATACAACTGTTGAGATGGTACTGATGGTGGCGGTGTTGTTGTGGTTGAATGAGACGTTGCTGTGTGGTTGTGGTTGGAGGGGTTTCTTTGCATTTGTTTTTGGAGGATGGTTGTGATGGGTGTTTTTGGAAATGTCTATTAAAATGTATATTCGACATTTTAAGAAGTGAACGTTTCCACATGACCTAATGTTAGCGTTGATAGTTAGCAACGAAACGAGTCATCGGGTGGTCGTTGTTGTTATTGTTTTCTGTGTGTGTGTGTTGGTGTGAAGAGACAAGAGCTCTCATTCTTCCATAAAAAAAGCATGTCACTCGATGGAGAAGATTGCCACTAGCGATCTTGATTTCATGGTTTTTTCTTGTTTTCCTCGAATTTTCACTTTTTAATGCACAGAGTCAACTAGGAAATAAAATTCACCGAACGAGAAAGACGTTGGATTTTGAATAGTTCTTCCGGCCTTGAGTATTCTTGTAAAAGGATTTCATGTTCATAAATGTGTGGTAAGCTTGACGGCTTTCTCGTGGATCATCGAAACATGTGACAGAATTTGCTCAATCTTGCCTTTTTTGAGAATATTGAGGGGATTGAGTAGTAGAATTAAGATGAGTGCTTCTGTTGTACTATTCCTAAATGTGTTTTCACAATTTCAATATTCTGTTCCAGTAGAGTGTCCATGCGTTCGAGTTCACTAATATTTTCATTGTGTTTCTGTGAATCTCCAATTAAATCCTTCATTAACATGTGAGCTTTTTCCAAGCTTTCCAATGCAAATTGAATTCTCTTCTTCTTTTCCCGTTGACGTTCATCTTCACTGTAATTGTTCATCTTTTCATAGTCATTATTACAATACCAAAGTAATGCGCTCTTCGCCAAAGAGAGGCTATCCCACCACTTGTATTCATGGCCAAACGTTACAACACTTCTCCTTCTTGTGTGGAAGGTCGAAGAAAATGATTCGTAACGAGTACAGTATTTTTGAAAATTGTCATAAACCTCAACATCTCCGAGCAGGGTGTTAATAGAATTCAATTCCTCCTGTGTGAAAATGTCCATACCATTCGTGATGGCTAATTTCAAATACATGTAATTTTCTCTCTCTTTCCATTCTTTGGAAGAGGTTTTCCAATGATCTACCACTCGTTCACAAAACCACTGAGGCAGTCCAGAAATTTCCGAATACAACTGTTCCATCAATTTCAGATAATTAATGACATGTTCTCCAAAGGTCATGTTTGGCGTGTTCATATTGTTGTCGCTATTAAGATTGTCATCTTTTGAGAATTTTCCATTGTTTGAGGAGACCACCAAATAATTGGTCAATGCATTCATGGGATAACTCAACGCATGCAACGGAGTCAAACACACTACAAAAGGAAAAGCCAATGTTCCCATCACAAGCGTCCAACTCCGAGGAATGACCATCCCGAATATATTTCCATGACCCTCTTCTTGAAATCGTTGCTTGATGCTCGCAGAAACCTGTTCCACTATATCCCGATCAATCCGCCGGGTATCAAAGGCTTGAAAATTCATCTTGTTCAACAGTTCTTGTTCCTCTCTATTAAATCCGAGATAGGAGTGGATGAATTGTGTTCTCCTCTGTTCTCTATAAAATTCGGCAAGAAAATAGGAGAGTCCGAGAGGAAAACAAAACCATCGTAAAGACTTGCGCATTTTTTTTCGAAATTTAAAAAATAATAATTTTAGGTATTTTTAGCCTTTTTATTATAACAACAATAAGAACGTTCTGCCTTAAGAATATTCAGAGAATATTCGACCTTAATCACAAATTTAATCATGATTATTTTGTGTCAAATGTCATCAAGTTCCTTCCTTGAACACTCGCACTTTCTAACTCATCTCCATTTCCAACTCCTAATTTTCAAAATTCACCTTGAAATATCTCTCCAATCACACTCATTCTTCCAATTCTTATTCGTGAATCCAATACTCTCAATAATAAGCGACGACACGTCCAACCTCCATTTAAGGTGCATTCTCAACAAGACATTTCACGCGTTGTTGATCTTGCATCCATCCATCGTCCGCGATTTCAACGATGATGGTGATGATGATGATAATTGAAACGTTGCATTTATTGGTTGCCTTTTAAAAAATTAGGTCCTCACCTTTCCCAACATCAACATCAACAACAACAACAACAATTGTGATCCCTCTCATGGCCAGCAGGACGACGACGGGTCTGTGTTCTCAGAAGCAACGACAAATCTCATCGTCCAATTTCTCACGTGAGGATGAAATGACCTCTCATCATCACCAAGGTCATGATCAACAACAACAACAACAACAACAACAAATACCACCACTTCAACCACCACTTCAACCACTACCACCACGGAAGGACGAAAGAACGAAGAAGACTCTTCACCCTCTTCACGTTGTTGATCAGGCGAACAACCACAACAACAAGGCTTCATCAGTATTCAGTACGCAAACCACAACAACAACAACAACTTTGAACAGGAATATCTCATCATCATCACCATCCAGAAATAGAGTATCGTCATCATCGTTATTATCTCTTTCCACTATGAGCGAAAATATACCGAGTGATAGTACAAACAACAACAATAATTACACCACGCAGATCCTCAATAGTAGTACTACTATTACTACAACACTACAAGGCAATACTAGTAATAGTAATTTTGAAAAGGATGATCAACAGAAGGAAATGGACCATTCTCGAAGGCAATATCACGACACTCTGAATGATGCTATTCCCGAGAAAGATTCACTCCAAGGTTCGTATGATCATGGAGAATCTTGTTGTGAAATGTTGAATGACGATGATAGTGAGGATGAAAACAAACCATTGAGTTCATCTGCTTATTCTATTAGTGTTACTTCGTTTCAAGCACCACCATCCCTCTCAACCTTTGTATCGTCCAGTAGGGAAGTTTATAAAAGGTTTTTGGGAATCGACATGAATGGAGCGTTTGTCATTTTTGTGATACTTCTCATTGTGGTGGTGACTTCAGTCCTAACATTGACGAATATCAACAAAGCGGCAAGTGTAAAGCCCATCTCCAACAGTGACCAAAGGTCAACAAATATTTTGGCACCTTCCATGGATAATCTTCAAAATTCTGTAAATACCCTTTCCCAATTTAAAGAATTATTTAATAGGGCAGACATGGTGAATCCAACAAATTCATCCTTTGCATTTTCGACCTTCTTGTCAGTTGCCAGCAATGAAAAACTGGCGTTTGACTATACAGTAGGAGTTGTCACATTATTTCAGAGTGTGATCTCGAACACAAATACAAATTATCCCTTCGTTGTGGTGGTCGTACCTCCAAGAATTAATCAAGCTAAGGGATTGACCGAGAGCGTCATTGTGAAACGGACACTCTTGACAATTAGCGACATTCAGAACTCATTAAGGCCAGAAGAACTTCCTCGTATGCGTTTTGTGATTGCTTCCTATATTTCAAATCCAACAGAAGGAAAGCATGCAGTTGCCAACAATGTTGAAAATCGTTACATTGACACCTTCAACAAGCTTCACATGTGGACATTAGATGAATTTAATTTCAAAAGGGTCATTTACTTTGATGCGGACGTTGTGGTATTGAATCCACAAATTGACACTCTTTTTCAGTGTGGACACTTTTGTGCAGTGAGTGATTTGTGCATACCAGAATTTTTCAATGGTGGTTTAATGGTTTTGGAACCAAATGCTGAAACGTATCGAGATATGATTGAAAAAACAAGACAACCCGAGTATAAGAGCTATGACGGTGGAGAACAAGGATTTATTAATCGATATTTTGACTTTAACACCAATAGCACAGCATGGCCATTGGGATCTCTGGCGACGAGAGCCAAACAACAGCAAGGTAGCGATGCCAACCTACCTTATGAGAATTTTGAAGAAATTGCACGTTCAAGAAATGTTCAATCCTCTGTATATCGACTTCCTTTCAATTTTAACGTTCAATCTCAGTTGGCCTTACTATCGAGCATTGGGTGGTACAAGTTTGCATCGGAAGCTTTCGATGATGGCCCCATTGCACTCCATCTTGTTTTTCCAGCCAAGCCTTGGACCTTTATTGGATACCCCATGCTATCTCCCAGTTACTTGTGGCAAACCTATTTCAGAAAAACTGCACTGTACAGAATTGTTCCTTGGGAATTGTTGTTATTGAATCTTTTATTGTGTTGTTTTGCAGCATTGATCATTATTAAGCAAGTTGGAAAAATTGAATTACCGTCTCTTCTACTTTCGAATTTATTTGGAAACATGATTGAGGATCATGTGAAACATTTTAAGGATGGAAAAGAGAGCTGGAAAAGTTACTTGTTTTTCAATTTCATGCCCGTCTGTGTGGTGATTTTTTCATGCCTATTTTGCGCCTATATTTATTTGGCACTACTAATGATTCAACAATATGACCCTCATGTGATTTGGGCCATGATGATTCTCACAAGTGGATCCATTAGTACCGTTATTTTGGGACTATACACAAATGTGTTGTCACATGCCACTTTCTTGCACTTTTCAAAACGAACTTTTTCTCTGAAAGTTGGCCAAAATTACAATGGGAAAAAGTATTTTGTTTGGCTTGCTGGAATATTATTGTTTGGGATGATTGGTTGTGGATCAGTTTTTTTATTTTGCATGCTTACGATTGGATTATTCGTTTTGCAGATTGTTTATGCCTCTCTTATAACCTTTCCATTTGTGATCTTGCTCTATTTGAAAGTATTGAAACCCATCTCTCATTTAACAATTATCAGAACGTTACAATGCTTGACAAAAGAAGGAGAGAAAAATACCCTCTTCATGAACAAGCTTGCTGTGTGAGTAGTTGCCTCGTGTGATCACACGAGTGGTATGCCAGCAACTGCGTCAAATCACCATGGTCAATGTCCTAAAAGATCCTTTATGTGTTCGAATTCAGCTGCGAATTTATTAAAAACCTCAATATTTCGAAAAGGGAATTCGATCAACGCTCCGAGATTCTCCGCAAAAAATATTCAATACAGCTCGTTCGTTGGTGTTACAGTTTGCTGCTCTGCTGTTCACGGTCCTCCTTTCCGATCGATACCAACAAATTGAATCATTGTATCATCAAGAAGCAAGAAAAACTTTGATTTTTCTGCTGAAAATTGAGTTTCGGTTGGGAAGAGACTTTTCTTGTTCCGATCATCGCGTTCTTACTGGTTTTCAAAAATAATAGCACTCTCTGGCAGTTAGGGAAGGACAAGCATCTATTATTGTCTTTTCATATAGTGTGTGTTGTGTTGATCTTTATATATAGAAACACTGCTGTATTATCCATCATCAGCACAAATCACCAACAAAACAAATCATTGCACTGGTGTGGTAATGAGGATTTTCTCAACAACAACAACAACATCGGACAACATTCAAGAAGAACAAGATCAAACCAACCACTTATTTGAAACTAACTTTCAATTTATTGACCGATCACTCGATTGGATTGAATTAATTCATAAACCCTTGGCAACAGAAGAGATCCCAACAACAGATCAACAACAAGTCGAAAAATCCGAATTCACCCGAAGCGAAGAACAACCTATCATGAATGAAACATTGAGTCATCATTTCAACAACAACAGCAGCACCAATAATAACAATACTCAAGGACATAGAAATCATCACTCTCACATTGTACATTTTCAAACAAAATCAGCAACAACAACAACAACTTCTAACGATCATCACCATGCACCAGAAACAGCAACAACTACTCCATTCATCAGGAAACCACCGTTACGACCACCCTCTCATCCAAATCAACAACAACACCAACACCATGATGTGATAAAAGAACTTCAAAAACGAACGAATGGACTTTTTGACGACTCACCCGTTAATGTTGGAAACGATAATGGAAACGAAAGCGGAAGCTCTTCCAATGGAGACGAATCAGCCACTACAACTGCACCACAACCATCCAATAATGGAGACAATCATTCAACAGCTCCATCTGTGCCTTCAGCAAGTGAAGGCATTTCGGAATTTTGTGATAAGCTTTTAGAGAACAAGATTAATGAAGAAGAGAACAGTGTGAGGTAAGTATTGGTCCCAACCACTATTTCTCACAACATGTTCATGGTCCATGAATTATCTCAACATAAATTAACTACCCACCTATGATGATGAATACCACCAAACATTTGTACAGAAATCGGCCCACACGGGTTCCCTCTATGCCTGTACAACACACTCCACAGAAATCGACGGTACAATCATCACGAACTGCTTCTCTCATACAACACATTCAGAGTCAACCTAATTTAACAGTTCCGCCCCAGTCACAACCTATTTCACTTCTTTCTCAATCACTCCTGAAGAAAAATACGGATGATGATTACATTGTCGTGGAGGAGAGTGAAATTATTGATTCTGCATACATGTTGAACAAGAAGTATCATAGTGAAGCCGCTCTTACAAAGCTAGAGACAAAACAAAGCACACAACCCAAACCTACCATCAAACATAACATTGGGAAAAATTTTCCGGAAGGTGCCGAAGCTTGGCTCTTACCTGGGGAATGCATAATCAATCATGTCAAATCAATTGGTGTTCTCAAGAATTTGCCAGTCACCTATTTTCCTCAAGTACAGTCTAATCCTCAAGCAATCTCGTCAACGAATCATGTCAACAACAACAATTCAAATAAGCATGGTGTGGAAGAGTTTTTAACAACCACAGAGGAATTTTTCAACGAATTATTATCTGGAACTACTGCTACAAATAATAACTATGCAAGCAGTACGGGAAGCACAACAAGTAATTCCGGAAGTGGCAGCAACACCAACAACCCTACTATGGATCAATCAGATACAGAACTCACGCTGGTTTTTGGGGAATTGTACATTACGAATTTTCAAGTTCGATTTCAGGTATGTATTTCTGAGTCAACATGCCTGCCATTCACTTTCTGCACTTCATATCATATTTTGGAAATCATTTCATGCGAATTTTCATTGATGCATGTTTCATTATGTTTGCACCCAATATTTTTCAAAAAACACTTTGTCGTTTATGCTATGGAACCTATCAGAGCACTTCTAAACCATTCCTTGTTTTAAGCACTCCGCTTGCATGCATTCTGAAAATGAGCGTTAAATATCCACAAACAGAAACAAGTACTTACAGCAACTATTACAGCCAATATTTAATTTCTGCTCCTACAGTTACGACAGCCACTGACAAATTCAACAGTCTAGGGTATATTAGTATCAAGAGCAAGGATTTTCAGGTATTGAAGTTTTTGTTTTTCAAGAACTCATCTCAAACAATGGAAAAGGTCATGGAAACACTCAAAAGTGCCTGCGGATCAGCATCGAGACGACCATTCGCGTATCCTTTCAGGAAATTTATGACTCCTGAATTCGGACTCTATAGCCAAGAAGACATTGAAAATGGATGGAGGGTTTACAAGATGAAGCGAGAATTCAAGAGACAAGGGCTAAAACTAAAAAGTAGCACTTCTTTGTGGCGCGATACAAGTGTCAATGCCAAATACAAAATATGTGACACTTATCCCGAACATTTAATCGTTCCAAAAGATGTGAACGATGAAATGCTAGTTGCTGCTTCATTATTTCGTAGCAAGGGAAGAATTCCAATCCTCTCATGGATACATCCTATTAAGAAACTCTGTATTGTTAGATCGAGTCAACCCATGGTTGGTATTACCCGGGCCCGATGCAAAGAAGATGAGGAATTAGTGGAGGCCATTCGAAGAGCTTCTGGATCGGAACGACTACTCATTATTGACTGCAGACCAAAAGCCAATGCTTGGGCCAACACTGTGATGGGAAAAGGTTATGAAAATATTTCCTATTACACAAATTGTTCACTGGAATTTATGAACATTGAGAATATTCATGCTATGAGCAGTAGTTTGAACATGCTCAAAAAATTAATCCAAAAACAAAACAATGATTTGTATTGGTTATCCTCTTTTGAGGCTACGGGTTGGTTAAAACACTCCAAGCTCATCATGCAAGCTGCTGCAAAAGTTGTTGCCTCCATTGAGCGATTTGATACATCAGTATTGGTTCACTGTAGTGATGGATGGGATCGAACTGCTCAAATTTGCGCGCTCTCAGAACTGTTGTTAGACCCATACTATCGAACGATTGAAGGTTTCCAAGTCCTAATTGAAAAAGAGTGGGTTTCATTTGGTCACAAATTTTTGGATCGAGTTGGTCATTATGCTCCCAAGTATGGAAATAACTCGATATCTGACGAAGTTTCTCCTGTATTTTTACAATTCATTGATTGTGTTTTTCAGGTTTGGCAACAGTATCCTTCACATTTTGAATTTAATGAGAATTTACTGTTCTTAATTTTGGATAGTCTCTACTCGTGTAAATTTGGAAACTTTTTACATAATTCTCCAAAACAACAGGCAGAAGACAATGTTACAAAAGAAACAATATCCATTTGGACCGAGGTTATTGCAAATCGTTCAGCCTATGTGAATGACGTTTATAATCCCAAAAATAGCGACTTTTCAACTTTGATTGTAAATACTGATATGGATACTCTGTCTACTCACTTTTGGGTGAGTTACTTTTACAGATATAAGAAAGGACCTAAAAACAGATATCACCGCATGTTAAAGAAAGCTCTCACCAAACTGAAAAAGGATAACACTTATTTAATGAACTCGCTCAATGAAGAGGTTCAAAACAGAAAACGAATCGAACGCGAACTTTGTGAAACGAAAGAAAAGATTCGATACTTGGAGGGTCATCACTCTTTGGACAGTCAAGGCATTACGAATTCGTACGATAGCAATCATGATCGACTCGATAGTGCCAGCGTGTCTGATTATGCTGAGGATGGCTCAAAAGTGTTGCGATTTGGCACAAGTGTTAATGACAATTTGGTTGAAAATTATTTCCAATAGTAATCGTCATCATTTGACTCGAAATCACTCGAATAAAACAACTTGCTGTGTAGTTGTAGTTGAACATGTCATGATGGTTTCCAAAATTGACAGCATGCCCACGATGTAATGCAATCCTTGCTAATTTCTAATATATTAAAAAAGGTTTTATTTCTCCATCTTAGGCCAACTAATTACTCATAACATGTCGAATAATAATCCTCAATAGATGAATGAGCGAGAGAGGCCACAAATTTGTTTTTCGTGCTTTCATAAAAGTTTCTCATCTGATCTCTGGTGATCTCTGGCCATTTACAATGAATGGTTGCATGAACAATCAATTGATGGAGAAGAGGACATTTCTCTTTTGTCAATGCTTGAATGAACTTGGGCATTCCATTTTCATTCCAGTGCTGTTTTCGTTCGTATCCATTTGCATCATATGGGTAGGGTACTATATCGAGATACAACAATTGATCGAGAATTCCACTCAAGCATAGATGTTCAATATCAAAAATTCCCGTTACTGACAAGTGGCACAGCTTGGAAAATGCCTTCTTATTAAGCGAAGAAAATAATTGCTTCTCATCTTGAATCGATTCTTCAGATCTGTAATATTGATCATTCCCAATGACAATTCGTAAATATTTTACATTAGGAAAGAATATCTTTTCAAAACATGTTCCAAAATATTCATCAAATCCAATACTTAAAAATTGAATAGCACTCGAATAAATTTCACTGTTTGGCCAAAACTCTTTCACACATGCCACCAAACACTGTCCTTCATGTCCCACCAAATCATGTTCACAAATATTCGCAACGTGTGGAAACTTGAATGAATCATGAAATTCTTCATTCACCAACGCTGTTTCGAAGCGACCTCTATTTTGTGATTCCACATCAAAATGTTTTAACATTCCAAGAGAAAGAATGTGAGCTTTCATGAGAAAAAGTTCAAAACTTGAATGAAGGGATTTCACTTTTTCATACTTGTCCATATTCATCACGAGAAGTCGTAATCGATGTTCATACTCTTCTGCAATAGCTTCAGGGTGAATATTCTCATTTCTGAGTGATTCAACATGATCACGATAATAATGTTCAAAATAATTATGATCACCAGAACCATCTTGCATGGTATCTGAATAATTTACACATTTTCCCATTTCAATTTGTTGATACAAGATTTGAATATTTGCCATTTCTTCTGCCTCCTCTGCATTTAAATCTCCATGAGCGAGTGACATTGAATCATAATTGGATTGTCTTTTGAAATGAATGATTAATTCCAACATGTTGGAGAGAGTGAGCCAATACCTTTCCACATTTTCTTCCGAATAAGTTTGGTCACTTGACCAGTCACGACAGAGTGATGATGATCCGTGGAGGGCGGAATCACTGTTGACCGCTGCTGCTGCTGCATCAAAGGGTTCAAAGCACTTGAATATAATCCAATCGGTCCAATCAAGAATTCAAAAATGTTGAAAAGGAAAATCTCTCTCGGAAGTTCCAAAAGAAGTGATTTTCTTCTTGTTATTGAGGTTGTTGATAATTTATCAAGAGAGGAAGGAGAATCAGAGTCTTGTGTATGACACTCCGGAGTGATCATTTGAAGAAAATTAAACGCGTTGTCTTTTGGTATTTGATGGGATATTTCATCGGCTCATTGAATTGAAAGGCTGGAAAATAACCTTTTGGTGTTTTTTTTCTGTATCTCTGTTTCTGAATATATCGATATTCGAAAATGCACATTCTGTATTGTAAACTTGTCTCAATAATTATATAAATTCACACACCATGAAAGTATATTTTTTGGAATGATCAATTATTCCATGTGAGATTCTAAGGTATTTTGTAACACTTCAATAATTTCAAACAATTTTGTCTTCTTCTTTTCTTCCAATTGATCGCGAGACAAGAGATGGATCGCATGATCGGTTGCTTGTCGTATTTGGTCGTCAGGAATTTTCACAAAAGCAAATTCTTCCAACAAGTAGGTCACAACTGACAGATTTCTTCTCTCCACTGCACATCTTAGCACATTAAGGCCGTGGGGTTCGCTCACTTCATCGAGTGCAGCTCCATATTGAATGAGAGTTTTGATTTGAGAAGGAGTTTTAGCAATCATCAGAGGAGTAAAACCCTGAAGTCGAAAATTTGGATCGGCTCCTCGTCGTATCAAGGCCTTAATCGAAGAAGTGGTTTTGCTTGACGCTCGAGAGGCATAATGAAGTGCCTTTCCTAAACACTCCTCTGAAAAAATCATCCCTTCATAATTTAAGTCTCCATTGGGGGCCGTAACTAAATTTTGATGGAGAAGATGGCTGAAATTTGACGCTGAGCATTTGTTGTTGGTGGAGGACATTGCTGGAATGGTATTTTGGCATAAAGTAGATTCGCGTTGAATTAACATTGCGAGATCTTCTTCCGATATATTTGCACTCACTAGACATCCCAAAGGTTGATACATTCTCCACAGAACGACTTTCAATTCTTCTTCATCACCTTCACAATCTTCCTTCACGGAATGCATCAATGACAAGAAACAATCAGCCAATTCTGAAACAGACACTACATTATAACCGCTAGTGAACTTGTTACAGTATTGATCCAACATGTTTAACTTCATGAGAGCAGACATGATAATGGACTGCTCAATTTCATTGTGAGTATGTGATATCAACGTGTTGAAGGTTGGGTTGTCGACATAAATGACGAAATGAGGATCTTCGAGAAATGTTGAAATCATTTTCCTTGATTCGGTTACCCATTCCTTCATAGTGGGATGACCATGTGTGAGAGCAATCATTAAATAGGATTTGTTGCAATAGGTATAACCTAAAATATCTTCGACTGATTCCGTAATTTTGTAATCGATTGGTATGGATGTAAAAAATTTTTCTATGGCTGGAGGAGCGTGTTTTCTATTTGTCATGATGCATTCTGAGGAGATACATGCTTGTTCCTTGTTGTTCGAATCTTTGTTTTGGTTGTCACACGTCTCATTCTTCTCATTGCAAGCTGATGTTTTGTTTTTGATGAGCTTTTTCACTTTAATTTTGACCTTCAGTTCATGCTTATCCATTTTCAAGCCCTCAATATTCTCTTTAACTTCTTGCGCTTCTGATTTTGATTTCATATCAATAAGGGCGTATTTCTGAACCTTGTTTTTTTCTTGCCTAAGTTGAATATTTTCTGAAATAATTTTACAACGTTCGAGAATTAAATGATGAATGTCATCTTTAGAGATGGAGTTGGGTAAATTTGTAATTTTTACAAAGTATTCTTTGGGATGATGTGTTTTTCGAAAGGTGGATAAATGTGGTGTTGTCTCACCTATATTGAACAGTAAATTGTTGTGTTGAAGAATGAGAGGAGAAACATTGGAATGAGAAGTAATCTCAGGATTATATGGAAACTGCATCTTCGAAGCATTGAAATTGTTGGTGATTGGAGAATGGTCTTCTTCGAGTCCATAAGGATTTAAAAATTCTTTCAACTCTTGAAACATGCCTTGTTGTTCGTCACTGTTCGAAATTACATTATGATTAATGGTCATTCGATTCACATTTTGTGACGATGATGAAGAGGAACTAGATTGTAAATATTCCTGTTGTTGCTCTGTTACTTTCTTTCGTCTCTGTTCTTCTAATTGATTTTGTAACATGTTCATCACCATGAGTTTTCGTTTTGGAATTGCTCTGTTAGCAGGCAGGAGCGAAGCTTGTTGTTGAGAGGAGGAATGGAATTTTCCTGAAGAACTGTCCACTGTATGAGCTCGATTATTATTGTTTACAAAAGAATCATTGTTTGAATTCCAATGAGGCCGACTTGATGAAATCCCTTGATTTTGTTTGATCGCCGAAGATTGTCCCAAACAATTCTCAATGCTCAAAATTGAGTCTCTTTTCGTGAAGACACTCGGTGGATTTCTCTCGACGGCAGCTGGAGCTGAATAGGAGCTTGTTTTCATAATGATGATGATAATGATGTGAGTGTCTCTATATTTATATTAAAATTGCAAAGATTTTGAAAAAACACAATTCATCGAACAACTATCAATACGCGAATATATTCCGAGATAATAAATAATAAAAAGAATTCTTGTAGTTACAAGCCTAGATTCATTCCGAAGAATAATTTCTTTAATGATGCAAAACCTTCGCTCCAAAAATTTACAGTAGAAGTGACGGTTTTGGAAATTTTTTTTGGCGGATGACAGGCTTTGAGGTAAAGGTAATTTTATCCTCATTTAAGAAAAAAACGACAAAAATGTCCAATATTTGGGGTAGTTGACATGAATGCTAGAGTTTCGAAATGGACCAAGTATTGAACTTAAGACGGTCCATTAATAAAGTCGAATGCTGTGTGGATCACCAATTAGAAAATCTCACAAACTCTTACTTGACATGTGTCTCTTCGGATGAATCAACTCCTAATTGTGGATGACAAGTTTGAGCAATCTGAAAAGAAATACAAGCAGTGCTCAATTCAAGAGTATTTGCTTATGTTAAAACATACCTTCAGTCCACAATAATTATCATCGGCAAACATTTCAACATGAAACACCCAGTTATTGGAATCAATTTTGAACGTTTTTCGTTGCACTTGAACATCATTCCAATACAGGACAAGTTGTTCTGCTTCATAATTGTACCAAATTGCAATGGTGTCTTTTTCTTTGATTTTCTTGAGGATTTCAAATCGTTTCCATTTATCTGTTTCTTTGCATGTTACTCCTAACGAACAGTTTGATATTATTGATGTTTCTGTCATACTCAACTTACCCAACGCTAAATTACTAGAGTCTCCATAACGGAGAACAAACTTAGTGTAATATCTGTATGGATTATTACAAAGTGAGGTTCGTTTCTTGTTAACAACAAAATTAAGACACGAATAGAGAGAACCTGATTCGGATTTCTTGACAACTTCTTGATTGTAATGTCGCAGTTGACAATCCTCCAAAGTCGATGGATCAAATTTTACATTTCTAACTTGTTGTTCCTCAATTTCATTAATGAGACCATTAATTTTGAAATAATTTGCTTCGTGGATGATGTGCTCGATTAAATCGTTTGAGAAATCTTCAATATATCCAATAAATTGACCATCCCTCAAATAATTCAAACTTTTTTGGACGAAATGCAAGTTATTGAAACAATCAAAATGCCTCCACTTACACATAGCTGAAATATTTTGGATCTCTATCGATGAAAATTATACCGTTTTCGTCGGTGATTGCTTCGATTGAATTTTCCTTCTTCTTTGCAGATCTAGAGCTTCGATAGAGATAGTAAAGAATTTCTGACTTTTTTAAAGTCTTCGTTGTGGTCTGAAATATTTTACCTCCAACATTCAGCTTCACAACTTGAAGCGTTCGTTTCTCTTTTTCGGACATCAATCCAGCAGCGGATTGGCCTCCTTCAATAGCCTTAACAGGACTTTCTTGATTGCCTATCGTTGATGGAGAATTATTTGAACTTTCTCTTCTTTTAGGTTCTATTGGCGAGAGCGGTATTTGTTCTTGAGCACTCTTTGGAGAAAGAATTGCTTCTCCATATCCTGTTGTCTGTGGGGCACCACAAGCCACTGAGGTTGTGACTGTATCGAATCGTTTAATTTCAATTCCTCCATTCACTGTACTTTTCATAATTGTTTTAATCAATCCTTTTGATGAAGGAGATAAAGGTTCATTGAGAATCAAATGTTCATCAGACTCCTCTTGTTCAGGGGAAGCAGAAGCTCCAATGTATTTTGACACCTTTTTGATCGGATTTAATTGCTGAGATGCAGAAGAGGTTCTTGATGAAGTCGATGAGGATGATGAAGAGTTGTTGGATGATGATGATGAAGAATTCGAACTTGTTGATGTAGTAGTGTTGTGATTCAACTCTGAATGTCGGAACGTAATTTTCGGCCCTTTTTCTGTTGTTTTATAAATCTCTGACCTCATTCTATTGGAAGATATTCCCACGACGGATGGCGCTCGCGTTGTTTCCATCTTACCAACATCATCGTCATCATCAAACGACGTTGAGGAAGGGCACATTTTTTTTATCTATTTTTTTTGTACAGTTTTGGCGGGAGGTCTTTTTGCATTCTCGGACTTACTCAAAAAAAATACAGGGATGGGTTTATTCGATGATAAACGTTGTTCGATGGTTTATATGTACATTATTTACAAGCCGAACGTAAGATACGTAGTGACTTCCTAGCAGGCACCCCGGAAGTAAAGGTGTTTAAACTGCTCACGATAACAGCAGCAACCCCTGGGATTCGAACGCTGGACCAGTTGGCTGCCACAGGTCCAGAAAAACCACTCGGCCATATGCGGGCAGCGACTTACTCAAAAAAAAATGTCCCAACTTCCGCCGAGCACTGCGACTGCCTCTTCTTCCGAAGAAGAACACAGTTCCCCTTGTCATCATGATGATGATGATCGTGACAATTCGCACCATCCTGAGAGGGAGGAAGAGCATGAAAAGAACCACTCGGATTCTTCTTCGGAGGTTTCTCTTTCCTCTCCTCTCTTTCAAGGCATGGAATTTGTCTTGGTCAAGGAAACAATGAAACCGAACGATTATGAATACTTTTCCCGACTCATTCCAGAACATGGAGGAGTGTTGGCCGAGAATGTTTCTGAGCGCACGACACATCTGGTTTCGGAGAGAGCTGTTTGGCCAGTGCCTCCTCATGTCCTCTCGGTCAATGTTTGGTTTGTGGAAGATTGTGTTTACAATGAAGAGTTGTGCGATGTGAATGCGTATCTGTGGAATGGAGAGGTTTCGTTGCATGGTCAACCTCAACTGAAAAAAAGAAAATTGGAAAATGTGAATGCTGAATCAGTGAGTCAGTGCAAGAATAGTACTACTCTCGAGATGCAACTACACATGGATGAGATGGCACGACCTTCAGAGATTATGTCACACAAGTGGATGAGTGACCTATTGTTGGATGACATTTGGTTTGAAATTTTCATGTTTTTGGAAATTGCGGATTTGAGTTCAGTAATTTTAGTGTCAAAGGAAATGTATCGTCTAATTCAGGACGATCGATATGAAAAGAATCAATCTTTTTGGATCCAATACTATAACAGATTCATTCGAAATTGGAGTGCACAAGATGAACATGCCTTTTTCAACAGCATTCACAACACTTCCTTCGATAAGTTTGATACAGAAACGAATTTGCATGCCAACAAGCAAAGATTGGAGCTCACCCTACAAAAAGTCACACTCCTTTTGAATCGAAGAGCGTGCCCTCAACTCACTGAATCTGACGTGATGCCACAATTTTCTCTTCCTGCTCTGGTCAAGAATCGAATCATGACTCATCTCCACTTTTCAAAATCATTGAAGAGAAGAATGACTGCTAGAATTACCTGTGAAGCGGAATCTAAGAGTGAACGACGTGTGAAACAAGTTGAAAAAGATTCCAAAATAATGACTCTCTTTCCGGGTCTTTCCCTTAAAGATCAATTAGAAGCGCTGAAATCAAAATTGAACGATTTCACAGAAATTAATTTTGGACCTTTTGACGAGTATGAAATGAATGGACAACTACCAAAAGACTATTTGGATTGGATCTCTCAAAATTCAGACCTTCTTTCCAACAGTAGAATTAGAAGTTTATTTTTCTTAGATGTGCATTTCTCCTTTTGTGAAGTGAGTTGGATGAAACTTGGAGATTTGAGTAAGGTATTAAATACTTTTCCAAAGTTGGCTCATTGGACGTCCATGGGGAGTGAACAACTTCAATTTTCAACTGCATGCTCGCATTCCACATTGCGATCCATTGTATTAATTTCTGCTGGATTATCGAAGCCAATTTTGAAGGAATTGTTTTGCATGAAATTGCCAAATTTGTGTCATTTAGAGCTGTTTTTAGGAGACGATTGTCGTAGAGATGCTCGACAAGATTTTAAACCTGAATTTATTCAAGAATTATTGAAGTCTCCAAAGCACGAACATTCCTTTCCTTCACTGGATTATTTAGGACTCAGAAATTATCAACACATTGACGCAATAGCACCTTCCATTTTCGAAAACCCATTTTCCAAACGAGTACGCATGATTGATATTTCATTAGGAACACTTAGCGATGAAGGTGCCAAGAGTTTCATAGAAATTTTGAAGAATGAGGAAAAGATGAATCAGAAATTTTTGAATTTAGAAATTTTAGATGTACACAATTCGTACCTTTCAAAAGAAATTGTGGAAGAATTATTGAACTTGTCAACCATGATCGTGAATGTGAAACCTCACAAAGAAGCCGATCGTCGATGGAGGTACGTCACCTTAAATGAATGATGATTAAAGCCTTCTTTCTCATGGTGGTGAAGCCACAATTTCAATGAATCTTCTTGAAGAAGAGCGCGCTACTTTTCGGAATCCAATTTGGTAAAATTCCGACATTTTGTAAAAATGATCAAAAACTCCACAAAAATTCTACGATTGGTTTTTGAAACCTCTCGAATAATATTAAAAAAATGACTTCTTCCACCACTACTGCCAGCTCTACTGCCAGCTCTACTGCCAGCTCTACTGCCAAGGCTTCCTCTTCATCTTCCTCTCTCTTACGTAAAATACAACACTGGAGTGGAATTGCCTTCTCCGTCTTTGTTTCTCTTCATGTGATGACCACCATGTCTGCTTCCCTTTCACCCTCTCAATATGATTCAGTATTGAATGCCACTCGAAAATGGTATCGACCCTCCATGGCCATTGAAGGTTTGGTTGTGTTTGCTCCATTGGCTCTCCATATGATTGCCAATACATTGATTACTCTTACAACAAAGAAGACTGAAAGTTCTCCATCCTCCTCCTCCTTGTGGAAGAAACTCCATACCTATTCTGGATATGCTCTAGGTGGATTAGTTCCCTTGCACATCTTCGGAACTCGATTTATGCATTCGTATGCCCAAGAATTTGCTTCCTTGAATTTTGTGTTGGAAAAGGAAATGGGATTGGTTGCTGGAATGAGTTATTTCGTCTTGTTATTGAGTGCAGGTGTGTATCACTCCTTGTATGGATTGAATATTGCGTTGGGATACAAGATGAAACGACCATTGGTGTTGGCTTGTATTGTTGGTGTGTTGGCTGCTGGATATTTTGGATTGTTGGGATTTGCTGGATATTTGTATCCTGAAATGATGGTTGCAGTTCGGGAAAAACATTCTCAATTTGCTCATTAATTCATTCTCCTTGTTTTTCATTTGAAATGGAGCTCTGTTGTAAAACAATCAAATATTGTCAATAATAATATTAATTTTTGTAAAATAATATTTCTTTTTAACATATGAAAGTCTAGGGGTGCATACACTTTGGGATCGAGTTCCATTAATTTTTTTTGAATTATAATTATTATTATATATTTATTATATATTTATTTTCAAACATCATTCATGGACCAACAACCATATGGACATTGAAGGCTCGATTGAATGATGGAAGAGGTGTATAATGATCCAAATTGGTGTATGGAGTTTTAAGGCAACATGGCTTCAGAGAATCACCAAATGTCACAAACTGACAGTTGAATGTTAGCGGTTTAAGGAATTTGAGATTATTAAAATTAATGAACCGCTATTCCCAAAACTGTTCACCTATGAAAATTAAAATGTTACTTGTTGTGTGACACAGTCATCATTAAATCACCTCAATATAATTCTGAATTTGAATGAATATGCTGAGCTGTAGATTTCAATTCTTTTTTATTAAAGGTTTTTGTATTGTGATAACTACAGTACATCGATTTTCAACATGACTCGTTTTCCAACAATCTCCATGAAAGATAACTAATAATCAATACTCTCACCATAGATTCGACACTTTTAAATCTGAGATTTTTTCTCAACACATATTTTGGCCAAAGAAAGTCACAATTGACTCTATTGGATTGCTTTTTGGTTCAAAAGTTTCCTCCAATAGTTATCGATCTCAAAAGATTGAATTTGGAGAGTACAGCTCTCAATTGGCAACCTCTCTCTGCAAAAGTTTCTTACATTTATTTTTTTGTTAGTCCATACTCTAATTAGGAAACTAGATGTTTGTAGAGTTTTTTTGGCATTTGGCATTTGAAATCCTTTTCTCTCGAGGTAGTTTGCACCATGAAAAAGAGAGGCTCTCTCACAAATTCGCTTCTCTCTCTCTCTGACTTTTGACCTTCCTATTTGTAGTGGCAGTAGCTCTTCTCATGAAAAAGGATTCAATTCAACAATACGTTTTACAACCATTGACATTTTACAATCAAAACTCTCTGGTGAAGTGTATTTGAAATACAACAACAAGATCCGTACAATTAGAGAAACAACTCTCTCTCCGAGAGTATCATCATCATCATTATTGATAAGAATCCTGATTTGTAAATTTAGAAAAGTGCGTTACAACAACAACTTTCATCATCCTTTACAACTGTAATCACTCAACACACAACATGAGTCATTCAAATCATAATAGCACGAATGATTACATGATCCTCTCCTCTCCGCAAACTTTGTTTACAAAAAATTCAAACTTGTTGAAACCAACTTCGTCTTCTTCGTTGCTGTCAGTTGCCACAAGTTCAAGCGGAGGTTCATTAACATCCACTTCATTGCCTAATCATGGTTCTCATCATCCTCATGGACAAGGATTGATGGGAGGTTTGTTATCGGTTTCATCATGTTTGACAGGTACAAGTGTTTGTTCGGCTCCGTCAGAAGCATCGTCGCTGTCACTTGTCTCTTCAGTGGATGCACTTGAAGATTCTTATTTGTTGCCACAACAATTTCTAGAAGATGATTTCAATGGCATTGATTCCAAAAACATTTGTCAGTGCTGTTCTTTTCAACAAGCCCAACATCCTTCAAATGTCAAAGAGAGTCATTCCCATGTAAATAACCTTGAAAACAATGGAACCAATGAAACTCTTCAAGAAGAAGATGATGAAGAATCTCATCACGAACCTCACCATGACATTCAGAGTTGGTGGAAATTCGAAATTTTCCACATTCATCAATCCCTCTCACCAGCTGTCACTAATCAAACACCAGGAACCACAAATTCCTCTTCATCCATCGAAGATGACAACCTTAATTCTCCAAACTTATTCACTCCCTCTTGTTCTTCTCCGCCCATCTCCTCTTCCCCACTTTTCATGAGCCCTTCTCCTCGAGGTGGAAATTCACAATCTTCATCTCCAACTATTCCATCGTTGATGCAAGTGAATGAAAATGAACATTTTTTAGAAGCTCTGTATTTGAATCGAATGTCAAATGCCATTCAAAGAAAACAAAAGAAATTGACTCTTTCATTACGTCGTTCAAATTCTTCAACAACAATGAATAGAGAATTCACTCATCATGAAGAAGAATATTCATCGAATGATGACTCCATAGGTCCACAAATTGTCACCTTTGTCTTGTCAGAATTGAAATTGGATGAATTGGTGCATTCGAAATTGGCAAGTACGAGAACCCTATTGATGCATTTGGCAGCTCGACATAATCGATTGGATATTTTGGAATTTTTAAAATCGTGCTGTTGTGATGAAAAGTGTGAACGACAGTCGTGTCTTCAATCTACGTGCAATTCCTATTCTCCTCAATCTCCACAAGTAATGATAAGTGACAGTAACCATGAATCAAACTCGATACAAAATCAGCACTCTCATATTCAGCACTCTTCTTCGTGTCTCTCACGACGCATTGCTTTATGGACTTCGACTGACTCGAATGGATGTACTCCACTGTTTTACGCCTGTCAAGGTTGTTCCACTTGTCATGCGCATGACTGTTGTGTCTTTTTATTGGTTCAACTTCAATCGTTAATGCAACATGCGAATAATCTTCACAATGGATCGATTGTCATTCATCAAGCTGATCGATTTGGAAATCTTCCAATTGCCATGGCTTTTAAGAAACGAGATTGGAAAATGTGTGATTTATTGCAATTATTTGGAGCTTCGTTAGATGCGAATCATGGATCGTTTGGAGAGAGTCTTCTTCACACAAGTGTGAGAGATTTAGATTTCTCTCGAGTCGAGTATTTGAGTCGACATTGTCAAAAGTCAATTCTTAAAAAGAATCAAAAAGATGAAAATTCACTTTTTGCATGTTTAAAAGACTATCGAGTGGCACAAGCTTGTTCAGCAAGTTCCTTAGCAGAATATCACAAACAAGCATTCTCTCCCTTTCGAACTCTTGTCAATAAGAGTGCACCCAAAGAAATTCGATGTCAATTCATTCAACAATTACTCGAAAATGGAAATGAATTATTTGGAAGAGAAACATTCGAAAAGGCACTTGTAATGAAAAATCAACATGGAAGAAATTTCTTTTCAGAAGCAGTGGCTTTTGGAGATGTTTTAGCCATCAAGACCATTCTCAATTATTTCACATTACAATATTTGGTGAATGTATCTTCGAGACATTACGAGAAATCACGTGAAAATCATCGAAAGTTGTTGGACTCGCTTATTTTTTCTAAAGATCGACAAGGAAAGAATATTTTACACTTGTCTCTGGAATTTGCAATGAAACGAATGAACAAATTTAATCGAGAGGATTATCAATCGTGGTTGGAAAGTTTGTGTTTCATTTTGACATGGTTGGAAGATTTCACCTTGTCATTCAGAAATTGTCAAATGTCATCTTGGACCAATATGACTTGTCCTCCTGAATGTGATAAACTCTTTCATGAAAAAAGATTGTAATGGAAAATCACCGATGGAATATATTGATTTTGAAATTTCATCTAATTTGGAATGTGACAAGCGATGGGTCAATGCTTTGGATTTATTGAAATGTTTTGAACACAAATATGTGGCAGCACGAACTTTGGAATCCATTCATGGAATTACAACTCATGCCAATGTCATTATGACTCCAAAACATAAGAAGGGAATTTTGTCAAGTCTCTTTATTTCAAGTCAAATGTCAGAAGAGGATACCGTGCAGCCAAGAAAATTGTCAGCGAGTAGTAGAAGTAATAGTGGCAGCTTAACCTTGGGTTCAACCAATTCCTCATTGACAACGAATTCAACGAGTTCCTTTATGTCTGGATCTTCCATGAGTAGTGACAGCTCCAGTCAATTTTCATCTTCACATCGCAAAGCAAGTTCATTGTCTTCTCAATTATTGATTGGTTCGAATCAGAGTCCTCAATGCCAACACCATGGAAATGTATTGAAAGAATTTATGAGGAAATTGTCCATGAAAAAACAATAAAATTGTTTTTTTTTCAATGCGTTGATTAATCAATACGAAAAAGGAAATTTCACGAATTAAGGCATTTAAGGGTGTGAACGAAGAAGAAGGTTTCTTAATGTTCATATTTCTAAAGTTAAAATTAATAAAAACTATTTATTATATTATTTATTATTATTAATTTTGTGTTTTTCACGCACAGTCAGTTGTCACTTGATTCTCTACAAACAATTTTCACTTTTTCATTTCAAACGAACAAACTGTTTTCAACAGCAACAACACTTATTGTGCTGGTGGCACAGGAACTGCAGGATTTTGTTGATGTTCACGAGCAGCAGCTGCAGCAGCAGCATTTCGTCTTCCGACCGTACATCCCACAGCAATTGGAATGACAATAATGGCACAAATCCAAAAGCAAGTGACAGCAGCCAAAGTGGCCCAAAACATGAGCCAACTCAAACGACCCCATTTTCTAGCACGTGGGACATCACTTGTTCTATAACGCCAACCCAACATGTAAGGTAAGCAAGATAATGGATTCAATGTAAAGAAGAGAATCAACGAAAGGAAGAATCCTGTCCAGAAACGATCACGAGCATGATGAGCCTCTTCACGTTCATAGTAACGATTGTCGTATTTGAGACCACCAGCACCTGAGGCAGGAGTTTCAGTTGGATAGGTTTGTGTGTTCATCATTTTCAAAGAATGTTCCAACGAGTTGAATAGTTGGCGTGGTTGGAGGTGTGTGAAATATGTTGGAAAAGACGATTTGGATTTGTTTTTTTTGAGTTGATTTAGGGATTTAAATGAGAGAGGTGTTGTTGTTGGAGTGAGTGGTTGGTGTTGACGCTCTGGGGTGAACAGTTGATGGTGTGGAATGAGTTTGGTGTTGGGTGGAGGATACAAGTATTCTGCGAAAGTGTTATCATTGAGGATGTTGAAACAAATTTGGTCACTTCCCAATATTTGAAGGAGACAAGTCATGCATCTTGATGAAAATATGATGTATAAATCAGGAATTTTCACTCTTTGAGAATGTATGAAAAGTTTTTTCTTCTTTCCTTAAATGGTTATTTACTGAAAAGAGCTTAATGGTCTCTTGGTTGTATACAATTGGAGAAAATGTTTCAAATTTTGAATGCTTGATATCTCTCCCAATAATCAAGTTCGAACAAATTAATCGAATTATTTTATTGTTAATTTTCCATATTTGGCTAATGAGAGCAGAGCTCGCTGGATGACGTCGAACGGCCCATCAAGAAATTTTCTAATTACTAATGTTGGACTTGAATGTATCGATGGTAAGCCTCGTGATGAAATTATCCGTGCTTGATTGCAAGTATGATTGATGGATTTACAATTTTTAACATTTCTCAAGTGGAAGTTCACTAAAGTTGTGAACCATTAGTGAAATAAAAGTCAGGCAATCGCCCACTTCGATCAAGTCTCATAATCATGTTGTAATTCAAGGATCTTTCAAAAATCAGTGGGACAATAGAAAAATTAATCTCGAACAAGAATTGTTCAAGAAGCTTCTTGCATACACATTTTAAGGGTCTGAAAAATCCTTAACAAGTTCGTATCTGAAAAATCCATGCAAATTCAATGGTTTGAGTTCACCACAACTCCTTGCAAACCCAGAATTTTGAAGAGAAATTTCTCGAGTCCGCGGTGTGGAGAGGACTTGAGTTTACAATATTTTTTTAAAAATTTTTAGAAAAAAATAAGCATTTTTTTCTCGCTTATTCTCTCACTCTCTTCAATCCGCTCAACTCAAGAATATTTCATCATGTCCGCTTCAAAAGAGTAAGTGATTGTTTTAATTTTTTAAACCAGTGGGAAGTGGTCCGAGCCCGACAATTTATATTTGTTATTCGAATTATTTCGGTTTGAAATTCGGTTGTGTTTTGGTCTGATGAACCGCACAATGTTGTTGTTTTGGGTTGAACCAAACATGGATGTGTTGTGGATTGTTTTCATTGGATCTGATGATGATCCTCGCAACGACCGCTCTCATCATGGTCATGACGCACGAATTTTTGTGATGAAAATGAACCAATTCTTGCCTTCCTCCGCATCACCAACGTTTTCATTCTCTGTTCAACATATTTCTGCACCTGCTATGCTATGCCATTAACATGATTCAACACCTCCAATCACCATCATCAAACCCATCGTGATGTTGTTTGTACTCGTTGTGAATGGACCATGTTCAATAGTCAAATTTTCGACACTGTCCTCGATGCCATTGGAAACACTCCTATGGTTCGTTTGAATCGCGTTCCAAAAAACCACGGTTTGGAATGTGAAGTTTTGGTCAAATGCGAGTTTTTCAATGCTGGTGGCTCTGTAAAAGATAGAATTGGCAAGCGAATGCTTTTGGAGGCTGAAAAGAGCGGCCGCATCAAACCAGGCGACACTCTCATTGAACCAACATCAGGTAATACTGGTATTGGTCTCGCATTGACTGCAGCTGTGAAAGGATACAAGATGATTATCACATTGCCAGAGAAAATGTCGCAAGAAAAAGTCTCTGTTTTGAAAGGATTAGGTGCAGAAATTATTAGAACACCAACTGAGGCCGATTGGAATTCACCAGAGTCGCATATTGGTGTTGCCGCCCGTTTGAAGAAGGAAATTGGTGACACTGCACACATTTTAGATCAATACAAGAATCAAGATAATCCATTAGCTCACTATGAAGGAACTGCCGAAGAAATTATTCGACAAACTGGTGGTAAAATTGATGTCATTGTTATGGGTGTAGGAACTGGTGGTACTGCAACTGGTGTTGCTAAAAAGCTTAAAGAAAAGATTCCAGGTATTATTGTTGTGGGAGCTGATCCAGTTGGCTCCTTATTGGCCGATCCAGAGCATGACAAGGTTGGAACTTATCAAGTCGAAGGTATTGGATATGATTTTGTTCCTGATGTTTTGGACAGAAGTTTGATTGACATGTGGATTAAGACTGAAGATAAACCATCGTTCACAATGGCTAGAGAATTAATCAGAGAAGAAGGTCTCTTGTGCGGAGGTTCATCAGGTACTGCCATGTACGCTGCTGTTGAAGCTGCTAAAAAGCTTGGTTTGGGTCCTGATAAGAGAGTGGTCGTCTTGTTGCCAGACTCGATTCGTAACTATTTGAGCAAGTTCTTGAATGACGATTGGATGATTCAACGTCAATTCATGGAAGGTGACCCAATTGCCAGCAGAGAACGTGAAATGGAACAATTGAAGAAGAGAATGGAAGTTTTGGAGAAGGAAATTGCTCAATTGAAGAATGCCAACAACAGCCAGAATTAAAGTTTGAAGAGCCAACTAACTTCATTTATAATCCAATAAATAAACAATTCAATGTCTCAAAAGCATTACGATTCTCATGTTGAGCCCAAAAGATAGCAAGCTTTACAATTCCATTGACAAGTGGAACCCGCCCAACCCAACCATCGTTCAACAAAAAAAAATATCGTTATTTGAATTTTTTTGTTGCTGGCATCACGCATAACAAGGCTTTGACGGGTACGGGGAATCAGTGTTGACCGTAGCATCATCAAAGCCAGCCATTATTCCACAACAATATATTCACACTGATCATCGGAATAGCAACAAACAAAATTATTAAATATGAATAACAATCTCGACAAATATCTTTCCGAATTGAAGGCTAAAAGTTCTTCCTCCTCAAGCAACAATGCAACATCTTCCACAATAACAACAACCTCCAACAGCTTTACATTTAAAAGTAAATCCGCAACCTCCATTAGTAACCAACCATTACCCACAAAATCAAGCAGAATCAATGTGAATAAGACCTTCGGAGCAACAACACGCTCAAACCAGCATACCAACAATAATGATGATACTCCATCTGACATATTATCTGCATATGGATCAATTTTGAACAACAACAGACAAAATCACACCAATAATGTGCCCTCTGTCTCCACCAAGAAACGAAAATATGACGAATATAATGAAGAGGATGGTCATGTGGAATCCCCATCCTCTCCTATCGAAGAAAAGCCTTCTTCATTTATCACTGCAGCCACTCTTCTGAATAATAACAAATTATCCAATAATATGGAGAATTCCAACAATGCCACCTCATCCATGCATCCTAGTGTACGGATTAAACCGAAAGATAATGGAAGCGTTGTCACGACTGCTGTAAACTCTAAAAGTAATAATATTGTATCCATGAATAGCAACAAGTCAAGAAAATTGTGGAAAGACAAAGATGAAGAAATTGCAGAACTCGATGAGTTAATATCATCCACAAATGGCATCAAACAACAAACGTCCATTAATGAAATTGTTATTAATGATGAAATAATTCTCGATGAAGAGGATGACCCTATTTTAACACCACCAGATTTTGCACAATCATCCAATACTACCATTGCTAGTAATAGTAATGTTACCAACAAAACAATTGATTCTCACGATCCCATTCTTGACGAGGATATTCTTGGAGATGATTTGATTTTGGATGAAGAAGGAGAATCCCACCCATATCAAGCCAACGATACTCATGAACCATCAACACAGCTCAATTCCTCAAATAATAAGAATATCAACAGCAATAATCGTAGTACAAAGAAATTTACCTTACCTTCAAAAAGTAGTAGCAATAGTGGTAACAGTATCTCATCGGAGCCGCAAACAACAACAATTAACAACCAAAGCTCATCAAAATCAAAGAGTATATTACCAAAATCCTCAACAAAAGTTGAGGCTCCACAAACACCCAAACCCATATTACCAATAGCCAAATCCTCTTCGACAGTCCAAAACTCAAAATCTGAGGCTGAACTACTCGAAAATTATGACAAATTGTCACGAGAACTTGTTGCCCTATTGACCGACTGTTTGGATTATGCTGAAAGTTTTGATCCGAATAGCGAGATCTTAATGGATTTCATGTCACAAAAAACTCAACTCGAGTTATTGAGACAAAATCTTTCAGGTTCTCTCCTAAACATTTCCTCAGCCACAAATAGTAATAATAATGGTTTTGCAACTCCCTCAACACCTGCCTTCTCATCCTCTCGCACCGTGACACCATCAACATATACCTCTTCTTCCTCGAGTATCAGCAGGCCACAAGCAACCTCAACAAATAATTACGCCTCTTCAAATAAGAATACCTCTTCAAGTAATAATTATTCTAGGAATAATACCTACGAGCCCAACAATAATGACATGCAAGACGAAGACTATTCACACTATTCCAATTTTGATTCATCACCCACAAGTATCAGAGTTGATGATGAAGATGTTGTTTTCACAGGCAGTCAAAAGAGCAACTCAACATTTACCACCAGTGCATCAAATAATTATGCTGTCAACGTTGATGAAGATGACGGATTTGGAGCAGTTATACCCTTCGATAGCAATAATGACAACTATTCCTCAAGATATAATTCTGGTAGCAGCTCTTCTGCCTCATATTCGTACAGTAGTTCCAGTAGCAGTCGACTGATACGATCCCAACCACAATCTGGACATGCTTCTACCTCTCATGACAGTTCCTACTATGCCAACGAGAACTTTGAATGGAGCAGAGAACTCAAGAGCACCCTTAAAGAAATTTTCGGTATCAATTCATTTAGACATTTACAATTGGAAGCAATCAATGCCACACTTTCTGGAAGAGATGTTTTCATTATCATGCCAACTGGTGGAGGTAAAAGCTTGTGTTATCAACTTCCAGCAATTATTGGTTCCGTTGGTGTAACCATTGTCATTTCTCCGTTGCTTTCTCTTATTCAAGATCAAGTCATGTCACTAATCAACTTGGATATTCCAGCTGTATTTCTTACTGGCGAACAAGACTCTGAAACTACGAAACAAATTTATAGGGAATTAGCCTCCTCAAATCCAAGCTTCCGTCTTCTCTATGTCACTCCTGAGAAAATCTCTGCAAGTACATCGTTCGTCAATATTTTAAGGAAGCTCTATGATCGTGGCCTTTTTAAGAGAGTTGTCGTGGATGAGGCTCACTGCGTGAGTAATTGGGGACACGATTTTAGACCTGATTATCGAAAGTTGGGAGTTTTTAAGGATGAATTTCCTGATGTTCCACTAATTGCTCTTACTGCTACTGCCACTTCACGTGTTCAAGAAGACATTATTCATCAACTCAATATTAAGAATTGTGTGAGTTTGAAGGGGTCCTTCAACAGAACTAATTTATATTATGAAGTACGAAAAAAGGCATCATTGGAAAAAACTGCTAAGGAAATTTCAGATTTTATCAATGAAAAGTATCCCAATCAATCTGGTATTGTCTATTGCTTGAGTAAGAAGGATTGTGAAAAGATGGCTGAAGAACTTACCAATCTCGGTCACAATGTAGGAGTATACAACTCAGACGTAGCAGCAGCTGACAAGCAAGATGTTCATGAAAAATGGAGTCGTGATGAGTTGAAAATTATTGTAGCCACTATTGCTTTTGGTATGGGAATTAATAAGCCTGATGTTCGTTTTGTCATTCACCACAGCTTACCGAAATCCATCGAAGACTACTACCAAGAATCAGGAAGAGCTGGCAGAGATGGACTCGAAAGTCACTGTATCTTATTCTATTCATATGCCGATAAGGCTCGTCAGCAAAAATTTTTGGAAGGTGAAAAGGCCAGCAAGAACGGCTATGAAAATATCAACAAGATTGTTGCCTATTGCGAGAATGATTGTGAATGTCGAAGAGTTGTACAGTTGCGACATTTTGGAGAATCTTTTGACCCAGCTCAATGCAAAGGCATGTGTGACAATTGCCGAAATGAAACTCCTGTCGAAAAGAAGGACTATACCAAAGAGGCAGCATCTTTCCTCAAATTGGTCAAAGATATTGGACCTTTCAAAGCAACCATGTCTCACATTGTTGGTGTATGGAGAGGGTCTAAGGCATCCAAAATTAAGAGTTTACAACATGATAAATTAGATGGACATGGCGCGGGAAAAGATCTCAACAAAAATGTTGCCGAAACTCTAGTTTCCAAACTCATTTGTGACGGATATTTACTTGAAAAAGTTCACATTAATGAACAGTATGGAGGCAGCTACACTCAACTCGGTGTTTCACCATCATCTGAAAGAATCATTCAGGGACGTGTCAAATTTGAGCTACTTGTTAGAAGCAAATCGAAAAAGACAAAAGGTTCTCTCGAAAAGATGCTATCAAAGGGATCTGCATCCTCCTCCTCCAAAGACAATTCCAATACAAAGAAGAAGAAAGAGTTTGAATCCATGCTGAGTGCTGCTCTTCAAGATAAGAGATCAGAATTGGCCAAACAGAAAGGTGTTCGTCCTTACAACATTTTGGCTTCAAGAATTTTATCAGAATTGAGTTCAAAACAACCTCTCGATATTGAGTCGATGGCAGCCATTAGCGGAATGGGTAAAAATATTATGGCGAATTATGGTCTTATTTTCTTGGAATTGATTCGATCCATGAGAGCAAAAGAGTTGGGCGATTGTCAACCTCTCACCGATGCGGAACGAAAAGAATTTAGTGAAAAGTACAAAACTTCGACCGCCAAATTGAACATCAAAACCGCAGCTTCTTCTTCGAAAACAATTCAACAAAAAGAAGATACTGATCATGAACTGGATTTGGATCTGGATTTGGACGATTTGGAAGATATTACTGATCAAGTTGGTGGCAATACCAATCATAATGATCGTAAGGATGAACGCAATGATGTTGACATTTTAACCACTGAAGAATGGGAAAGTTTGGATGATTTGATTGAGCAAGAGTTTGAGCATCCACCTCCTCCACCACCAACAACAAATACACCAAAGAACCAACCCAAGTACAGGTTCAAAAATATTTAACCAAATAATAAATTTGAATTTAAGAATGACTTTAAGCTTCTATTCAACCATTTTTGGATTCTCAACAGCTGACGATGATTTCGACACAATGCATTAATTTAAATATTTAAAGTCGAGATGAAGAGGTCATAACTTCTAAAAAACAATCCTAACCTTGTATCTATACAAGTACTCAAATTTTCACAACTTAGATCGTCGAAATCCAAGAATTTGATTGAGTCGTCTTAATGGAGATTTCTCTATATCGAATGCACTGGATTGATCAGTGAGTGGAATGGCCCAATAACCATAGGTTTGAATAAATGTGAAAAAGTGAAATTTCAAAGTGGTAGGGATTGGATTAATGTTTTTGTTCTCTTCATCAGAATTGTCTTCATCAGCAACACGATTTTTTTCAACCTTACTTTCACTAAGAATTTCACTTCCTAGTTCTTCGCTAATTTTTGAAAGAATTACATTCGCAAACCACTCCTCAACTCGAGCTTGATTTGCGCCTTCTCTTAAAACTCGTCCAAAAACGTCTTCATATAATTGCATTCTATAACTTTGGAATGGAATGAAAATGGTGTTCTTTTTTGAGGATCCACTTCTTTGCAATGCATGTGGTTGTTGTGACAAGCCAGAATCTAAAATTGCAAGAATTCCCTCAATAGAAAATCCATTCATCAAATGCACATATGGAATGTGACTCTTCAACTTTTCATCTTGATCTATCTGTAGCTCACGAACTCTTCTCAAGACCGTATTCATTGACTCTATAAATTCATCGACACTCAAAGGATTTAGTTTGTGAGTCAGAATGAAACATTTGGGAAGAAGAAGGCCCTCATCATTTCGGCTCGGGTCCACAATGGTGGTGGACAGTTCATGAAGTTGTGGTTGTTGCGAATACGATCCATGGAAAGAGTTGCTTCTGAGAGGTGGAGGCAAAGGTAGAGGCGGCACACCAGAATCAGTCGGTTCCTGATGATGATTCTCATGTTGAACCTCATCGGAATTCTTAAGATTGTTGAAATATCGACCTGTGATGAGAGGATTATTCTGAAGGTATTTCGTGTTGGGAAGAAGCTCCGACTGGGAATTTGTTGTTGAATTTTGAGGAAGGAGTTTAATTTCTCTTGCTCGGATGGAAGCGTGGAGTTGTGGAGTGGGGTGCTGGTTGGTGAGTGAAGGATTTGATGATGGAGTGGTCAATAGTTGGTTGTTGTTGTTGTTGGAGGTTGCTGAAGAGGATAATGATGACGATGCTTCATTCTCGAGAACGTGGATGAAAAAGTCTTTGCTGAAAAGTAATTCGAGCGGAGACTCGTTGGTTGTTGTTGATGATGATAACATCAGGGTGGTATGACTCATTGTATTGTGGACGGGATTGATGTTGTGGGTTTAGAGAAGTTTTTCAATCATCTAGATCATGTTCAATAAATAACAAAAACAACAACGGATGAAAGAGAGTTGAATGATGATTCACTTTTGAAATAATAATAATTGTTGAACATCCGTTTGTTTGATTTCAAAGTTGCCCTCAGTTAATAACAGATTAATATTTAGCAACCTTTGATTCAATGAATACAAGCATCAGAAGAGTGGAATGATCCAATAATGAGGAGACCAACAACGACTATGCAAAGTGTTCTTCTCCACGTTGCACAAAAAAACCGTTAGACCACACACAACCTTACAAAATGATATTTTTTTATTTTTTTTTACATCGAAAACAAAAATGAACACCGCATTTGCTCCCTCTCACCATCTCCAACCACCTTCTGATGGTGATCATCACGAAGAACAAACAAAATTTAATCAACACCACCATGGTGGTGAGGGATTTCAAACACAAACGGCTCCTTCTTCTTCTTCTCACATGATGATGGATTTACATGATGATCCGCCTCCTCCTGGAGAGCACGAGGATCATCATTCGCAGCACCATAATAATAACGGCATAATGTATGACCATCATCATCACCAAGAGTACCTTCATCAAAACGAATCGGCGTATCACCACCAACATGATGTGAGTTACGAGCCTGTTGTAGAAGGTTCGCAATCTGCCTACCACCAACCACACGTTCACTCTACAAGTAGTAGTAGTGGTGCCAGTTTGTCTCATCACTATTCCCACTCAGGCAAACCAAAGAAAGACCTCCACGAAGTCGAGTTATGGCTCTGCTCGAAACTGAATAATGATTGGAGTTCGGAACGAATTGCCTCTCAGATCAATGAGGAGACTCTTGAACTCTTCATTGACGACCACTCTCACCACAACTATGATAACTTTTATAATCTGGGCGTTTCCAACTCTCAGCTCATCAAACTACGATTCATCATGTGCTGTCTCTCCATCAAGAAGAAGCAAATGACTCCAACACTTGCCTCTTACTTTTGTACATTATTTAAGGTATGTAGTTTCAATTCATTGGATGTTGTTCGGTGATCGATTTTGACACACTTTGTTGTTGATTATTTCATCAAACGTATGGTGGTGGCTATGTGCACCATTTTCACAACACTACCATGATGTTAAATTTATCCCGTCTTTTGTGTGTTCATCCACGCTTGGTCGGATGACTCGATTTTTTTTTTGTTTGGTTGGTTTTTTGTTCCCAAACTTGACGCTTTCACTCTTTTCTCTGTGTGGCTTGTTTTCTTCTTACAATTTTTGTTGTAACTCGCGACAACCTCACGATGTTTTCATGCCACACCACGCACGACTCTGTGCTACATCATTCCTCCCATTCCATTCTGCAATTGCTTCAAACTTTCTGCTTCTTTATCATCACCAATGCAGAACATTATCGAAAACAAACGAGGTGAAGATGACTGGGTCAGAATGATGGCAGAAATACTCTATTTATTCCCTGAGCATTCATGCATTAGGACCGATATTCAAAAGAGCATTCTACACGAGCTCGAGATGAGTGACGACTATCACCATAGCGGCAACCTCAGCGATGAAGACTCTCCACAACACTACTTTCAACAAGCCATCAAACACTTTCAGGCTCTTGCCATGAAACAAGGGGACGAGAACTCCTCATCGACGCAAAAGCTTTCCTTCTCTCCTGCCACTTCTCTAAAGCCAACAGTCTCTAAATATTTGAATGTGAATTCAGAGAACATGGACAGAGCCATGAAAGAATTGGAAGAGAAGAGACACTTTCTCGAAGAATATTCCAATACAGATGGAAGGACTCTCAATAGCAATCTGTACTCACTTCGCCACTACCAACCATCAAACAAACACTTCACTCTAAGACCATCTGCCTGTAAAAATCTCATTGAACCACTTAATTATTTGGACGAGCTTGAGAACGAGTCCTCTAAGAAGAATGTCGGTGTGAAAGTTTCACCTCTCAAAAAGATCACGCCTTCTCGACCTCCCATGTCTTCTTCAGGATCTACCTCAACACCAACCAGTGCCAACCTCCTCAATAAGAACAAACTCCCTGGACTGAAGAAAATCTCTTCAAATTTACCTTCAACACCTAAGACTGCTCTCTTAAAGACTCCTCCTCCTTCACATACTCCAACGACTCAGCTCATTTCGCCTCCATCTGCCACATCCAACTCTGCTCCTAGATCTGTTTTTCTCGATGACTCAATTGCTCTACAGAGAATTAAAGAACAACAACAAAACGAGAAAAAACGAACCTCCAACAAACAGTTGACAGAGGAGCAAAAACAAAAAGAGAAAGAACGAAAGAAGCAAGAAAAGCAAGAGCTCAAGGAAAAGAAGGAGAAGGAAAAGCTCGAAAAGAAGAAGCAAAAAGAAGAACTCAAGAGAAAACAAATGGAAGAGAAAAAGGCCGCTCAACAAGCAGCTCTTGCCAATGGAGGAGGAACTGGAACAGGTCGCAAGCGTAGAAAGAATAATCCTGCCAACAACAATGCAACACAAGACAATTCGGATCAGAATTCCATGTTGAGTCCTTCACAGGTGGATCCATCGAACGTTGCCGCCGCAGCTGGAATGCATCACATGTATGGCTATTTGAATCCAATGTTTGCAACAGGAGCAGGAAATCCAGGAAGCTTCCCACCATTTAATCCCGGTCAATATGCAAACTTGTTGTCAAATACCTTCTTTTCACCTGGTACAACACAACAAGGTACCTCTCAGCCCAATCAAGCAGGAATGCCATCCGTTTTATTGCCCAACATGAACCCAACTCTTGGAAATATGCAAGCTCTAGGTAAACCTCCACAAGGAGATCAGACTAGTTTCACACAATTACTCGGTATTAACTCATCACCAAATACAAGACCACCAAATAATTTATTGCCCCCATTTGCACCACCACCTGGCGTTTCATCATTTCCAAATATGTTATTCAATCCAGGAGATCCAGCCTCAATGAATATGCTTATGAGGGGTGCTCAGCTTGGTGCCAATCCCTCTGCAGGACAACCTCAAATGCGTCAACCATCAAACTATCCAGTGAACTTCCAACAGCAACCACCTCCCACTACTACGGCTGCTGCTACTCAGAATCCTCCTCAGACGGCACAATCAGTAGTAACTGACGAAGAAAGAAAGGCCAAAGTTGAGGTCTATCTCAATAACAACATTTTGAAAGATTGCAACAGAGTGTCAGAGGAAACACGAAGCAAAATTTTCAACTTTTTAATTGGCAATACAAGCTCAGATGGTGGCTTTGAAGATAAACTTCTCATTCATGAGGAGGTTGATAATGACGAGAAGAGACAAATTTTCTTCCACATGGACCACACCAACCGAAAGTGGAAGAAGATTATGCAAAAACAGAATAATATTCAACCTTCTGGACTTGAATAAAAGAATGAATCGTGGTTTTGGCGTCTGTATTGTTGTGGTGAACTCATATATGCCTCGTAATTTGTGTGTGATTGCATGAAAACAATTAATTACGCGACCAATTTCATCATTTTTGCTATTCAAATTGATTGAAAGAATTGTTCTTGTGTTTGCTCGAACAAAAGGTACACAGACAACCAAAGTCATTTCATTTCAAATAAAATCAAACAAAACAATAAAAAAAGCATTCAATCATCATCATGCAAAGTCAAATCATGACCTATACCAAATTCGTGAGAACCACCATGTTACGAGTGGCCAACAAGGAAACTGCTGCCGAACAAGCCAAATACTTTAAACATGTAAGTGTCAAAGACATTCTTCAATAGTTTCAATGATCTCATTCCATTGTTGCTTGATGATATATCACGATTTTAATAATTTCAACAAACTACTACTCCTCATAATACTCAATCACTCATTCACCATTGATGAGAAGGTCATTGATTTTCATGGATTAAAGGCTCCCATTCTGGACAAGTGTTGGAAGGAATCGCTCCGAGAGCCTTTGCAAACGAAATTTCCAAACGTTTCCGATCAATTAAAAGTTGCCTATGAATTGATGAAGAGTAAATACTTTGAGGAGAAGAATGTTGGAATTAAGGTGAGTGATACCAGCATTACTTACTGGAATAGATCCCAATGATGGTGATGATTGTCCAATTTTGATGAAATGAATAATCACTGGATATGAATATAAATCAATAATAATAATAATCAAAATTCAAACGGAATGCAATACGAAACGACGTCGTTTGTCATGGTAGATACTGGCAGGAAATGTCTCAAAGATTATTCCAAAACGAAAGAAGAAAAAGAATGATGGAGAGAAGAATTCCGACGACGATGAATTGAATGGTCTAAAGGTCATTACAGATCTTGATGAGCAAGTGTTTCAAGATGAACATGTTTATGATTGGGGAACTTGTGATTCATTGAGGTAATTATTTCTCAGATGGTTCATTGTTGAATTCCTTAAATAATTATATGAAATGGAATGGAAAAATCTTGCCAGTTCTCAAGTCATTTGTGAATTAATCAAGAGAGACTCATCATTGGGGCAAGTAGTACAGCAATGGAAAGACTCTTCAAATTTATGGCAACAAAGAAGTGCTTGTGTGAGTTTTGTGAAAATTGCCAAACACGGAGAATTTAATGACATTATCTTGGATATTTGCAAAACTACTGTTCAAAATAAGGAGCGATTTGTGCAGTTAGGTACCGGATGGGTTTTGAGAGAATTGAGTTTGGCAGATTTAGATGCAGTGACAAATTTCATCAAACAAAATTATTCACATTTCAGTCGAGAAGGACTGCGATATGCTATTGAAAAGATGGATTCCAAGTTGAGTGCGAAATTGTTGGCCTATAGTCCTTCTGACAGCAGTAGCGAAGAAGAAATGGAGAATCAAGATGAAGAAGAATAAATTATTGCATTGATGCATTCTTGAAATTCATCCTGTCACTTTGATTGTCAATGTACCTCGATTGTGCTTCTCCAAAAGGATTTCTCATTTTGTCAAGGTGAAGAATGATGCTTGATCCAGAAAGTTTTCATCAGCAGATTGATTCTTTCATGATGATTGGAAGGAGGTATTTATTAGTGTGTTGGTTGTTAAAAATTGTCATCTATTAAATAAATTCGTAACAAAACTTATAGGGAATATTTCTATTTAAGGACAAAAAAGTTTCATGTCACGAATGCTCTATTCAGAAGTTGACATCAAATAATGAATTCTCATATTCAAAGCCGTAGTAATTAACACTTTCATCTTTTCCCATTTCCACAAATAACTGCCAGCTTCAGCGTGAGGTGGGAAATAAATCTCATCAGCCATTGATGGATAAATCAAATTCTGATACCACATATGACCATGGAATAAATCGTGTTCATAAATTCTACTTGAAATCTTATCAGGTTCATAACCATTGGGAAAGGTCAACAAGACAGCACCTGAGGACATTAAAATTGAGTTAAAACTAGCAGATCCAAATGGAGACAAGAATACATCGGTATCATACATGAGTTGAACTTGATCTTCGAAGGATAAAGTTTCAAAAGTGACAAGTGACACTTTCACATTGAATTGAACATTGATATCTTTGGAAATGTAGGTATAAGTGGAAAATGCTTCTTTGGCTCTTTCGTAGAGTTCTTCGACTCGTTCAATTCTTCGAAAACCTCTTCTCTTGTTGTAGATGGTGAGAACGAGAGTTTTCTTTTCAATTCTCGTTTTTGAGGATTCAATTTTTAAATCTTGCAATTGATAAATTAAATCTCGGAATTGTTTCAAATAGCCACCGACATTTCTGTGGTGAACATGTTGCGATAATGTCGACGACATGGTTGGCATTTTCCATCATTATGACAAGAGAGTTGTATTATTTCATACCATGTCGATTCATAAATTGTGTTAAAAATTGTGGTTGTTGTTTTTGTGATGATGTTCAACTCACCTAAATCCCAAGTCTCCAAAAAGTCCATACGAAGTACTTCCCATGACAACATTTGTGAAACATGTCAAATCATTCTCTTTCGAAACGGTTCGAATCAATTGATTTGGATGTTTCGACAAAATACTTCCATATCTTCTTGAAAATGTTTGACATGCTCTCTTCTTTGAAGCCACATCATTCTTGTCAGTTCCACAAGTTAACATATCTTTGGCACAATCACATTCTTCATCCTCTTCTTCTGCGAATACTAAATAAACATCTCTAAAGTTGTCAATATCTTTTCCGAATGGCATTGGTTCCCAAAATTCTCTCATCAATGCAAATGCTGGATAAATCGTTTCTGTCATGCAGTGAGCAGCATTGGTACATCTGTGACGCTTCAAAAGGACTGAACGTTTAGTAACCCATCCAACACTCACTTTTTCTTTTTCAATGTATTCGCTCAGAGAGGAATTTAACACTTTCACACGAATCCATGTACGTTGTGGAACTTCCCAATTCGTTCTTCCTTCCACACCAGCAAGAATGGATCCATCTTTAAAAAACGAAGCACCAAATCCTTGTGAATCGTAATGATAAGTCGATCGACGACTATAATCATCAATATTTTGGAAATAGATATATTCACCATCGGCGCCATTCTTTCCTCGACGATAACATAAATTATAAGCTAAACAAGCACGATAGGTTTCTCGAATAAAATTGTGAGTGCAAAAGACATTGGAATAATCATTGAAACGGAAACGAGACAATTCATTGGGTGACATTAGGATGGATTGCATTCTCTTGGAAATGTCACTTTCGTCCGTTTCACTCGATTGTTGTTGTGGTTGTGGGTTCGAATCGACTTCAAAATTATCCAACTTTTTCACAAAATCTTCTGAAAGTCCTTCGTTGATTTCATCTTGATTCACACTTCCATCGTTTAACAATTTAGCGAACATTTTGTGATTATCACTTGGGATATCCACGTCACTAATCGGATTTGTCTTTCGAAGTCTAAAAACTTTATCTGTGAAGTAGGAAATATTTTCTGAGAGCAAGTGTTTACTCTTTGATGCAAATTTAATCGAAAAAGCAATGATGAAAACAACAGAAAGGAAAATGAGAGTGGCAAATAGAAGAGTTTGAATCGTTTGCCAAGAAATTCTATTTTTGGAAGCTACCTTTTTAGAAGTGGACATGCCCATCAGTGATGAAATGAGTGGAATAAAAACGGATGATATTTTAGAGTACACCATGAGCCATTGAATTTTCAAATAGGAGAAGAGAGAATTCAAATTTTGAGCGAGGAGTGAAAAAGTTGAATTGATTTTCGAGGAGGAGTGATGAGAAGTGGAGCTCGGAGGCAATTCATGATGATGATTCGATGAACCCGAAGAAGTTAACAACGGAGGAGAATGGTTGGATGAGCTTGGCAGCATTTTTTTGTTGTTTTTTCCTTGACGTCAAGGAAAATTTTGACATGTGGAAGCTGGGGCGCTCAAACAAACCTCACAAGTTCATCCTTTTATGAAGAATGTTATTAAACTTTCATTTAATGAGTGAGTGGTGAGAAATGACTTGTTGCTTCAAGCTAGTTGATGATGGATTGGATTGTTCGGAAATTAAATTTTTCACACATCAAACATTTGACCAAAGATGACACACTAATGAACACTTCAAAAACTCGTTGGAATTCTTCTTTAAATAATATTTCTCTTCATCATCATCAACACACTCTCATCTACTGTACTCCTTTCACTCCTTTCATACCATCCACTGATGAACCAACGATGAATCTATTGAAATATTCTCATCCCATAATTTCCGATGAATTTTTCTTCCTTTCATCCTCTTCTTCTTCTCTTTTAGAGTTTTCTTTTCGAAACAATTCTTGTGAATGATGATTCACATGAACCCTAAGAAGAATCATATGATGGAAAACTTTGGAATACACCCCAATCCTTTCAACGGGATTGGATCCATCAATGCTGAGAAGAGCGGCGTCTCTTCGCATCTTGATGATTCATACACTATGCTATCTGAGAAGTGAATTTTTGAATTTGCTGGTAAGTTTTGTGAATGAGGATAATGATCATTCGTTAAATGTATCATCATTGTGATTGAATTTTTGTGTGTGTGAATATTTAAACATGTGAATGTTCATATGTGATGATGAATTTGAATGATGACACTTTGATGATGAACAATTTCTGAAATTGACCATTTATCCAATCAAACCACTCACTTCAGCTGGACCTTACTATTGCGCACAAGGTCAAGGAGCAATGGGATTGGCCACCACTGAACAATGTATGGAAGGATTACAACCTGTCGACCTCAACACCATTCAACAAACTGTTTCACAATACCAAAGTCAAAAATTGATTGATTCCACATTGAATTTGCAAAGACATCGAATTTACTTGTACTCTGGAACTTTTGATATGACTGTGAAAACATCCGTCGTTGAAGCATTGGCAGCTCAATATCAATCATGGGGAATTCTTTCCAAAAATATTGTGACCAATTTCACAGTGCCATCTGGTCATGCTTGGATTACCAATAATTATGGAAATTGGTGCTTCTTGACTATGCCTCCTTATATCAATAATTGTAACATGGATGGTGCATTCAATGTGTTGAATACTATTTATGGAGACATCAAACCAAAGGCTCAAGCCAATGCTGCAAATCTTGTCTCATTCGCTCAAGCTGGTAACTTTTCTGGCAATTATATGGATTCTACTGGTTATTTGTATGTTCCAACTGCTTGTCAACAAGGAGCTTCATGTCGATTACATGTCGTGTTCCATGGCTGTGAGCAAGGTGCTAGCATTTTAGGAACTGAATTTGTTTCCAATATTGGAATTAATGAATATGCTGAGAGCAATAATATTATTGTCTTGTATCCTCAAGTTGCTGCAGGAGGAGAGAACTTTTTAGGATGTTTTGATTGGGTTAACTTTTCAGGAGCAGATAGTAATTATGCCAATAAGAAAGGCTCTCAAATGACTGCTGTTGCAAATATGATCATGGCTCTTGGCGGCAAGATTTATTAAATATGCCACACAGAACGCAACAACAAGGTTGTCGATTGATAAATAATAAATTGTGTTTGCATTGTCATGAATTGTAAGGTGCAACAAATTCACCAACAGCTAATTATGACCTTTTCTAAGAATAATTCTTGGGGTTTGACGTTCAACTTTATTTACGAGAATTGCAGACATCTGAAGTTTCAAATTGGATTGCTTTTGATATTTGAAGTTTGAAGTAAGGTGGTTTTGAAAGCAACCGAATCATTTCACAGGTAAGTGTCTAATCTTCATTGCAAACAACCATCTTTCTTTCCAGATCATCAATAAATTCAACTCTTTTTCACTTGATTCGAGAGCTTTGGCAAAGACCCTTGATGTGTTTGTGAAGATGTAGCACATGTGGCTGATCTGACAATTGCATGACTCGTTCACACATGTTCAAAGCAACTTCGAATCGTTTCTCACTTATGGCTCGTTCTGTTTGCTCCAGATCAAGACAAATTTTCTTTTGAAGATCGGTAGACTCATTTCTTGAACATTCTACAGAGTAGAGTTTGAGAATATGAGAATATGGGATAGGTCTATTGTTGTCATTGAATTGTGTTGAGTCGTGATTCTGGTTGTCATTACTTTCCCCTCCGAGTGCAATATATTGTTCGTGGTTATTCTCATTCCCAGATGATAAATTAATAGAGTCCACAAAGTAACAAATAAATGCATCCTTAACCTTACAATATGTTTCTTCACTGATGAGAACAGATTGATTCAAATCGGACGCCATTTCAAGCAATTTTTGAGAGACGGTAAAGTCTCTTCCAAGGATCGTGTAGTGCAAATGGTCAGTTGAACCAATGGATCCACACAAAACTTCTCCACTGTGAATACTGGCTCTTAATTTCAACAAAGATATTTGATTGAGATATTTTTGCTGCCACTTTTCTTGTATTTCTTTGAATATCAAAAGAGAATCAAGAACAGCATGCACTGCATGGATCTCATGCCTTTCAATTGGATAACTTTCCTCATTGAAAATAGCAATGATCATATCATCATAAAGCTGTATCATTCCCCCATGATCTTGCACAATTTTGGGTATCACTCTGAAATATTCGGAAGAGAGTTCCTCAAGCACATCCAAACCTTTTTGTTCTACAATATCCAAAAGACCCTCAATCTGAATTTTAACAAGACTAATATTTTGGTAAGTTGGAGGTGCATGATCTAGTTCAACGTTGTTCACGAATTTTTGCAAAACAATATCTGGCACAAACTTGCAAATAATATTCACCACCGAGCTTAATCTGTGGACGCCTATTTCCACTCGCCTCAGATCACTAAAAATACTATAGCTTTGTTTACCGTCACTATCTTGATTATCGACGTCTTGAGTTCCAACATTCTCAGGTTTCTTTACAATATTTTCATCAAACTTCAAATTCTTGAGTTTTACCAGGTTTTTCAATTGCTTATTGAGCTTATTAAAAGAAAAGTTAAAACCCGTCACAAGAAAGAATAGAAAGAATGCTTCCAGAATCAGTACAAAAATGAAAATAATAATTGAATTAATACCATTAGAAATTATCTCATCTAAAAAGCTATACACTTCTTGTGACTGTACAACAGCCCAATCTAAGCCATAGAGTCCACATAAAGGTGTCACTTCAACATAAATTTTACGATTTTTCCATAAAAATTGGAACTGAAACATGCTGGAATCTTCAGAGAAAGTAATGGAGTCTGGATCAATAGTAGAGTTCTTTGGAGATATCATGATTGTATTATTTCTAGAGTGATGATCATCACTGGATGAGTTGCAAGGCCCCGATTTCAAATATTGTAACAAGTTTGAAGAAACCATTGTTTCAAAAGTGTCAGATCTAAATGGGCAAGAACTTTCATTACTCGATAAAATGTATCCTCTACTGTTAATCACAAAACTATCGGTGCAAGTTTTTGACACATATTGGAGATGGGATGTCATGTTAATTAATTGAGAAATAGAGTCTGTGGGCAGTCTTAGAGATACTACCATGAGCAATTGGCTGATATTTTTGGCCTCAGGATGTTCAATAACATTCACAATTTTAACATTGTTCAATGGAGCCGTTCGGTTGACACGGGCATTCACGTATACAGGAATTAATAAAGCGGTATATTTGTCTCGACCGCTCATCCACACAGGGTTCGATTGATTTTTGAATTGAGATTCAAATCTCATTTTGTAGTCAGACCTCGAATTGTTTTGAAATTTTGTTTCGATAGCATTCCCTAATATTGAGGGCAAATGTTGATATTTTGCAATTCCGAGTGTGCTCAATAAATACGAGTCCTTAAATTCTGTTGTATAGAAATAGGAAGGAAATTCATACACAGAAGAAGTTTTGTTGAAGGGATTTAGAATCCTTATGGTTGGAACACCGTTATGAAATTCTTTTGATATTGAATAACCATCTGCTCTATCAATACTATAGGTCACTTTGTCATTCTTGGTTGACGCTGTTGCTAAATATTCCAACAAGCTCAGCATGGCAATGTCATTCGTAAGTGTTATTGTAGGGCCAATGCTATAGAAATGCTGTACAAATTCATCTATACAGTCCACAAATTTCTCAATGCCGTTATACATTGTGTATTCCGATTGAATTTGTGTAAATTTGACCTCATGATTCACAATCGATTGACCTGTCGAGTACATGAATGTAAAGGAGGTGATTAAACCAAGTCCTCCCTGAAATAAAAACAAAATTAAAACTACATTAGCAATGGTGAGTAAGGAGCATGGATGATGGCGGAAGAGCCAACACCCGAATCGTGAATATGGATCCATAATTAAATTCGTAAAAATGTTGCCCGATGTAGAATTTCCATTTGTATTGTGATGGTGATTATTGTCGTTCTTATTATTATGATTTTCAGTATTATGACTGGTTGTATGATCAGCATTTTGTTGTTGAATAACGGTATTAGTGGAGGGATCCGATGTTGGTGGATCTTGCCGTGTGGTGGTGGTGGTAGTGGTGCTGTACGAGGATTTGAGCGATGTATTGGATTGATTGGTTTTTCGTTTAATCCTATATCCAGCAATTCTTGCGGAAACATCGACTTGAGTTTTTCGGGAGGGTGTTGATGACATTTTTGTATTTTCTTTTTTGAAAACATCAACGCGCGCACACTTTGAAAGTTTTAATTCACCTAGCTCAATACAATTACGGATTCTTTGATTTGTAAATGGCATTCGTTCTCATGGAAGAGATTATAATGATGAAGGCGCAACAGTAGTGATCGATTTAAAAGTGATTACCAACATTGACAAGTAGGGCACCACCATCATTTCAAAAAAAATGTCAAGAAGATTCATTGTGGCAGTCTTGTTATTTGCATTAGTTGCTGTGGCATTGGTGGCTCAACCAAATGTTGCTAGCAGAGTGCTCGATCGAGTGTTCTCCGATATGGAGATTGATGCGCTTGTGAACGATGCAGTGAATGAATTGTCAGACGCAGAGGCTTTATTGTCATCAGGAGCTCAACTTGCCTCTACTACTTCTTTGAACGTGAGGTATGGTGAATCATTAAGTTTGTTGTTTGATGACACATCTATTGCAATATGGTTTAAAAACGATTCATGAAATGTGGAATTCATCCTAACGAAATATACGATTGATCATGTATTTACTGTGTACATTCATCAACTAACTCAGATCTGGTCCTTGTACTGACAAGTCCATTGTCACAACTTTGAGCGAGGGTCAAGTTGTCTCTTTCACAGGAACCTCAACAACTGCATGTGGTCACACTTGGTATGGAGTTCGTGGTAGTTTTGGTTCCGGTTATGCTTCAAGCAAATACCTCAGAGAAGTCAACTCTGGTGGAAATTCTGGTATTGAAGCTATTCGATCAAGAGCTGCGGATTGGGCTGCTTCAAAGGTTGGCTCCTGCTATTCCCAAGCACACAGATATGGAAATCCTTGCTATGACTGCTCAAGTTTGGTCTATCTTGCTTACAAACAAGCTGGTAAAGATGGACTTCCATTGACCACTCGCAATTATCCAAATCCAACAGTTAGAGAAATTTCCTTCTCTCAAATTGCTAAAGGTGATATTTTGTGGCGTGAAGGTATGTAGAATGTGAAAGTTCAGAGTTATTAATTATTTGGGTTTTGAAATGTCAATTCGTCACCCTTCGATATTGTGAATTTACGATTTTTTTTTGGGTTGCTCAAAACAACAGGACATGTTGGCATGTACATTGGAAACGGCCAAATCGTTAACGCTGAGAATGAAAAGAATGGAGTTCGTATCAGAGATTATCAAGCAAGCAAGGGCAGATTCACCAAGGTTTATCGTGTCGTTTAAAGTGAAATTAAATTGTCTAAATCAGATCTGGGCTTGTCTTTGTTGTTGAATTTGTTCAAAATGTTTTGAGTACTCAGCTCAACGCGCGTTGTGAGCTCTCGCTTTCAAATGCACTCGAACACGGCGCCAACTACAAATCGGTGATCTTTCCAATTACGTGATCTCCCGCGTGACCTAAAAAAAAGCCTTGATGCAATTTACTTCCGAGACTCTCTCTGGCCATTTCAACCTCGATTCTCTTCTGATCCTGCGTAGAGCGTCATCATGGATTTAGGCGGAAAGAAAACGATTGAGCTTCAGCATCCTCCTCCTTCTTCCCCTAGTTGTAGTAATGCAATAATTTTTGTACTTATTCTTTTATTTATTATTACCTTCACAACCCGGACAATATTAGGGGACGAATTTAATTTCAATGATGCTTCCGAAATTTGGTTTGGACAGTCGGCTCCTCTTACAGGTCCTAGTGGTTCCGTCGGACAAGGTAGGTTCTAATGATTGAGGAGTGAACAATGCATGCATACATCGTTTCTTATTGAATTAGAATTGAGGGATGGTATTTTGACGGCTTTTCATGAACTCAATTCAGCTGGAGGACTGTATGGGAAAATCAAACTGAGGCTTCTCTCGTTAGATGACATGTATGAACCTGAAAAGACTCAACAAAATGTAAATTACTTTCTCTCGCTTCGGGCAAACATGACCATCTTTGGTTTAATTGGTAGGTGTAACAATGCAATTCAATTTGGTTGGGTGTTCTATACTGTTCTTAAAATTATCAATCACTTCAATTTCGACTTTCAAAACTGCTACTATTTGTGATGAATTATTTTGATGATGATCCTCATAGGTATATTTGGTTCCTCTAATTCTTTATCCGTCCTTCCTTCTCTTCAAAATAATCGCATTCCCTTAATTGGCACGTACTCGGGAGCCATGTTTTTGAGAAAACCCTTCTTTCCTTACATTGTGAATTTACGACCAGCCTATTATGACGAGATGAGTGCTCTTGTGGACTATCTGATCAACATCAAGATTGCTCGTAAAATATCTGTTTTCTATCAAAACGATCATTTTGGTTTGTCCTGTCTTGAAGGTGTGCAACGTGCACTGGCCTTTCTCGATTTGGAACTATGCTCTTCTGGCTCGTATGAACGCAATACGGATGATGTTGAGAATGCATTTATTGAAATTTCGAAATGTAAACCAGATGCCGTTGTTGTTGCGTCGCTATATAGCCCAGCAACCAAATTTATCAGAATGGTTTACAATTCATCCCTATTCAGAAGTGATGTTATCATTGCTGCTTCTTCTGTTGCCAGCGATTTGATTGTCAATCAATTAGAACCTGTTCTGGCATCTAGGGTCATTTTTACTCAAATAGTTCCACACAACCTTAATTACAGTATTGTGAGATCATTTCAAAAATCTTTTAGAGAGATGGGAATGAATGAAACACAACTGAGTCATGCTCACATAGAGGGATATTTGAACGGAAAATTTACATATTCCATTCTACAACGAATTATTGGAAACTTGACAAGAAGTAATTTCATCCAAACACTGTACTATTCGAAAGAGGTGGTATTCGATAATTTAAAGCTGGGTCCTTATGAATCATGTCAACCACAAGATGAGGGTTTGTCATTGAACCCTTCAAACGAAACATGCAACTGCAATCAAGGATCTAGAAAGATATGGAGGACAAAATTTGATTCTCAAACAAAAACATGGATAGAAGAGAGCACCTTTTCTTGGAAAGATTGTTTAACAGATTCAAAAAGCATTGAACAACCTATTTTACTTGGTCAACTCGAATATTCAGGAAGAGCCTCTAGTAATGAGTTATTTTCAACAGGACTCAGAAATGGTATTAATTATCCCTTGCAACTGCTTACCTTTAAATATTCTGATCTGAACTCTCTTATTGAAAAAACGTTAGATTTAGTCGAAAATTACAAAGTATTTGCATTGGTCGGATTTACTGGTCTTTCGGATGTCATCGGTCGCAACGACGAAAAGTTGAACAAATTAACTCAATTTTTTAAGAACATCATTCCCACAGTACCGCTCATTGGACCAGTCACTACTGACTTTAAGATTATGGGCAGTAGTGCATCTAACTTTATTGATTCTATTATCAACATCAGAAACAGCTATATTGAAGAAATTGGTAGCTTGCTAGATTATGCGTACATGCAAGGGTTTACTCGTTTCTCGTTCGTTTATTCATCTTCATACAATCATGTTTATGAATATTTGGATTTTTTTCTGAAGAACGTTGGATTGTCTTTGGAAAGTGTTCATCAATGTGGGGATGACATTCAATTTAGTCGGATAATTAATCCCCAAGTGTTATTTATTGCTTGCCCTGTAGATAGAATTACAAATACGGTGCAAATACTTGACAGAAGTGCCTCATTTAGAGACGAAGGACTATTTATTGTATTAGAAGAAGCCAAGGATGTGATATCTAACAACCAATTTCAACATAGAGTAATTTACAGTACTCCTTTCCCATCAACTAACTCGTCCTCGAGGATAGTATCATTATTCAGAACCTCATTGAATAATTTAGGAAATTTTTCATTGAGCCATTACTTAGAATCTGATGACGCTCTTGAGGGCTTTTATGTTGGAAAATTTATATCGACAATTATTGATGCCTTAAATTATGAGCCATCCTTAAATTTTCTCCAATACATTTACTCGACAAATCAAATTGTATTTAGTGACCAACAACTAGGACTTTTTTTACAAACCTCTAACCTTAAATGCAACATTGGAATAAGACAAAGATATATCTATACAATGCATAGAGGGATGAAATATCAAAATTATATTGTTAATTTTCCTCCAAATCAGTGTGGCCTCCAAGAAATAGTTGAAAAACCCTATTCTATTTTGTACAAAAGACCTCTTCAATTCATTCAATTAAGACGATCAAAGAACAACCCCACAGAGACGTTATTAGTTGAGTATGGGCAGACCGATAGCGTCTCTAAAGGCATTTTGTCTCTATTTAATTTACTCAATGAGAATCAGAAATATCAACACTATCGCTTTCTATTATTAACTCAATTTTATAACGACCAAACAAATTTAACGTTTCTATTGGATGAGTTGATTGAAAAACAAAAAGTATCTGCCTTTATTGTTCCGGATGTCAATGGATTAAATGCGATTGAGTTCAAGAAAATTGTGGATTCTACACAAGTTCCAACTATTGCTCCACTCTCTGGAAGCATAATTTTTAGAGATTTTTCACGTAACATTATTAATTTATTTCCTTCGATACTCGATGAGATATTTGTGTTAACCAACTTCTTCCACACTAATTTTCAAAAACAACACATTCTAATTCTATATCAAGAAGATGAATATGAATGGTCAAATCCGACTCTTCACTCTACAATAATTTCAATAGCAGAAGGTAAAACTTACTTGATCACCATGAAGCCAATCGAATCTATTAGCATTGTATCTGAAGATTACCAATCAGCTTTGATCTTACTTGCCGATGTTGATGTTGTTGTGAAATTTCTTTCGAGGTTTATTTGGAAGCTTAAAAACAACCCGCAATTACTTATTGGAGTCACTTCTCAGGTGTACAATGATGAAGATTTCTTTCAGTCTATACTCTCAAACGAAATCAGTAGTATTAACTTGTTCACAGTATTGATAACTGAGCCATATTATTTTGGTAATGCTACCTCAATACCAAACTCATACATCGTTTATCAATTTAGCAATATATTCAGAAAATATTATGCCAACGATAATTATGGACATAATGGAGCTCTTAATGGATTTATTATTGCATCGTTTATGGATAAGGTTTATGAGTCCTTGTTTGGAAAAATGACATACAATCTGCAAGAATTTGTACAACAGGTGTATTCATTGTCATCTTTTGATTTAGGAGATCTAAGGATTGGGCCGTTTCTGGATTGTAAAACTTCCGTTGTCTCTTGTGTTAAATGCAATCAAGGCATGCATGACATGTATGTGGGACAATTATCCGACAAAATGAGCACTACAAAAGTATCAAATTACAATTTACACATTGAAACCTGTGGAATTATGAAGGACGAAAGCAATAATGTAGACTGGAAAAAATATTACCCTTATATAGCTCTGTCTCTGTCATTGGTGTTTGTTTTCATTTTACTTTTACTTCCATTTATTATAGTGAAATATTTGAAACACATGAAATATCTAAAGACTGTACCAAGATCGGGGAAAATTGTATTTGCCTTTACGGACATTCAAAATTCAACGACATTATGGCAAATCAATGAAAAAGCAATGAAAGCTGCTCTATCTATACATAACAAGATTATTCGCGAAAATATTAAGAAGTTTAAAGGTTACGAAGTTAAAACTGTAAGTATTTATTTTTATTGAGCGGTATTAGATTTTGCAAACAAATGGTAATACCATCAAAAAGCAAGGAGATTCCTTTTTCGTTGCGTTTAAAAGAGCAGATAATGCCATACATTGGGCTCTCAGTGTTCAAACTCAGTTACTGGATGCAAAATGGCCTTTGGAAATTCTGAAACTTTGGGACTGTAGACCTGAATTTGATGAAAAGACGAGGAAAATGTACTTCTCTGGATTGAGGGTGAGGATAGGAATGCATTGCAGTGACAAAGATTACCTTGTCGTCTCCGAAAAAAATCACAAACGAATTGATTACTTTGGAACAGCCATCAATTTAACATCGAGAATAGAGAGTATTGCAAAAGGTACGTTTTGAAAAGGATCAGTTTGAACTTAGCCTTTTTTGGACTTTAACTTTTTTCACATTACTAGGTGGTATGACATTAATCTCCGATTCATTGTTCAATGAAACCTTATATTTGTTTAAGAACGTTTTGAATGGTGAAGAAACTGGACAAGTATTGACTTCAATTCAAAACAATACCTCTAATTGCGTTCCAGAAGCAATCCAAGGTTCGAAATACATGGCACAAAATATGGGACATTGTGCATTAAAAGGTATCAAAGAAAAAGTTAGGGTTTTTTATATCTACAATGATGAATTGGTTGGTAGGAGGTTTGAGAATACGACACTGTCTTTGGATAATAAGGATGGAATGAATCAAGAAAAAAATAACACGGAACAGCATGAACAACATTCATCACAGATAGAGATGCAAGATATTAAGGTTGATTTCACCTCTCAGGAACATACTGTTTAATATATTCCTGATCTTGTTCCGTATTCAAGACATTACACACTATCTCGGCAAAAATTAGGCTTGAGGCAATTCAAACAAAGAAAACAGGAAGAGTTGAATATTAATGATGAAAAATTTATTCTCTTTTAACTATATTGTTCAAAAGCCTCTTCGAAAAATAGCACAGATTCTGATTTTGTGTTGAACAATATCCATTTGGAAACCCATTATCTGAAAAAACTTAATCAATTTTGGACCTGAAGCGATTTCAAAAACTACAGACAACCAATAATGAAGGTGAGCTGAACTTCATTCAGTATGAGTTTTGTGATTCTTTCTCGTTACAAGGTTCCAGAAAGTTTTGGCTCATTTAATCGATCCTAAAGATTCAAAATCACAAATAAACATGTTTATTTTGGGTTTGGGTTTGGGTTTGGGTTTGGGTTTGGGTTTGGGTTTGGGTTTGGGTTTGGGTTTGGGTTTGGGTTTGGGTTTGGGTTTGGGTTTGGGTTTGGGTTTGGGTTTGGGTTTGGGTTTGGGTTTGGGTTTGGGTTTGGGTTTGGGTTTGGGTTTGGGTTTGGGTTTGGGTTTGGGTTTGGGTTTGGGTTTGGGTTTGGGTTTGGGTTTGGGTTTGGGTTTGGGTTTGGGTTTGGGTTTGGGTTTGGGTTTGGGTTTGGGTTTGGGTTTGGGTTTGGGTTTGGGTTTGGGTTTGGGTTTGGGTTTGGGTTTGGGTTTGGGTTTGGGTTTGGGTTTGGGTTTGGGTTTGGGTTTGGGTTTGGGTTTGGGTTTGGGTTTGGGTTTGGGTTTGGGTTTGGGTTTGGGTTTGGGTTTGGGTTTGGGTTTGGGTTTGGGTTTGGGTTTGGGTTTGGGTTTGGGTTTGGGTTTGGGTTTGGGTTTGGGTTTGGGTTTGGGTTTGGGTTTGGGTTTGGGTTTGGGTTTGGGTTTGGGTTTGGGTTTGGGTTTGGGTTTGGGTTTGGGTTTGGGTTTGGGTTTGGGTTTGGGTTTGGGTTTGGGTTTGGGTTTGGGTTTGGGTTTGGGTTTGGGTTTGGGTTTGGGTTTGGGTTTGGGTTTGGGTTTGGGTTTGGGTTTGGGTTTGGGTTTGGGTTTGGGTTTGGGTTTGGGTTTGGGTTTGGGTTTGGGTTTGGGTTTGGGTTTGGGTTTGGGTTTGGGTTTGGGTTTGGGTTTGGGTTTGGGTTTGGGTTTGGGTTTGGGTTTGGGTTTGGGTTTGGGTTTGGGTTTGGGTTTGGGTTTGGGTTTGGGTTTGGGTTTGGGTTTGGGTTTGGGTTTGGGTTTGGGTTTGGGTTTGGGTTTGGGTTTGGGTTTGGGTTTGGGTTTGGGTTTGGGTTTGGGTTTGGGTTTGGGTTTGGGTTTGGGTTTGGGTTTGGGTTTGGGTTTGGGTTTGGGTTTGGGTTTGGGTTTGGGTTTGGGTTTGGGTTTGGGTTTGGGTTTGGGTTTGGGTTTGGGTTTGGGTTTGGGTTTGGGTTTGGGTTTGGGTTTGGGTTTGGGTTTGGGTTTGGGTTTGGGTTTGGGTTTGGGTTTGGGTTTGGGTTTGGGTTTGGGTTTGGGTTTGGGTTTGGGTTTGGGTTTGGGTTTGGGTTTGGGTTTGGGTTTGGGTTTGGGTTTGGGTTTGGGTTTGGGTTTGGGTTTGGGTTTGGGTTTGGGTTTGGGTTTGGGTTTGGGTTTGGGTTTGGGTTTGGGTTTGGGTTTGGGTTTGGGTTTGGGTTTGGGTTTGGGTTTGGGTTTGGGTTTGGGTTTGGGTTTGGGTTTGGGTTTGGGTTTGGGTTTGGGTTTGGGTTTGGGTTTGGGTTTGGGTTTGGGTTTGGGTTTGGGTTTGGGTTTGGGTTTGGGTTTGGGTTTGGGTTTGGGTTTGGGTTTGGGTTTGGGTTTGGGTTTGGGTTTGGGTTTGGGTTTGGGTTTGGGTTTGGGTTTTGGGTTTGGGTTTGGGTTTGGGTTTGGGTTTGGGTTTGGGTTTGGGTTTGGGTTTGGGTTTGGGTTTGGGTTTGGGTTTGGGTTTGGGTTTGGGTTTGGGTTTGGGTTTGGGTTTGGGTTTGGGTTTGGGTTTGGGTTTGGGTTTGGGTTTGGGTTTGGGTTTGGGTTTGGGTTTGGGTTTGGGTTTGGGTTTGGGTTTGGGTTTGGGTTTGGGTTTGGGTTTGGGTTTGGGTTTGGGTTTGGGTTTTGGGTTTGGGGTTTGGGTTTGGGTTTGGGTTTGGGTTTGGGTTTGGGTTTGGGTTTGGGTTTGGGTTTGGGTTTGGGTTTGGGTTTGGGTTTGGGTTTGGGTTTGGGTTTGGGTTTGGGTTTGGGTTTGGGTTTTGGGTTTGGGTTTGGGTTTGGGTTTGGGTTTGGGTTTGGGTTTGGGTTTGGGTTTGGGTTTGGGTTTGGGTTTGGGTTTGGGTTTGGGTTTGGGTTTGGGTTTGGGTTTGGGTTTGGGTTTGGGTTTGGGTTTGGGTTGGGTTTTGGGTTTGGGTTTGGGTTTGGGTTTAGGTTT